CAGAGAGTAACAAAATGTTTTAGTAATTCAAGTGACATTCATAAAAAAAAAAAAGTAATTCGAGTGATCGGAGTTGGACGGAGGCTAACGGGTGAGTGACTAAATGTGACCTGTTTTAGTGATTCGAGTGACCAAAATTACCCTCCCATCATTTTAGGAGCCCAACTTTATGCCTCAAGCAGTAGGGGTGAGCATTCGGTCGGTTCGGTTTCGATCGAACCGAAATTATGAATACCGGGTCCCCGAATTCTCCCAAACCTCAAACCGAATTCGAACCGAATTATAATTTAGTTCGGTCGATTTAAACCAAATTATAATTCGCTTCGGTTTACCACCCAAAACCGAATTTGTGAAGCTACTTGTATTTTCTCACTTTTAAATTATTTTCATCCCTAATATAAACAATAAATATCAATTATATGCATCATAAATGATAAAATCAAACTTTTCAACACATAAGTCATAAAACATTTCAAATATTTAAGTCTAAAAACAACTACAAACATAAAAATCCACCATTTGGAGCTTGCAATTATAGTATTTCGGTTTTTCGGTCGGAAATTCGGTTCGGTTGAAAGAACTCTGGTTTTCGAACTATCCATATTTTCCTTCCGAATTTCGAACCGAATAGCATTAATTCGGTTTCGGTTCGGGTTTACCGAACCGTTTGCCCACCCCTATCAAGCAGTCAAGCTCATGATGCTATCACCATTTGTACTCTGAATGGCTAAACGTCACACTAGTTTTACTAATCGCTCTAATTTTAAAAAACAAAAAAACAAAAAAACTATAGAGAACAATAAAATCGCTGGATGATTTTGGAGCGTATATACGGTTAAGAAGACAACGAAACAGGCCCTACCAGTGCGGTTTCATGGAAAGGGTAAGCTTGTTGGAAAGGGTAAGCTTGTTGGGCCCAATTTCATGGAAAGGGTAAGCTTGTTGGAAAGGGTGAGCTTGTTGGGCCCTTGCTTGGGTCGCCGTTGTTATCTGGTTTAGTCCCTTCAGCACTGCAATTGCAATTAGGCGTTGCTGTCCGCGAAGTTTGAAATGTCCGGCTACGAGACCAAACTCCGGCGAGACAGAGAAGGGAACAGATGGGAACTAGGCCCTCGTGACCTATTCAGATTTGCAGGAATGCATTGAGTTAGGGCGATTCGATTTGCCACTTCTGCGGCTATTTTTTCCAAGAAGGTTATTGAAGTAATTTTATATAATAGGCTACGGCAATTTAAGTAAAAGATAGGGCGACGTTTAGCCATGTAATTCTATCCCAAAACTCAAACTTACAGAACTTTTACTTCTACCGTCTCCATCGGTGGGGACAAGTTATCATTATAGAATGATTAAGATTTTGGTGGGAACGCTCATATCATCTACTCGTTAAGTAATCACAGTTATATTATGAGTGTTATGAATATCAAGGGTTTAATTCCCCATCCGATGGTGCGGCGGGAAGTTTGGTACCGGTATTTGAGATATTACGAATACTGTATCGGATTTTTCTATATTTGGTATTACCGAATACACGTATTATTTCGTGGGATTGAGATTGATATTGAATTTCAATTGTTATTCAGTATTAAGGATTATGAGATTGAGATCGGTATATACCGAAATATAAGCTAGTGTGTATTTTATCCTCTCAACTAGACTCTCTCATTAACCACTACACGACCATCAGCCACCAAAAGTGTCATTTAATTATACAAAGATCATTACATCAATATTTCACACTAGTATTAGTCGTCTCTCAACCTCAAATTCGTAAAATTAAAGATTACCAATTACAAGAACTTGAGATGTTAGCTCTAGGCAACTCAAGACTATTTGCTTAGTCTCTTTGCCCTAAATTAAAATATAAATTCTAGTTTATATATTTAATTATTAATTGCAAAGGTAATTAATATGTATTTGATAATACCGATTGGGATACCGAGGTACCGATTGGGATATCGAAATTATTTAGGGATTGAGATACCGAAATTATTTAGGGATTGAGATTGGGATTGATTTTAGGGTGTAATTCGGTATTCGGGATTTCGGTATTTGGTATTGAGATACCGATACCGTACCGATTTCCACCCCTACTTACAAACATGATCAAGATTTTGGTATCTATGTGTCAAAAGGAATTTAAAAATTGATATTGAGGAAAATTTTCTAAGTCTCACCAATTATTCATTAATTCATATTCTAAAAAGAGTCAAATTGAGGAACTTATTTGTTAAGAAAAAAATAGTTCAATAACAAATCGATATTAAACTAGTTAATTTTATCCAAGCATCGATAGATATTAAAAGGATTTTTCCAGAAATAGCACTGTTCAAATCCCCCCCCCCCCAAAAAAAAATAAATAGCACACAACTCCAAAAAATTCCAAAAACCGCCACCCGTACCAACGGTTTAGGCGAAAACCGCCACCCTGGTCGCGTTTTTCGATGAAAACCGCACTGGTAGGGGCGGTTTTGCAAACCGCACCCCCACCATGCAGTTTGGTTGCAGACCGCACCCCTACCATGCGGTTTGTTTGCAGACCGCACTCCCACCATGTGATTCTTTTTTTTTTTTTTTTGAAAAATCCTAACCTAGATGAAAACTTCAAACAAACGTATCATTCTGTTCGGGTATCCGATCGTCGCGATTTTTTTTTATTCCGCATAACTTTTCGAGATCTTGAAAGTCGAAGATTGTTGAAGGAATACAAAATGTCGTTTGCTACCCCGAACGAGTTTTTTTTCGATTTCGTCAAACTTTGGACAACCATAACTTTGTGCTCCAAATCCAAATGACATGAATTTTTTTTTATTTCGCATAAATTTTTAAGGAATACAACTTTTGTCATAGACATAATTTCAAAATGTACATGGATTGTTGAAAAGGGAAGGTAAGCTATTCCCAAAATCTTGTATATCCGAAAACAATTCATGTTTTGAAAATTCATTCCTAGTAAAAATTGTAGTCCTTAAAAAGTTATGCGAAATGAAAAAAATTTCATGAAGTTCGGATTTTGGAGCTCAATAACTTTAAACAACCATAACTTTGTGCTCCAAAATCCGAACGTACATTTCGAAAATATTGCGCCCGCTATTTGGATATACAGGATTTTGGGAATAGCTTACCTTCCCTTTTCAGCAATCCACGTACATTTCGAAACTATGTCTATGATAAAAGTTGATTTCCTTAAAAATTTATGCGAAATAAAAAAAATTTCATGCCGTTTGGATTTTGGAGCACCAAGTTATGGTTTTCCAAAGTTTGACGAAATCGGAAAAAAGCTCGTTCGGGGTAGCAAACGACCTTTTTTGGGACGAAGGCGGGACCAAACCACCTTCGACAGTCTTCAGCTTGCAAGATCTCAAAAGGTTATGCGGAATAAAAAAAAAATTCGCGACGATCGGATACCCGAACACAAAGATACGTTCGTTTGAAGTTTCCACCTAGGTTAGGATTTTTCAAAAAAAAAAAAAAAAAAAACCACATGGTGGGGGTGCGGTTTGCAAAACAGCCCCTACCAGTGCGGTTTCATCAAAAAACGTGCCCCAGGTGGCGATTTTCGCCTAAACCGCTGGTACGGGTGGCGGTTTTTGGGAACGAGCACTATTTTTGGAAATTTTCAGAATTGGGTGCTATTTTTGATTTTTTTTAACAGTGCTATTTCTGGAAAAATCCGTAAACTAGAAGTATAAAGCATCATTGGCAAGACCGATTAATACGAATTATATGGTGGATTAATGACCACCTTATGGACAAAAATAAAATCCTTTATGGGTCGTTTGCTTGATTTATTTGTATGAGTCATTTGATACCAAATGACTCAATTGAGTAATTTGATGTCAAATGACTCGTTTGCTAAAGAAAAAACGCATGAGTCATTTCGTCCATACGAATGTCCCAAATGACTCATTATTTAGGTCAATGTTCCAACTATGTCCTCGCCTATTTTATAAACCCACTTCTATCCTTCTCTTTTTATTATTTTGTTTTCTATGTCATTGCTCTGTCTTCTCACATAATCCCCAAATTTCATTAGCAACAAAGAGGGTCATCTACCTAAAAGTGAATCATTTTCGTTCACAAACCCTACCATTTGTAATTAGTTTGAAATTCAAGACTCATGGAGGCATTATCTTTCATAAGAAAAGTTAACATATAATTATTATTTAAAGTTAGAAAGTAGTATTATAATGGAAAACACGAGGGGTCGTTTGGATGAGGAATTGTAACGGATCAATTTGACACAATTGTATCGTTTTGAGACAATTGTACCAAATTGCCTCGTTTGCCAGCAAAAAAATTGGATGGATCAATCTGCTTGACGTATTTTGAATTGATCCGTTTTGAGTCAATTTCAATTACCTGGGGTGGGGGCAGGTAATTCGAATTGACTCGTTTTAATTGCCTCGTTTATAAAACGAGACAATTGATCAAATTGACTTATTTATAAATTGATCCATCAAATAATATGTTTTGTTGGTTGCAAAATGATTTTTGTTTATGTGGGAGGTTTTTACAGGAATAGGAAACAAAATGAGGGAACATATTAAATGTAAGGGCAAAATGATAAAATTTTACAAATGACTCATTTGAAAATGACTCATCTAAAACCTTTTAAACAAACAATGCATTTGTAATGCCTACATTCCCAAATGTCTACATTTCTCAAATGCCTACACTTAGGCTAATGACTCGATTTGAAAATGACTCATGCAAACGCCCCTTAAGGGTGCATAAACTCATCTGTTATAAAGCAAATGGTTTCAATAATTCAAGTTATTGGTACTTGGTAGACGTCCATATATGGTACTTAACCACTTCATTACGCGCCTCTCAATGGAAAGGTGACTCATGGGCTTGAAGTTTACCATGTGTTTTAGGACAACAATTAATATTATTAGTTCTTAACATTTGACCTATGGACAAACTCGCTCTTATATCATGTCATAAACTAACTGGTCCCACTAATTCAAATTATTGTGACAGATACATGTATAATATTTACCACTTTCATATATTTATTATTAATTGACATTGAGTATCATCACATCTCAAACACTAGATCATTAATTGAAGTTGAGTATCATCACATCTCAAACACATCTGAGCAAAAGTTTAGACGATTTGTCCTAATAAACCATTTCGTTTCTTTGAGGACAATCATCAAACACAAAGCATGCAACATCAAGTTACCCTCACTCATAAGTAAACACAGTCAAACCATTCACACTGATTCCTAACTAGAAACCTAAACATGGCCATACCAATATTTGTTTCTCCTATTACTACATCACCATTTCCATTCACAGATTGAGTGAAGCTTCAAAACAACAACAACAACAACAACAACAAAGCCTGATCGATTAAAACCCTAATCAACCATCCCAAAAAACGCAAGTCGATTCAAAATCCGACTTACCTTCACCTCCGACCTCCCGTCCCCTTTCCAATTCGTTTCCATCTTCAATTCAGAGCTCCCAAGCTCGCAAATCTCTCCCAATCCGAAACGAAACGTAAGCATCAACACAAGCTTGCATAACCTGATCCCGCCCAAGATCCCTTCTCCCCCAATCGCTCAGACTAATTTCCTTCTCCAATCTCACCCCTTCGTAACCCAGCGTCTCCCTCACAATATCCTCCGCCGACGCCCCTCTCAGGCTCCTCCCGTCGTCGGCCTCCGCGTACTTCCTCAGATCCAGGAGATCGTGGATGCCAACCACGTGCTCCGACTCGTACAGCTTCCTCTGGTCGGAGCCGTTCCACAGCCCAACGAAGGTGTTGCCCGTGTGGTAGAGGAATTTTCGCAGGGATAGCGGAACCCTATCGGCGCGGTAGAGCTGGAAGATCAGGCAGCGGGTGCCGACGCAGAGGTGGAGGGTTTGGGCCGGTGAGCTGGAGCCGTGGAATGCGGTCCACTGGACGCCGGTCCCGACGACCATGGGTTCGCGGCGGCGGCGGTGGAAGAAGACGGTCTTCCGGACCCATTTGCTGACGGCGGAAGGGTTTGAAGTGACGGTGACGGAAATGGGGGTGCCGAAGAAGGTGACGGTGTAGAGACGGAACTTGGTGGATCCGGTGTAAGCTCCCTCGATCGTGATCTCGCCGTCGTCCGCCATCGATGTTCTCCGGAAAAAAAGTTGGTAGTTGAGAGGCAAGAGATTAGAGAGAACGAACAGAGCGGTAGCGCTTCTCCCTATGTTGATCTGACGTATACTTGCTTGCTTGGCTTTGCAATTCTGCTTTTTCACTTCATCCCGCTGACCCTGTGAGTCAGAGTCACTGAGTGACGACTGGCGAGGTAAATTACAGAACGGTCACTAGGATTTACCGTTGGAAATTAATTCTTATTTTTTTTACACTTTTTGTATTTCCAAAAGTTTTGCATCTACAGGCCGAGAGTAGACCAGGCCGGCCCATTTAATGACCCATATATTGTGTACTTGGGAGGAAGTGGACCATCATACTTCTAATTTTTCTGATTTTACTGTTACAGGCAGATTGTAGCCCGGCCTAGTTTATCCAATAATAAAGTGATCCACGTCTTTGATGGAATTCAACTCTATAACTAAAATTTCAAGTGATTTGGTAAATAAATAAGGTAGAGTTTATGTATTTGAAGAACTTATGTATTTGATGGGTTTGGATTGTAAGATTAAGTACATTGTTTGGGTTACATGAATTAGTGGTGGGACCCACATAATTTCTTAAATTACATGGTGCATCAATATTATGATTTAAGAAAAATAATGAAATGATAGATATTATATCATGTAATTTGATAATTGGGTAGATTACTTGATTGCCAAATGACCACTACGATAGTGATAACATAATTTTTTCCCTAGTAATTAATCATTTTTTTGGAATATCCATCAAAATAGCAAGTTATTATTATTATTTATTGTCAACTAGTTTACATAATAACCACGCATCAAATCATATAAGTATCACATTATATCAAGTTAAGTTGATCTATTAGTAATGTGATCGAACTATCACACATAGTTTAGTTCGGATCAAGGGTCCATTGGTGGGAGCGGTTACGGTGCTAATTGTACAATAGTTAGCACCGTCCTAACCAAGGGAAAAACGACTTTTAGTTTGAATTAGTAGTGATTTAGTTTAGATGTTGTATTAATTTTATAATAATCCGTCTACTAGTTTGAATTAGTAGTGATTTAGCTTAGATGTTGTATTGATTTTATAATAATCCGTAGTGATTTCGTTATTTTTAGTAACATTTTTGCTAATTATCACGGTGCTAACCCCTATAAAGGTTAGCACCAAATCCCATCCCGTCCATTTGGTTGAATCATAATGTACTTGATTCACTTGACTTGGTTAAGTATTTTTGTTGAATATATGTATTTACTATCTAGTGTAAAATATGCATTTAGTGTGTGCGATACACAATTTTCTCGGAAAATACTGAAGTTCAAAGTTTCCAACTTTAAAAACCATAACTCTCCCTCTCCAAGCACCCATTTCTCTTCTTCCCAATCTAATCTACATCTATTCTTCTTACTTAGGTTTATTTCTCGTCTTTCCCCCTACTGATTTCGATTCCTCTCGTTTTCCTCCGAGCCTGCCACAAAAAAACTCGACGGGGAGAAGCAGGACACCACTCAAACTCACAAATTGGTAATTTGGTATAGCAATTCTGGTCAGCTCAATGAGAATGATGAAGCCAAAGCCAAGATTTAGAGTGTGTAGAAGGGTAGATGTTGAACTTAGGATACATGGATTAGCTCGTTGACAGGGACGAGCTACCCTGTTCACAGAGCTAATGGAACCCTATCCATGGATGCATACCTTATTCCCTTGACACAACTGATTCATCACATTATATAGGGCAACTTACAGAGAAACAGTCTTGAGAAAGATAGGAAAAGAGTATTGATTCATACAATTGAAACTTGTGGGATCTTGGCGAAACCTAAAATCATCAGATTATGATTTGACATACCCAGGAATGACCTTCTTTACAATATCATCACTGAGAGCGCCAATCTGGGCATCCAGCGACACGATCGTCTCTTCCTTCTGCTTCTCCAGCTTCGCCAGCGCCTCCTGGAGCTCCCCTTCCACCTTCTTCCTCCCTTCCTTGAGCTTCTCCTCCAGCTCATCCTGGATCTCCTTCTTCATCTTGTTCAGCGACGCCGATATCTCCGCCCTCGCCGCCCTCATCACCGCCGCCGCCTGCTCCTCCAGCTGCTTCACCTCCGTCGAAGTGTCCTTCACGCTGTTCAGCTTCTCCTTGATGGCGGCGTCCCTCTGGTCCATGAACTTCCCGAGCGGGGAGTAGTAGACCTTGTCGAGCCCCACCATGAGGAGCAGGAACTGCGCCATCATGATGGGGAGGGTGAGGTCGAAGTCGAACAAAGCGGCCTTCTCGATCTCCACTGCCAGAGACGGCGGAGCTAATGCGGCGGCGGAGAGGGAGATTGTGGCGAGCAGGGAGGCCGGTTTGAAGGCGGAGATGATTTGGGATTGGGCCGATTTGTTGCTGTTGACTGGGAGGGAGAATTTGGGGAGTTTTGGCTTGGCCGCGGCGGCGACGGTGGGGGGAGGAGAGAAGAGCAAGGGCTTGGAGGAGGCCATGATCATGTTAGCCATGGCGGATTGCCGGAGGAGACACCGATTGGCCGGAGAAGAAATTGGGTTGTTTCTGTGGATTGGAGAGGGGATTCTTTTTGATTTCTCTGATCTTTTGTGTGGAAATGTGGAGGGGAGAGAGGGAGATAGGCAAAGGGCTATCTCGTTTGTCCGCCACACGATTTTTTGAGGAGAGGCTTCTTCGGCTTCTCTCATGAGCCATGGGCCCGCCGAAGATGGAAGCCCGGCCCATTCTTTAAAACTTGGAGACTGTAGGTGGATGTAAATTGTAAACATGTTACACAACTTTGAGTCTCGGAGTATAATATCGCGTTGTATGAGATGAATAATTTACTCCGTAGATTGATCTCATAGTCTAAGCAAGTAGAAGCCGCTTATTTTCGTTGCTCTATATTTCACGTGAAAATTTGATAAGTCTTTGACAGTCTCAAATTGACATGGACTTTACAAGTTCACAATTTCTTCTTTCAGTAACGAGAGGGTGTAATTATCGACATGCCGAATTCATCTGCAAGACCATTTTCTATGCGATTGCAACTGAGAGATGCCACATACTACCATTTATCGCTGATCAATACTTCGAGGTAAGGGCCTAAGAGATCAAGGAATACTTTCACCATTGTAGTCCCAAAATAGGCGATTACAAGTTTACAACAAACAGGGTCAATGTATGAACTGTGGTCACTATAAACACCACAAAGAAAGGAGCAAAAAAAGAAGTCCTTCCTACATGGACTAATCACCACAAACCATTTCCCCTCTGGCTTCTTATTTCTGTCCAAAATTTACTCGAAGAACATGGCTTCTATACACCTCTGAAAAGCTATATAAGGAACTGTTCAAATGTAAACTCCTCCAAAGGGGTTATATAGACTGGTCATGGTTTAGTATTACTGGGGGGGAACTTGTGTTCGTTAACACCGACTCCCACAAAACTGGACGACGTTTTTGATCCCGCTGAAGAAGCCACATCCGTATCTCGAGTGAGATACCTTGAACTTCCTCTTCTTCTCCCTTGGAGACAGCCTTGAGTAAGGGAACCATGGACTCATTAAGCTCGTGTGGTCGGTGACTTCTTGAAGTTCAATCATCCCCAGATCGCTCTCGTCCTTGTGCACATACGTTCCGTTCTCCATTTCACTGAAACAGTCATCATCGTCAGCATTAAGCTCTATTTCTGCAGCAGCAGCTCTTCTTGGTGCTGTTAGTGAACTGAAGATTAACCCCCACCCAAGTAAAAACATCAATTAGCCCAATACCTTTAACAAATGTTTCTTAAGTGTGTGAATTCCACTATCTTAACCCAATACCCTAACTAATAACTATATGACTATTCTCAGAATGCCCGTTTAGATTCTAACGATTTGAGTTTCGTATCAATGCAGCTTGATCAAGCATGGACCGGAACTAGTTTTTAGACTGCACATAATCTAAAACCAGACAGATACCGACATATAATCAAATGACAAAGGAAGTTCAATGAAGGAGGGTAAAGAGCATACATTTTGTTTCTTTCTGAAGTTAAGACCCTTTTAAATGACCCCTTCTTTGTGAAGCTGTCGCTTGTTGTTGAGAGATGCCGGATGAATTGGAGCTGCAGATTTGACAAAATAAGAGTTATCATCAAGAATTCAGAAGCAGGCATGCATGCCAAGCAATCATATCCAGGAGAACCACACAAAAGCTGCATTCTACAAACATCTAAGCATATCACGAATCTGATTTGGGCATCCTGCTTTCACACGGATTCCTGAAATCTAAGCAGACGACAACAGATGGACGCATTCAGATGAAAATTGGACGCATTCAGATGCAAATCACTGCTACTCAACAGCTCAAAAAAGCATCCATCCTTCCCCCCTTATTTGGATCATACAAGTACCATTTCCAAACCAAACATTCTGCATTGAAGAACCAGTTGAAATCACAATCATACATACAATCATCGAGGCAATGTGGAACAGAACCTCTGTCCTGATCATGATATATGTTCATGCATAATATGGAATGAACCAGAAGCATAACTTCAAAGTGTAAAATGTACGAAATCTGGCATCCCCTTATCAAGTTTTTTTCACGACGAGACTCTCAATGGTCAGTCATATCAATAAATCAGAATATACAATCATTTCTTCCAAACTTGTCAATTCAAAGAACTCCAGTGTTTCAGCATTTAATGAACATGAACAATCGAAGAGTACCAACACAAACACCAGCAACGGAAACGTCATGTGATTATCTCCAAGGGAACAGAAAGTCAATAGGGTCACAAACCTGATCACCTTCCCTTATCCCAAAATAGCTGATGGAGTCAGCTTCAGAGAGCAGCTTCTGGCCATGAAAACCTAAGCAGAAATGCCCCCACACATGCGGCCTGCATTAAACATACCATTTAGAAACCGGCATTGAGGAGATCCATCATCCATCCATTGAAGATACCAATTCTATGCTTCAGTTCTCCAGGTAAAATGTGGTAAACAAGGAATTTAACCGTAACAAAGGAGAAGAGAAATGGTAATGAACAACATACCACGAGATCTTGCCTGGCCCCTTCTGCGGCATGTAGCTGAAGGCAGCCTCCACCGCCTGCTTCAATTCACCAACCGTAGCAGAATTCTTTACTTCTATATCTGCAGGCGCAAAAAAAAAAAAAAAAAAAAAATCAAATCCAATCTCTTCTCAAGAACAAATTCGAGCTAGTAGGTTTCGAAGAAGGGGGGGAATTTACCGAAGCAGGAGCCGTCGAGCTTGAGAACAGAGAGCGTAATAGGTCTCGCCGGAAGCTTGCTGTACGAGAAGCTTCCCTGATCGGAGAAGCCATACAGGGAAAGGAACGGCAAGGAATTCGACCGGCGGTGAATAAACTCCGGGCCTGGACGAACGTCAATAGTGCCAAGGTCAATCCTCGTGTCAACGAGACTCATTATTTCTGACGGAATTCTGCACCCTGCGATATCGGCGAGCGGCTATGCAGCGGAGCTCCCAACTCCTGGAGAGAAATGATAGTGAAGACGCGCGGGAAAATGGCGAAGATGAGGGTTGAATTGCAGTGTGTGTGACACAAAACAACAGAGGAGAAGCCGAGAATTAGGGTTTCGGAGCTCTGTTCAATTCTTCTTTATCATTCCTATCCTTTCTTTTCCTTTTGTTATCTCTGCAACTGAAATAGAGAGCTGTTGCCATGGCAAGAATTTGGGGAGGGGAGAGAGAGAGAGAGAGAAAGAATTGCTTAGCTTGTTTTCTGGATCTGCTCGGAAGGGACGACAGTTGGTGGAGGGAAGGGGGTAACGGTTTTTGCGTCGGTTGACCAGTTCATCGTTATTTCTTCTCCTTTTCCAAACTCCCGCTGACTTTTTGACTTTTGAGAGGCACAAGCACAAGAGACAATTTTTTTTTTGACAAGTAATCCTCTTATTCCAATCCCAAGAAGGGAAGCCAGTAACATTACAAGAGTGGAGCAATAATATTACAAATAACAATCCAGTCCACCGGTAATGTATTCAGTCGAGCTTGACCAGCAACCCAATCCGCGAGTGAATTTAGACGCCGAGGAACGAACTCGACCTTAATCCATGGAGCAGAATGGATGACCGACACCATGCGAGCAATCGTCGCACGGCATTGCCAAGGCCAAAGAGAAGGGTCTTGACGAAGAGCAAGAGTAAGAACCTGGCAGTCTGTTCGGATGCAGGTAGGTTCTGTGTCTTGCGCTGCAATCAAGATGGCGTTGAGGAGACCAAAGGCTTCCGCTTGAATAGGATGGGAACAGAGGAAAGAATCAGCCTTGCCGTCGTACACTTGACCATGGGCATTAGCAATAGTAATCCCATATGCCGCCAAAGATGAATCTGAGACAAAGGAACCGTCACAATACATCAACCGTGAAAACGGGATGGGCGGTGGTAAAGGGTTCGAACGGGGACCCCTAGGCTGGGAGTGAGATTGTGTCGTACGAGAGAGAGGAGAGCTCGACGGAGTCTTCCTAGCTTCCTCTATTAGTAAGAAATCACGACCCGACACAATCACAGAAGAGGCCGGAGTAGGAACCTTTTCTTCAAACACAATCACACAAGAGACAATAATGCACAAGAAAAACAACTCTTTCAGAGATTTATTTCCCGTTTCTAGTTTTTTCGGTCCAAATATATCCTGTAACAAAACTAGTTTTTGCCATTTGTCAATTTCTAACGACATAGTCAAAACGATAAAAGGGCAAGAAGAAAATACGTGACCATGGGTGGATGTACAAGATAATGAAGTGTCGATTTATATCGAAGACGGATCATGTTTGACGAATAGACATTATATGTTTTCATCAATGATTAGAAGATGTATTGATCATAAACAGTGACTAACCATAGGAGCATGCAAAATCACGAGGCTGTCTTCTGAAGATGGGAAAGTTAACTGACATCTTGTTATACACAACACTCTGGTATATAGATCTAGTTCGTGGATCGGTACATACCACCATGACAAGAACCTTTGGTTGCTTCTTTGGATCAGAAGTGAATGGATAGTTGGTGTCGTGTTGATTTTTATTTTGGGATACAAGAGATATTCGAAGTAGAATTGTGATGAAACGAATTTGAAAAACCAAGTCTCTTCACCGTACAATAAACGAAGAAAGATCCCACAACTAGAAGTCGTGGCACGGTGACAGAGAAATCATCATAGTCAAAATTAGAAAATAGCATCTACAGAGATCAGCCTGAGAGCACCACTGGGTTTGAAAGAACCAAGCTTCCACTATATAACAAAAATATCAGTATGCAAAAACCAACGACAGCTCAACTCTTAACCATTAACATTCATAACTTCCTTGCGCAGCAATGTACAAAATACCTATGATGGAATGGAATCGATAACCTTTTCTAAACAAGGGGGGAAACTAGCAGAGAAACCTGGAGGATCAGCAGTACGAGTAGAAAGCCAAAATTTGGAAGGATGCATGACCCGTTATACATGCCACTATTCCCAGTCATTAGGCGAGTGGCCTCCAATGGAACTTTCTGCAGTCAGGACTCAGTCAGATGTAACTTGTAAGCCCGAAATAAGGTCAGTTGCTATAACACACGAAAAGCCAGAACCCAGAGAACCGGCCTTCGAGTAGTAGATATCTTCTACCAATCTGTTAAGCTGTCTTGCTGAGAATACATAGGGGTAATGACTCGAGCATCAGAGGCAGTTCAACCGACTTCCAATAAGTGAATTGTTGTTCACCTTGCAGTGGTGGTTAAAACGACTTAGTTATCTCCCTTTCAGCTTGAAGTAAGCATACAACCCAGAGCCGAAGAAACCAAGGAATTGGCCAAGAATATTAAACTGCACGGCAGTAAATAAACATGCACATATTATTAGTATCTCTCATAGCAGACAGCAAGAAATGAGTAAAGAGTTGCAAAACTTACAATGTCGAAAGGGAGTCCGCCAAACACTGCCCAACCAATCCCAATAGTGAAGAAATCCTGGTATAGCAGAATTCATTGTGAGACAAACAATTTCCACAGGTTTTGGTTATCAGCAAAGGTGAAGGACCATTCAAAAGAATAACGGCATGTTTTGAACTACAGAGACTTTATTCTAGCACAACTTTGATAATAGCTGATCAAAGACAACATTTTGACCTCATAACACATTCAAACCAACCTCGTGCATCTGGAATATTGTCAGCGACATACATTTTGGCATGCTAAAAATTCGAAAGTTCTATCCGGAAGACTGTATCTACTCCCAAAACGAGTAGTTAATATCTAATTAAAGTTGGTCAAATTCAATTTGTAAGAAATCTGCATTTGCATGCTTCTTAGTCTGCCTGAAATATTATCAACTCTACTAGCTACCCAATGAGCTGCAGGCAGGAGACTGACCGAAATACCAACAAGGATAAAAGGAAAAGTAACAAAAAGGGGGGCAAAGACGAGTAAAGGAATCATGTTAACAAACCTTGAGATTGCCACAAATTGTCTGTGTCAGTGCTGAATTGAGTGTTGTATTCAGAAAAATGCTGTAATTCAAGAAGAATGCCAGTATGCAAGAAAGAACCATCACAGCCTGAAAAAGGGAAGGATCATGCTTGTCAAAAGTCAAAACCACCGACAACACAGTATTAGTGTAGAGCCCTTAAATATTGTATAACTGAAAACTACAGTAACTAACTTTGCTATGATCATATTTAAATGATTGGAACCATGCACAATTAACACACGAAACAAAAGCGAAATATTTGATATCACAGGTTTTCTCAAGCAACCTAAGCGAATACGACGCAAGACTTTTAGGCACTTACAGCAAGACAAACAATATGCACCTGTAACTAGACAACTAAAGGTGCCAATTTGATCAAAGATAGAAACACACTGACTTAGTTAAATGAATACATAATTTTATACTTAATTCTGGAAATTTGTATCAAAAGACAAGGAAGACTGCTAGTTTGGCATGACACTGTAACAGAAGCACAACATACCACAAAACCAGGTGAAAAAAGATCAGGGAAATGCATTGTCGTCACCAAGTCCCCACGTATAAATGTCCAAAACAGGAGAACAGGTCCACATATAACTCCTGTCATGGGGAACAAAATCACGATATCATTGTTCAGTAAAGCGTCAAAAGAATGAAGGAAGTTAAAATCAATTAACTGATGACACTGGAAACCATAATCTGTCAAACTTACCATTGCACCACATAAGTCCAAAGCTATTAAGGCCAGTAGACTTTCCTGGCAAAAAGAAGATGTTGCAAACCATACAATGCGACACATGTTAGGTTTACTGAAGGAACATTTCAGACACTGAAGACAACCAACAAATGTGAAACTAAGAGAAGAGTTCAAGAGCGAAACCGATGCGGCTTATGGTTGCAAGATATATGGCTGTCGTGATATTGGCCAAGAAGACAATAGCATATCCATAGAAGTCAAACGATAAGTCCCGTGCCCCAGCAATTACAGCACCAAAAACTATCAACCCCACGCTGAACAACAACATCCTTACATTGTTTCAGTTTAATGGAGCAAACAAACCAACACTCTGCATCAGAAATAAAATTCAACTAACCTTCCAACAATCGGAGATGTGTATCTCTGGCCAGCAAGAAAGTACTCCATGATCATTGTAAATACTACCGTAGTCCTCCTCAGAGTAGTGTACATGGGAACATTAACTCCACGCACCGACTCCATTGTAACTAGCTTTCGGTAGGAAAAGAGAAAAACAAGCAAAGCATTACTTCCAAGACTAAGGGAGGCTAAGTTTTCGTTCGTACAGATGATCATGGATCATTACCATGTAAAGCAAGTAGGCAATCGACAGAGGAAGAGTATGCAGCAACGTCTCCAATGGCACAAAAGTAACACTACCACTATCAGAAGTAGTCATAGATTCAGCTGCACTGAAGGATATAATCCTCAATCTCCTTAAAGCATACAGGAACGAGCATGACGATATCATCTACAAAGCAGGTATAATAAGAACAGTATGAGTACAGTAAAAGCACCATAAAACTAATAACTCCGCAGACATCAGTTCCACCTCAGAAGCACTCCAAAACCAGGTAGGATTGAATTAATCTCTCCATGATCAAGTGGGTTTGCTGAATTCAAGCTAACAGTCCAAGGTTGAGAAGAAACCATCCCAACCATGAAGATCACTTATCATACCTGAAAGAGTGTTATGACATTGGCACTTGGAAAGCTGTACGAAGAGAGGGCCGCTTTGTTGAACATTACAAGAAGAACTGCAAGTTCAAAAGCACAAAGGAACAATCAAAATTTGGGGAATCAAAGCTTTTAGACCTAAAAAAGAAAGGAACAGGCTGAAATTCGCAGAAATTACGAAGTTGGATTCACAAATTACCGGCACAAGCCATGTACGAGATGGCAGCGTAAGCGCCTCGTTTGGTCATGGCGGAGCCTCTAAAGAATTTCTCCTTCTCGTCTCCTTTGATGAGCTTCTCTTTCTCTTCGTCGCCGGGAGAGACCGAAACCGGGAGCAGCGGATTGCCGGGAGAACCACCGGACGACATTTTTGGCAATCTTACCTGTTCGGCTAACCAATGAATTGAAGGAATCGCCGAGTTATTTAAACAGAAGAGAATTTGCCGGCGGCGAGGGATGGGGTGTATGGGAGAATTGAAATTTCTTGTTCCTTTTTTGGTACCAACGGGGAAATTATATAATGTATTGACTTCGAACATTCCTATGTGCGCTCTGTCTGCGTCGAACTGACCGTTTTAAGTTGGTATACTTTCCCAAAACCAGAAGGCCCCGCCGTCCTCGCCCCTCCCTCCCGCCCGGCCGCCGCCTTCCTCTGTCTTTTCCCCACGTCAACGCAATCCTGATAAGTGCTTTGATGCTTCAAAGGCTACAAACAAATCACTAAGTTTATTTAAGCCAATTCATATATCATATGTCAGTTAATTAGCAATTCCAACTGGCTTGCTAATCACAATGTTAGTCGTCGAGACAGTTTAAGAGTTAAGCTCCACAAGTTATTGAGTCAATACAAACTACCAAATAAAATTGACTTGCAAATCTCACAAGTTGAAGTAATATTAGTTCAAATTCGACTCGCTAGTAAAGAATCTGAGTTCCGAACAACTAAATTATTGGATTGTCTCACACATAACTCATACTGATACTCCTATCACTTTTAATAGAATTTTTTAGTTTTTTTAAGATGTAACTTATTTTCCACCCTCCACCGTGAATAATATGGAGGATTGAAATTTCCCACCACATGAAATTTGGTCAGAGAAAAAAACACGAAATTTGTGTGCTTGGGCTCAATTTAATCTTCCTTCCATATCCATTGGACCCAAGTTCACAATGATCCATGAATGTATGGGCTATTGGGGGTGAGATCATAGATGGGTTTCATTGGTGGGTTGCCTGCGACTCGGCCCGTTTAGCCTGTTTTCCCGACTGGCAGTGGCATTGTGGCAAGTGGCAACACCCAATTTTCCGAAATCTATTGACAAAAAAAAAAAAAAAAACCCGAAATCTACGCCAAGTCCGGCAAACGTCGCCTGCGCTTCTCTTTCCCGACCTCCACCATTTCTCTTCTCGGCTTCCGGCTCCGGTAGACTGCAGCTGTCCCCGGGTTTCTTGCCGCCGCCTCCTGTCGTCACCCGTTCTTTATCAGCTGCTGCAGCTGTCTCCGAGTCTCGGGAGTTGCCTGCAACTTCTCTCCTCCGATCTCACTTCAATCAGCGGTGACTCCGACCTTTCTCTACCGCTACTACTCAACGGACCAACCCTTAGAGAGGTTGGTCGTTTCTCTCCCTCCTAAATCTCTACGAATCGCAGGCAATGTTTAAGAGTGCCTGGGTAATTTCGATTTCTGACAATTTAGTTGATTTGTTAGCTGAGTTCGTAGATGGTTTATTCAGTTGTTGAAATGAGTCGGGAATTCGTGAAGCATGCACATAATTCATATAGGAAGACTAGTTCGATTAAGCTTGGTTTTGCTTCGTTTGTGAAAGATAAGTTTGTAAGGGTGATGCATTTGATCACTGGGCTGAGATTTTGAGTTTAGGATCACTACATACTTTGATGTAGAATCGAAGGTTGCGTCATTCCTTAGATTTAATTCAGTTTGCTTATTGATTGAGAGTGATCTTGTTAATTGTGTTTTTACCTTGGGCATTCGGTTGACTATAAAGCTTTTACGGTGTCCATTCTTCTCTGGTGCATCTGTGTAGTGTAAGGTTAAGGTGTTCTTAGGATCATGTTCTGAACAGGTTTCATGGTGATGTTCCGTTCAGTGAACTCTCTCATTTGTTTCAAAATGCTGAAAGAATTACATTCTGTTGTTAGTGTTAGAGTGTGATATAAGATCCAGCAGAACCTTCTCCCAACAACTCGAGTTATTGGGATCAACTGGTTCTTAATATGGTATCAGAGCCTCGAACCAAAAGGTCATGTGTTCAACTGGTTCTTGACAGCTAGCAGGGAAGTTTAGAGTTTAAACGAAATGAAAATAAATCGTCCTGCCATTGATAACTGGATTTGTTGGCTGTATGAAATGCAGGCAGGCTGGTCTAACTGACCATGATGTATCAGAATCTGTAGCAAGAAATGAATGAATCATCTATAACTACTCCGAGGTTTACTTACATAAATGATCAAAAGGGGCCTTCCGCAGCAATTGATGTGCATCATGTCATAGTTCGTCAAAGCAATCTGAAGGGTTTACTAGTTTGCCTTCTTGCTTTATGTTTCCCAGCCAATGGATTATACCTCTTCCTGGTTCTGGTGGGTAATAAATTATCTCTGCACTACTTCTTTACAATGAGTGTTTTGTGGGACTGAAGATGGATGCTTCTAGTGGTTTGAGTTATTTGGGTTGGGCCTGCAACTGAGGTTATACAACTTCTGAATTAACAGGACAAATCACCTTTCATTCTTTTGTGGAGTTTACTGTTGAGTTCAATCGTTCTCAAACTTGGTATTGGAAATTCTGTTGTGAAAGGTGAGAAGTAGTGAAATCAGCCTCTTGTCCTAGAAAGCATCATGCTTTTTTCTTGAACACTATATCCTGTTTGCTGGTGGCTTACGTTGGTTGACACTTGCAGAGTCGGTTGTGATCATGCCACGTTTTGGGGTTCAACTTGAAACACATTATAGAAGGTATGCACATAAGTTTTGATATTGGCCTTCGATATTTTATTTTTGGACCCTTTTAGAATAGTAATTGAAAAATAAGGAAGAGGTAGTTGGCTGATGTAGAAGGAGGGCCTGAGATTGCTTCTATTTACTAGCCTCCGCCTTTCAAACGAAAACAAACACAGCCATGCCATTTTGATCAGAATCTCTGTTGAAGCTTGCCAAAATTAGATTCACTGTAGAGTTTGCATCTGTCCTTTCCCTGCTGACCTGTTTCTTCTTTCTCTACTTGGGTATTTTTTGCTGTGTAGTGGAAGAATATCGCGCCATTTCGTGCCAGTGAGCAAGATTGTGAAGCCAGTGTTGCTGGAGCATGTGAGTCCGGTCACTTGCTACTGGATTTTGTCTATGATTTTGCAGAAGGAAGAAGAACTGACTCCGGTTTTCAAGGTATGCATACAAGTTCTTCATATTTTTCAGATTTTCAAAATCCTCTTCAACTTGCATTCACGTTTGGTGATAGTTATGCCGTGATAAAGAACTGACAGTTTTAGAGTTGCAAATTTTGATTTTACATGGTGTTGATCAATGATTTAGAATTTTGGTTGTTCAGGAGTTGCACCCGCCTTTGAAGATGCTGGTTCCTATATGGAAGGCATTGTGTGGTGCTGTCTCTGGAGATAAGGACTCTTCCCTACATTTATCTGTAGAAGATTATGGACAGAGTGTTTTTAGTTAAGTTTGACAAATTGGATAATCAGATCGAGGAAAGAAGAAGAGCTTAAAAGTTCACTTGACCCTGGGTTTATAGGTCTTTCCTTCTTATACTAGTCTGCCCCTGATTCGAATATGTTCGAAGTCACAAAAATGGCCTCAATCTCAATTGGTATCCAATGGCTACAGGTTGTAGTATGAACACTGCCTTGTCAAAATGACTAGTTAGTGGGTGCATTGTCTTGTGCAAGTCTGCAACATGCGTGGTTGACTTATTGCTCACAGTTTTATACTCTTGTTTGCTTGGTCAGTCCACTCAAGTCCAACCAAAGAACAACGATTTGACAATGGCCCTTTCTTGTTCCGCTGAGCACACTAATCTTGACTTCGAAGCACAGCAATCCACATTACATGGTGAAGAAGCTTCTACAACCCTGGCACTATCCTGAGAATTGCTTGCCAGGACATGCACCTCTTATTTAGCATGCGCACTCGAAGGTTCTGAATACAGTAAGTATTTTCGACTAACGCTACTCGTCTAGATAGACCAGACTGATCCGGCCAGTCTGATGAGTATGACTACCTGCTGGATTGAATGCCATGTGAAAATACTGCAATTGCATACATATTGATGAATGCTAGTATAGAATGCCAGTCTCCATCCACGGGGAAGGTATCTTAATCTTATCCTGACATAGCCAGGAGAGGAAACAATGAAAACAAAACAACCAGAAAAGCCTCCCTCCCTCCTTCTTTGTGTTGCTTTGGATGCTTTTTTTGGTCCCTTTCCCTCCTTCAAAAGGATAAGAGAACAATTGAATGCCTTCCTGCACTACATACACTGAGCATCATATCATCCCCCTCAACTGCAGCCCTCTCAGACTTGTCCATGGCTGTCCTTCCCATGTTTCCTTGTTGTTTGTATCGACTCACGACGTCCCAAGTCGTTCTTCACTAAGTACTTAACTCGAAAAGCTTCCTGCTAGCGTGAAAACGAAATGATCTGTGTGCCGAAATAGTTACATACGACGACGTGAATGTATAACCTCTCTGACACCAAATTTGTTCCATGTAACCCGCGCTAAACGAACAGTGTCGCGATCTCTTGTTCCCTCAACAGCTGTTGTTACACATTCATTCCTCCCCATATTGTAATGCTACTAGCTTGTGCGTATATGTACATGTGCTGAGAACCAGAAAAGCAGATCATCAGGTTTCCTACATAGACATGAACCGAATCCAAATACCCAAAAGCTAGCTAGATAGATTCAACCAAAAGTGACAAACCAACCAGGAAAACCACCATCTCCATGTTTCCATGTCCAGACAGACAAGCCCCTTTGAGTCATCACTGTACATGTCGAAAAAATTGCATATATATCCACCCAGCTGCCCATCGTTCCTTGCCTTCCACTCACTCAAATACAGTTCAGTAAAACAAACCACACCCACCGAGGAGTATCGTTTCTCCGCAACTCAACGAGGAGAGTCATTTTGCCTGACGTACGCTACCGTGAACCATATCTTATGGTATCGAACTTTCGTATAACATTGTTGAACTCTTTGATAGGATTGATGAATGATACATATTAGGGCACCAATCCATTCTCTTCTTTTTTGTTTTTGTTTTGTTTGTTTGTTAAATACACTGTATTATTCACCGCATGCAGCAGAGCGCGCGACTGATTGGACTGATCATCAGATAACCATATGATCAACAACAGGTTCCTGCCTGTCTGCCTGCCGGTGACTGGGTGTGGTAGGTATGCACCCTGCTGATGAGAAAATGGCTCCACCGTTTACCTTCTCCACGGCCAACTGTCGCACACAGTTACTGCTTTGTTTCCTGCAGTACACCAACAAGTTATAGTTATGGTTTCGTGGGTTAATTCCATTGAATACCATTTAAGTTCCATCTTGAAGGTTTTTTTGAAGGTAAATTACTCCGTAACCCTAACCCACCATGGAAAACCAAGAAGGGTTCTTATGTTATGATTGTAATATCAAGTCAAATCCGACTAATCATATCCACCTTACAAGCTGAAGTTGATGCTTTGATTGAGAATTTTATTCAAACTGCCCCTGGAAATGTCTGTGTTTTGATTAAATGAGGGTTGGAAGTGAAGTTCAAAATCTACTCAACCAAAGATTAGATATGATCAAGAGGGAAAAGGGAATTAGCACAAAAAGGTAACTTAATCATATGTCTTGAAACTTTTTTCAAGATAAAAAAAATGGTTATGTATATATGTTAGATCCAGATAAAAAAAATTGGCTAACACGAAAACTAGCCACTTAACGGAACACTTTCGAAAATTTACGGATTAATGGAATGCACTCCAGTTGAAATAGATCGTCGAACTTTCAATAATGAACTTGCTACCACTAAAAGACATGGTTTAAACCTAATTATCTGAACACGATCCTTCATGAAGGCTTAGAAAATATGAAGTTAGGGTTCCTCAAACTGCATGCAGATCCAGTGACGCTGATCCAGCGTTGATCACAGTAAACTCATGTTATATATGCTTTTTTTTCTTCTTCTGAATTTTGCCTCTATGATAATATAATGCAAATAAAAAAAAACATTAATCTATTGTGTTAAGAGTACTCTAAAACACTTTTAGAAAAGGAAACTATATACTCCAAAGATGGGAGGGAATCAAAGTAGTAAAGATACATCCATGGTGTATTTTTGGGTATGGAGGGTGGGGTTTGGTTACCCTGTTGGGTTGTCTCCAAAAATTTATTCCCCTCTGTCCAATATTATTGGCCTGCAAAATGTACGACTAAAATCCGACAAAGAGAATCAAAAGATGTTATTTTGTAATGTGGGAGCTAGCTAGCTAGAGTGGGTTTTTTTTTTGGTATAAATTTCCACTTGTACATATATTACTTCCAACCTAGCTTCAATATTGTATATGATATCGTCCTATGGTGATGATGAAGAAGATCACATGAAGAGAGAATGTTTTAGTTCTCATGGAACTCTAGAACTAGTTCTGTTCATGCATCAATCTCGTTGACGTTTTTGACTTACTACTACTCCTGCCGACAAATGCCCTATTTTTCTATCAATAGAATCATCATGTGAACCAAACTCTACTTATTAAATCGAATCATCAAGATCTTGAATCTTCTTTCTTTGTTTTGTTTTATGAACGATATGAATATTTATGTATGATCATTGTCGCATCTGGAAAAAAAAATATCTATATAATCAAGAATCATCGTCATACTCATATACGGTGTTCTGATTATACCGAACCAGTTTCTTTCACATTGGGAATGAGATATTTTAAGAGAAATGCTCTAAAGGAAACAAATTTAGGGTATTTTATGTGAACATTAAGGTCCATTTTATTTCCCTTTCATTCACCGGTTGCTACCATCACCATAGAAAATAAATTACTCCTTGATTTGACTTTCTTAACAACCTGACCATGGGAAGTGAGAACATCGACTTTGAACAACATGGGCCGATTCAAAGTAAGGGCATGGTCATGCAGAATGGCAGTTGGCCGGGTTCAGGACAAATTAGGTGTAGGTCGATAGTTCGATTTCTCATACACATCGATATCAGTTGATTTATTTGAATATGCGTCTCAAATAATATTTTTTTTATAACAAGTTAATTATTTCGTTAAAAGATTGAGAAATACCCTTGCAATATAAAATCAAGAGAACGACATGATCAATGAAATCAAATTAATTATTTAGAAAACTGAGACTCTCGCTTAATGTTAATTACTATATGGTTGAAAATGATCAAAGTACGAAACAATAATACGTAACATAACATACGAGTAATTAACTTGACGAATGAAGGTCCCGATGTAGGATGGAAGTACTAGGGGGAAAATAAAGTAATGGATTAAACTCTTTTCTAGTGTTAAGGTAATAGGTACGATTACTTATTGTCACCGACTCCAGGTAAATGGTAGAAGAATAAGACTAGGGGCGGAGCCAGGATTTCGAGACCGGGGGTTGAAAATAATTAAAAAAAATTATGTAACTTGAACCCATGGGCTTTAAGAAATAAGTTAAGCTTGACTATTATTAGACCACATAACTATTACATGATAAAATTTACAAAACAAACTCTACTTATAAAATTTATACTAAATATCCTCACGGATCTAGGGGCCGGAACCAATCCCGAGGGGGTCGGGCTCCACCCTAGCTACAATGTAGCTCCGCCCCTGATTATAAGACACATTACGGAACATATTATCCATTATATGAGCATAATCATCATACTTCACTCTGATAGAATTTCAAAACAAATCAAAACAGATCGAGTTAAAACAGGTCAAATCGGAATTGTTAGATACCTCGGTGAATCGGTTCGCAAGGCAAAGCGGCAAATAGGGACGTAGGGTCCGTGAGCGAACCCCGTTTATTCATTCATTAGGTGTCATCCTCAATGTTTGCCTTTTCCCCGACCTCTCCCTCTCTTCCCCCAACCCTACAAACTACTAAATCATCACTTTCCACCCTCTTTATTTTCCTATATAGCTCCACATCTTTTTCTCCTCATAATCTGCGCTCCTTCTCCATCTCCTCATATATCTCCCGGCTTCCCAGGTGATCATCAACGTCGTCGTTTGCCCGATGGAGCTACAGCTGGGTCTCTCTCTCCCCACCGCCGTCACGGCTGCGCCTTTCGACTTGAACGGCGGCGCGGAGCTCCAACAGAAGCATTACTATGATAACAATAACAATGCAAATAAGCGTGGCTTTGACATGGCCTTTCCCTGCACCACCACCACTAAGGCCGAATCATATGACGTGGACGACGCCAGCGACATTAGGTCGTCGCCGGAGACGATAACACTGCCTCTGTTTGTGTGGAGTGCCGACGGCGGCCGGGAGGAGAACAACTTATCTCCTCATGGTGATCGTTTCCTCCGAATCCGCAGTGACGTTAATTATGATTACAGGTGACCTTTTCTCTATTTATTATTTCCTTACAATTTTTATAGTATAATATAGACAACATGTTATTAATTGGTTAGACTGTACTTTAGTTAGGCTACATTGTAGAAAGATGTACATCTACTAAAAATCGTGACCGAATTTGTTGGTGTGACCGATCGAAATGGCAGGAACGAGGAGAAGGAGGATGACGACGACGAGCTGCAAATCGTAGGATGGCCACCGATCAGATCGTGGGGGAGGAACAAGTTCGATGAGGGCAATCGGAATATCTATGAGAATACAATCGGTTGCGGATTAGAAGAGGCTAATAATAATTATGATGATTATGATGGCCGCGATAATAATAATAATATTACTAGATCGATAATGTCGATGAACGGCTCCAGATCCAGTAGGTTTGTGAAGGTGAAGATGGAAGGCGTAGGCATCATACGGAAGATCGATCTCAGCATCTACCATTCCTACCCTGCCCTCATCCGCTCCTTGCTGATCCTCTTCTCCAAACATTGTAAGAACATAATGTCTTTTTTCAGGGACCAAACTGTCATTTTTACTAGAATAAAGTGACCTCTGTCGGGTTTAATGGAGAAAGATTCCAATACGTCGATCGTAAAACAATATTTTGCTTGATCCGTAACATGATTAATTAAATGTCTGTGTTATCAAACCCTGATTTGGTTAACTATAAACATATTCGTATCGTATTATGTAACATAATTAACGTGGCTAATTGGTTTGGACACTGCAGGCCAAAACAGTAGTAGCGATGATGACGAAGATAGCGGGAAAAAATATACGCTGATGTATCAAAACAAGGCTGGAGACTGGATAACAGCTGGAGACGTTCCATGGCAGTAAGTATTAGATAAACAATGTTCTGTTCCATGGCAGTACAATTTTAATTTTGAAGTTGAATAATCTTATTAGTTAATCATTTCATATGATTTAATAATATCTACTGTCTAATGATGATTGCTTGAAATCTTGATCTGCAGGAAATTTATTCGATCTGTGCAGCGTATTGAGATACTCATGAGATGATGTAAATGAGCGTTGTGGAAATTTAAAGCAATGTACGTACGTAGCAGCTGGATGAAGAAAATGATCGATGATGCGTGGCAGATATATATTTGTTCTTTAGTACCTGACGGAGCTACCCAAACAATTAATAGTTATTGTAGGTTAATTTATATTACTACCGGATCTACATTTATCAATTACTCTAATTCGTCTTCGTTAATGTTACATTTATGCGTCAAAGCTTTTCCCGTACTAGTATTTTTCCTTGTATTAGTAATTGACGTATCTAGGGTTTCTTACAATGTTCAAACTTCAATTCTTCAAACACATTTTTTTCATATTCTACATTATCCTGAAATGTGTTCATTATACAAACACTATGAATATCTCTCTCATACATCCTTCTAATTTCTAAATGTAAAGGAAAGACGTAAAGATTAGGTGGGAAATGCCAAAAAAAAAACTTTTTACAAAAATTATGTCAGGCATTTCATGATTAAAGATGAAATAAATTATCATATTGAATAAATATAACATATTCTGATAAAAGGGACATATATTCATATGTTTTCATGAATTCTTTCGGATGAAAACATTGAAATAATTTGATAAAAACAACTAATGAGAGTGACCGCTTGTTTGTGTTATGAAAGCAACAAGGGATTGAACTAGAGATAACTAGAGATAAGAGTGACATGATAAAACTTCGAAGCTAAACTTAGTTTGGATGTGGACTAGTGAGTTGTCAAAGATTAAGGAATGAACATATATTGTGTACTATATTTAATTAATTGTAAATTTTTTTATATTTTTTAGTATTTTGAATAAAATAAAATATATTAGTATATCATATATATCGATCATAATCTCGTAATCCTGAATAAAATTAATATCAAAATCAATTATAATTCCTAAAAATCAAGACGGATAGTAATAAAATCTGTACGTATGGTACGAGATGAGTATGAGAGATTCCTAGTTCCTACTAGCCTATCAAGCAAAAGCTTTGGATCCAGTCTGTCAGAAATGTTGTTAAATGGGCAGCCCAAAATAAATATGTAACTTCCCGTATCAAACGTTGTTTATAAATCTTTTCCAAGGTTTGGATCCAGCCCATTCAAATTAAAGCCCAGATAGGTTGTAAACGAAACTTTGGTTCCCAAGACAATCCATCAGAAGTGTTGTTAAATGGGCAGGCCCAAAATAAATATGAAAAAAGCTTTAAGATATGTCTTGAAATACATTAAACTAGGAATGACAATGATCTTGGTACTCAGACCCGCTCCGTGGCAGGTTGGGTAATTTATCACGGGTCGCAGGTCGGGACAAGTCGACCCAATGAATATGCAATTTATATGAAAAACATTAGAAATATTTGTTATTTTAGTTATAAGACCAAGAAAACAAACAATATCATGATAAATGTAGTTAAATTATTATTATTAAAGAAATTGAGGTTTTCACTAATTTATAACTTTATTATAGTTAAATTATGATGTAATAAAAGAAAAATGCTAAGTAATTTGACTAAGATTACATGAATTTAGGTAATAACGGGTCGAGAATGAGGCGGGTCAGGACAGGTCGGGTCGATGAGAGTACCCATGCTCCCCCTCCTCGACCGCCTATAGGACGGGCCAGACCCGCCCAAAACAGGCCAAACAAATCGAGTAAAACGGTCAGATCGAAATTGCCATCCCTGCGTTAAACAATTAGACTGTCACTCTACCAATTGCACAAATGTCTTCCCTGAAATCTTAATAATAACACAGAGTTTACAACCTTCACTCTCAATCAAACTACAACCTTCACTCTCAATCAAACTGAATAACTTGAAATTACAGAGCAGAGAGTGAGCATGAATTGGTTCCCCTGATTCTACGGTCACGATTGTATTTTGTATCGTAGGTCGAATCAATCACGATATTAAACTCATTTGAGAAAAATATCAACTTTCAGAGTCCAATACACTTACCAAGACTCATTTTCTATTCTAGTAGCAACTAGCAAGCTCTCATTTTTATTTTCTTTTTCTTTAATCAAACTTATTAGCTGCCATATATAGCTGAGTCAGTAAATTAACATAATCAAAGCTTTTCCAGTCAGTCAACAACTCCATGCTTTGATCCGAAGTAAACTACTATTTTCCCAGCCGCCAATCAGATCTCTTTCCTCCCCAAACGATGCCATTTGGCAAGCCATCCTTCATTCTCTTCTTCACAGCATAACAACACACAGAAACCCTCTCCAGACAAAGGAAAAGCATCCATGCCCCCACCTTCACCTACAGCATACGAAATTAAATCTCCACCGTCGATTCATCCACTCCTCCAAAGCATCAGATTACAAGTGGACAAACCTACAGTGTCATCTAGTTTCTGTTCCTTGTCTCTATTTGGCAAATTGGGGATTTTCATAATCACAAAAGATCAAGAACCAAGACCCTTTCAAAACAAGAAAGTCTGACCATGAAAAAAGTTGGATTTTCCCACTTTGTTATAGTTCTGTTCAGACTAATCCACCAAAAGTTCTGGTCTTTTTTCTAATCTGGAGATGGCGACCATTCTCGTCCCTTTCATCAGCCTAATCTCCCCAGATTTTTGTTGGCTTCCACCCTCATCAATCAAGCTGGTTGCAGCTTGGCGTCGCAGAATAATAATATGTACAACTACTGTCGGTTTCTCGCTTGTCCCACTGAGGGAAGACACTGTTATATCACCTGGGGAGGCCGGCTTGGGCCTGCAATTGAGAAATCTCTCAAAGAGAATTTCTTACAATGAAGTTCGTCAGCTTCAGTTTCCTCCTACTCTGCATTTTCCAGGCGGTTTCTTCACAACCCACCACCGATCCCAAAGAAGGTTTTTCTTTGCTCGATTTTGCTCACATAAAAGTTTCTTGCTTTGCTAATAAGCAGAGCTTTCTGAGTTGCTTGGCTCTATTGTTTGGCTTTCGTTTTGCTCCAGTGGCTGCTCTCAGCAGGATAATAGAGTTCTGGAACTTGAGGAACAAGTTGAACATAACAGGAGACCCATGTGCGCAAAATGCAACTTGGGCACCAGAAACTGCGAACCCTCGAGTCTCTTGCTCCTGCGATGGCACCATCTGCCACATCATTCACCTGTTTGTTCCTCTTCCTTCAGTCTATCTCCATTAATCTTCAAATCCCTTTTTTCCTCTGTTCATCACAGCTTCTTAGTTCTGAACCATCATCAAATTTCCAGGAAGGTTTATGCTCTGGACGTTTCTGGAGAGATACCCATTGAGCTGTTTGATCTCAAGGAGCTCATGGACCTGTAAGTAACTTAATCTCAATAAAAGAAAGGGGAATGATGATGGTCTGATTAATGTCTGAATTTGGAGGGTGCAGAAATTTGGGGCAGAATGTGCTTGGAGGACCGATCCCAGCTGAAATCGGGCAGTTGTCTAAGATGCAGTACCTGTAAATATCACCAACTACCTTATTAAAGCTTCTGTTAAGATAAACAACTTGGCAAGTTTTTAACTTTGTTAACATTGTTTCCTGTTACCGTGATCAATGATGGTGAACAGGAGCTTAGGAATCAACAACCTGACAGGCACTCTCCCACCAGAGCTTGGAAACCTGACCAAGTTGATTTCCCTGTAATGACAAGAACTTTGTCCTCTAATATCTACAGTTCTGTTGTTTCTTTTAAGTGAATACAGTTCAAGCAGATTCAATTTTCATTTTGTACCCTACAGAAGCTTCAGCTCCAACAATTTCAATGGACCCTTGCCGCCTCAACTTGGGAACTTGACCTCTTTGCAGCAGCTGTATATTGATAGCAGTGGACTCAGTGGACCAATACCGCAGGAGCTTGCTAATCTGAAATCTCTTCAAAATCTGTACTTTTTCTCTCTTCCCTCCTTGGAGATTGATTAGTTATTCATATTCCAGTCAACGGGTTGTTTGATTCGTTGCACGAATTCATCCTTATTTTCTGTCTTTTTCAGGTGGGCTTCTGATAACCAATTCACTGGCAAATTCCCAGAGTTCATTGGAACTCTCACAGAACTCAGGGACCTGTAAATTACTTAACCTCCACCCACTTTCAGGAACCCTATTCTCTTCTACGTGACCTCTTTTCCTTTTGTTTTCGCAATCCTGATGTTGGAAGGAATTCGCAGACGACTACAAGGCACGTCGCTTGAAGGTCCAATCCCAAGCAGTTTGAGGAATCTAGATAAACTTGATAGCCTGTAAGTTCAAGGCCACAAATGGGAAAGCTATGTTATGTATGTAGCAACCAACTGATGAACTTATTAGTGACGTTGTTTACGATTGTTACCATGTTATCAACAGGAGGATTGGCGATTTAGGTGGTGCAGATTCTTCTCTTGATTTCTTGGGAAGCCAAACTAGCTTGTCCATATTGTAAGCATATAACATTTCCAGGTAGTAGATGCTCTGATCAGTTGCTTGCTCAACAAGCCTTCTTTTAACTACATACCCGTATTTGCTGCAGGATACTGAGGAACAGTCGCATCTCAGGCCAGATTCCCGATGAAACCGGCACGTTCTTGAAGCTCCAGCTGCTGTAAGTCTACTGGTTCCATGCGTCTTTTCGTTGTTTCAGTATCGGTTAGATAAGCTTGGGAGTGATCATATAGACAACTTAGCACCTTCTTTTTCTTTTGACATGACAGGGACTTGAGTTTCAACAAGCTGGCAGGTAACATTCCATCCTCGTTTCAGAACTTCCCTCTGCTACGCTACATGTAAGTCATCTTCATCCTGAGCCATGCTCTTTTCCTCTTTGTATTTGTGTCTTTAAGCATTGCTAAAATGGACTCATGAAAGGTGGAAAATGTTTCAGGTACCTTGGCAGCAATGGATTGAGTGGAGAGATTCCTGCCAACATCATAAGCTCAAACCTCGTTTCACTGCAAGTGTTCTTCAGTTTATTACCAGCTACTCCATTTTGTTCTCTTGACTTACTTACATTACATTGATCTCTTGAACAAGCCAATTTACGCTTCCATGTCGAATCGCAGAGATGTTTCCTTCAACCCCCTCTTCGGAAAACTGCCCCTAAATTTCGCTCGAGTTGGTTTGTCCATGTAAGTTCCGAATTCTGCTTCACCACTTATCAAGCTTACCATGATACTATAACTCAATTCATTTGATTCTTGTTTAGGAATCTAGTCGGAACATCCATCGATTCGAATAGTCTCTTGGACAGGTGAAATCGATCGCACACTCTTCTGTTCTTACATGATCAATTCTCCATCCATTTCAACCCATTGTGACAACAGGGTTTTGGTGATTGCAGCCAAGCATCAGGACTCTTGCAGTGCATCCGTCAGGATTCCGAGTGCAGCAACAGCAAGCCACTTTCATCCAGTTACGATTAAAAACAGACCAAAACACTGCTACCTTAGTACCTTCCTATTATTTATCATCCAATTTCCTAACTGAATTTCTTCAACATCGTGACAGCCTCGTTCGCCATCAAATGTGGAGGCAGCAGCCAGACATCCGCATCAGGAATCGAGTACGACGACGAGTCAGAAATCCTCGGAGCAGCCTCACTCTACACTAGCTCCAACAACGAGTGGGCAGTGAGCAATGCAGGGAACTTCATTTCCAATCCGAACGGACCGGTCTACACCGCTCGAACCGAGTCACAAATCATCGGCACCCTCGACTCCGAGCTCTACAAGACCGCCAGGGTCTCGGCCAGCTCGCTGAGGTACTACGGATTGGGGCTGGAGAACGGGAAGTACACTGTCGAGCTCCATTTCGCCGAAATCGAGATGGGCGACCCTTACTCGTGGCGGGGCCTGGGCCGACGTCTGTTCGACGTGTACATCCAGGGAGACAGGGTGCTGAGGGACTTCAATGTCCAGGCGGAAGCAGGGGGATCGAAGCGAGCCCTGGTGAAGACGTTCGAGGCTAGCGTGAACAACACGGTAATGGATGTGCACTTCTTTTGGGCGGGGAAGGGAACCTGTTGCATACCTTACCAGGGGACCTATGGGCCTCTGGTATCAGCCATCCGTGTCTCTCAAGGTACTTGACTTCTTTTATTTTATTTTTTTTCAAATTTCGATTTGTTTTGCTTCGTACTCCAGGTAACGTTTTTCGATGGTGTCGAGGTAATGTTTTCTCGTGTGATGGTGTATGCAGTTTCTTCTGATGGGTTCGGGTCAGGTAAGCGTGACAAGAAGCGCGCGGGGAAGATAGCCGGGGTGGCTGTGGGGTGTGCTGCTGCGGCTGTGATTATGACTTCTGTGTTCTATTTATGGTGGACGAAGAACTCACCCACTCATATGCGAATTCACACAGATTCGTCTAGGAAAGGTTGATTTCTCGAGGGTAAGAGTAACTGTGTTCCTCGGTCAAGCTAAGAGAGCGATTAGGAATGGTGGACAACGAGGAGGGTGGGGTGCAATTAGTCATGGACCACGGGGAAAGTGGGTTTATTTGGAGAGCTCAACAAGAAGTTAGTAATAATTGAGCACCTTGTGTTTTATTTGTTTTTGTTATTCTTAGTTTGGTTATGATCTCTCGATTTTGGATCGAAAGATAACGCTCGATCTATTTCTCTGACAAGATGAAAAGGGAAGCTGATGATGAGTGTGGTCGTCACCGTTATGATGATGGTTAGGTTTGTACAAATTTTTGTTTGTGGTTAATGCACGAGGAAATGTTGTTGTAACAAAAATAATGATTGGTAGTTTCATCTTTGAACTTGTTTATTGTCATCTTGATCATCTCGGTATTACTAAGTCATTTTGTAACTTATGTGCATAACTTCACTCTTCTCAATATATTTTCTCAATGTAATACACTTCTTAAATGTTATGTTTTCCTTCCGTTTTAGACAAACTCGTCCCGCATACTTTAAAGAGATGTCCATAAACTTTTTTGGACCAATCGTTTTAAATTTCATATCAATTTATCTGAATTTGGACAAAAAAATGGCAGACTTCCAAATTTTAATTGCCTGTTATCTGTTCTTTGTACAAAATTATTGATCTTAGACGAAACCTGGCATAGTCGGGTTTTCTTAATGTAGAGGATTAATATTAGGGTAAATACAATATATTAGTGGGTATAAAAGTGGAAAAGCCAAAAAGGTCAAAAGGTGGTATTTCGATTCATCTTTTAAAAAGCAATTGTTGTGGGCTCGGGGCATTCAAGCACGGCCCACGGACAGCAGCTAGAAGCCCATGAAATAAATAGATGAAGACAAATTAGAAATCCAAAAAAAATAGACACGATCACGGTGGGACTCGAACCCACAATCTCCCGCTCCGGAGGCGAGCGCCTTATCCATTAGGCCACGCGATCGGTTGTTGTTAATTTTTCACTCAGAAAGGTTTTTATTTTTAATTTTTGATCCTCCTAGCTCTGTCATTTTTTAATCTTTACTAAGGTGATATAGTTTAATCATTATTGGATTCCGGCTAATCTTATATATCTCTCGGTAATTTTCAAATAACAGTGATTCTTGTGTTTCGTTGTTATTAGTTTGGAGTTTGGTTATGAGTCAGATTTGAATCAAAAGATAACGCTCAATCAATTTTTATTTTATAAGATGAGAGGAAGTTGACAATGAGTGTGGTCATCATTATAATAATTGTTAGGTACTTAGGTTGCATAAATTTTTGCTTGTGGTTATGCATGATTAAATGTTTTTGTAACAAAAAACTAATGATCGGTAGTTCATCTTTGAACTTGTTTATTGTCGTCTTTATATGCAAATTCTCACATTCGATCATCTCAATTTAGTAAGTCAGTTTTTTTTTTAATTTATGTACATAAAATTCAATAATCCCAATATATTTTATTGACGTAATAGGTAATAACACTTCATCCGCTTTACATTTTGCTTTCCTTTTCAATATAAAATATTTATGTCACTTGTATTGTTCGCAAAATAAATATTTAAGAAAGTATTCAACATTCACCTAGTTCCATTCTCACTGGAATGCGTTGAGTACAAGATGAATATATGTACTTAATCTTGTCAACCATATAAAAATTGGCCACTAGTTGTTTAAATCAATTGTGTCTATAAAAACCAAGCAAATGATGAGGAGTAGTAGAGTTGTAGTACAATATTATACCATCACGAAAGATGTGGTTAAGGGAGATGTGGTTAAGGGAGAGTTAACATCCTCGCCAATAATTCAAAAACATATTACCAGAGATTAAACTCACCTCTTATCATGCGTTCTTCTTGAATGTTATGTTTTTTATTCAGTTTTGAACAAACTCGTCTTGCATGCTTCAATGAGACGTCTATAAACTCTCTTTGGACGAATGGATTTAAATTTCATATCCATTTATCCGAATTTGAAAAAAAAATGATAGACTTCCAATAGTATAGTTGCTTGTTATCTACTAATCTTTATGCAAAATGATTGATTTTGACGAAACCTGGCACAGACGGGTTTCCTTAATGCAGAGGATTACTATTAGTGGGCATAAAAGTGAAAATGGTGGTCTTTTGATTCACCTCTTTATGTATGCTTTGCTTGCGACTGGCAAGGTGCGTAAAGAGGCGGAAAAGGAAATTTTGCATGATTATGGTTGGTAAAGGCATATGTGGTGGGCTCGGGGCATCCAAGCACGGCCCACGAACAGCAGCTAGAAGCCCATGAAATAAATAGATGGAAGACAAATTAGAAATCCAAAAAATATTTGACACGATCACGGTGGGACTCGAACCCACAATCTCCCGCTCCGGAGGCGAGCGCCTTATCCATTAGGCCACGCGATCAATTAATGTTATATTTCCATTCAAACTAGTAATCTTAACCTTCTGACCCTCCGAGCTCTACCAACACTCTTTTAATATTTACGAAGGTGATATAGTTTAATAATTATTAGATAAGACTAATCTAAAATAAAATTCATGTTGGTTTTAGTTCTGTCTTCACCTTTGTCACTTCCCTTTGTCACACCGACCGGCGTGTCACCGGTTGTACCGGGTTCAACCGGTACCGGTCATAAAAATGGCGTGATACTATAGGTATGACCGGCATGATCGATATACGAATCTCTAAGTAAAATGACTTTGTTTTAGAGAATTTAATTGATAAAAATTATTTTATTATTTATTTTATGAGTATAAAAATTAAATATTGATGTTATTTGTTGGATTCAAGTATAAATGCTTTGGTATTGACATTAAATGTCATGTTTAAATATGAGTATTTATAATTTTAATAGTAATATTGACCGGCATGAACCGGCACAAACCGGTATGTGCCACCGGTTGAACCATTCCACTTGCTAAAGCGGCACACTGACATAAACCGGTTTGACAACCTTGCTTCTCATGCTATCCAATCCACCTCATTTTGTATCGTTGGTCCTATGCCATGTATTAAACAAACGATTAGTTAAGACTCAAAGAGTGCTACCTTGTCCTTTCTGATTTTCCAACAACAAAGAGAGGATGTTGGGAGATATTGGCAATTTAGCATGCTGCATAACCTGCGCCTATAGTAGTTTGGACTTTGGAGTTTGGACGGTTCTTGTTGAATGAGTTAGTGGCAAGGAGGGTTGTTAGTGAGATGAGCCGAAGCGAGTTTTGTCTTGTTCAGATTTGGTTTGTCTAGCTGAACTCGAAATCGGCTCGTTTATGAACGAGTTGTGTCGAGCCAAACACGAGCCGACTCATTTATTGAATATTGGCTCATTGTTAAGATCAAAATTTCGGCTCGAGCTAAATTTTAAGAGAATTTATAAATTAAATATCATAATATATATGTCATATATGATACATGTGATTAACTGATATTCATGTCATATATGAGACACATTTGCTCACACTTAAATTATTAAACATCACATTAATTAGGTGAGATATGCAATTTAATAAATCTATGCATCATTAACAAACGAGCTCATAAGATATAGCTCGATTTTCTCATAAGTCGTATTCCAATTGGCTCGCTAGTTACAATGTTGAGAAATCTCATGAGCTCAAAATGAGATAGTTAATGAGTCGAACTCAATCAGCCACCTATCAAGCTAGTTCGCGAGCCTCGCAAGCTGAACAAGACTGGGATCAAACTCGACGCGTTAATAAACGAATCGAGCTTTTATTAAATTGAACGAGTTTTTATCGAGTTGAAAACGAGTCGTTCCATAATAGCTCGACTTATTAACAGCCCTAGTCGCAACTATGTATTTATATATGTGTTAAACTTAAATGTGATTTGTAGTACAAATATAGTGTAGACGATAGAATGATTGCATATTTTATAGTATAAATATATTAATCATTATTTATTATCTTTTTATCAACATATATCACCAACTACTATCTTATACTTTTGGTCCTGAAAATTTTTTTCCCACAAAATAGTGGATTTAATATATCACGACATACTCATTCCTTCTAAGCAAATTTTTTCAAATTCGAGTTAAAAATGAAAGTGGTATCAAGTGATACGAGGACCTATCAGGGTGTTATGAAAATAAAATTCTCGAAAATTTTTGAAACTAAATATAATTTTGTAGATAAAAAATAACTCATTTCATTTGTGTAATTTTTTTTTAAATCCAAGTTATAACAAACAAAATACAAGTCAATTAAAAAAAAGTAGGGAAAATTATTTTAAAAAAAAACCATTAGTTCTCAACATAGAGATCTTGCCCCACTTAAAACTAATGAGTATGCACAGTACATGGACCCACGATAAATTTTTTTAAAAATGAATGTAATTCGTCTACATTTCGATGCTCAAATTAATTCACGATATAAGATAAATTTGTTCCTAAACCTTATAGAAACGTAGATAATAGAATCTAAAAATGGGTTGTGTGATGAAAGAATGAGAATCCATTTTTCGGAAAAGCTCCACTCATCAAAATCCCAGAAAACTTCGATTGATCATATAATAGTATTTGTTGTCTGCATTCAACTTACATCCCGTACTCCATTAAATGATCCAACAACTTATACAATTAATTAAACTGAGAGCCTCGTTTGGAAGTAGTCTAATTTGGTATGGTTTTTTATTTTAAGCAAAACAATTACAGAGTACTAAGCACGAGTGAATGTAATTGTAAGCAAAGAATCAAATCGGTACAGTAGTACAGTACAGCCACAAAACAACTGGCTTTTCCTTCTTAAAAATTTGGTCACCACCGCCAACCAAACGCCTCCCATCATAAAAAGTTATAATCAAAAGTAGAAGGAGAGTCGTTATCACCGTAGACTCCACGCGTCGTATTTTACTCCAAAATACTCCCGCCCACACACAATCAAACCCCATCTGCCCTTCGTCCTTCCTTCCCGTCCCCCTTTTGTCCCTTCGCTTTCCCTTTTAGTTCATCCATCTTCAAAGCCACCACCGACGACGACGACGGATGCTTCCTTCCCCGGCCAACCAAAAGCCTCTCCTCCGAGTCTCCGACAATCACGCTTAGCTTTCTGATCCGGCCACATCAACGGCCCCGATTCCTCCACGTAGGACCCCCAGCCGCGCTTCTTCAATTAAAATCCCGTGTTTCTCGGTCCTTCCATTTCGTTCCTCTTTGGATTTTTCATTTCTTCTCTCTCCTCCTCACGCGGCCGGCGAGAATCTACATAGCCACCGCCGATTTCCCTCCTCTCTCTCTCTCATTCCCCGCGGTCAACGCTGCTACTCCCAACCGCCGCCGACGACGACTACCACTACTCCATAACCGGATCTATCCCTCCGATCTGCAATAACAACGATCCCAGAGGCTTGAAGAGGTACGTTTTGAATTTTATCTCCGTTGTTCATTAACTACTTTGCCAACCGTAATTAACAGACTAATTAACTGACTGACAGTCTTCTCCGTGGACTCGGTTGAATAATTAGGGATTGGGTTTGAAGTTTGAACCTCTACAACTGAGGGAACGGTCCAGATCGGAGCTTCGAGGATGTCGATCCGGAAGGCGATTGGGACGGTGAAGGACCAGACGAGCATAGGGATAGCGAAGGTGGCCAGCAACATGGCGCCGGAGCTGGAAGTGGCGATGGTGAAGGCCACCAGCCACGACGACGATCCGGCCAACGAGAAGTACATACGCGAGATCTTGAACCTGACTTCTTACTCGCGCGGCTACGTCAACGCCTGCGTCGCCGCCGTGTCGAAGCGGCTGAGCAAGACGCGGGACTGGATCGTGGCGCTCAAGGCGCTCATCGTCGTCCACCGCCTCCTCAACGACGGAGATCCGCTGTTCCAAGAGGAGATCCTGTACGCCACCAGGAGAGGGACGAGGCTTCTCAACATGTCTGATTTCAGGGACGAGGCGCATTCGAGCTCCTGGGATCATTCCGCCTTTGTGAGGACTTACGCTATGTATCTCGATCAGCGGCTTGAGATGGTCTTGTTCGACAGGAAAGGCTCGGCCTCTGGCGGCGGCCGCGGCGGTGGCAGCGGCAGCGGAGGGAGTTCTTACGGCGAAATGGATAGGTATGGAGGAGGAAGAGGCGATTTCAGATCGCCGCCTCCTAGGGCTTACGAGTACAGCGATGGTGATTACAGAGACGGTGGGGCTCCAGGAATGACTCGAAGGTCCAGATCTTTCGGAGATGTGACCGAGGCGGCGGGGGGAAGAGATGGACGGGACGAGAGGAAGCCAGGAGCCACCACCACTCCCATACGAGACATGACGCCGGAGAGACTTTTCGGTAAGATGGCTCATTTGCAGAGGCTATTGGATCGATTCTTGTCTTGCCGGCCAACAGGGCTGGCTAAAACCAGTAGATTGATACTCATTGCTCTATACCCAGTAGTGAAAGAGAGCTTCCAGTTGTATGCTGATATATGTGAGGTTCTAGCTGTGTTGCTCGATAAGTTCTTTGATATGGAGTACCCGGATTGTGTCAAGGCACTTGATTCTTATGCTAGTGCTGCTAAGCAGATCGACGAGCTCATTGCATTCTACAACTGGTGTAAAGACACTGGAGTAGCTAGGTCATCAGAGTATCCAGAGGTGCAAAGGATTACTGGGAAGCTGTTAGAAACTCTGGAGGAATTCGTTAGGGATAGAGCGAAGAGGCCCAAGAGTCCCGAGAAGAAAGAGGAGGCACCTCCAGCTATCGAGGAAGCGCCTGCGCCCGATATGAATGAAATTAAGGCACTTCCTGCGCCAGAGACTCCCACACCACCTCCTGCTCCAGCTCCCGAGCCCGAGCCCGAGCCTCCTAAGCCACAGTACACTGAAGATCTGGTGAACTTGAGGGAAGATGGTATGACAGCCGACGATCAAGGTAATCGATTTGCGTTGGCTTTGTTTAACGGGCCAGCGGGTAATGGTGGAAATGGGTCATGGGAGGCATTCCCTTCAAACGGGCAGCCTGAAGTGACATCAGCATGGCAAACCCCGGCTGCTGAGCAGGGGAAAGCAGATTGGGAGCTGGCGTTGGTCGAGACTGCTAGTAATTTATCAAACCAGAAAGCAGCAATGGGGGGTGGGCTCGACCCTCTGCTGCTGAACGGAATGTATGATCAGGGAGTGGTGAGACAACACGTTGGGACTGCTCAATTGAGTGGAGGTAGTGCTAGCAGTGTAGCTTTGCCCGGTCCAGGGAAGAACACGACCCCGGTTCTAGCCCTCCCAGCTCCTGATGGAACAGTCCAGGCAGTCAATCAGGACCCTTTCGCTGCGTCATTGGTTGTTCCACCTCCTTCGTACGTGCAGATGGCCGATATGGAGAAGAAGCAGCACTTGCTTGTACAGGAGCAGGTGGTTTGGCAGGAGTACGCGAGGAGTGGGATGCAAGGTCAGTCGAGTTTGGCTCGGGTTAATGGAGCAGCAGGTCCTATGCCGTATGGAATGCCCCCTCCATATGGAATGCCCCCGCCGCAAGTGAACGGGATGGGAATGCCTGCTGCCGGGTACTATTATCCTCCTTACTGATATCTTGTTGAACTACCACATTATTATCACCTGCAGATAACTTCTTGTTACTTTTGGTTTTATGTTTTGTCTTCGTTAGAGTTTCTTTATTTGGTTGTAATACGAATGTGTAATGTAATTTCCACCGATCTGTGCACAAACTGGGATGGAGGGAGAGGGAGGATGAGAGGCAGGCGATCTCTGATTGATGTTTGGGAGACCTGGGAAAAACTTGATTCTTTGATATGTCTCTTCTTTTTTTGTGCTCTGTTGTAATATTAGAGTTTCATCTTCTTCTTCTTCTTCTGGTCATGCTGTTGTCATCTGGAATATAGATTAGGTTTGACTTGAGCTAGGTAACTCGGAATTTGCTTTAAAATGATTGTTCTTGTTTTCCACAAGCCAAGGTTGGAAGTTGGAGCTGGGCATTGGATTCCCATATGAACTGTTATTATTATTAGTTTGATGGATCGAGGCTCCCCACTTTGTTGTTTATGATTTGATTAATTGATGCCTGTCTTACAGAGTGGAATGTAAAGGCAGAGAGAGTTGTCTGTTGTTGTTTATTCGCATTACTCTAGAATAGAATGACAAAGCCACGGCCACCACACATGGATCATGTGGGTTCAATGAAAACCAGAACTTTCTCTCTGGTTTACAGATGATTCGGTGCTGCTGTGCTGTGACAAGCAAAATGTGTAAAGTCGGATTCTTTCTTTCCACAAAGTAGCCCACGAAGAATTTTTTTGGTGGTGGCATCGGTCTTTCTGTCTTGGCTTTTTCTTGTTTTTGGGTGAGAGCCTGCCCTGAAATCACAACCATTGAAACTGCCTGGACAATCTAAATGAAGGACCACCAGGAACGGCAAATTCAAGTTTTGCTATAAAGTGCAGAAATGATTTTTTTTTTTTTACCCCATAAAAAAGGGGGTGAATAGGAAGACGTATGCAGTTGTTGACTTGTTGCAGAAAGAACGGGTGACCTACCATTTTTCAACTTTCAACCAAACTGTGGAAGTCGAAGGTCAACTCCAGTTGAGAGAGTTGTTCTACAACTCAAACCAGCTTGACATATCAGTTTAAACCAAAACCCAACTCATAAGAAACTTGGTATGGGTTCTTTTGGTTTCGAACGAAGAAGAAGTTATTAAGAGAAGAAGGTTAGTTATGGATTTTATGCCAATCTTTTTTTTTGCTTCAATCAACGATTAATATTGGGAGTCGTGGAATATTCAAACACACGATCACTTGACCAAACTAGTTTTGATACCATGTCATAAATTAGTTGGTCCCAATAAGTCGGAGTTGTTGTGATAATGTTAATTATGAATCTTATATCACTATCTTACATTTCTTCTCGTATTTTGTTAGAGGGAATCCACTGCTCCCATCGGCAATCCTCAAGAATCTATCATAACTAGTTTGGCTGAGAGCCGCACCAAAATTATCAATAATGTGAACACCTAAATTAAAAAATTAATTCTGACACCCAAGGTAAATGGATTCAAGTAGGCAAATATTATTTGAAAACAAAATTTTCAAGTTCAGTTGACAGACCTGCTTGTATAGACGATTACAGCATTGACAAAATCTCTCCAGAGCATATACATGTATGGCACAGCCTGCAATATTGTCGAAATTTCAGCAACCAGTGAAAGAATAAAATTGAAGAAAGTAGCAGGATATGAAGGCCAAAGGGTCGATACTCTAAATGACACAATTGTTAACGACGGGCAATTATCTGCATCCAACTTTTGGAAGTCTCGACAATGAAATCAGCTCCAAGCAGTTCTTTATTCCAAGGTCTTGCAGCTTAAAGAGTCTGTAAAAGTCAAGAGGTAGCTCCTGGAACTTGTTTCCACTTGGGTCCAACATTTACAAAGAGCATCAGGCACCACTGATATATTACAATCATTAAGAGATAGCCTACTCAAGAACTCCCAACAACTATGCCCGACAGTGAAAGCTGAGTATGACATCCTTAAACAACTTGCAGTGTCCTAGTTCCAAAGTGGAAATCCCGGGGATACTGTTGAGCCCTCCAGGAAACCAGAAGTTGCTTATGGGAGTTCCATCCAAATACAAGCGTCTAAGAGATTCCATAGGCCTCAAAGTAGCTGGGAAATTTTCTAGTTTGGAGCAACCTGAAAGGTTAAGCCTGTAGAGAAATTTCAACTCACATATACTGTCAGGAAGAATCCGAAAAACTTTTGCAGTTGTGCAGATGCAGTTCCACAAGCCGAGAGAGACCCTCGATAGACGATGGTATTTCTTCTATCCCCGTTTCATCTAAATACAACTCATTTATGTTCGCTGAAAGTTTAGGGAACTGTGTCATATTTGAACAACCTCGGAGAATCAACTTTTCAAGAGAATTTGCCTCAGAAAGTGTATCAGGAAGATTCTTGAGCCTTTTGCAGTTTGATAGATCCAAATATGAGAGTTTAGAGAGGTTACCAATCCGGCAAGGGAGTTTCTCTAGTGCTGTTTCACTCAAGTACAAGCATCTTCAGTGCTTTGCATTCAGATGCTTTGGAGCCGTTTACAACCCTTTGCATTCAGTGCAACAAGTCGACTGAGATATGCAACTGATTGTGGAAGCTCTTCAATTGCTGTCTCATTCAGATTGAGGTAGGCTATACACCCCATGATTTGAGGAAACTTCTTAAGGCTTGAACAGCCAGAGAGGTTTAGGATCTTGAGGGACTGCATATTCAGGAAACCAGGACGACTCATAAGGCTTGAGCAACCTCTTAGATCAAGATCAGTAAGCTTGACCAGATGTTGAACTGGTGAGGGAACTTCCAATAAACATGTACAGTTTGCACAATTCATTATCTCAAGTTTGATTGACTGAGACATATCTGGGATTGCCTTCGGATTCCTACAAGAACTTAGGTCAATCTCTTTTAAATTCACTAGACCCTATGGAATAAACACATCAAAGGGTTAGAGTTCATTTCAAGAAAGAAACTCACAGTAACACTGTCTCAAAAATTATGTACCTGAACTACTCCCCACAGTTGCTCAATGTTGCTGTACGCCAATCTAATTTCAACAAGGTTCTCGGGTCAGAGGTAAAACGTAAAAGAGCTGAGAGGGTATCCATCATACATCAATTCATCATAAAGAAACTTCATCCCAGATGGAATGCTCTTTCGCACCTTGCAATTGCAACAAGTAAAGTCAACACCAACTTCAAGAGCAAGTAAAGTAAAGGATAAAAGAAAAGGGGGATGTGGCAGTGGGTCTCGGTAATTATAAACTAAAAAGAGTTAAATATGAGTTTTTTATTTTATTTTCAATAAAAGAAGGGTCAAGGGGTGGAAACGGAAAGTTTCAAAGGATGGGGTTATACATATATTTTTCATTGTTGGGTTCTGGTGTGGGTTATGTTAAAACAAACATATTTATTTGATTTTATTTATTATTAATTATTACTAATAAAGATAAATAAATTTATAACAAGAAAATTATTTTTGTATAATAAAGATAGATCGCTCACAATTATTTGAGTTGTGTCGGAAGCCCCGAATTAAAAAAAATGTACCAAAAGTATATTGGTCATTCACAAAATTTCCGAACACCCTCACCCTTACTAGGTCCGCCCTGGATGGGCGGTCAACAAAAAAAGTAGAGCATTTAAGTTGGTTAGCTTAGCTAATGGGCCACAGGCTGGGCCGCTTTGTTTTGCTTTACATTCTTGGAGAGAGCAATTTTGAAGCCCAAGTATTACAACTCCAAATCTGGATAGAATCTGGCGAAAAGCAAAGGAAAACTGAGATTATAATCTATTTTATTTTTACCGGTCAGATGCAGCATTTGGATTATTTTGGTGAAATTAACTCGTCTGACAAACAAAAAGCGAGTCGTGGTATTTCGGGTCCGCGGCAACAATTGAAATAATGTATATAATGACACAATTGAAATACCTTCTCTCGTTCTCCTTCTAAACATTTTAATTAACACACTCTTTTTTTAAGTGATGAAATATCACAACATGTGAATGTTTTATTCAAACAAGATAATTAAACTCAATTACCACATTCCAAACTGAAATTCCACATGAAATGCAATATATACCCAAATAATGTAGCATTTTTATTCAAAATACCATAGCCGACAATGATCTCCTTGCCATTAAAGATCCTAAACTTAAGATTGATCAGACTTTTGGACAAGGTTTATTCTTCTCTACTAATTATGAAATCAAGTTACAGTCTTTTGTGATAGTGACTGGGCTGGATGTCCAGACACACGTCGATCCACTATCAGTTTTTGTATGTTGTTAGGTCATTCTTTAATTAGTTGGCGATCTAAGAAACAAAGAACGCTTCTCGTTCTTCAGCAGAAGCTGATGAATATCAAGCAAGACGAGTCTAACTTGAGAGTTGATTTGGTTGCGTTAAATTCTGCATGATTTACATGTTCAACTTGCTGCTCCTACTCCCATGTTTTGTGACAGTATGTCGGTAATATGGCAAGCTGATAATCCGGTGAATCATGAACGTACCAAGCACATAGAAATTGATTGTCATGTTATTAGAGATCAGATTTTGAATGGTGTGATTAAGGTCATGCATGTTTCATCTAGCCATCAACTTGCTGATGTGTTTTTACAAAAACGCTTCCAGTAGATTTCCGACATCTGCAGGTCAAGTTGGGTCGCCTCGACATATACACACCAACTTGTTGGGGGAGTTGTCCGAGGATACAAAGTGCGAGGACTCAATTGACGTTTCTGTATAGTTTATAGGTTAATTGGTATTGTGTCATTATTATATGTATTAGATAGCTTAACTCTATTGTCTATAAATATATGGATTGTAAATCTTCTCTAAATATTATAAAACGTTTTCTCCCAAAACTCTTCCCCGCATCTTGCGGAATTTCCTTTTCCTTTTTTTTTCTTTTTCTGCATTTTCAAACAGCAGCGGCCAATTTTTATATATTTAATTATTTTCTTTTACATGCTTTATTTTATTTGGTAAGTACGTGCATTATTTTTTAAAAGACACGTGTTTGTCCAATTTGCAAGTTTCGAAAAAAATTTCATGGTATTTTGTTTGGCTGTTAAAATTAATAATAATTGTGAAATCGTATCGGAGGTTATACAAAAATAAGTCAGTAATTTCTCTAAAAAAAAAGTCAGTAATAAAATATTTTGTACAAAAATTATGGTTTGACTGTGATTCAATTGTTGTTTTATACCGTTTAAAACCACCTATCATTTAGAGTATGATATTCAATATTTTCGCTCCAATCGAGTAGTGCGGTGGGTTTCAAAAACATTGGTGAAAATACACTTGGCTCTATTTTTTCAAGAATTCTTAGTTGAACCTTAGCTCAAACATCGCACTTTATAGATTGATCTATATTGTCTGGAAGATGATTTTTCAGTGTATTTAGTTCATGAATCTTCACTTATATACAATGCATCGAGACTTTATATTATCACAATTTCAACATGAGAATTTTTTTGGTAAAACTTCATTGTGGGTATGAGTCAAACTTAGATAATAGACGCCCAATATTGAAAATTGTTAACAATAGTATATTATAAATTTTGCCAAAAATTAATTTGTTTTATTAAAAGTTTAATGTCTTCACTTTGAAACGTGTATTGCATACATCAATGACTAAACATTATTCAAAAATTGTTAAGTGTATAATTGATAAATTACCTGATACATACAAGTTAATCTCTCATAAAACATAAAATTATTTATTGCATAAACTTATATTTGGCTACATGAAATATCACAAGTATATTTTGAAAAATGTAAAAAAAAGAATTGAAGTATGATGGTAATTAATCAGCATAGATGGATAGCGATAATTCTTTTCTTTTTTGTTTGGCTCAAAGTTGATAATTTTCTATTATAAAATGATAATTAAATAGGACCCAACCGGCCAACGGCCGGGTTCAAAGCTAGTGAATAATGGAAGTTTTCAGTGTGTGAAATAAAATTCTGCATGTTCCTGTTCCCTCCTTGATCTTTAGCAGCATTAGCTTGTCCATGAGAATTGCCACCATGGCTAGGAGTAGAACCACGACTGGTGTTGGAATTTCCAGCACCCTAAGTAGTCAGAGCAACAACAGAAGCCATAGAGCTACTTGCCTGCCTCTCCTTTGAACTAAGCCTGAGAATATCTTATTAATGGATGGAAGAGGTTCCATTAACAGAAACTGAGAACGAACTCCAGCAGAGGATTCATCGAGGCCTTTAAGGAACCTTATCACCTGATCACGCCTCATGTATTCACGCGGAAGAGAAGCCGTTGGACAAGCACAACGCGGATTACAGAAGCATGATGGGAGAGGTCTCAAGATCAGTAGTTCTTCCCAAAGAACTCTGAATTTTTTGAAATAAGCACTAACCGAGAGAGAACCTTGGTGGAGAGACGAGATTTCGTCGTACAGATCTGAAATCCGAACTTCGTTCCCCTTGTTGAACCTTTCTCAAAGATCTTTCCAAGCTTCGGCGGCGGTATCAAACCATAAAATGCTATGTGCGATTTCTAGAGCTGTTATGGAAGCCGGACACGGACAAGCAGAATTTTATTTCATACATTGAAAACTACATTGTTCATTTACAATCCATATATTTATAGACAGTAGAATTAAGCTATCTAATACTTATAATAATAACACAATACAAATGAACCTATAAACTATCCAGAAACGTCAATTGAGTCTTCGTCCTTTGTATCCTCAGAGAGTTCAGACAACTACTCGTTTGGATGATTTGGTTTGAGTCTACCTAAATTCAATTCGATTCATTTTTTTTATTCTTTATAATTTTTTCATTATTTTGTAATCTTTTTTATGCAATTATTTCTTTATCTTTAAGGATTGTTTAAATAGATCAAATGAAAAAAGGTCAATTTGACAAATTATTTCATTTTGCAAAACAAATCATTTTAATACGAGCCAAATTGAATTACTCGTCCGGGATACATTGGAATTTTCGTTTATCAGAGTGGAGATAAGATTTTATGCCTTGTTTCATGAGAAGATTGAATTTGGGTAATGGTTATTCAACCTCGGTCCGCAAATTCAAACCTAGATAATAGCATTAGAAGGAAACAACAATAACAATAAATTCAAACAAAACGGTCGTTATCACGCAACCAAAATTTCAAGTAACCCGTCCTTTTCGTTTGTTAACACTTTAACCAACCGTTATCATATCCACATTTTTCTTTCCTCTTTTTTTCCCTTTTTCGGGGGTTTCCCCGGCGCCACTCACTACTACTCATTTCCCGCTTCACTACATCCCTCCTTTTGATTATTCCGAGCTGCCCTTTTTTATACAATTGCCTCCGGAAGCTCGAAAATTTACCACACTGCCACTTACTCAATCTTTCAAAATCGCCTCCGCCGCTATATCCATCAGCGGCCCGACGGCCTCCGGCGGGAACTTCCTCGCAAACAAGAACGGATCCCTCCTCACGGACAAGACCGAACCATCGGAACCGTTCGTTTTCATCAACCCTTCTTCATCGCCGTATCTCGGCCGTCCATTCCTCAACTCGTTAATCAGCTCGGGCCCCACCTCATCCGCTCCATACATCCTCGGGTGCCCGCCGTGGGACCCCCTCCAGTCCACGTGGGTCAGCGTCGCCGACGTGGCGCCCCGCGGGTCCAGCATGTGGATGAGCGTAGGGAAGTAGTTCTCCTCCGGGTAACACGTGTCCTCCCTCACGCACGTCCGATTGAACTTCCGCCAGATCGTGCGGTCCGCGACCACCATCCGCGCGTGGCTCCGCGTCAGCGACCAGAATTGCGACCCGATCCGGAAATCCTCCTCGAGCCTCACCTCCGGCAGCATCGCGTCCTCCCCACGCGCCGCCCACCTGTCCCTGGCCCCGGTCTCGTTGGCGAGGATCTCGATGAAGCTCTCCCCGGAGCGGGTCAGGGTTTGGTAGGTGAAGTCGAAGGAGTGGAGCGGGATGCAGGACGGGGATAGGAGGGCGAAGACCGCGTTGGCCGGGTCGTGGAGCAGCGCGTGGGCGAGGAGGCGGCGCGCAGCGGAGGCGAGGGTCGGGGTGTGGCGGTTGGTGGGTTTGGAGTGGATGACCCGACCCGCGAACACGCCCGTGAAGGGCGGGTCGTAGGCGCGGGTCGGGTCGGCGTGGATGTAGATGTTGAACCGATTCTTGTTACCTCTAATCTTCCTCCCGCCGTCGATTGGGTTGAAGAAGAGCTCCCAAAGCGGGGCGAAAGGGAGAGGGGTGGTGGTGAGGAAGAGGAAGGCGATTTTTTGGTGTGGGTGAGCCGGGTTCGGGTTGACCCGGGCGGCGAGGCGGAGGAGGGTGTGGTCGTCTTTGGGGAGCGGGTTGCGGGGGGTGGAGGAGTGGAGCTTGGTACGGAGGGTGGAGGGGGGTTTGTCGTCGGCGGCGGCGGGGGAGACGGTGGTGGTGGGGGTGGTGATGGTGAAAACGACGGCGAGGGGGAGGCAGAGGAGGAGAGCACAGAAGAGGGAGAATGGGGTTGGGGTAAGCATTGTTTCTATTTTTTTCACCTTTCGGTGGGGAGAAGTGGGGCGAGGAAGGAAAGTGAGAATGGGTTGATGGGTTAATCAAAGCTGGGGCCGGGAAATTTGACAGTTCGGAGAATGGGATAAGAGCCTGAGAGGGAGAGATGGGGAAGAAGAAAATGACAAACAACGGCGGGCCACGTATGACTGTGAACGAGTTCCACCCCAGCTCGTCTGATGTCAGGAGGAAGATAACGTTTAGATTTAAACTTTAAGAAGATTGTTGTATCTTGTGTGGGAATATAATTCTACGGTAATGTGTCGTCTGCAGGAAAAAAAAAACTATAACAGTTGATGAATTACGAATGTCTTGGGTTGTTATCATCATAAAAAAGATATCGTTGTAGTTGTATGCTATGCGTATACGGGTAGAATTTGTTTAAAATTCATGTTCTCGCATTTTGTTTTTTTTTTCTTGTTTGTTTGATGTATTATACGAGGTAAGGTAAGTAATTTGCTGGAATTTCCAATGTCTCTGTACTTTGGTTAAATGCGTCATTATACGTTTGTAAATCCCATGATTCAAACAATAGGGTTGTGTTATTCATTATCAATTATTGAACTTTTTCTTACAATAAAATACCAGTAAACGTTTCGAGCTGTTATGGAAAACGGCGATGAAGGAGTGGGAGGGAAATTAGCGGGGGCAAAAAAGGGAGGCGAATGGTTAGGGTTTTGATTTCCAAGAGCGAATTAGCGTGGGAGAGAAGGGAAGAAGAAGAAGGACACATGGCCAACATGCAATACAAGGAAGATTTTGTTGGGGAGGGAAAAGTGGGGGATGGCGGGATTCATCACATGCAATCCAATGGAATGGAAGTGAAGATAGCGCAATTTGTGACGAATAAAGAGTTCTCAGCGGCAAAACCCTTCAGGCGCTGCTACCTAAGAGGGATTAGGGGCGAGGTTTTCATGAGTTGTAACTCAGGTTATAAGGTTATTTAGCCCGTCAATTGGATTATTATGATTTAAGGCTCAAATTATTCAAGTCTTGCGGTCTGGATCCCCATAACTTCCTGAAATTTCTTTATGCTCATCGTCAATTGTGTTCCAACACCTCTCTAATCCTAGATTCTTTTTTTTTTTTGGTAGAAAAATGGGACGCTAAAAGGGCGCCCCTGCCTGAAACATTAGACTAAACGAGATTGGGCAATGCCCAAAGAGTCATACAAGAGCCAAAAATTAAGCCCTGAATCATTCAGCTCAACAACATGACATCCTAAACTCAGAGAATGGCCTTTGCTGGCCAAAAAATCCGCAGCTTTGTTTCCTTCTCTGAACGTATGAGAGATACGAATCTCCCATTCTTGATGAAAGAGGCTCTGGAATTGCCTCCAGAGATTGTGATAACGGCCTTCATAGTGCCCATGCGAGTTCATAATACCGAGGGTGACCATCGAATCGGTTCTCAGCTCCACTCTGCGGCAACCCAAGTTCCATGCCAGGCGAAGCCCCTGAATCGCACCTAACAGCTCTGCCCTGGTAATCGTACAAGCACCTAGATTCGAAGAAAACGCACCGAGACATTTGCCAGAGCAATCACGCACCAGGCCCCCCGCTGCTGCCCGCGAATCCGGGTTTATCACGGAACCGTCTGAATTGACGACAACCCAGCTGGGGTCGGGTGGGGTCCAAGCAATCTCCCTCGTAGTCTTTCTTTGCTGCGGAGTGTGAATAGCCTTTTCATTGCTTTGAGCATCTCTAATAGTGTTGGTCCAGCTTCGTATTCTTTGAACGAGAGTGTCGGTATCCTGATGCTTGTTGTTGAAGATCCAATCGTTCCTTCTTTTCCAAAGGTACCACGCTGCAACTCCAAACAACAGCCCGGTCTTCGAGTCCTTGAGGTTCCTTGCCATCCAATCTGTCAGGTTGAGACCAATAGTTAGAGTAGACTCTGATATTCCAAGTGCTTGCCATACCTGAGTAGCCGATGCACAGTGGCGCAGGATGTGTTCCGTGGATTCAGGGGCCATTTTGCACATCTCGCAGGTGTCTTGGGCGCTGATCTTTCGCCTTTTCCTCTCGCAATTCGTCATCAATCGGTTATGGAAAGCTAGCCAGAGGAAATGCCGAATTCTGTTTGGGCCATCCCATCTCCAAATTGCCTTCCAGGTAGGTGCTGCAGTCGTTGAAGTGGCACCCCCATCCCCTTTGTTGAGCCAATCTGCCGCAACGGTATAAGCAGATCCCAGCCGAAACTTCCCGTCCTGCTCCATTCCCCACGACGTCTGATCCTCCCCCGATTCTTCATTTGGCGCATCAAGCCCTGCAATAAGGAGATTAATAAAGTCAGGGAGGTAATCTTTAAAACGCGACCAATTCCACTCACCTGGGCTAATGGCCATATCTGCAACAGAGGCGTTCCAGTCTACAGCATCAGCTTGGTTGTCTGCATAGTCCTTGAGGTAGACTCCCTCGGCGACCCAAGCATCATGCCAGAAGTTGACACTCTCCCCGTTCCTGATATCCCACACGGTCCCTTGTTTCACAAGAGGGAGAGCTTCCAAGATTCCTTTCCAAAGCCTAGAGACCCGCTGATGGCGCATCGAAACTCTGCCATCGTCACTCGCCTTGACATACTTGTCATGCAAAACTCGGACCCAAAGAGGCTTTTCATCATTCAGGAAGGTCCAACCTAACTTCATCAAGTAGGCTAGATTAAGTGCCCGTGCCGAGCGAAGACCCAGGCCCCCTTCTTCCTTCTGCTTACACACATTATCCCACGAGACTAGATGCGCTTTGGTCAGCCCTTCTTCAGCTCCCCAGACAAAACGTCTGATCTTTCTATCGATTGCCTCGCAGATGTGGCATGGGAGGACAGCCGTTTGCATCACGTAATTCGGGAGGGCGTTCAGCACCGAGAGAGCCAGGGTGACACGACCTGCTAAAGAGAGGCACCGAGTCTTCCATCCCGCCAGCCGCTTATCTATCTTCTCTAGAACATACTTATAAGTGTCCTTCGTTACGCGGCCATGGAGCACTGGAACACCAAGATATCTTCCCAGGTTATCAGTCTGCTTCATGCCCAATAATTTGCTGATTCTTCTCTTACTCTGCTCCCTGGTGTTCCTCGAGAAGTAGATACACGATTTATCCTTGCTCACTTCCTCCCCAGAGGCAGCGCAGAACCTGTCAAGGCAGTCGAGAACAGCCCTCCCCTGCTTTGTATCAGCTTCAGCGAAAAGAACAAGATCATCTGCAAAAAAGAGATGCGTCAGTGCAGGACCATTCTTAGTTAAATGCAGAGGAGTCCAGTCCCCATTGCCAACAGACTCTTTAATGCAATGATTCAAACGTTCAATACAAAGAGTAAACAGATAGGGAGAGAGGGGACATCCCTGTCTTAATCCTCGGGATGGTTTGAATGAGTCTGTACAACTACCATTCCAGAGAACCTGGAGACTGGATGTTGTAACACAAGCCATGATCAGATTGATGAAGTCAGTAGGGAGGCATGCCGCTACCAGAGTGGAACGCAGGAACTCCCAGTTGATTCTGTCATATGCCTTGGCTAGATCAATTTTCAAGACCATGTTTCCACGACGACCCTTAAGCTGGCTAAAAGAGTGGACCACTTCCTGCAGGATAATAATGTTGTCCGTGATGTGCCTATTGGGAACAAAGCTGGTTTGGTTCTCATCAATCAGCCTGGGAAGGATATTTCTCAGTCGATCTGCCAGGCATTTAGCTAGCACCTTGTAGCTCACATTGCAGAGCCCTATAGGACGAAACTGACTCATGGAAGCGGGTGAGTCAACCTTGGGCAGCAATGAGAGGAGGGTCATGTTGCAGCTGGCTATGCGATCTGGTTCCTTGAAACACTGGACTAAATGACGGTGGAAATCATTACCGATAGAAGTCCAACATTTCTGATAAAACACCGCATGGAAACCATCCTTGCCCGGGGCCTTAAGACCACCCATCGCTTTAATGATCCTGCAAGTTTCTTCTTCCGTGGGAATAGCAGCCATGCCACGCAGAGCACTCTCCTCAATCACCGGAAACATGGCCACTAAAGTAGGCCTAACACCAACATCTTCAGTGAAGAGATTAATATAGAATTCCCTTGCCATAGCTTCCAATAATTGGGGATCTTCCACCCAGGTTCCATCTATGGCTCTCAGCTTGGAAATCTTATTCCGACGGCGTCTAGTCAAGGCAGCAGTATGGAAGAAGGAAGTGTTTTTGTCCCCAAAGTTGATCCAGCCCGCTCTAGCTTTCTGAATCCAGAGCAGCTCCTCCTGCCATAAAGTTTGCTCCAAATCATCACGAAGAGAGGCCTCTTGCTGAAGGCCATAGGGATCAGGAGCAGAATCGTTCCTGACTTCGGCAGCGGCAAGACGTTTAGTGAGGGAGGCCTTCCTTTTAAAAATGTTGCCGAAGACCTCCCTATTCCAGATAGTAAGAGTTTGTTGAAGGTCTTTTAGGGAGTCAATGAAATCTGCTCCAGGCTTCCAAGAGTTCTCTAAAGTGGGCTGAAACTCTTTGTGGGTGAGCCACGGGGCAAGAAACCTGAAAGGCCTCTTCTGCTTATTGAGAGGTTTGTCGTTGGAGGAGCAAATGAGGAGAGGCCTGTGGTCCGATCGAAGCCGCGGTAAATGATTGGTGATCGTCTCCGGGAAATAGCTCATCCATTCAGCATTGCAGATTGCCCGATCCAGTCTAGAGAAAAGGTTCCCCCTAGCCCAGGTGAACCTTGGCCCCCTGAACTCCACATCAAGCAGCCCACAGTCATCAATGCATCTGTTGAAGTTGGCTGAATTTGCTGGGTTATAGGCCGCCCCGCCAATTCTCTCCGAGGGCCCCCGGATAGAATTAAAATCGCCTGCCAATAACCAAGGTTCAGAGATGTTCTGCTCTAGTCTTCTAAGTGCATCCCATAGCGGCAGCCGATCGTGATCATTAGGTTTGGCGTAGACTGCCGTGAGGAGCACAGCTCGATTGTCCTGCACATTCACACAACGAAAATGAAGCATTTGAGAATTACGATCCAGAACAGAGATGGAAAAGACAGCGGAATCCCACAGAACCCAAATGCCCCCCGAGAATCCCACAGCCTCTACCATCTCATACTTATCAAAACCCATTTTGCTAATAATCTCCAGCGCATCCTTGCCACTGATACGAGGCTCAACGATGAAGACCAAGTTAGGACGATGAGTAAACACATAATCTTTGAAAATCGCCAAAAATTTGGGGTTTTTAGCCCCACGACAATTCCACGAAAACAACTTAATCATCAAAAAAGAGAGGAGAGGGAAAGGAAGAAAATGCGCCAAAGCGCTAAGTTTCAGTGGCCGGCTGGCCAACAATCACATCGATGTCCGGCGGGGATACACTGGCCTGGTCACTGTTGTCCGTCATCGCCGAGTCATTTACTATGCCGCCATCTGCTTGCATGTTCCCCTCGGAGGGCCTCTTCATGGTATTCATGAACTCTATGATGGATTGAGGGTTGATGGGGAAATTAGGCGTTTTAGACAGATCCTGCAGAAGCTTCCTCGCCTTCTGGGAACTCTGAGACAACGGCTTTTTGGACGCTTCTTTCATGATTTTCGGCTTGATTTCCCGCGCCGAGGTTTGCTGCGATTTGGGTTTCTGGGAGCGGTGGCGTATCGACGGTGTCGGCCGATTGGGGTCCGAATTTTCTTTCGTTGTTGGATGAGGTGGAGATGGGATCATCAGAATAGATGTACATGCACCAGGGACTGGGCTCGAGATTCCTTCAACCCCGTTTTGGTCCGTCGGTTGGTCTGGTGGGCTTGGCCCAGTTAGCTTTCCTGACCTGTGAGAGTCTCCTTGGGCTTGGGGCTTTTTATCACTTTCCTTCAACCCAACGGGCCTCCATTCCTGAGTAGTCGATCCATTAATCTCTGACAAAGAGACGTTGTCGTTCCCCCCTACTTTCCCTTTCGGAGCCGAGGAGTTTCCTTTCTTGTCTTCTGCCTTAGAAACTGCCTTTCCTTTCGCGTCCTTTCCCAAGCTGGGTCTGATCAGCTCGCCCTTTCCCTGTTGGTTTGCTTTAGGATTGGCTTTCCCAGATATTCCCCCGCGCCCTGAGTCTCCGCCCTGGTTACTGGCCCCAAATTGCGCTGCTTTCCTATTCTGTCTTTTACTCTTCCTCGTCACTTGCATCCACGGCCCGTAACCGGCCGGTGACTCCGACGGTGGCGACGATCCTTCGATGGGGAGGACGGTGGTTGCTGAAGTAGAAGAACTGTTAGCAACATTGCACACTTTTTTGGGGCAGATCTCCTCGGTGTGGCCTATCCTGCCACATTCAAAGCAAATCTCCGGTAGGTTCTCGTAAAGGACCGTCTGCCAGAACCCGTCCAGCCGGATCCGAGTCGCCAGCGGCTTCGTCATGTCTAATTCCACCGCTATCCGAGCAAACTTCCCACGTTCCATATTCTCCGTGTGATAATCGAGCTTTACCGTTCTGCCAATAAGATTCCCCAACGCAAATAGGACCTCCCGGTGATAAAAATGGACCGGAAGCTCCGGCAGCTGGATCCATGCTACAACCGATTTGTGGGGTTTATCAGCAGTTCTGAACGACGGCGACCATTGGTGGACGACAAGGTAGTGATCCAGAATTGTCCATGGTCCCCCGGTGAGCGCGTGAAGGAAATCTTGATCATTATGAAACGTGACCAGAAAAGTTCTATCGTTCAGATCCAAAATATCCAGTCTTCCGGTTGGCCGCCATTTCCACCGGAGTTGGGAACACAGGTATGCATAGGAGATCGAACGCCCAAGCAGTCTGACTACGAGAGTTTTCTTCCATGCTGAACAAAGACGATCCTTAAACTTGTCAGAGACCTTGAGCTCCGGCTCGCCACCAAAAAGTCCGGGTTCCAGGTCATGTTCTCCAACGAAGGTCCATTGATTAAGCTTGGGCGGAGCGGTCTGTGTTGGACCGGCAAGAGCCATCTTGAAGTTGAGCGGAGGGAAGCTTGCCGGATCAGGAGTCGCAAGTTGCTGTGGAAGAGGCAAGGATGGGCCTGGATCCGGAGGACGGCCAGCTTGTGGTGGAACCGTCGCCGGAGAGAAGGAGTTTTCCGGAGCGGTACAGAGCATTTCTTTTGATTTTTTCTAAACCCAAATCAAGTATTCTGATAATTGCATACTAATTACGGGCCTCTAATCCTAGATTCTAAGTCCAAAGTTTGGACTCTAAGTTGTTCCCATAGTCAAATTCCTTAATGACAGTGAATCTCATTGGAAGAGCCAAACTAATTTCATTAATGTGTCTATATAGTAGGTTGGCCTAAATAGTAGTATATAGCCATGAATTTATTTAATGTGAGTATGACAGGAGTTAGGCGGATGGATAATGGAATAGAGTAATAGTTATAGTTGAAGAATCAAACAAATAAATTAAGGGTTTTTTACCGAATATAAATAAATAAACCAAAGTGAAATTTAGAAGTTCATATATAAACTTCTTTTTTATATTAACCCGTTACAAGGTGACCCGTTTTATCCGACCTGTATGGCTTGTTTTGGGGCGGACGCGAATGGGTACTCTCATCGACCTGACATGTCATGAGCTACCTCATTCTTGACCCATTATTGCCTAAAGTACATGTAATAATTACTTAGAATTTTCCTTTTATTACATCATATTTTAGCCATAGTAAAATTATAATTTAGTGAAAACCTCAATGTATCTACTGATTTAACTACATTTATCATCTTACGGTTTGTTTCTTGGTTTTATAATGAAAATAATGAAAAGTTATATTTCTTTACATATAAATTACATACCAATTGGATCGTCCTGCCCCAACCCGCGCCCTATTATAAATTAATCGATCTAGATCCGACCTGCCACGAAACGGGTATGGATATCAAAATACCCGCCCCGAACCTCCGCCATTGTCATTCTTCTCTTGATTATCTTTACCTTCAACTTCTGGTGGCAAGAAATAATTGAAGAAGTACTTAAAACAAAATAAGTAGAGGGACAAAACTTTAGATATGATCATATGAAAAATAAAATTCGTTAATAACAAAGAGGAGGACAGTTATCTTACATTGTGCATGATCTCAAAATTTTGGAAACCTTGAATTTACATTTCGTGTTATTTACAAATGAAATTAGTAGTAGGGTAAAATATGTACACCACTTGACACTTGTATCGGAAGTTAAAATTGCGTCAACAATCATTTGAAAGAGAAAAAAAAAATATACATCAACGAAAAATCACTCGCTAAATTGAACTTCGTCACCTGAAAAAATCGAGGAATTAGTCGGAGATTCCACCACAGACGACAAATTCGAATCACCAGAGACCGACAAACAGCAAAAGTGAAAATCAATTTGCAACCTCCGAAGAAGAGAAAGCGTCGAAACTTGATCCTCCCCTTTCTGCTCTTCTTCCTCCAGCTCCCCAACCGTCACGGCGGCCAAGAACCTCTTCATATACTCTCCACAACACTCTTTCCCTTCACAAACCACCTTCCACCTTTCTTCCTCCTCCACCTCCTCCGTCGCCGCCGCCGCCGCCGCCGCCTTCTCGTACAAAACGGCCGACTCATCAAACTTCAACACGTAAGCTCGATCGCATCCTTCGTAAAGCCGTTCCCCTAGCGAGTCAATTATGTAGTAAGCATCGGACTCCACCTTCAGCAAGAAGAAATGATCGTTCCAACTCACAATGTACACCACCGCCACCTCATCCTCCCGTTGACCGCTGACTTTTCCACCTTTGCTGACGTGTGACCAGACCTCGTCAAACGACGTCGCTCCACTTAAGTTGTGGAATTTCTCCGGGCTGAAGATTCCGGTGAAGGAATCGTCCGGGGAGAGGGTCAGCGGCCGCCGGAGGTTCGCGAGGACGGTGTCGAGGTCGAAGTGGTTGTCCGGAAAGGAGCTCCGGTGGGATTCGTCGTGGCAGAGCTTCCGCCACTCCGACGAGCCTTCGGCGATCAGACCGTCGAGCTGGGGCCTCGTAGGGATGGATCGAGGGTTGGTGTGGAGCCAGTTAGCGATCACGGCCACGACGGCGGCGCAGGCGCTCTCTCCGGCGGCCTTCTCGCTTCGCTGGTCGAACGAGGCGAGGAAGACGCTCGCGTTGGCAAGCTTCGCTCCTCCGTCCCTGCTTATCAGCTCTTTCTTCACCTCCCAGTTCCCGTCGGCAGAGTGAGCTGGCGGCGGTGGGGAAGGCGGAGAGGGATTCGGTTGATGACGTGTCTTCCAGGATAAACCGAAGCTGAGTCGCCTTTTCTTCTGCTGAGTCGGACATGACGTGGCGGCCGAGTCGGAAGGGGCCGGTTGTTTGGCTACTTGATCCTTGGCGGAAGGAAGGGGCATGGTTTGCTGATGTGGAGCCTTGTCACCATTCCTGACCTCAGCAAAGCTCACGCTTACCTATACAGGGGAAAAAAGTCAGAAAGAAGTTTCTTCTTAATTAGAGTCAGAATCATACCCCTTTTATTAATCCCTAAACCACAATTAGTTGAATTAAGAAGCATCTAACTAAAACCGGTCAATTTTTGCGGTTGTTGTCCTAATAATTAACACAAGGGGAAAAGGAGAAAGGCGAGAATCAGAAAGCCAGATTGCTTAATAGCCAAGTCGCAGTGTTGTACATTGATACGATACATGAGCTGGAATATCAGAATTTATTCCCTCAATTAATCAATTTTTAGAACACTGATAATCAACCGATTCTAATTTGACTATATATTTTTTTCAACATATAATCATTTAATTTTGTTAGTATTTTGTGTTCGCCGCAATTATGTAATTGCAAATCATATAAGCGAAAATTCGTACGTACCACAAGAATTGCTTGGGAGCGGGTGGCGCCGTGAATGTGCAAGGAAATGGGAAGACTAATGATGTGAGAATCAATCGTGGTGCGAGAACCCAATAGTTCTGCTATGTTGAACGAAATACTCCCCGCTGTTGTTAATTTCGTGTTCCTGAATTCTGCTTCCTTTCCCTGCAATTCAAAAATCCATCAAATCTTCAATCGCTCGTGGACCGGGCCGGAGAAAATCTCTGGACCAATCCCCATCTTATAAGAAACGCAGGGAGAGACTTACGCAGAGAACGCTGAACGTTACATCCCAGGGAGAAAACGAAGTACCGGAAGACGACGCCGTGCCGAAGCTGCAAACGCTCTCAAACTCTTCTCCGTCCCATTCAACCTCCGTGGCTGCCGACTCCTCCTCCACCTCATTCTCGCCGGCATTTTCATCACAATCGGTGCTGCTGCGTCGCCGTCTCAAGAACTTGTGGGTGCTGTAATTACTCGGCTGTGACGACCTCATCATGATCGAGAACCCACGGCCCAGTACTCCTCCGGCCGACTTGGGGCCGTCCCATTTCACCTTCAGTACCACCATTTGAGACGACGGAGATGGTGACGTCAGGATCCCCTCCAGCCTCAATGGCTTCACCGTGACCCTATACTTCTTCTCCGTTGCCGCCGACCACTTCACCATATTTCCCAAATTAAACCGCCCAGCCCCGCCGGCCCTCGGAGATTCACGCGCGATTTAAAACTAATTTGGGGGAACGAAACAGAATATGGAATATAAGAGAGAATGAATGCGAATGGATGATGGCGATCGAGATAGGAAGAGTTTTTGTAGTTCTTGGCTTTTGGTAATGTATTCTTTTTTCGTCGTTATCTCTTAGTCCGTAGTATATACCATACGGAAAAGGTATTTTTTCTTCGTTGGTTTGGTTTGTCGCTACGTGCAAATGGAATGACGTGTCGTGCTGGTATTGGTAGTTACGTTCAAGTAACGCGACCAAGTCTGACATTTCCTTACGCGGGTGAAAGATTGGCGTCACGAGGGATTGCCGCGAGGCGACACGTCAACACGGAGGCTGAGATGGCTCCGCAAGCGGTTTGGCCCACATGCTTTTTAAGAATTACGCGTATTAGTACGTTGAGCCCAACAGAAGGAAATAAGGTAAGGAAATAGCCCATTCTTTGTTGGTACCCAATCGAATAAAAAATGGGCCGGTCAATCAACTTTTTCATGGGCTCCAAAAGCTCTACCTCTTTCTATTCTCAGATTTCCAGCCTCGTGAAGTTCTCATTCATGTTTTCGGGCAATAAGAGGATTCTCATTTCCATTTGTGAAAATTACATTTTCACCACTCTTAACAGTTTCCGTTGGAAAAAGGGAACTCAATGCTCGAAAGAGCGGAAAGAAAGAAGGCCGAATCTTATCGATAACAGAACACTGTATTAACGACTAGCGACTAGCGAGTAGGAAGGAACTCCAAAGCAGAACTTCTCCCTTCTTCTTCTTCTTTGCTTGGGTATTCTCTTGCATTAGGGCGCGAACCGTTGGTTCAATTATGAAGCCGTTAACGATTTCTCGCACCAAACCCTCTCTTCTCTCCTCCAATCCCTTCTGCTCTCCGTCTCTGACCTTCAAACTTCCCATTATATCCCGGCGGTCCGTCGATTTTCGCTGCGAATCCCTCCGTCGCAGTGACACCGGTACGTCGCTCGTCAATTTTCTTCTAATGGGGTTTTCTTGCCCTCTCTGCAGTTGCATTTCTTGAATTTGTTTTTTCTGCAGGGGAGGATTCTAATGGGGTTTCTCTCAGGCGAAGGAAAATGCTTGTTTCCTTATCCACTCTTCCTTTCGTAGTTGGTCTCCAATATTCATTAGATGGGTTCAATGCTGCCATTGCTGCCGAGTGAGTTTCTTCTGCCTTCTCTCTGCTTGTTGGGTTTGATTTTCTTTTGTTGTAGCTCATCCTAGCTTGGTAACTTAATGACACTTGTTAGAGTGTGGCAATGAGACTCAAGACTTGCAATTGACGACTTCAATTCTTTGTTTATTGACACATTAAGGTCAGGCGAGGGCGCCTATCTGCTAGTGAAGGAAGAGGTAAGGAAGGTGGTGTCGAAGAGCAAGGCTGCCGGTGTGCTTCGTCTTGCTTTCCATGATGCAGGAACCTTTGAGATTGGTGGGAAATCAGGTAAAAATTTCGATTGCAAAAGTTTACCGCTTCATGTTGCATATATGATTCATGTTTTCTAGATGCACTTTCTGCTTTAACAACCTTAAGCATTGAGCTTGTGTAGCTGTCTAGGTTCCTTGGAGAGTCATCTCTAAATGAGATTAATGGCAAGTGACTTGTATGTTAGTAATCAAGTATGAGGGATCACTTGCATTTATTGTTAATCCTCTACACTCTACTGTTGATAGCTGAATAGAACAATTGCAACATTAGACATCCTGATGCTTTAGGGAACTAGGACTTCTGATTGAAAATGGTTTTCGTTGTTGCTCCTGAGTGGCTGGATGTAAACTCTATGCCTCTCTTAACTTTGGATTTTGGTCACTAAATATGGTTGGTGTGCATTGGCTTGTAGAAGCTACAGGGGGTATGAATGGTTCTATAATCTATGAGCTGGACAGGCCTGAAAATACAGGGTTAAACAAGTCCGTGAAGGCAAGGTCTCTTACTATCTAGCTCTGCAGAAGCTAAATTCTTGTGTCTCTCCACTTTCGTGAGCTTTGATTGTGTACAAACTTATATAATTGTACAATTCCAGTGCAATCCCCAAAACTACACAAACCTCATGCAACCCAGCAAGCTAACTCTCCGAGTCATTGTTTCTGGTTTAGGTTCTGGCAAAGGCGAAAAATGTTGTGGATGCGATGCACCCAGGTTCATATCAAATTCTTATGGTTTTCGTAATGGAAGATATGACGGTGCCTTGCTAACATGGAATTTCTCTGTCAGTATCCTGGACAGACATGATTGCTCTTTCTGGCGCGGAAGCAGTTTCAATCTGTGGAGGTCCCACAATCCCACTTCAGATGGGCAGAATGGATTCAATGTAAATGAAATCCTGCCTTCACACCTTTGTGTTTATAAAAATCCACATCGGGTAGTGGACTATCAAGGTTAAGGTTATATTCCAATTGTTTAACCAACAATGAACTGAGCCATTGATTTGGCAGGATATTGAGATCATCAAAAAGGGTTCAGTGTTCTTATTATTCTTCTTGATCCATTATTTCATCATTACAGGCAACCTGATGCAGAGGGGAGACTTCCTCAGGAATCACTCGATGCTGCTGGTTTGAAGCAGTGCTTTCAAAGAAAAGGCTTTTCGTGAGTCGGAACAATCATTAGTATATATTCCAAACAGGAAACAAAACAAGTCAATATTCAGATATTTCATATCCTTTCTTGCTTTCTTATTCTTAGTACACAGGAACTTGTTGCACTATCTGGAGCTCACACTCTTGGTAGTAAAGGCTTCGGGGACCCAGTTGCTTTTGATAATTCTTACTATAAGATTCTTCTGAAGAAGCCATGGACGTCCCCAGGTGACTCAACCTTGAATCTCGTTATCATCCTCGCTTCTTTGTTATTTTTTGGGTCCCGAACTCTGTATCCAAATACTATCTCTTTCACACAGGTGGGAGTTCGAGCATGATTGGGCTTCCTTCTGACCACGCACTTATGGAAGATAATGAATGTTTAAGGTTGGCTCGGAAACCTGGTCCAGCTTTTGAACCTTTTCATGATTATTGCATTATTTCTTTCAGTAAAGATCATGATGATTATTGCTATTTGGATATATGGCGCACATTGTTTATTCTGATGAATGATGATTAATTAAATGCAGATGGATCGAATTGTATGCGGATGATCAGGATGCATTCTTTCAAGACTTCAAGAATGCATACATCAAACTCGTGAACTCTGGTGCAACATGGAAAGGCTCTTAGCAAAGTTTTGATAAATGATCTTGCGTCCTTGAAAAGTTTCAGGCTGAATTAGTGAGGAATGGAGTGACAAGCAAAGCCTGGAGCATATCCTTGGTGGTAGTACTAGTGCCAGATTTGGTGTAGCCATCAGCATCCTTTCTATAACCATACATATATTGCTTTCTCTATACTTCATTTTACACAGAAGGCACAAAACCTTGCCAACTAGTACATAGTGATTAGGGAGGAAATATGTCATCCTTCCTATAGTAATTAAGCATTAATTAAAGAAACATTATAGAAATGAGGACTCTGTAACAAGGATGTCTGTCTTTTTTCCCCAGGAGGTTTCCTTTGGCATTGTCATCCTTTCAAGACATTGCATAAAATGCTATTCGAATCAAGTGCAAACTATGCTTCCTTCTAACCCCAGTTCCAAAATACTCAGCCATATCAAGATTCTCATGGGTAATTCGGATAGGAAGTTTCCCATCAAAATGATAAAGTAGATTTGTCAATATCAGTGTCACAGTAGCCTATCCAAGTGACATTCCGGGACACATCCTCCTTCGATATCCAAAAGGGATGAACTCTAAGTGATTTCCCTTGCAATCACTCGGATGATCAAGGAACATTTCTGGAAAGAATTTATCACTCTCCAATAACAAGGATCTCAACCGATTGTCCAAGCATTGATGATAACTTTAGTTTGTAAAGGAATCTCATAGCCAAGGATCTCCACCCTCTCCCGAGCTTCTCTCGAAAGAAGTACAGGAAGTGCATGGTGCAATCTTAAACTCTCTTGAATAACTAAGTCATGATAAATCAGATTATGAAGATCTCCCTCGTTAACATTTCTTTTACCCCCAAATGTTTGTCTCACCTCATCTTGTGCCCTTTACATCACATTTGGATTTTTCATCAATTCATACATGGTCCACTCCAATGTTGTTGCACTTGTTTCTGTACCGGCAAATAACATGTCCTCAAGAACAACCACAGTAAAATCTAATCAGAAAGACGAATACCGTAAACTAAGTTTAATCGTTGCAATTAGAGAAATGTATGAAATATAATTTTCGACTTTAAACCACATTAAGAACGAGACTAGACTTACTTCTAAAACGACTGTTAGAATATGACTTGAATTTGATTTGGATTTGTTTTGTGTGTTTAGGCCTATTCTGTTTGGGTTTGGGATTGGGCTTTGTTTGACCTTTTCCTTGTATGTTTGGGAAAAGGTGTTTGGTTTTCTGTTTGGGATTAGGAGAAGAGTTCTATAAATACTCTTCATCACTCTAATCTGTAGTAAGGTCAGTCAGGTTAGTTTGTTTGGTTTGTCCGTTCCGGAATTTGGGTTTGTAACCTGTACTCTCCTCAAATCAGTGAAATTTGTTCTCCCCTGCTCGTGGATTAGCTAGCACGCATTGTGTTAGTGAACCACGTTACAATTTGTGTTCGTTCGTGTTGGTTTGGATTGTCGTTTGCACACTTCTGTTCTGACAAGTGGTATCAGAGCCTGGTTGTGGTTTTGGGAATTTGGCGCTGATGTTGGTGTTATCGATGAAAATAACACCAAGTTGGTTATGCATGGCAAGTCCCAACATGGGTTGGACTTGCTGCATGTTTTGATTTGTTGATCGCCCTTAGGGGCATTTGGAGGCAGGGGAGATTCTAGTACAACTGATTTGGAGGAGTTAGTACGTCTGGCAATTCTGATTGCATCTGAGTTTGGCGATTTGCATCGCGTTTGAGTTTGGTGATTTCGATCACATCTGGTACATCTGGCAACTTTGGTTGCGTCTGGGTACATTTGGCAACTTTGGTTGCGTCTGGTACATTTGGTATTTGAGAGAGAATTCAAGTCAAGGTGGAGATTGTTAGAATATGACTTGAATTTGATTTGGATTTGTTTTGTGTGTTTAGGCCTATTCTGTTTGGGTTTGGGATTGGGATTTGTTTGACCTTTTCCTTGTATGTTTGGGAAAAGGTGTTTGGTTTTCTGTTTGGGATTAGGAGAAGAGTTCTATAAATACTCTTCATCACCCTAATCTGTAGTAAGGTCAGTCAGGTTAGTTTGTTTGGTTTGTCCGTTCCGGAATTTGGGTTTGTAACCTGTACTCTCCTCAAATCAGTGAAATTTGTTCTCCCCTGCTCGTGGATTAGCTAGCACGCATCGTGTTAGTGAACCACGTTAAAATTTGTGTTCGTTCGTGTTGGTTTGGATTGTCGTTTGCACGCTTCTGTTCTGAAAACGACCGCTTTGAGGGATTGGGTAGTCAACGGGAAATCCAATTCACTTTCTATCCTCCTGAAACTTCTGCAGAATATCCACTAGACCCTCTGAACAATTAGTTGGATGTGATCCACTACATCGTCGCTACCGATACCAATATTCCGACGTCGAGCTTTGTATTCGTTGATGATGTCCTCCAGCATCGCATCAACCGCTAGATGCAACCTGGCAAGGCGCGATCGATACCCGGTCAACGCTGGAATAATTTAACGGAAGGAACAGATTTGATACTCTGAAACCGCCCCACAGTATCTGAAACCCCGGAAATGATCTCTCTCAACATCGCTTCCTTATTATTCGCCATCACATCCTCCGCCGCCATCCCAAACGCCACCCTGAACATAGAGGGAGTGTAAGGAAGTGGTTAAGTACCATACACAGGCCTGTATAAGATCCAACATAATCTTCTCCCAACAACTCGAGTTATTGGGACCAACTAGTTTATGACATGGTATCAGAGCTGGTTTGTCCATGAGTTCACGTGTTGACATGGTATCAGAGCTAGTTTATGACATGGTATCAGCCGAGTAATTACAGCACCCACAAGTCCTCACGACCCCCAATATTAATCGTTGTCCCAAGCACATGGTATGGCGGGCCTCTGCAAACTTCAAAGCTTATGAGTCGGCTTTCGTTTGAGGGGGCGTGTAAGGAAGTGGTTACTCGAGTTATTGAGACCAACTGGTTTATGACATAAAGATGACCTTTTGGGGCTCAGCAGCTCGACCACGCAGATTTTCCGCATCTGCTGCCAGTAGGGGTCGTACGGCGCCAAGGACATACGACGACGGTGGCCTGGAACCAGGGTCGGGTCGCGAAGCTCAGGTCGTGGGTTTTCATCACTTCCCCGGCGGCTTCTGGGCTTGAAACTACGACGTAGGACAACTCCCCGAGCTGGAGGCCCATCACGTGTGGGTCGTCTTTATGGGCCATGTCCCGAAGCCGGCGGTGGGGATCACCCAAATGATCAAGATCTTCTTCCCGATACGTGAAGGTGTTGTATGTTGCTCGAAATTCGAATCATTTCATATCTACCTCACGTTGTAGATTTAGTGGCTAGCCAGAATTTACTTTTGTGCAAGGTAGATCCAGATGATGATTATTTTTAATATCGTAAGGAAATTTTAAATAATTCGCAGTGTAAGAAGTATGTATATGATATCAATCTCATCAACATATCATATCAAATAATTGATAGAGTGTATTTTCTAATGATATCAACAATAGTGATACGCATGCTGAAAGAAGGGAGAGTAAGGGGAAGGGGAATAGCTCTACGTTGGAACAATGAGAGGCGAGGAAGAACAGGAAGAGAGGAGGGTATAAAAGATAGGATCTTGAGCTGCCGTAAAGCTTTGGGGCTCTGATACCATGTAAATGAAATGCAAACTTCATATATTATATTATTGATCTTGAGTAGAGATTGTAACGTTTTGCCTATTTCTAAGGAAGTGAGAGTAACTAATTAGCTAAAACTAAAGAACAGAATACATAATGGGTAGACTAAGTCAATACACTCTATCACATAAAACAATATCTCCCTAACGATATAAAGGGATTTTGCCATACCAAGTCCTTGGCCCGACATTGATAGATATATTACAATGTTCATACGCAAATGCATCCTCCAAAGCGCATCCACATGTTCTGCACTTTCAGAATCCCGCCGCCTCCAAACTCATCTAGTGACCAATGATCGCCAAGAAGCAATTTCAAGTTCATTAGTCTACCCATTATGTATTTTGTTACTTAGTTTTAGCTAAATAGTTTCTCTAATTTCCTTATAAATAGGTTATAATCTCATGTTGTATATATACTCAAGATCAATAATATACTAGATGGATTTTGCATTTCATTTACAATAATCACTTATGATTTTGTCAGTCAATTAGATACAAACGATTGTTTTTCACATCATTCAATGATTTGGAGGATTAAGTAGCAATAATGCTAAGTTACTTCTTTGTCTTTAGACAACATCTTGCTTTCACATCAAATATACATACAATTAGGGCTGGGAAACGGTATGGTCTGGTCCAGACTAGACCATATATACGGTTTATGGTCCAGACCGAGAGACTGAAGTATAGACCACAAACCAGACCACTGACTATACAGTCCGGTTCAGACCACGCCTATGCGGTCTGGTCTGGTCCATATAGACCACACTCAAAGAAAAATGAACAATTTGTTTAGTCAACCACACAAAAAATTGAACCAATAACCAAGAAAAAATTGTTTTTTGCCTTAAAACATTAATTCTAACATGCATGAATAATTTTGATACCCTAAATCTTAGTACATAACAAAGATACAAAGTAAAAGTATTCTAACTTGCACTATTAAGTCATAAACATTAACATAATGTCATATGAAAACACAATTATCTCTACTCTATGGTGAAATGTGGTCGTGAATGAAGGAGGGGTGAGATTCTAAAAATTAAGGTTGAGACTTGCGTGTCGTTGTGGTAGTTGGGAGAGTGGTCGAATGGGCTATTAACACGTATTGACAAGTCGATTAGGGTCCACGGTTTGGTCCGATAAACCGCGGTCTAGATTAGACCAAACCAAGAGATGAAAACATCAGATAATACAGATCATGAATCAGACGAGACCATACTTAACGGTCTACGATCCGGACCAAACTGTGCGATCCGGTTCGGACCATGGTTTTTCTAACGGTCTGGCCTACCTACAATAATGCAGTTGAGGTACAAAATTCGAGATATTATTTCCAGAGAATCCATCGCCAGTATAAAAGGAAACTAACTAGTTTCAACAAGAGGAAATTATGGTGATAGATAGGGGTGGGCACGTGGGTGGTTAATCCGCGGATTGACATCGATCCATCCGCAAATAATCCGACCCGCACGCAATGGGTGATTGATGTGGGTGGATTGCGAATTGTAAAATCTCTCACCCGCACTTATGTGGGTGGATGGTGGGTGGATTGCAGGTCACCCGTATGACTCGCGTCCTATTTTTACATGGAAAAATGTTGTTTCTTATTATAAATGTTAGTCAACTTTATTAATTGCTAGTTGGAGAATTGCTTTTGCGGGTTAACCCGCGACTCAACCGCACCCATTCTTCACCCACCCAACCCAACCCGCATAAGTATGTGGGTGGATTGCGGATCACATATATTTCATCCCACTAGTAAGCGGGTGGGTCAATTTTATACCAAAATCCACCCAACCCGCCCATTGCCCACCCTAGTGATAGATGGTGCCGAATCAATTTTGATCCGTGGAGGTCGCACAATCCCACTTCTATGGACAAATAGGATCGATATTCTACTGATCCAACCTTCACAACTTTTGTAGTATAACTGATAGATGATGCAATAATTTGACACAAATTGGGAAGGAAGAGGTCCAAAGTAACTTAGTCAGCAGTGACGCTAAAATGCAATTAATGGAGTGAATGACAATCACTTTCCTGTATGATGGGATTGGCACGGTCAATTATTTGCTTGTGCTTGTCTTAATTAAGGTCGTTGATAAGCTCCAATGGCCTCTAGATCGCAAAAATCAAGCGATGGAAATTGAAACATAGTAGTTATCTTGAAGATTTTTCGGTAGCTCCAACGGTATGGCCTTCTGAATTCCTGAGATGTGATTGTATTTGTAGGGACATTATCAAAGGAATCAGTTACCGGCTCGAACTAGAGGATTAATTTTTCATGTAATTTTTTACCGCTTGTATTGGAAACTTTTTCATTCATATTTTATTTTTATTTTCTTAGAATTTGATTTTCATTTTTTGTTTGTTATAATCCTCACAGTTATGAAATAAATTATGTTTTTAATAATACATAATTTAGTATGTTAGTTTGTATTGGTAACAGAAGTATGAATGAGATAGACAAAAAATATATTAAATATGATAAAAACAATAGTTTTGTGAACCCGCTAATTCCATTTCCATACACTCAATTTCCGACACTTATCATATGATTTCCAATTTCAAAATTTAGGTCAAATGGGATTCATTCTCAAATCAGTTTCAGCTCCAAACACAAACATCACAAGTGAAAATAGAATTTCATTTGCTGTTTTTAATTTCCCTATCCAATCAGAGGATTGGATATTTCATGTCGGTATGCAATATGGACACGTGTAGTCATGTCAATCAATTATGTGATCATGGAAATTTTAATTTTTTATATTATTATCAATTTCAACATTTTAAGCTAACGTGTGGTAGATTTATTAAAATTGATATACATTAAAAAAACATTCATGGTTATATCGATACATACTTCCTAATGATTATGGTTGTAAATGAGAAATCTGAAATTATATACATTTAGACGTAGAATAACAACCATAAATATATCATAACGATCATAAAAGTCTTGCATACTTGCCTACTATTTGAAGTACAAAATGACGTGACAACAACGTTCCTCCTATTTATTGCAAATAAAATCCAAAAAGGATTTGTTTTAACCATACACATGAGGGAAAAGTTGAGACAAATAAGAAACAAATTAAACATACTAATTAAGACCTTAATTAAGCATAAACATTGAAGATTCGGCTTATAAACGAGGATGATGAACATGAACCTCAATCTTTTCCAAGAAGTTGCACTCCGTCTTGCCATCCTTCCAAGCAGTTGTCGTATGGTATTGGAATCAAGTGCAGGCTATATTTTCTACCAACCATGGAACCAAAACTCTCAGACATATCAAAATTCTCGTGAGTAATTCCAGTAGAGAGTTTCCAGTCAAAGTGATATAGTAGATTTGCTAGTATCAGTTTCACAGTAGCTAATGCTAATGACATTCCAGGACACATCCTTCTTCCGGAACCAAAAGGGATGAATTCCAAATTGTTCCCCTTATAATCAATTGGATGATCAAGGAACCTTTTCGGGAAGAACTTGTCGGCTTCTTTCCAATAACGAGGATCTCGCCCAATAGCCCAAGCATTGACGATAACTTTAGTTCCGGAAGGGATCTCATAGCCAAGGATCTCCTTCCTCTCTCGAGCTTCTCTCGGAACAAGCAAAGCAACTACAGGGTGCAATCTTAAACTCTCTCGTATAACCAAGTCTAAATAAGTCAGATTATGAAGATCCTCCTCGTCCACCTTTCCTTTACAGGCAAACGTTCGTCTCACCTCTTCTTGTGCTTTATGCATCACACCCGAATTCCTCATCAATTCGGACATGGTCCATTGTATTGTTGTTGAGCTCGTTTCGGTACCAGCCAAAAACATGTCCTAATTAAAAATAATCGTTTTTTTTTTTTTGAGAAAAATCAAGAACGAGCTTCAAAATCATCGTGGGACATGATGGACACTTACCAAAACGACTGCTTTGATGGATTCGGTGGTCAACGGGAAATCCAGTTCGGTTCCATCCTCCTGGAGATTGAGAAGAATATCCACCAGATCCTCGGAATGTTGAGTTTGGCTACGATGATCCGCCGCAGCGTTACGACTGATTCGACGTCGAGCTTTGTGTTCGTTGATGATGTCCTCAAGCATCGCATCAGCCGCTAGATGCAACTTGACAAGGCGTGATCGATACCCGGTCAACGCGGGTAGGAATTTAAGAGAAGGGAACAGATCCGATACTCTGAACCCGCCCACAGCCTCTGAAATCCCCGAGATGACCTCCGTGAAAATCGCTTCCCTGTTATTCACCGTTATGATCTCCTCCGCCGCCATCCCGAACGCCGCCCTGAAAGTAAAGCTGCACGTCGACGACACCAAAAGCTTGCCGACGTCGACGCCCACGCCGCCGCCCGCAGCGCGGATGGCGGCGGTGAGCTTGGCGGCTTCGGATTCCCTGACGGGGCGGAGAGAGAGGACTCTCTTGGAGCTGAGGAGCTCGACCACGCAGATCTTGCGCACCTGCCGCCAGTAGGCGCCGTACGGCGCCAGTGCGATGTCCTTGGCGCCGTAGAATACGACGTCGGAGACCAGGAGCCGGGGCCGCGTCGCGAAGCTGAGGTCGTGGGCTTTCAGAACTTCCGCGGCGGCCTCTGGGCTGGATATGACGATGTAGGAGAGCTCACCGAGCTGGAGGCCCATAACGTGTGGGCCGTGCTTTTGGGCCAGATCCCGGAGGCGGTGGTGGGGTAGCTCGCAGATGAGCTGGTGGAGGTTTCCGATCACCGGCAGCTTCCGTGGGCCTGGTGGTGATTTTTTCTCCACCAAGCGACGTCGTCCTGGTCTGAGGTTTGGGATTAGTGCTATTGATATCGCTCCCAGGATGATTAGTATAGTAATTATGAGTGTGATTAAGGGGATGCAGGAGAAGTATTCGAGCAGTAGAGCCATTGATGACGATATCAATGGATTGGTGTAGAGTGTAGATGAATGGGAGGGCTAACCTATCCATAATGATGTTGTTATAGAGGCTGGAGATGGTCTGCTATCCATTTTCCAATCCCTATCTATTATTGGATTTCCGGAGATTTCTTGTCGGATATCCCACCAACATACTCCCTTCCACTTTTTATCCTTCTTAATTGTTTCTCTAATTTATACAATTAACTTCACCATCTAACAGAATTCTATGTGAAGAGTGAAGTGATTTGATAGGGCGATAACTGGGAAGTTGACATTTGCAAATTGAAAAACTGTATGCTCCATATAAATAAAATGAAAGTATGGTATAGAAAAAAAGGGTATGGTCGATTATTTTTCATGGACCACTTTTAAGTACTATTGTATTTGTCTCTTTGTCATGCATGGGTGATATTTTTATGTCCATTTCACTTTCTTTTATCTTTGTCATGGATATTTTCGGAGGGAAGTAGTATAGATACGACAATATACAAGATCTAGTGAGACGAGAATTAGGAAATTGAAATAAGAAAAATACGATGATCGACAAGTGTCTGAACCATCGCTTCAAGGACTTGATGTCACGATATGAGCATGCTTATTATACCTACGAGGAGTGAAATGGAATGTACCACGAAGTAACGAAGCCGAAAACACCTAAATCTCTTGCATGATAGCTCCATCCACTGTATACGATGAATCCCTCGTGTTGACCATCTGATGAATCATCTACGCACACCAGAAAAACAAGATATTGAAAAAGTAGTGAACCAAAACACCAACGAATAGCATCTCAGAAAGCCGAGAGCTCAATAAACAGAGGGATCAACGATAACTTGACTATTCACACGACAGGCTAAACCTTATTTGATAACAGCCATATAATTGTATTCAGAGGGCAGACCTATGTTGTCCCAAGGGTATTCAACTGACAAACCTTGGTTTTTGAATTGGGACAAAAAGTTAGCGGAAAAAATTGTTTTGGTGATAATAGTATTGAACTCAACGTCATTTGACAACCTAGGGATGGCAATGGGTTGGGTTGGGAAAAAACCCAAAGTAGTTCGGGTTTTAGTTTTACCCATAGCCATACCCACATAAGAAACGGGTAGAAAATCAAAACCATGCCCATACCCGTTAGGGTCTCGAGCATCCACGGTTATCCATGGGTAATAATTTCTCTTTATAACTCCAACCAATATGTTAACATTTACACGTAGTCTCACATTAAATAAGAGAAAAAGTACGAAAATAATTCACTATGATGAAGAGAATTAATTGAAACAACACAATTTCATGAAAATATTATATTTATGTTAGAGAAAAATAATCATTATTTCTAGACAAAATACATATGCATGTGTATAATCGAGCGGGTTCGGGTTGGATAGTGAGAAAACCATGCTCACCCTTTACCCGCAATATTCGGGTTCGGGTTTTACCCGTACCCATTAAAAGTTCCTCGGATTCGGATGGATATCCACAGTTACAGAAAACTAATGTGTTTGTTAGCAGTACTATTTTAAGAACTTGAATTTATTTTCAAATCTATTAATTTTTCCAAACAATTCATTAATTCTTATGTTCCTCTTTGGAAAAAACCCTTTTAAGAACCCAACTCCAATTCTTACCAAATCAAATATCAATTTATAGTTGATTTCTTGGTAGCATTTATTGAAAGAGTTGCAAGTCACAACATAAATAATTAATATATTTTTACAATTCAAAAATATAAAACCAGGTATGACTTGTTTAAAATGATGATATTATCTAAAATATGAACTAAAATTTTGTTATACTCTTGAACACCCTTGAAAGATTTTCTGGGTCCGCCACTAATTGTATTTCACCTTTTATAAAAGCGAGTTTAATCACAATGCCCTTTTCTCGCCTTTTTATATAATTTATAGTAATCATTATGATTATTTTGTAGGATACGTCGGTCGTTTGAATGGATTAATTGTCAATGTGGTATTTATAGAGTCAAATAACTCATTAATTGTTCATGTGGTATTTTAGTGGTATTTGGATTAAAGTATCTTGTTTGATAGAACCATGCAAATGTGGTTCAAATAACATTGTAAGTTATTTGGTGTCCTCAATGTATTGTTTAAATGATAATTATATTTTGTACAAATTTCTCTATGAGTTATAAAAATGGAGATTACAAATTATTTTATTATACATTTTCTCAAATTTTTGGACGCAGTTTAAAAGAATACCGACTACACTACTGGCAATAATCAATTCGTCAATGCACGATATGAATTGATTTGTTCTATGATAGGATTCTCGAGATAAAATATCAAATTTGAGTATTGCAAATATCACATATTTTGTCATTTGTTCTCGATCAAAATAACATTATGAAGAATTGTTATCAGCACATAAAGATTATCGAATCAAATTCACCTGGACAGGAGTATGGTTGGTTCTAAAATGGGCCACTACGTCCATTGACGCGATTTAAAGCAACCATAACATTACTCATTTATTTATTTTCATACCAAGTCAAATAGAAAACTTGTCTTACAGGAAAAAACACAAATGAAGAAAATTCAATGATATTGAAATCATACACAAACAAAAATAGATAACAACAAAAACCAGAAAACTAGGCATTGAAGAACAAATTTAGTACGACGAGCATGACTCTCTATATTTCAGGACCTTATGTTCTTCACTTTTGTCAGGGTATCATGTGCTCCGTACTGGAATCAAGCACAAGCTATGTTTTCTTCTAACTGTCGCAGCAAAACATTCGGTCATGTCTAGATTTTCAGGGGTTGTTCCAGTAGGGAGGTACCAGTCGAAATGATAGAGTAAATTTGCTAATACAAGTTTCACCATAACCAATCCAAACGACATTCCAGGACACATTCTCCTTCCAGAACCAAAAGGGATAAATTCGAAATCTTTCCCCTTAAAGTTAGTTGGACGAACAAAGTACCTTTCTGGAAGAAATTTATCAGGTTCTGTCCAATATCGAGGATCTCTTCCAATGGCCCAAGCATTGATAATTACTTTAGTCTGAGAAGGAATCTCATAGCCATGGATCTCTGTCCTTTCTCTGGCTTCCCTAGGAAGAAGTAAGGGAAGTGCTGGGTGTAGTCTTAAACTCTCTTGAATAACTAAATCCAAGTAAGTAAGATTCGAAAGACCTTCTTCGTTAACGTTTCCTTCACCACCAAACATTTTTCTCACTTCTTCTTGTAATCTCTCCATCACACTTGGATTCCTCATCAGTTCGGACATGGTCCACTCTACTGTAATTGATGTAGTTTCAATGCCGCCGGAGAACATGTCCTAATATCAACCAATGGAAAATTAATATAAGATGAAATTGCATGTTATGAGACGAGTTTTCATGTAGCAATATGAGTGCACGAATAGATTTGCCAAATCCTACATTAAGCATATCATCATCGGGCCAAATTCGGTACCTCAAACATTTCAAATTCGTGAGTTTTATAGTTCAAGAGGCGTACCATAATGATAGCTTTGATGGTATCGTTGGTCAACGGGATCCCCAAGTCATGACTTCCATCCTCCTGCTGATTAAGAAGAATATCCACCAAATCCTCCGATTCATCAACATCAGCAGCATCGCTCCTTCCTCTACCGCTTCGCCGGGCTCTGTGTTCATCAATGATCTCCTGCAGCAAGCCATCAACCCCCAGATGCAACTTCGTTAGGTGAGATCTAAACCCGGTCAACGCCGGAAGAAATCCGACCGACGGGAACAGATCCGACACTCTGAACGTCCCCACGGACTTGGACATCTCAGCAATCAGCCCGGAGAACACCAATTCCTTCTTCGCCGCCATCCCGAACGCCGCCCTGAAAGTGAAACCGCTCGACGCCGCCATCACGAGCTTCCCTAGGTCAACGGCGCTTCTCCCCCCGCCTAAGGCGGCGGAGGAGACGGCGGCGTTGAGCTTGGAGACCTCGGATTCCCTGATGTGTCGGAAAGACGAAACCCTCCTCGCGCTCAGCAGCTCCACCACGCAGATCTTCCGGATCTGACGCCAGTAGGCGCCGTACGGCGCCAGGGCGACGTTTTTGGCGCCGTAGAAGACGATCTCCGAGGCGAGGAGGTACTGCCTGGAGGCGAAGGTCAGGTCGTGGGCTTGCAGCACTTCCCTGGCGGCTTCTGGGCTTGAGGCCACGATGTAGGAGAGCTGGCCCAGCTGGAGGCCCATCACGTGCGGGCCGTGCTTTTGGGCCAGATCCCGCAGCCGGTGGTGGGGCTGGTTGCAGATGAGCTGGTGGAGGTTTCCAATCACCGGCAGCTTCCGTGGCCCTGGTGGTAATGGTAATTTGTCGGCGGAGCGGCGTCGTCTGGAGAATCCTGATACGAGGATGGCCGTGGCTACGGTGAGTAAGAAGAGGAAGGGGAGAGAATATTCCGGCAGTACTAGAGGTAGAGCCATTTTTGTGTATTATTGATGGGATCAGTTCAAATCGGTGGATGATGGTGGAAGGGGAAACAATAAATAAAGTCTCGTTCCCCGACCAAATTAATCAATTAAATATTGATTACATTACCTACTACCACTGCACTGTTTTTCTGTTTTCACCTTTTTAGTGTGTCGATGAAGAACTTATCGTCTAGGGGTCGTTTGGATGAGGAATTCTAATGGATCAATCTGACACAATTATCTCGTTTTAAGCATGGTAAAGGAAACCGTACCGGAAGTCATACCGGATCCGTCAGTGGTAGGGTATTTTGTGGTACTACCGTGGTTCAATCGTTGTGTACCGGAAAATACCGTTTTTGTAATTAAAAAAATATTTTTTTGTTAAAAAACCGTACCGGCAGATTCAGGATACCGTTTCGGAATAATACCGGAAAAAACCGGAATATACCGGATAACATAAAAAGTCCCTTTTAAACTAGTTAATGTTTGAACTAGTTAATGTTTTATTTAGATAAATAAGAAGTCCCTTTTAAACTTTTAGTTGTATTATTATCTAATTTCTCGCTATTATTTTTTTAATTCTTAATATTCTAAATTCTAATTGGACGTGGTAGTCTAGTGACCACATATCGCACAAGACCTAATTAACCCTACCATCCTTACCTTTTCCCCTTCCTCTGTTCTTTTTCTTATCTTTCCCCTTCCATCTTCCGCCGCTCCTCTGTTCTTTTTCAGTTTTCTTATCTTTCCCCTTCCATCTTCCGCCGCTCCATTCATTTCAATCTATATTATCTCTACATCTATGGTGTTGAAAATGAAGGATGTCTTTCCATTCCCTCCTACGGTCTCCCTCTCGGAGTTCACTGGCAGAGCAGCGGCGGAGAAGAGTGGCAGAGCAGCGGCGGAATAGAGGCGTGCCCTGGTCGCCGGTCGTTTTCTTCTTGAGCCGGTGCTGGAGACGATCGCCGGTCGTCGAGCAGAGGCAGAGAGGACCGCCGGTCGTCGAAGGAGGGAGGGTCGCCTTCTCGTCCTCGAAAAGAAGAGGAATCGCAGCGGCAGCGGCAGCGGCAGCAAACGAAGGTCGAAGAGATGATTTAGGGTTTTGGTTTTAGGCTTCGGCCGATTAATTTTTTTTTTCTTCCCCTTCCCTAATGCAAAACGACGCCGTTTCCTTTATATCTGCTCACCCCCGGTTAGACCAAAACCGGGCGGTTTTTTGAGTTGAGCCGGTTGTGCCAGTAAAACCGACCGAAACGGCAGTATCCCCGCAGTCCGTCTGTCGTACCGGTCAGGCACCGAAATCCGGTTTTACCGGTTCGACCGGCCGGTCCGATCCGGTTTAATTTACTATGGTTTTAAGTCAATTGTGCTACATTGATCCGTTTGGCAGCATAAAATTTGGATGAAGCAATTTGGGCTGGGGAATTCTGAATTGACTCATTTTGAGCCAATTACAATTGTCTAGGGTGGGGGCAGGTAATCTGAATTTACTTGTTTTAAATGACTCGTTTTGTAAAATGAAACAATTGGTCAAATTGTCTAGTTTTACAATGGATCCATCCAAACAAGACCGAGTATAACCCTAGTTAGTAATGGATGTCTATTAGTAATGAATTCCTTTTAGGATGTGTTTGGACAGAAGGATTTGTATTTGGTAGTTGTGAATTGGATTCTCCAATGTCAAATCATTTGTTTGGATATTAATTAATTGTATTTGATATTTGGATTTGTGTCAAAATCATGGGGCGATTCTCAAATACAAGTCTAGTATTACTTGTCAACTTCAAATACATTCAAACAACTAGTGATTTGAAATTCCTCCTAACAAAAGATTGGATTTGTTTGTGACATTTTAAAAGTTCAGGTACTATCGTGTGAGGAAAACTATATTAAGGTACCAAAATGTAATTTTATCACTTAAATTCCAGGACCACTTTGTAAAATTTTAAACGTTATTTTTCGATAAGTATTTTTTTTAACGTTTGGGTACTTAAATTGTAAGGAAAAAATAATTTTGGGTATTAAAATGTATTTTCCAAATTTTATCGTAAGTGACCATAAATTTAGAATAAAAAACCTAAACACCTAAAATACCAACAAATTACGAATGAGTAACCAAACAACGAATTTGAAATACACATATCCAAACACACCTTTTTGTGATCCCGATATCTTCTCTTTTAATAAGTACTAGTGTGGGCCCCAGCCAGTTGGCCGGAGGAAGTTGAGGTATGAAATTTGATAATGTAATGGGATGTATTGCTTATTATTGTATAGTTTTTTTTTTTGGAAACACGTGATAAAAATAGTGAATTTTATTAGGAAAGAGACATGAATGAGGCAATGAATCAAAAATCGTCCTTATGAACCAAAATAAGTACCTGCTACCTTGTGAAACAATATTGTTTCTCGTAATATGATGAGGTGGAGTAAGTTTTATAGAAACCGAATTCCATAAAATCGAATAAAAAATCGCCTATTCCGTCGGTTTTCGGGAAATGAGCATCTCACAATCGTTGCTAGCTTTTACTCGGCTAGTTGGTCGATTAATTTGCTTTATAAAACTTTCATCTTGTCGTCATTGTGCTTTCTGGTTTTTGTCAGGCCATGATAAAATCTAAGGAAATCAAGAACGAACAACACGATTTGGGATAGGAACCACCGTTGTCGTATCCCTAGAAAATGGTGGTAAACACGGACTCACCTGCCAAACTGGTTTGGATTGAGATTTTTATCGGGTATCAGGGAAACATGTGATTATAAATTAGACTTAATCAAACCGGCCAAAACTTGAAATTCAGCCTGTTTGATCGACCCATGCCAAATTCTAATTATTCTTTACTTTTAAACTTTCTATTTGAAAATAAAAAATAGTGAAAGAAAAGAGATGACTGCAATTCGTCATTTGCACATCACTTATTCGGGAATAAAACCATAGAAATTCAAAAGGAACTATAAATGTTTAGGATCGTTTTAATATTTAAAATAACCAAATAGATCTTTCTATTTAGTTTTTTACTAACAAATATCAAACAATTCCCTATAAAATAAACTATAATTTGATCATTATGATATCAAATAATTATATAATATATATTTGAAATGATAAAAATTGGACTAATCGGGTTGGTCGAGGTTGAACCATTGAATAACTTTAAAATACATTATATTTTAGCCACTAATATATAAAATAATAGCATAATATATATTATGCCAGAGAAAATAGCTTGTTTTAGAATGTCAAACCAATGATGTTCATTTGTTTTACTTGATGACCAAATCCCGTGTAGGTCAGGCCCATTCAACACTTTTATTTTATGGTTAGCGGTTAGCCCATTAGATACCATGCATTAGTTTATTGTTAAATTTTTTATTTTTAGCAATAAAAAGAAGTATTGTTTTTGTCTTTTCATATATATTTTATCACCACGGAGAAATAAAAGGGCTTAATGAAAAAAATTGACACTCCTGAACCCGTTTAAATCCGCATGTGTAAGGTAAGTTGGCCCGTTCCACAGAGGAAAGAGAAAAAAATTGACACACCATATTCTACCATTCCTACAAACGCTCCTGGAGCAGGGAATTTGAAATGGGGGAAGAGTTTTTTTTCCTCCCTGCTATTATATGTTTTTAATTTAAAAAGATACAACTAATGTACTTAGTGTGATAGGTTATGATCCTTACTTTTCCTTAAAAAATTTGAAATGGAGCTTTAATGAATAAAAAAAGTAATTGTGAAGACCAAAATGTCCTTCCTACTTTCACTCTCGTTGCAGGAAATTTGAAATGGAGCTCCCGTTTTTCCCTTCGATGTATTATATTATGTGTAGATTCAGATTTCTCAAGTCATTAAACACATAATTTGGCATATTGAGTTGGCACCCGCACAACTCAAGTTGAGGAGTCTCAATGTAAAAACTATTTAAGATTCCATTCTATGGTTGGTGATGCTGCCTTTTAGCAGCTTAAGGTACTAAATAGTAAATTCACAGCCTTAGCATATGTGAATTGTGTGGTTACTTACAGGGGCGGAGTTAGGATTTGACCGTCGAGGGGCCGAAGTTTAAAAAGTGTATCATGTCGAAGAAAATATATCATAAAATATAATATTTATTTATAATTTATTTGCAATATTTGAGATAAACAAATCGCCAGAGCTATTATTAGAAATATAAATTTAAAATTTGAAGGACATAATTAAGCTACTTCAAAGTTACATGACTTATAAAAAAAATTATAAAAGTTAAATATGCTTCATGGTAAAACTAAATTAACAAGGTTAAAAAAAATATGGTCTTTGGTCACGCTCAATTAAGAAGGTTAAAAACAATTAAATATGGGTTTTGATCACAGTCTGTTAAGAAGTTTAAAAAATCAATAACAATTAGCTGCCAAAAGGTCTCGAACCAAGACCATGGAAGGCCATAATCAAATTCTGCTCCGGTGGACTACAAGCCAATCCCATGTTCCATTATTGAACACAGTTTGTATTTATACTAATCTTCATTTTCTATGTAATTATTCTAACATCGATAGAATTTGGTACGTGATTTCAAAATTCTCGGGGGGCCGGGCCCCCCGAAACTCCACCTAGCTCCGCCCCTGGTTACTTATGAGAATAAGACATCACTGATGCCAATTAATTTATACATGGATGTGGTTGACATACCAACAAACATAATAATAATAATAATAATAATAATAATAATAAAGACAGGCCAATGTACTTCAACCTCAAACTTCAACTATGAACAAATACAACACCGTTCATAGTACTGATTTATTTTCTATATTTTTGTTTGACTTTTCCTCAAAAATTTGATTTTTTTCTTAAATGTGAGGAACCTTTTCTCAAAAGTCGAAGGAAACTATGTTTGGTACGAGTACAGAAAAACTAAAGGCATAGGAAGCGATGTATTTATTTATTATTAGTATTTATTTATTATTAGAAAAATAATCAATGGGATGATGAACAATTTGTTTAGTAATAAAGTAGTCCCCAAACTTGCAACCCCTTACTTGGATTTAGCGTATCAAAATTATGTATGAGTGTTGAAATTTAAGTTTAAAACAACGAAAAAAATTGTTATTGGGTTCAACTTTTGGTGTGGTTTACCAAATACATGGTTCATTTTTTACTAAATGTATTCTACCTAATTTCGACCATACAGTACCACACCATAGTCGTGTTAGACCTTGGTTTGTACTCAAACTTTTTGTTCTGGACTAGATCGCGACTGTGGATAAGATAAGTAACCCTATGGTGTATAACTTTGTATAACTAAATCTGGACTCTTCATTTTAAGTGAGCCCTAGATCTAAGGGTTGAAAATGAAAACTAAATACTTTTGGTGTGGCATAACCGTATCATTCCATCTCCTTTGTAACCGTACACCGTATTCGTATTTCCCCTCAACCCCACCTCGCTCCGAACTCAATCTCCATTCTCCACCCACCGAGAACTCGTGACTCACTCACTAGCCCCCTCTCTCTCTCTCTCTCTCTCCCCCTTCTCTCTGTCTGAACTCTGAAGTGACCTGAAAATGGATTTGAAAGCCGCTATTTTCAGGCAACTTTGAAGAAAGAGAAGCGCCATCTCCAAATCCTCCCCCCTTCCACTCACTCACTCCACAACTCGGCCGACTGTAAGAAGAAAGTAGATCTACTAGGGTTTTTGGTGAAGAGAGCTCAAAAGCTTGAGATCTTCTTTTCTGGATTGCCCATATATATATGTACAGAGATACATTAAGGAAGTAAAGCAACGGCTAATAAATAGTAAAGGCTAACTAACTAATTAAACTATCCACTCCTAGCCAGTCACGTGTTCTCAATCAACTAGTTACACTGTTTGTTCCGGTCTAGCCAAACGTCGTCGTTCTTCTTATCTTCATTGCGAACAGACCAAGGGAAACGGCGGCGTTCTGGACTCGCCCTTTTGCTGAGATTAGAACGCCACCGTTTCGTTCTTATATATACATCAATGATCTGGGAGTGGTTCATCCTTGTTATTCACAGCAGCAGCTCCTTGTTCTTCAGGGCATTGCTTGTGCAGGCTGCTGCTGCTCCATCTGGATTGGTCATGTTCTCCATTACGCCCCCACAAGCTGGCGAGTATCGTCCTAATACTCCCAGCTTGCTCATGAGAAAGTTGAACCTGTCAATGCCTAGGCTCTTGGTAAACACATCTGCCAATTGATAGTTAGTAGAAACATGATGTAAATCGATCAAACCACTTTCTAAGCGCTCCCTGATCACGTGACAGTCGACCTCTATATGTTTGGTCCTTTCATGGAACACTGGGTTCCTTGCAATGTGTATTGCAGACTGACTGTCACAGTAAACAACAGCTGGGTGTGAATGAGTGATTCCAAAGTCTGTGAGCAGCCTTACTAGCCATTGGATTTCACAACTTAAGAGTGCCAACGCTCTGTATTCAGCTTCTGATGATGATCTAGAGACTGTGCTCTGCTTCTTTGCCTTCCAACTTATCAGGCTAGTTCCTAAAAACACACAAAAACCTGTTAAGGATCTCCTTGTATCAGGACAGGTGGCCCAATCTGAGTCACTATATCCTGTCAATTGAATTGCTGCCTTGCTGGAATAGAACACACCATGTCCTGGTGAGTTCTTTAGATATCTGAAAACCCTGTGCAGTGCCTTGAGATGCACAGTTGTAGGAGAGTCCTGGAATTGACACAACTGTTGTACTGCAAACGTGATATTTGGTCTTGTGCTGTTTAGATATTGTAACTGTCCAAGTAAATGTTTGAAGTTCTGGATGTTCAAGTATGGCTCACCATCTGCTGCAGAAAGAACTTGCTTCACACTAGATGGTGTCTTGGCTGGTTTGCACTCGTCAAAACCAGCCTCCTTTAATAATTCTATGCAATATTTCCTCTGTGAAACATGTATTCCTGCTGCTGTTCTGTTGATCTCTAATCCCAGGAAGTACTTCATTTCACCCAGATCCTTCATTTTAAATAGTGATCCCAACAACTTTTTCACTGAATTGACAGCTTCAAGGCTTGGACTACGTACCAGTATATCATCCACATATACAATCACAACCACAAGGTTTCCTGTAATCTCAGTAAGAAAGATTGAATAATCAGACTTTGACTGTTTGAAGCCATTAGCAAGTAAGGATTCTGTCAACTTGGCATACCACATCCTACTTGCTTGTTTCAAACCATAAAGTGATTTCTTAAGTTTGCAAACCTTCCCTTTGTACTCTGGTTTCTCTCTCAAACCTTCAGGTAGTTCCATATAAACAACCTCTTCTAAATCGCCATTAAGAAAAGCATTATCAACATCCATTTGGTGCAAATGCCAATTCTGGATGGAGGCAATTGCTAGCAGCATTTTCACTGAGGTTAGTTTAGCCACTGGAGAGAAAGTGTCACAGTAATCTATTCCATAGATTTGGGTGTACCCTTTTGCCACAACTCTTGCTTTGAACCTTTCAATGACTCCACTGGGCAGAAATTTAACTTTGTACACCCATTTGTTACCAATTGGCTTCACTCCCTCGGGTAAGTCAGTGATCTCCCAAGTGTTGTTTTCATAGAGTGCTTTAATCTCATCTGTCATTGCTGCATTCCATCTAGGGTCAAGTGCTGCTTCAGCATAAGAGGATGGCTCAACGACAGCAACAATGGTGAGTGCAAAGTGCTGCTGGTGAGGAGTAAGATGCAGCAAATCAAGGGGTATTGAATTGGGAGAGTCACTGACTTGCATGCTACCAACATAAAAGTCATTAAATTTCCTTGGAAACACACTTTGCCTAGTGGACTTCCTAGGTTGCTCTACTGGTGGTGGTGAATGGTGAGAAGTAGAAGGGGTAGAATGTGGTGATGGAGACCTTGGGACAGATCTGGATGCAGATCTAAAAGGTGATTCAGCAGGAGAAACAACTGGTGAAGGTGATGTGTGAGGGGTAGATGTAGCAGGTGGAGAAGAAAACCCTGCTAACTCAGGCTCAACAAAGGGTAGAGGTTCAGGACGAATTGAATCCTCTGAACTTGGAGAAGACATGGGAACAGGAAAGAGATTGGTAGTACTCTCAGCTGTTCCAGAATCTGGAAGGGAGTTGGGATGCCTATAAGGCAAGATATCCTCATAGAAAATAACATCCCTATTGACAAATACTCTCTTAGTATTGATGTCAAGAAGCTTAAAACCTTTAATGCCAGTTGGCAAACCCAGGAAAACACACTGATTAGCTCTAGGGTCAAACTTATGTTTATGGCCTTCTACCACAGTTGCATAGGCCAAACAACCAAAAACTTTTAAACTCATGTAATCTGGGGGCACTTTGTGTAACATTTCAAAAGGGGTTTTGTGGTTTAAGACAGGAGTTGGTGTTCTGTTTATGAGGTAGGCAGCATGGAGGACAAAGTCACTCCAGTAAGACAATGGTAGACCAGATTGTAGTTTAAGGGATCTGGCCACATTCAAAAGGTGCTGGTGTTTGCGTTCTACCCTACCATTTTGTTGTGCTGTGTAAACACAGCTCATCTCATGGACAATTCCATGAGTGCTGTAAAATTCTGGCATGTGAAACTCTTTGCCTTGATCTGATCTGATGGTTTTAATGGGAACATTGAACTGTGTGTGGACCATAGTGCAAAAAGACTGCAAGACAGGTCTAGCTTCTGCCTTGGATTTTAAAAGGAAAACCCACACAGCCCTACTGTAATCATCAACTACAGTAAGAAAGTAAGAGTAACCATCTCTAGAAATGCAATTAAGTGGCCCCCAAATATCTGTGTGAATGAGTTCAAACATTTGACAAGAAACAGAACTACTAAGAGGGAAAGGAAGCCTCTTTTGTTTAGCCAAATGACAAACTTCACAGTGCTGTGTCAAAGGTAAAACAACATCATTACATGTTTGCTTAATCTCTTTCATTCTAGACAAAGAAGGGTGTCCTAATCTGGCATGCCAGATATTGAAATCTTGACTGTGAAAATTGAAAACTCCTGCTGCAAAACTTTGTTGGTCTCTATGGGTGGCAAATTCCTGACCTTTGGACTCTGTAAACAGGTAAAGACCTCCATCCACTTGGGCTAAACCAATCCTCCTCCGAGTAATAAGGTCTTGAATGACACAGAAATTGGATTTAAAAACTAAGGAAACTGGATGATTGGTGGTAAGTTTACTTACAGAAACCAAATTGTAAGTAAAGGAAGGAACAAAAAGAACTTGAGTCAGAAAGAGTCCACAAGGCAAAGTAATGATCCCAATGTGAGTTGCTTGAACTCTTTGCCCATTTGGCAGGCTAATGTAAACCTTGTCAATAGGTTTACTTTTGAGGAAGAAGCTCTTATCACAAGTTATATGATCTGTAGCTCCAGTATCCAAAATCCAAACTCTTCTATGAAGAAATTGTGAGTTACTAGGTAAAGCCTTGTTACCTGAAGAACTTGCAGCAAAGTGTGAGGCAGGAGGTGTGGATCTTGTGATCAAATTTGCAGCTGGTTGGTTCACAGAAGGAGCCCTCATCACCATAGCAGCATTGTGTTGCACATGTGGTGAGCTTGGTGGTGAGGGTTGGTGACTTTATCAGCATGGCCCTCAGTTTATCAAGCTGATCTGCTGTTAAAAGTGTCGAAAGGTTCACTTCTCCCTCTGATCTCCCTCCTGAACCTGTATTAGATCCTCCTGTGTCACTCAAGTGGCTGTCAACAGAACCAGCAAAAGGTATGCCTTCTTCTCTAGACTGCTTGTTCTTCAGTCTATAACACTCTTGGATAGTGTGGTTCTCTTTCTTGCAGTACCTACACCATTTCTTTCCCGCAGTTGTGTAGTCTCTTGGATTCCTTGATCCTTGACCCTTTGGCTGCTTTGACTGGTTACCTGCTGCCAGCAAAGCAATAGATTCCACTCTTCCTTTGTTTGGGTTTAACCCTTTCATCTGTCTCTCCAGTTGTACCATCTGCTTGAACACAGATTCAATGCTAGGAAGCTGTGCATTCATAAAAACCTGTGTTTTTGCTGCTTGGTAAGTATCATTAAGTCCTTGCATAAACTTAATGATCAAATCTTCTTCATGATACTTCTGGATTGTGTAGTATGGGCTATTAGGACAAGGGCAACAAGGAATGGGTCTATGCATGTTATACTCCTGCCACTTTGTGGTTAAAGCTGTATAATACTGTGTCACACTCTGATCTCCCTGCACCAGTTTTGACACCTGTTCTTTCAATTCATATACCCTGATGAAATCAGCCTGACTAAACCTTTCCTTCAGATTACCCCAAACATCTTTAGCAACCCTATAAGGCACTACACTGTTTGCAATATCATCTGACAAAGAATTGTAGATCCAGCATCTAACTGTGCTATCGCACCTATGCCAAGATGGCCAAATAGGATCTTCTACTTCAGGAACTGGAATCATCCCATTCACGAATTGAAGTTTGTTCTTGGTATTGAGAGCCAGTTCCATTACCTGACTCCATAAGTTGTAGTTCTGATCTGTGAGCTTCATTGTGATGATGGTGGTCAGACCTCCATCATGTGCTGGAAGATAGTAAGGGTTGAGGTATGGATCTTCATACCTCGGCACCATAGATTGCTGATTTCTCTGTTGGCCGTTTTTGTTCTCTGAGGCGGTCTCATCTTCCTGACCTCCTGCAGATCCAGTGGCTTGAGTGGACATTGTAAAGGTTGTAGAAAGCTAGGTGGTAATTCTAGCGAAATGGAAGCAAAATGAGCTCTGGTTATGGCCAACCAGGCTCTGATACCATAAGAAGAAAGTAGATCTACTAGGGTTTTTGGTGAAGAGAGCTCAAAAGCTTGAGATCTTCTTTTCTGGATTGCCCATATATATATGTACAGAGATACATTAAGGAAGTAAAGCAACGGCTAATAAACAGTAAAGGCTAACTAACTAATTAAACTATCCACTCCTAGCCAGCCACGTGTTCTCAATCAACTAATTACACTATTTGTTCCGGTCTAGCTAAACGTCGTCGTTCTTCTTATCTTCATTGCGAATAGACCAAGGGAAACGGCAGCGTTCTGGACTCGCCCTTTTGCTGAGGTTAGAACGCCACCGTTTCGTTCTTATATATACATCAATGATTTGGGAGTGGTTCATCCTTGTTCTTCACAGCAGCAGCTCCTTGTTCTTCAGGGCATTGCTTGTGCAGGCTGCTGCTGCTCCATCTGGATTGGTCATGTTCTCCATTAGACTGCGACATCCCCTCTCGCCCCACCATTCCATTATAGAACCACCGTAGCACCCGCCGCTCATTGGCGCAGAGCTGGATCACTCCGTTCTCCTCTTCGGATCCGGCGTATTACTGTTGCTACTTCTCGAGTTTTTCTCAGTCAGATCCTCCCGGATTCCTTCCCCCGAAATCTAGCCGGTTCCTTCTGATGGACTTGTGACTACTGCTGCGCTTGCTCGAGCTATAGGTAAGTTGGGGAATGCCGCGACTTAGACTTTTCCCGATTGCCTGCCTGTTTGGTTACTGAAATAGTGCTAGTTACTTTAGTTTATCCGAGAGTGTATGTAGCTGTTAAATGCGAGTGAGATTCAGGTGATAGTCAGTGGGTCTTAGTGTGAGCATATTCGTTTGGTCTGGGTGGGGTTAGCATCTTGCAATTTGATTACTCGTTGGGTTCGCTTGTGCTTGCGGCTAGTAGATCATATTCCAGTTATGGATTTGGGTCTTTAGAATGCGTTTGGGGTTTGTGATTAGATATAACATACTGTTCAGCGGATTTCTCTGGAAGCTTACTGTTCATAAGAGTGAGTCTACCTGTTTGGATGTTTTCCCTCACTCGAATTTGTGTTCTGGAATCTAATGGATTGAATTTTGGTTTATTGGAAAGCGGATTTCACTTGATGGAGTTGAGGGTTGTTTTTAAGTGTCCAAGTTATGGTAGATAGCTGTAATTGGAACTGCCATTGTGACCAGTTTCTCTAGTTTCTTGGGGCGCTCCCTTTAAACTTGTCTTGGCGCCTGTCTGCCAAGAAATTATCAACCTTTTGGAGGATTATTGTTTGTCTTATTCTGTTTGTTGGCTTCACGTTGCTCATTCCCAATTGCTTAATCCATCTTGTCGAATATTTGTTTTTATGGATTGATTCCTTTCATACAAAGAATTATGGGTTTGAATACTTAGGTTGTTTCAGGCAAACTCCTTGAAAAATTTACACATTGTGGGAGACATTGTTCAGGGGTAACTACTTTAAGCACACTTTTCGTAGTGGATATATACATCTATTTGCCCATGCAGTTTCTGTCTTTTGCTAGCTTTGCGCAAGCTCCAGTCCTGTGTATGATTTTCAAAATCTGGTCCTTGCAGAGTGTAATGGATATGGACGGAGTCTTGCTCAATGATGATTTTGAGACGACCCATCAAAATGGTGGCCATGATCACAATGCTGTCTCTGGAGAGGATGATGTTTTCTCAAACAACATGAATGGAACTATGTTGGATCACAGTGTCGAGACCATGGAAGGCTCGAATGTGGTTGCTGAAGACCATGACTTGGCTGTTGCTATGGTTGGTTCTTTTCTCTCTTGAATATGTCTTCACGAGTAGATTTCTCAAGCCTCTATCAAAATGCTGTTTATCTCTATTTTTTCAGGAAGGAGAGGGAGTGAAAGATGCAGATCACTAAGAGAAAACTCGATTGGTGCAGGTTCCAGGAAAGAGCAAGAATGAGAAGCTTTCGAATGCCAGAAAAGCATCAGCGACTCAGCTGCCAAAGGGAAAGGATTTCAAAGGTGTGGCACCCCCCTACAGTTGCCAAAGGGACTGCGGCTCAGAATTCACAGGCAAAATTGCCTTCTAAGACTAAGTCGTTCAGCGAGAAGCAGGTCCCGGCGGTAAAGGTATATTGTTCACCTTCTTACTTGTAAGAATATATGGTTGGCACTTCTTAGGATGCTTATGTTTACTTCGTCTTTGCTTGCTAGCAGCAATCCGGAAAGTCGAAAGCAGCAACATCTGAATCCCTCATGTATGTTTGGCTTCCTCTGAAAATTTGTCCTTTTGATGACATATTTTATAAATGGCGTGAATATGAAAGTCGTTCAGATAGTTGGTGCAAAAATTTGGAAGTCTTTTCTAGCTTGAACTTGGAAATGTTAATTTTCTTTAACTGCTCCCATCATAAGGAGCTTCTTTTTATATTTACATGTTTTGCTACTTTTGACTCTGGTATTCCATACAGAAAAAAGACAACATTGAAACCCTTGAAGAAAGCACCTATTGCTGAAGCTGATAGAGATGGGCAATCTTCCTCGTATCCTTACTGTTGCGAACATTCTGTCTCTACATGCTTTGTTGGCCCATTTCTGAATAAATTGGCAAAAGTTTCTCTCTCTTTTGCACGGGTTAATCCTTAAAAGATGACAGAAGTCCCACTAAAAGTGATGGTAAACCTCGTAAGGCAGGGGCACTTCCAAATTATGGCTTTAGCTTCAAGTGTGACGAACGAGCGGAGAAAAGGAGGGAGGTCAGTGTTGTGCACTTGTGCTTAAACTTTGTGATGATAAATTCATAAATGTGCGGATTCGCCTGTTGTAAACTATATGTCAACAGGACGGTTGTTTCTTTCTATCTGCGCTGGGCAGTTCTATACCAAACTTGAGGAAAAGATCAATGCAAAGGAAGAAGAAAAAAATAACATTCAAGGCAAGTCTAAGGTTGGATTGCAATGACTTCAGATTTTGATTCACTGTATTGATACTTAATTATCTATGCCTGAACATTGAAACTTTTCTTAAATTTTCATAGGAAAGCCAAGAAGCCGAGCTTAGGCAGCTGAGGAAGAGTTTGAACTTTAAGGCAAAACCAATGCCTACCTTCTATCAGGAGCCTACCCCAAGAAGGACTGCTGAGTTGAAGAAGGTAATCTATGCTTTCATTTCTCACTGCCTTATCATTTCGATTGCCAGTAGCGAGCTGCATCTCTCAAATTGCGTGCACAAGTGTTGTTAATCTTCCCCTGTAGCGAGCCTCTCCCACCAAGGATATAATCCTTTTATTTAGCATCCCATATAACTATGGAAAGAGGTCTTCACCGTTTGTCCTGTTTTTTTTATCCAGATACCCACAACAAGGCCTAACATATGGTGCCGAACGTACCATCCACCTGAGACTGAACCTGCTCATCTGGTGCACCCTCTCGTAGCTGCTGCTCATATGCCCACTGAGATGTCTAGAAGGTCGCCTGATACTGAACCTGCTCACCTAGACGCTCCCACTCATCGACGTCTAAATCTGGCACGGCTGCACTACCTGATTCCATGTGTCCGCCTCCCATCGTAGTATGCTGCGGTGTATGAAAGCTATCTTCCGGTGGCTGAAACTAAGGCTAAAACTGGTGCCTCCTAAATCCGGTAAAAGTGCCCGGCTGAAACGGTGGCTGAGAAGGCGGGTGGAACTAGAAGGTCGAAGTAGGTCTGACTGGCTGACGATCTGAGTACCTCACTCCTCGAGGTACGTCACGCTGCTCACGTCGCTGTCTATTCCTCCTGATCGTCGACATCTTGATCCTACAGAGCTGATACAGCAGTATCCTGATGAGCGCAGCTTAGCCATCTGGCCAGAGCGTAGGGCTCAGCCATCGGACTGGGGCGTGCCACTGCCACAGTTCACGGAGGAGCCCAGGAGGAGGAGACAACAACGTGAGCAGCATGACGTACCTCGAGGATTGAGGTACTCAGATCGCCAACCAGTCAGACCTACTTCGACCTTCCAGTTCCACTCGCCTTCTCAGCCACCGTTTCAGTCGTGCGCTTTTACCGGATTTAGGAGGCACCAGTTCTAGCCCTCAATTTCAGCCACCGGAGGATAGCTTTCATACACCGCAGCATGCTACGATGGGAGGCGGACACATGGGATCAAGTAGTGCAGCCGTGCCAGATTTGGACGTCGATAAGTGGGAGCGTCTAGGTGAACATATTCAGTCTCAGGCGGCCTTCCAGGCATCTCAGTGGGCATATGAGCAGCAGCGACGAGAGGGTGCACCAGATGAGCAGGTTCAGTCTCAGGTGTATGATATGTTCGGCACACAGGATCATGATGGTGTGGCGGAGAGAGATGATCAGTTGCCTCCACGGGACAAGAGGCCAGCGAGGTGTGGTACTAGCAGCCATCGAGTGGCAGAGCACGGTGGGGGTCGTTAGTGGGACTATTTATGTACTTCTTTGAGATATTTTTATTATTATGTACTTCTTTGGGACTATTTATTATTATGTACTTCTTTGGGACTATTTTTAATTTCATGCTGACTAATTCATGTTAGTGCTATTGTCTAAATGAAAACTTTAAATATAAAACCAACAAACATCAACAACTAGTTCAGTCTTAAAAGTCCAAACAACAACTTCTGCAAGGTAAATCGAAAGAAAAACAACAACTGCTACATTCGAACAAACTTCTCAGCCACGTCTATTACCTTTACTTCCTCTTCTACCACCACTCATTCTTCGGTTGCTCCCACTCCCACTTGCTTGGCCAGCACAAATTGATGCATTATGTCCCGGATGGTTACAGTTGCTACACACTTGGTGTGATGCACCCTCCCTTGCCCAATCAATCTCGTTGTGAATTCTCGTTGATCTTGTCCTCACCGACTTTCTAATCATGTGCATATTAGGGTGGAGAGTAGGGTCATTATGCTTCTTCCAACCCTTAGGTTCGGTAAGAGGAGTGAAACTTGTCCCATAACAAGCCAGCACTGTTTGAAGCTTGTAGACGTCGTTTACAATCCTATACGGATTAGCTCCCATTCGGTTGCAAGCTGCAATGGCATGAGAGCAAGGAATTTTATTTCCTTGAAATTTCCTACAAGTGCAAAATCCCGCCTGGTTGCGGTCGTCAAAGTGCACTGTGAGTGTGTTTGACCCCGTCATGTTGAAATTGTTGGGAGGAGTCTGAACTACATAGATGCCTTGACGTCGATCAATCGCTGTCACGGAATGTCCAACTGCCTTTTGTGACCACGGCTTCATTAGCTTCTCGCACTTGGTAGAATACTGTTGTGCACCACTTCTAATTTCTGCTCCTGTCTCCAACCTCATCTTATCGAATTTCTCCACCAATCGCCAATAGGTATGTTGCACAAGAGAAGCTATAGGAAGTGCACGAATACCTTTGAACAAACCATTGATGCTTTCTGCCATGTTGGATATCATGATAGACCAACGACGCCCACCATTGTAGTTATCATATGCTAAACTCCAACGAATCTGATGTTGGTCCACCCAGTTATCATATGAAATATTTCTATCAGTGGCCACCTTCTTAAATTGCTCAACTTGACGATCGAACTTCTCCAAGCGTTTTTCTCTGGCTAACAAAATAAACAACCACATGGATTAGATAAATTCATGACAAAATTACATGAAAATAAATAATACGTGAAAATAAATAGCAAAATTAAATGAAGAATGCTTACCGACTCGAAATAGTTGATTATACATAATCCTGCTTTTAGTCTTCCTTTGCAAATTGCTTGCATAGTGTCGCATGCACCACCTCCACTCCCAACCTCTTCCGATGTTATTCATGGCTTCATAGAGTCCTGCATGTCTATTTGAGATGATGCAGACATCATTTCGATCAGTCAAACGCTGAACGAGACTTATGAACCATGGTCAACTATCAATATTCTCGCTCTCCACTATGGCAAATGCAATTGGAAAAATCTTCTTCCGGCCATCAAATGAGCTCACCATGAGTAACACTCCTTTATACTTCCCAGTAAGAAATGTTCTATCAACAACCATGACACCTGGACAATTCTTCAATCCATCTATACAAGGTCCATAAGCTCAGAATACTCGCTGAAATATCAAATGACCTGGTTGAGCTGAAGGAACTCTTACCCAATAAATCACCGATGTTGGCATTTTTCTCTTTACCACACGCAAGAATGTTTGCAAATAATCGTAGGATTCTTCCCAATTCCCATGCAACGTTTCCAATGCTCTTTGTTTCCCATACCAAGCCTTTTTTTAAGTAACTTGTATATTAAACTTATCTTTCAACTCGGCCTGCACAGTTAGAACACTCAGATTTGGTTGAGCACGTACCAAGTGTTTCACGGACTCAGATATAACGTCGACATCAAGATGGCGATGATCCGTCGGTTGATTCGTACTGCTACAAGTATTCACCAACTCGGCCTTTCTCACAGTCCAATCGCCTCCCACATCTCGACATCCAAACCGCACCATCCAAGGACATTTGTCCTCCTTGTGCATCAAACATCTGATCTTCCAGATAGAAGGTGACGACTCCACCACGTTATACTGAAAGTTGCGTTGTAGTGCGTAGTGTTTAATCGCCACCTGTGCAGCTTGTTTCGAGTGAAATATTTGCCCCTTGTAGAATTCTCCATCAAAACCACTAACAATAGGCCTTGGAATTACGCCATATAAATAAGCATATGATAATTCGTCGTCCTCTTCATTACCTTGCAAGTAAAAATATGGAGGATAATTAGGTTGTTCTCCTTCCGCCCCGTCGTCGTCGTCCTCCTCCTCCTCATTATCATCTTCCTCTTCTCCGTCATCATAGTCATGATCGGATGGCATGCTCTATGTGTCATCTTCTTCCTCTCCACCCCGATCCTCATTGAGCTCAACATGTATCTCAGCACCCAAACAATAAGGGTTTTGTGCCATAAAATTTCAAAGCACATTTAAGCTATCATCATCGACAATAGGTATCGCATAATGAAATAAAACACCATTCTACCATTCTGGAAGACAGTAAGTGAAACATGTAATCACAACACTATCTTGTACTGCTTCGTCTCTACCTCGTATTCTCCGAATTAGATTATCACAAAGTTTCTGATAGTTCACCCTGGATGGAATAGTCATCTGAAAACTTACACCACCAACGAAATGGACACCCAAATTGTCCTCTACTTTCTCTGATTTCCACCGAACAGCTAGTTCAAATCTTCTAAAACCACTACATAATAAACAAACTCACTAATTACTAAATGGACAAAATCATTATAGCATTTGTAGAATACATTAAAAAAATAAATATGTCTCTTACCTATTATTAGCCATCTTCCCAGCAATCAGACAACAACACCGGAGCTTCTTTCGGAACTTCTTTTAGTTTTTTGGTGGTGAAGAACCGAAGGAAAGGTGGAGTATATATGGTGATGGAGTGGTGCTGGAGTGGAAGAAGAAGTCAGCGAAAAAGCGTCAGTCTGGGGCGCCGACGCTTTCGCTTTTTTTAAGCGCCAAAGCCCCAGTCTCGGGTGTCGCCACTGGATTTTATTGAAAAACCAACACCTAGCGGCGGCGCCTGAGTCTCGAGGTTGAGCGCTTTCAACATACAAAAGAACACAATATATGTGTCAATAGTTTTTAAACCACCATATCGTGATAAATATATAAAAAACAATATTTATGAAATTAATCCTCAAAAGTCAAAACAATCCACCATACTGCCAACTCTCTCCTCGTAGCCCGCCGCCTGGCCTTTTTCTTGTTTGGGCACGTCATTCACTGGCCCAAAATCTCCCTGGGCCGTCTGGCCCTTTTTCTTTAACCATTTATCAAGTGGCTAAACTAGAGCTGTCTCCACCAGTTAAAAGCGGCAGTTACTTTCTTTCTTTCTTCAACCAGTTAACCAACAGTAAATATCCAATACCTAGTTGCCATAACCGTATCATTCCACCTCCTTTGTAACCGTACACCGTATTCGTATTTCGGTATTTCCCCTCAACCCCACTTCCGATCTCCATCTCCACCCACCGAGAACTCGTAACTCGCCCGCCCTCACTCACTCACTCACTCACTCACCCTCTCTCCCCCCCTCTCTCTGTCTGAAGTGACCTGGAAATGGATTTGAAAGCCGCTATTTTCAGGCCACTTTGAAGAAAGAGAAGCGCCATCTCCAAATCCTCCCCCCTTCCACTCGCCCACTCACTCCACAACTCGGCCGACTGCGACATCCCCTCTCGCCCCCACCATTCCATTATAGAACCACCGTAGCACCCGCGGCTCATTGGAGCAGAGTTGGATCGCTCCGTTCTCCTCTTTGGATCCGGCGTATTACTGTTGCTACTTCTCAAGTTGTCTCAGCCAGATCCTCCCGGATTCCTTCCCCCGAAATCTAGCCGGTTCCTTCTGATGGACTTGTGACTACTGCTGCGCTTGCTCGAGCTATAGGTAAGTTGGGGAATGCTGCGACTTGACTTTTCCCGATTGCCTGCCTGTTTGGTTGCTGAAATAGTGCGTGTTGTTTTAGATTATCCGAGACGGGTATGCAGTTAGTTGTTAAATGCGAGTGAGATTCAGGTGATTGTCAGTGGGTTTTGCCGTGAGCATATTCGTTTGGTCTGGGCGGGGTGAGAATCATGAAATTTGATTAGTTGTTGGGTCTTGCTGCTAATAGATCAGTTTCCGCTTATGGATTTGCGTCTTGAGATTTGAGAATGCGTTTCGGGTGTGTGGTTAGATAAAAGATGCCGTTTGGCGGATTTCTCTGGAATTACACTGTTCATCAGTGTGAGTCGACCTCTTTAGATGTCTTCCCTCACTCGAATTTGTGTTCTGGAATCTAATGGAATGAATTTTGGTTTTTGAAAAGCGGATTTCACTTGATGAATTTTGTCAAAAGTTTTGCTGGATAGCTGTATTTGGAACTGGCATTGTGATGAGTTTCCTAGTTTCTTGGGGCGCTCCCTTTAAACTTGTTCTTGGCGACCTGTGTCTTGCTAAGAAATTATCAACCTTTTGGAGGATTATAGTTTGTCTTATTTTGCTTGTTGAAGCCTTCTCGTTCTAAGGGTGCTCATTCCCAATTGCTTAATACATCGTACCAAATATTTGTTTTATGGATTCATTCCTTTCGTACAATAATATTGGGGTTCAAGGCTTATCTTGTTTCAGTCAAACTCCTTGAAATTTTACCCACTGTGGGTGACATTGTTCGGGGTAACTACTTCAAGCTCACTTTTCATGTTGTAGTAGATAAATTCGCATTGTTTTCCATGCATTCTTCTGTCTTTTGCTTGCTTTACGCAAGCTTCAGTTGGTCAGTCCTGTGTATGATTTCAAATATTTGGTCCTTACAGAGTGTAATGGATATGGACGGAGTCCTGCTCAGCGATGATTTTGAGATGACCCATCAAAATGGTGGCGGTGATCACAATGCTGTCTCTGGAGAGGATGATGTGTTCTCAAACAACATGAATGGAGCTATGTTGGATCACAGTGTTGAGGCCATTGAAGGCTCTAATGTGGTTGCTGAAGACCATGACTTGGCTGTTACTAAGGTTGGTTCTTTTCTCTCTTGAATATGTCTTCACGAGTAGATTTCTCAAGCCTCTATCGTAATGATGCTTATCTCTATTTCTTCAGGAAGGAGGAGTGAAAGATGCAGATCATTCAGAGAAAGCACCATTGGTGCAGGTTCCAGGAAAGAGCAAGAATGAGAAGCTTTCGAATGCCAGAAAAGCATCAGCGACTCAGCTGTCAAAGGGCAAGGATTTCAAAGGTGTGGCACCCCCTACAGTTGCCAAAGGGACTGCGGCTCAGAATTCACGGGCAAAATTGTCTTCTAAGACTAAGTCTTTCAGCGAGAAGCAGGTCCCGGAGGTAAAGGTATATTGTTCACCTTCTTACTTGTAAGAATATATGGTTGGTACTTCTCAGGATGCTTATGTTTACTTCGTCTTTGCTTGCTAGCAGCAATCCGGAAAATCTGAAGCAGCAACATCTGAATCCCTCATGTATGTTTGGCTTCCTCTGAAAATTTGTCCTTTTGATGACATATTTTATATATGACATGAATATGAAAGTTTTTCAGATAGTTAGTGCAAAAATTTGAAAGTCTTTTCTAGCTTAAACTTGGAAGTGTTAATTTTCTTTTACTGCTCCCATCACAAGGATCTTATTTTTATATTTTACATGTTTTGCTGCTTTGACTCTGGTATTCCATACAGAAAAAAGACAACATTGAAACCCTTGAAGAAAGCACCTATTGCTGAAGCTGATGGAGATGGGCAATCTTCCTCGTATCCTTACTGTTGCGAACATTCTGTCTCTACATGCTTTGTTAGTCCATTTCTGAATGAATTGGCAAAAGTTTCTCTCTCTTTTGCAAGGGTTAATCCTTAAAAGATGACAGAAGTCCCACTGAAAGTGATGGTAAACCTCGTAAGGCAGGGGCACTTCCAAATTATGGCTTTAGCTTCAAGTGTGACGAACGAGCGGAGAAAAGGAGGGAGGTCAGTGTTGTGCTTAAACTTTGTGATGATAAATTCTTAAATGTGCGGATTCGCCTGTTGCAAACTATATGTCAGCATGACGTGTGTGTCTCTCTCTCTATCTACGCTGTGCAGTTCTATACCAAACTTGAGGAAAAGATCCATGCAAAGGAAGAAGAAAAAAATAACATTCAAGCCAAGTCTAAGGTTGTATTACAATGACTTCTGATTTTGATTCACTGTATTTTATACTTAATTATCTCTATGTGAACATTGAAACTTTTCTTAAATTTTCACAGGAAAGCCAAGAAGCCGAGCTTAGGCAGCTGAGGAAGAGTTTGAACTTTAAGGCAACACCAATGCCTACCTTCTATCAGGAGCCTCCCCCAGCAAGGACAGAGTTGAAGAAGGTAATCTATGCTTTCATTTCTCATTGCCTTATCATTTCGATTGCCAGTAGCGAGCTGCATCTCTCAAATTGGGTGCACAAGTGTTGTTAATCTTCCCCTGTAGCGAGCCTCTCCCACCAAGGATATAATCCTTTTATTTAGCATCCCATATAACCATGGAAAGAGGTCTTCACCGTTTGTCCTGTGTTTTTATCCAGATACCCACAACAAGGCCTAAATCCCCAAAATTAGGTAGAAGGAAGAGCTCATCACCAGCAGATGCTGAAGGAAATAACACCGAGGCAAATGGATTAGCTTTAGGTCGTCTAAGTTTGGACGCTAAAGCCTCTCAGAATGTTCCTACCCCAAAGGAAGTGGCACCTGCCATTACAAAGAAGCCAGCCCGCAAGTCACTTCCCAGACTACCGTCTCAGAAGACCAAATTGACAAAAAACAATGGGAAAACTGGAGTCGTTGCCAAAGTAACAGACGACGAACCAAAAATCACAATCTCATCCGATAAGCAGCAAGTGAATGAAGTCACCGGTCCGCCGAGAGCTAAGCTTAGTGAAATCGAGCCAGAAGAAGAGCAAAATATGATGGTAGCTGGAGGAGAACAACAAGCTCAAGTTTGTGTCTCAGAGGACTGAGAAAAAAACAGTGAGTTGGGAAATGTGAATCTCAGGTTATCGACATGGGGAGCCAATGTGGGTAAATAAATGAACGAACGAATGAATGGATCTCAGGGAAGACAGTGAAGCTCAAGTGAAGATCTCTGCTTTCGGCGAGATTGTGAGACGTCTGTCTTATGTCCATAGCACAGCGGTTGGTTACCTTATTGTTGTGTGGCTTTTGCTTTCATGGTTGCTGGTGTTCTATCTCGTAAGGATTCTGCACTGAACTTGATGATGTTGATGTTCTTTGTTTTTCTTTCTTCTTGCATAGTTCTTTTACCCTAATTTATCTCGCCAAGCAATGCGTAAAGAAGAGGGAAGGGGAGGGGGGGAGAAGAACAGGCTTGCTTACTGAATATTTTTGAAAATGTTTTGGGGATCCTTAGGCTGCCAGAAGCTCTTTTATTGGTCATATCATATGTTTGCAATTCTGTTGGGATACTTGGGACGCTGTATTATGTTCTCTTATTTGTTCTTTGAACATGTCTTCCTCTCTGTTCCCATTTTGCTTGTATTGTGACAACCTGTCTTCCCCACTTGGTATGATCAATCAACGATGCTTGGAAACTCAATTCAGTATCGTTTCGTGCTGGCACGACCTGTTGTCAAGTTGTACCTATAGGTATGGTGATAAAACTCACCCGACCAATTGGTCGGGCAATGAGATGCAACAGTTGCATTCCAATAGGTGGAAAAAAGAGGTCATGATAGAATTGTTTTAAAAACTCAATGGAACTTTAATTTACATTATCGAACCGCCATGAAAAAGTTATATTCACCAGACTAGAATAAAGGGGAATAGGCAAATGACTCTCATGACATCAATGTTTCAAGTTTCAACCGTAGATAGAATAACCACAACGTGACAACTTGCGAAGCATTTTGTAAAAACATAAACGGGCCAAAGGACACCCTAAAACAAGATATATGTTGTAAATGAAACAACCACAACCCGGCCAACTGGCCGGGCAATGTGCTAGTTAACCTCTGTTCATATAATTGTACTTCATATTAGAAGGAGGGAAATCAAGGGAAATTGGGGCAAGTAGTCCCTCAATATCTTTCCCTTGTTTCTGATTTTCTTCTTTTCTTCAGGTGGTAGAAGCTGTTAGTGGGGGGAAGCCCAATTGAGTTCCAAACCCAATAGAGAACCTATGGGCCTGCTGGTGGGCTTGCGGCATCCTACGCGGCTGGAATTGTTGGGCTTGTTCTTCTTCCACCTCTTCGTCTTCCTCCTCCTCTTCTTCTTCTCCCTCTTCTGCTACATCCCACAGGAATCGAGCATACGCTGCTATCACATGGCTGTCATTGATCATTAACCCACCATAAGGCAGCCAATAAGGTTAGCAAATTTATAATTTGGGATTTGTTTTTGAATCAAGGATCTGAAAATTGATTGATCGGAAAAAAGGATTCTTACCAGTCGTCGGGGGAAGACTTGACAGCCTGATTGAAGTAGGTGTTAGCACGGCCGCCGTCCCTGTGGTTGTTCCAGATGAGATCTCCATACATGGACAGGACCCCGCCGTCGCCGCCGCTCACCAGGATGGCTCGCTCGCAGAACTCCTCCGCCCTCGCGGCGTCGCCGCGGGCCTCCTTCAAGAACTTGGCGTAATTGGACAGCAAAAGGGCGTCGCCTGGGTACATTGTGATCATATCCCTGTAATACTTGTCCATCGATTCCGTTCCCTGCGGCGGCAGCTCACCCCAGATCCCGTCCTCGCCGTCTCCTCCTCGGCCGCCGGAAAACCCTCCCTCGCCACGGCCGCCGGGTCCTCCCGCCGACTCCAACGCCGCGACGACGCTTCTCGACGCCTCCTCTAACGACGAAATCCCTCCCAATTTCAGATCCCCTTCCGAGGAGGTCCTCTGCAGCGGCGCCGTCCTAGACGAAGCCGGCACGGCCGTGATTGCGGCCGAGGACGGCGGAGGTCGGAGCTGCGAGTAGTGGAGAGGGCTCGTTCCATCCTTGATCTGCTTCTTGGATTTCCCCTTTTTAGACGAAAACAATTTCAGATCTCCCTCCGATGAGGTCCGCTTCAAGGAAAGCGCGGGCGGGACCTGGCGGAGCGGGGAGTATTTAGGGCTGACGTGGGAGGGACTGGCTGCGTCGATTTCCGGCACCAAGCAGCATTGACCCACCAGGTTCTTCAGGGCCGGCGTAGAGGAGCTCCGGAGAAGCATTTTTTATACTTTGTTTGGGTGTGTTTTTTTTTTTTGGGTTTTTCCTTCCCGGTGTTTCTTTTTTCCGGTGAGGGAAAAAAGATTCCGCGCGAGGAAGGAGGAGAGCTATTCAGAGAATTGGTTCTCGTCGAGTGGAGGGAATGGAGAGGTATATAAATCGGAAGGAAAGCAGAACCGAAGTTCGTCGGAGGACGGCGACGGAGCGCCGTCGGTTTTCTGGATAAGTTTGATTTTGACCTATTTTCTACCGTTCGCTGACGAGGTTATTATTAGTGCTGACGTGGGATCTTGGTAGCCGTAGGATTCTGTACTGTCATTTCTTTAGCGGCCAAGATTATAGGTTAAGGTTCAACTATTTCTTTTTTGGTGCAATAAGGTTTAACTATTTCAGGTAAAAAAACAAGTTAAAAATAGAAGTTTCTAAAAATATGACAGTCCAAAAGGATAACAAAAGTTAACAATCAAGTAATCTAAAATTAGTTATACTTAAATTGGTGAATGATGTCTCGTACATAATAGTACTCAATATAACCCACATCATAAAATAGACAAGATATATCGTGAATTTCCTCTTAATAATGATAGATACAAACAAGTGATTTTAAATTGAGGTATAAGAAACTCAACGACAAATAAGATTATGAAGGCAAAGATATGTACATGTCCTATTTAACACATTATAATCTACCTTTGATTCATTGTAAATTAAAATGTCTATCAATTAGCGAATTTAAAGTTCGAATCCAGACTATACCAAGTTTATTTTTGTCTTTTGTGACTTTTTTTTGTTATAGATATAAGTAGGCATAATTACATATAATAAGTTTTGTCTTTTGCGACTTATGGTTGCCTATAAGATAATAAGTTTTGAAAAAAATATTTTATGATGGTAGGCGAATCCCATTTGTATTGCTTAACCTACATTCACTAATTCATTAATTAATATACTTGTGCTGCGATTTGGTCAATTTGATGAATTCCCGCCCCTGGTTTCCTCAACCGCACACGATATTGTGTTAGTGGAGAAACTGCGTTTCGATTCAGAGAGTAGTAAAAGAAGCAAAATGGCTTTCCATATCCCTGAAGGGCTAATTCAATAAGTCCTGCAACCTAAGCCAAGCTTATAAATCCATGGCGGAACTCAGGAAAAACTCCATAGCCAAAACTTGTCAAGCATTACATAGCATAAACAGAACAATCCATCTAATACAGAAGAAGCAAGGCAATCATGAGTTGTTCGTTCACAGAGGAGCAAGAAGCTCTGGTGGTGAAGTCATGGAGTGTGATGAAGAAGAATGCTGCTGATCTTGCCCTCAAATTCTTCCTCAAGTAAATACACTTTCCCCTACTCTAGCTACCCTTTTCTTCCAACTATTGAAAATATGTTTGTCCATGTGGATTGCTGTAGTGAATGCTCAGTTGTGTTGGTGAACCACGTAATTTCGTATACGATTCATCTTGCTGCTTTGTCACAACGATATATGATGTAATGTTGTTGCAGGATATTTGAGATTGCACCATCTGCACAGAAGTTGTTCCCATTCCTGAGAGACTCGGATCTTCCTGTTGAGAAGAACCCTAAGCTCAAGCCTCATGCCATGGCTGTCTTCCTCATGGTATCTATCATCAAACAATGCATATAATCCTCCTCTTCTTGATGATCATCAAGTAATGGCATACTATTATTTTCTTTGGCTTTGTGAATTTACAGACATGTGAGTCAGCAGTGCAGCTGAGAAAATCTGGCAAAGTTACAGTTAGAGAATCCAGCTTGAAAAAATTGGGCGCCACGCATTTCAAATACGGTGTCGTTGATGAGCATTTTGAGGTGATTATCCATCGTCATATTAAACTATGTCGATGGATGGATGATATCGATTAAACAATGTATATCAATAGTCAATATGATTTATCACAACAACTATAATGTCGCTGTTATAGTAACTTTACATCTTAAACATGATTCATGCCTCTACTGTTTAATCTCTTATATGATTTTAAATGTGCGCAAATGTGTATAGGTGACGAAGTTTGCCCTACTGGAGACCATAAAAGAAGCAGTGGGAGAAATGTGGTCAGCAGAAATGAAAGGAGCTTGGGGAGAAGCTTATGACCAACTGGTTGCTGCTATCAAAACTGAAATGAAGCCCTCTTCTTCTTCTTCTTCTTCTTAGACACCCAATAAAACTCCGGCAACCCAATGTTGAATGTTCTCCAGTCAGATTATTATTACCATGTATCAAAATAATTAGATTGTAAGTTGTTGGAAGCAATTTGGAAAAGGAAATGGAACCATGGTTAACAACAGGGTACCTTAATTTTGTTATGTATAATCTAAGGTGAATTGCATCGAATGCATGATATTGAATATATCGGATTTTAGGTCATAATTCCATACCCTAACACATAATTAGATATTCTAGTAAGTTGAATGACGAATCAAAATTATTGTTTCTAGATAAATTAATCCAAGTATATAGTATTTAGAGAATTAAACATGATTCTTTCTTATAAAGAGTTTATTGTATAATATCACTTCAAATTCAATTAATTTGAAATTTAAACATAATTTTTTAATTAAGAATATCTCATAAGGTCATATGTACTCTGAATATCCTATAATTATCTCATATTTATCCAATTATTTTAACTTGAACCGAGGCTCATGGGTCGATTGGTTCCTAACCAAACCTAACCAACCCATTGTTTTTTTCTTTTATCGAAATACCTGTAACTTACCAACCCGTTGTTCTAAAACCCCGCTAAATCCCTAATTCCTTTCCCTCCCACTCTCGGCCAGCTTGCTTACTCCCTCCTCTTTCCACCTCTGTTCTCTGATGCTACTGCCGCCATCAACACAAACCTGAACCGCCGCCGTCGCTATCCTCTGCCTCGCCGTTGGCAGTTTCTCCGTCGTCACGCCCTATCGCCTTGCTTCTCTGCCCATCCCGCCGGTGCTGCACACAGTTAACCTGGTAAACAAGTTCACCGTTTCCTTGTTCCCCAAATAGCTGTGGGCAAGAAAGTAGATTCGATATCAGCTCTTCTGCAACCGAAGAAGAACTACCGCTGGCGTGCAGACGCTGCAGCAGGTCTACACAGGTGGCCCGTTCGTTTTCTCCTCTGATGGCTCTTTCATCGCCTGTGCTTGTGGCGAAACCATCAACATTGTTGATTCTGCTGATTTCTCAATAAAGGGTACAATCGAGGGCAACAACGAGGCTGTTACGGCGCTCACGCTTAGTCCCAACGACCAGCTGCTTTTCCACTCTGAAATGTGAGCGCTCCTGGAAGGTAATGCAGATTTTCCTCTTTCCCAAATAGCAATTCATTGTAATTAAGGAAGAATTGGATTGATGATGGTTTTTTTTTGTCCGTGCAGGGCCATGATGGTCCAGTTATGGCCATGGCGTGCCATGCTTCTGATGGGTTGCTAGCAACTGCAGGAGCTGATAGGAAAGTTCTTGTGTGGGATGTGGATGGTCATTTTTGTACTCATTACTTCAAAGGGCATACAGGGATTTTTACTTGTAGTATGTTCCATCCTGATCCTAATCGATCTCTTGTAAGTATGCAGAAAGATTCCACCTTTGTTTGTTTTTGTTCTCTCTTTCTTTCTTTCTTGAAGGCATAGTCATGCAGGTTCCACACATTCACAACCTGAAATCATTGCATGTTTGGTTAAATTAAAAAAATGAGATGCAAAGACATCAATAAAGAAAGATCACAACTGAGGCAATAGCAAAGCCTAGTGCTATAGGAGCAAGCAACATCTGAAATAACATCTACCCTCCTCATTTACGGTATTGAATTCAAGACTCATCATGTCGAAATGTCATTAAATTTTTCAAAAGACAAATTAAAGCCTGACCTTATCCCTTCCAGCAGTGAGCAATGTCCAACCATCTTCAGACACTGCCATAGACGTCACAGTAGAGAAATGTTTCGCTAATGTCGCTACACACTTCTTTCTGAGAAGATCCCAAACTCGTACTGTCATTGAATGTGTGGAACCTGCATGACTATGCCTTCAAGACAACAATACCTGCATATGAGGTGTTAGAAGCTATATGTATAATTCACACAGGGACACTCTTTTCTTCATTTCTTGGTGCACTTGGTCCGTATATTGGAAATAGCATGAGTGATACACAGGCAATTCATTATGTCACAGTTGGTGAACGTGGCATTGTTCGAATATGGAACTCTGAACGGTAAATTCTGTTAAACAATAATGGGCAAGAACTCTTTTTTACTGGTATCGTTTTATTTTTGCGACTCTCCGGTTGCTACACTTATTCGTGTTACTTTAGTTTCGGCATGTTCTGCAAATCTCCTTACATTTTATATGTCTTGCCAGTGCAGTGTGTTTGTATGAGCAGAAGTCTTCAGATGTCACAGTCACCTCTGAAAGTGATGATGAGTCAAAAAGAGGCTTCAGTCGTGCTGTAATTCTTCCCTGTGACGGAGGACTGGTTTCTGTGACTGCTGATCAACAGTTTCTATTCTACTCTTCGATTGCTGAAGGACAGTTAGTACTAACCAGGAGGCTAGTTGGAGACAATGAGGAAATACTAGACATGAAATTTTTGGGCGAGGAGGAAAACTTTCTAGCTTGCTGTTGCTACAAATCTTGAACAGGTAAGCTTTTCTAGTCCCGTGGGGTTGATGTTCGAAGAAGCCGGCTGACAGATGCTACATGCAATTCAGACCTAGTGCTAGTCGTGTAAAACATAAGTTGAAAAGAAAATGACGAATTAAGATTGCCAACACCCTGTATGGATTGCCTTTTGCTTTGGGAAACTAGATCAGTAAAAGTTTTAAAAGATTTATTTGTTCTTCTGCTTGTCTAAAAAAAAAAATCTGGATGACTTCCTACCTGTGGTGATTAGAACATTTTAGTTCTTCTGCTTGCCTTTTGATGGCATCTCTTCTGATGTTGACCAACCTTATGGCTTGAAAGCGAAAGCAGTGGTAGCTGCCCATGACAAGGATGTAAATTCTCTGGCAGTTGCACCAAATGATGGTTTAGTGTGTACCGGATCACAGGTTAGTGCATGTCGACCAATTCTTCCTCCTACAGTTGTAAGTTTTTGTTTCTAATTATTCCCATTTTCTCCTTTTTTGTGGCCCTGCAGGACCGTACTGCTTGTGTATGGAGGCTACCAGATCTGGTGTCAGTGGTTGTACTCAGAGGCCACAAACGAGGAGTTTGGTCTGTCGAGTTTTCACCCGTTGAAGGATCCGTCAGCTATGCTCCATATCTTTAGTACATTTGAAGGTCACACATCAAGTGTATTAAGATCATCATTTCTCACTCGTGGCACCCAATTTGTGTCATGCGGTAATGAAAGCTTACTCGTTCCCCATGCTTTTTGTCATACATCGTAGGCCATTGCATTTATCTTGTATCTAATTGATTCTCCTATTATAACGAACGAATGCATCGCTACATATGATCAGCATGAGGACAAAGTGGTGGAGAACACTTGAATTGAGGGTCTCTTTAGTTTTGTATTTGTCCAGCAAAGATGTCCTGGGTGGAATCTTTTACAACATATATTTCGCTCTTTCTTTAGGTCTGGGCCTTGGTTATTGCGAAAAAGACAGAAATGTTTGCAACTGGTGGTGGTGATGCTGTAGTCAATCTATGGTTGGATTCTACTGCTGCTGACAAGGAGGAAGCATTCCGTGAAGAGGTGAATTGATTTTCATACCTTCTTTCTAGAACTCTTTCTGGGTTAATTGAATTACGGACCCAGCTGGGTGTCGTTTCAGCTATTTAAACCACATACTTGTTGCAACCTTCTTTCAATCTTTGTAGTCTCATAACTTGTGCTGTTGTGGTTTCCACATTTTGTGTTACCGACATTGACCTCCACGTATTCATGCAGGATGAACGTGTGTTAAGAGGTCAAACAATGGAAAATGCTGTACAAGATGGTGATTTCTCAAAGGCTATCCAAATAGCCTTTGACCTCAATAGGCCTCGCAAACTCTTTGGGTTATTTTCTGAAATCTGCAGGTTAGTGAAAAGAGAAACAAAATACATGGATCCCTATTTGTTGAGCTTATTGATGTTTCATTATATATATATCTACTTACTATCCCTCACTACAACAGGAAGAAATATGTTAGCCTCCAGATGGAGAAAGCTCTCTGTGATCTCGGGCACGAACAGTTGCGTTTTCTTTTCGAATATGCCCGCGAATGGAACACAAAACCAAAGATGTGTCATATTGCACAACTGGTGCTGTTTCAAGTATTTAACAGCATTTCTCCATCGGTGATCCTCGAGGTAAATGAATACTTTTAGTCATTTAGTCGCTACAATTTTCTACCAGCTGGGCTTGCTAAAAGCTCTTTTGCCAGGAGCTGTGTGAAGTCTTATAGCCAATGCCTAAATATCTGGAGATTCGTTGCATGTTAACATTCTCAGGTTTGGTCCGTCGTCTTTATGGTTGCAGGTAAAGGGTATTGGTGAGGTGCTCGAGGGACTGATTCCATATACGCAGAGGCATCTCAGCAGAATAGACAGAGTTGTGAGGAGTACGTATTTGGTCGACTACACTCTGTCTGGAATGGGTGTGGTTGAAGCAGATGTTGATGACACAAACGAAGATCGAAAAGGCAGTGGCGAGGATAAAGAACGAGATCATGTTCAGAATAACGACGAAGCATTGGAAGAGACGAGCCTGACAAAGAAAAGGAGATCTAGTAAAACTGGAAATACGAAAAGCAAAAAACAGAGGAGCAGAGGTGGCACTAGTGCACCTGCATCTATATCCGTGGAAGCTTAATGATCAACTGCCATTTGCAAGCGTAAGGTGTTGGCTCAATTTTGTAGAACTGTTGTATTTTCAGCCTTTTATTTAATAGAAGGAAAATTTTGAAGGTCTCAGGTCAAGTTATTGTCAATTTTGCATCATGTACTCAGGTCTATTGTCCATATTACTTATGCGTTAGTTCATATCAACTATAGAGGTGAAAGGTGCGCAATGTTCACGTCAATATGTGATTTGAGAGTCCGGCCATCATGCTGCAATGCAATGAATCAACTTCCTCAACGTCTCTTTCGCGATGTTGCTTTCCCCATTACCATTAACGTCAAAAGCAGACCCCATTCAATATTATAGTGTTACTTCAAAGGAGACAACCTTGCTCAACATTCAAACAAAGCAATTTCCAGGTAGCAAATGATTCATCATTCCATTTCATACCGAAAAGCCTTCAATAAGAACAGTAAACATAAGGAAAAAAGACATTTGAGTAACAGAAACCATTTATTTATTATCATATCAGAGCATAGAACAACAAAGGGTGGTTGGAGGAGAGATCATCTTTCATTACATAATACATTAGTGTTACAAGCTGCAAAACAGAGCTATGGCGGAGGAGACTTTTGGCCTGTTGAAAAACAAGGAGCTTGACAGAAAAAAACAACCCCCATTGAAGAAGGTTGTCATGGCAAGCGATATAAAATGCTGCCATGGCCAAGAACTCCAAGACAAAAAACCAACAGGCCAAACCAACTCCCCCACCAAACTCTAACAAAGCAGCCGTAAATGAAGACCATTGACTCTCAAGACTTTCCCCTCCTCTACCACCCTTCGACGAAAACACAAACCCAACAACCATCACGTCTCACAACATGATTACAAAAAGAAGATAGAAGACCATAACTAGTAGTGAACTCACAGACCGACTCCTCGACACGGATTGGCTTAAACAAGGAAAAGCTTCACCCAAACACCAATGATGGGGGATCAACAGGCTTGAGCTAAAACACCAGAAAGAAGGAAGAAAACCCTTAGGGAAAAGGCAGAAGAATGAGAACCCAGTTGACTGTATTCTCTAGGGAAACTACTGGCCACAAAGAAAGTAACCGCACTCCCCATTTGTTAGGGAGATCTAAATAGACTTGTAACAGACTTCCCTCGGGTGGAGGTAAGGCCTGCGAAAAAAAGAGAATGGCCATGTCCCTAGGAAAAAGGAAACCAAGTCCTCGGAGGAAGAATGCAAACCCTACTCGGCTGATTGAAGACCGAAAGAAACTACACAAAGGCTGTTGTTGATGCAGCTGCCTACTCCTGAGTAGCAAATACCGTTCTTGCTTCAATAAAGCACATCACACCTCCACAGTTGTTCCACAAGTAGTTCCGAGGTGCGGCTACTGATTCCACTGCAGTGCTGAAGATTCAACCCCAACAGAGTCTGTCCCAACTTCACCAGGCTTTTAATACTCTTATCTGATACCATGGAACAACCTGAGATAGAGAAGACCTGCAGACCGAGCAGGCCAGAAGAAGCAGCCAGGGATCCAACACCACCATCAGTGATTGAGCATCTTGAGACATCAAGATCACTGATCAAAAGGCAGCTTTTTGCAATAGACACCAAACTTGCATCGGTGATCCTGCTACAACCCTCGAGATTCAGGGTCTCGAGGGTCCAACCGTGGTGCTCACCCATCTCCATCACAACTCTGTCGGATAAATTGGTGCAACCACTGAGATTGACCTTCACTAACCCGGACTTGCACATCTCGAGTACTTGGATCAGCCCAGAATCAGTCACACCCTGAAGACCGGTGAATTCCAAATTCTGCAGTTGAGGACACAGGCTGCTCAAAAAGGCCAAGCTACCATCACCAAACCCAGGGCAGTTGCGGATGGACACTGACTGAAGGGATTCACACTGGGAAGGCGGCAAAGGTGTTTCAGCAGTCAAGTCCCTAATGCCCATGCAGTTCACCAGAGAGAAAGCTTTCAGCTTTGTGCCACAGTTTAAAAGGGAACCAAAAAACCCAAACTGGGTGATCCTGTGGCACTCCTCCAATTGCACGCTCTCTAGTGCTGCTGAGAACTTCACGAATGCAACTAACCCATTGTCGGATAGGAATGCACATTTGTTGATAGATAACCGCTTCAAATTTGGACAACCCTTGGCCACCGACTTGATCCCAGCATCAGTGGCCCCAGGGCAGGATGTCACAGCAAGGGACCTCAATTTCTGTAGACCATGGCCATTGCCCATGACCCAAAATCCCCTTTCACTGACATTTGGAAGGCTGGAAAGGCTAAGATCTGTAACCGACTTGCCATAGTGTCCAATCACAGCTAAAGACACATCACTGATGGTCAAAGCCTGAAGCTTCACCTTTGTCAAGGCATATGAAGCAGACGATACCAGGCCAGCAATTCCTTGATCACCAACAGCTGGACAGTTCTTAATCGAGACAGACTTTATATTGGCACAAGACTGGCCAATAGCTTGCAGGCCTTGATTCCCAATGTTCCCACACGACTCTATTGTAAGGTCTGTAAGACTGGGACAATTCCTTGCAATAGCCTGCAAGCCCTTGTCTGTGATTCCGGGGCACTGACAGAGATCAAGCTTCTCTAGCTGGCGGCATCCTTCGGCAATTTCACAAAGCCCCTCATCAGTCACAGATGACAATTTCCAGAGAGAAAGTACCCTTAGGGAAGGGCAGCAGCGGCCAACAGCTTTAAGGCCAACATCTGTCACCTTACGACTCGAATTGCAACCACGAATGGAAAGCTTGCCCAATCCACCGCGAGTAGCAGTTCCAACTGCAATGGCTGCAACTTTTACATCTGTAGCCTTCTTCCCCTCCAAGCTCCTTGAAAGGTAACCATCACCTTCAGTTTCTTCAACAGATTTAGAAACCACAGTTTCTGTAACTTTCACATGGCTAAGCTCTTTCCGGCGGATGCTGCTGAGAAGGTAAAGAAAGTGCTTTGAAACACATGCACAAGCGCTCCTTTCTTGTCCCTCCAAGCGTCTGAAGACCTCAAATAGACACTCATCGGGCAGAAGCTCGATAGAAGTCTGCTTCTTTGGCTCAAACATACCTCTATCAAAGATGAAGGGCACACTGACGCGAGACCTCTTGCGCGAAGGATAGTATAGATCGACATGGTGACCAAGCGGCAAAAAGAGGCTCGTGTCCTTGGGGTTGGTGTATACTGTGCCCCCAGAGTAAAAGTCGTCGCTTCCTGCAATAGACCAAACAACAGAGTTCAAAACTCCAATTCGCAGTGGCCAATTTCTACAAATTTGTCTATAAGCAAAACCACAACACAGTTGTACGACTAAAAACATCCAAAAACTCGATCTTTAGCGGAACGAAGTAGATCTGCCCTCCCCTTCATGTTCAACCCTCAAATATTATGTCCCGATAGCTTAAGGAGATAGGTCCAGCCATCGACCTAAGACTATCTAACCAGGCGAACCCCTCTAATTCTCTCAGGTCACTAGGTAAAAATGCAACCAATTATATCAATTGGCCAGAATCAGTGACCCTTTCCTAGCTTCTCACAACCAGATCCAAAGAGTTGACAAATTCATACGAAATTCTCAACAGCAACAACAACAACAAAAAACCGCAAGCAATTTAACATCCGATCGACCCAAAAGCTCAAAACTTTCACAAAAATCTACAAAACCCAGCAGCAGAGATGCAATCCAAAAGGAAAAGGAAATTGGAGAAATCGAGGGCTTACCAGCGAATCCGAAGAGCTGAGACATGGATACAGCTCAAAAACCACAACGGGAAACCCTCCAAAGCGAGCAAAAAGGAGCGAACCGGCGACGGCGAACACGATCAGCAGCAATACACTTTGGAGAATTTGGAAACCGGGAATCATATAAGAGAGAGTTTAACGGAGCCAGGGGTGAACCCTACGGAGAGGGCAAAAAGGAGCGGAGGAAGAAATGAAAGGGGGTAAGGCGAAGAGGAAGAAGTAGAAGAAGATAGGAAAACAATGGAAATGGAATTGCGTCAAGGGTGGGTGGGTGGGTATTTGAGTGGTAAAGGAACAAGGAAGGGGAATTCGATATCCAGGACCAGGACAGGACGGTGTACAGGTACCGCACTGGAACACTGCCCACATGCAATGTATTTGCCCACCTAGGAATTTGGCAGTTATTTCTTCTTCTTTTTTTTTCCTCTTTGGAGTTACAAATTAATTTTGTTATTGATTTTTAATAGTTTTTGTGATAATGATTTCTTTTATTATTTTTATTTTCTTGGAGTCCAGGTGCATTCATCATTCCTTCGGTTTTGGGTACATTGAATTGGTCCACCTGAAATAAAAAGGAAAATGAATGCCCAGCAAAGAAAAGGGAAACCACCAGGTGGTGGCTTTCAGTCTGACGTGTGATGATTGTATGTGGGTGCTGTTTGGTTTTCTGCTAAAACAGCTGCTCCATTCTAAGTGCGTTTAACTCCGAGTTTATTATAAAAATCACTCAGTTCCACTAAAAATGAGTAGTATCATCCTATGTATATCGACGGTCGTCACTCGTCAGAACGAGGTAGCCCGGTAGTATTGGACAGCTGCCTGATTGACATCAGTGGCGGATCCAGGGGGTGGCCGCCCTGGATCCGGAGTTAGTATATTGTTTATGAATTTTTCGATTTTAGTTATTCGGCTTAGTGTTATTTTATAATAAGATTGAGTGTAACTAGAAAAATTATTCAGATTAACATATTAAAATCACTACTATAAATTTAACTTAGAAATTCTAGCTCCAAAGACTATTTTTCTAAAAAAAACAATGAAATCTAAAATTCTAAAAGTCTAAAACGTAAAAGACAATAAGAAATAAGAGGTTTGTTCTCTTGAAAATTTACTAAAGCAGTTAGTGGATATAGGTATGGACACACAATGCACGATTGATTTGTCTAGTGTTGACGCTGCTCGTATCAACAACTACTACAGGGAGAACTTTTTCAACAATGAAACATATGAAATTATTGATGCATTCGCTAAATTAAAATATCATCGTGTACAATTTATATTGTAAGAAAACTATAATATTTTTTATGGTTTTAATTTTTTAATGAAATGCGACCCAATACTCTTCTGTATTCTGGATCCGCGGCTGATTGACATATACCGTGTAAGGAAACCAAACTAGGAAGCAAGGAATCTGCAAGAGGCGCATGGTACAGAGGAGAAGGGAACACAAGGGCATGTTATGTGGAGCTGTGACGTCAGCCCTGCCGGCCGGAGTTGGCTTTTCGTGGTAGCGGCTGGTTGGCCGTCCGTCCGTCCGCCGGAGTTGGCTTTTCACTGTAGCGGCTGGCCGCCCGTTCTTTCCGTCCTGTCGAAGTTTCCAGTTAAATTCGCACACATTTTCTGTTACAATTCCTGGGAAACAACAGAGAACCTGACTTTATTATTATACATCACATTATAATTTGTCATAATAAATGCAATAACTAACAAAAGAAATGGAACTCAAAATAAATATATATTTTTTTTTTTTGGTGACGAGAGAGGCAAGCAACGTGGAGAAGCGGTGCATTTCTGAGATGGCTGAGTGTGTCTTCTATGTCTGTGATGGGATATGGGGTTTTGCCACTTTGCAACATGTTCCAGCCAAGCATGTTTCCCCTTCTCTTATCTCTTACAATCGCTCTTACTTTTCGAAAATTAAGGATTGTAAAATCGTATTAGAGCAAAGATGATTTAACAATACTAAACAAAATATTTTGTGAAGTTTTTGTCAAGCAAAAACAAGGGAATCAAAGAGCAAGGCCTCGTGCATTTGCTGTATGCAAGCCCACTTGAATTATTAGCTGAATCTTTCTTCCCAAACTTAATTGGCAAGTTCTGAATTTTATAACCACATGTTGCAATTAATTAATAGCTCTTAATAATAATTAATAGTGGGTCATTATGAAAAAAATAATTAATAATGGATTGTTGGGTTTCTTTTTTTCCAGGTTCTGATTGTCCCGTACTTAATCCACGTATTTGCCAGCTAATTACAGGATACAGATCTATGTATACACATCGGTCAGTTTTATCATTTTGCCTTTTTTTTTCTTTTGTTTATGCCTCCTTGATAAGTTATAGCTAAGGTCTCATTCATGAATATACACCTACTGCTTGCCTGTTCTTAACCTATAGTGAAAGTGAGAAAATACATCTACCGTATTGTAAAATTTTGGTGAAAGTTGTAACATTTCAACTTTTATCTTACCAAGTTCTTGTTGGTCTTGAGCACTACCTTGTATGGTAGTGTTTTTGGGTTTGACTTCATGGAAATTGGAAAGTCGCCAGACCTACTTCTGCATTACGACATACTTAGCACGTTTAATTTCGGAATTCTTATAAAATTCATCTATTTCACCCCAAAATGTGTCGTGCCATTTAAGATTGGATTGTTTCATATGAACCGTGAATCTTTTTTGTGTTTTGTCGATGTATGATTTGCCCAGAGTGTTAGCGAAGTCTTTAATGAAACACTCAACTAGTTCATGTGTGGTTTGTCAATAATCAGTTGGTCTCAATAACTCGAGTTGTTGAGAAAGTTTTAATCATGACCCTCCCATATGAAGGTTAACTCATATAGACTTCAGCTTTGTACAAATCTGAATATCATGTGCTTAATAAATAATGATTGTTGGAATTCAAATACAAGACCTCCCGTCATCAAAAACTCTGATATCATATTAAAAAATCAATTGATCATAATAACACAAAATTTTGAAATTTTCAATTATGAATTTTAATTATATCATTTACTAGCAGTAATAGACTAGACAATCATTTGTTTTAATTCCTAAAAATTATTGCGTAAAAGTGGTTAACCTAATAAAGCCCTAAACTCTAATATATTCTTCCCTGATTTGTTCAATCGAACCAAGTCATGGCCACCCCTACGACCTTAACCATGTATTAAGCACACAATAATAATTTGGTGCACGAACATATATATGGGGTCCTTGGATTTTTATACTTGACCTGGGAAGCTGCTTTCTCGATTAATTAAGCGATTTAGTGCCAAATGGAGGCTCATCTTCTTAATTTAATATCACAGGAATTAATTCCCCATTATTATCTTAATCTAAAGCTAAAACCACCCACTTGAAAATAATTAACTTCAATTAATTGCGTGTTATACAGGCCCCACTTGGTTAAAAAAAAAATGTTTATCCAACTCATGGAGCTTGGAAGGTGCATGTACGCCTGCTACATTTGACCAATAATCTTTTACAATTAACATCGCTAATTAAATCTATTAATTAATGCACATAATTATTTAGAGTAATAAAAAAAACCCAACTTGGGTTTAGCTCCAGTGTACCATACACGCATTTCGTATTTTATTCGTGGTTGCAATTATTTATCTATCCTGTCGCAAGAAGACGACAAAAGGTGAGATAGCGCTATACATGCCAAAAATAAGGGAAATGGTGCTAGGTTAATATGAGTAGTGGGATACTGGGATTGGATTGGGCTTCAAAGGGAAGTAAATTTTTCCACTCTGTTTGGGAAGGGGTAAATGAGAGGAGGGTGCAAATGTGAGAGGTAAATAGAGTTTGCAACACATTTGCACCTGTTTGGTTAATTTGGCAAATTTACTGTTTCGGCTTACCCCCGAATTGGGGTGCAAGGGAAGGAAGGAAGAGAGGGGGAGGGGGGAATTATGGAATTTTATTTTTCTAATTGTGTTATATATAATTATATAATAATTAATATTATCAATTTCTTCTTTTTATAAATATCATTAATGTAAACATTATTCGAGGTTGACCATTTGACTCTGGAAACAAGTTTATCAATGTTCGTCAAGTCAAATCTAGATCTCTTGGTTGAATCGAATTTGCATTGAAAATTAGAGATACGAGGTGTCTGCGGAAAAGATAGAGATAAATTGTTTGGTTAACTCAGTTTATTTGACTAAATAGTTAAAACTTACAAATTCGAACGTGTTTGACTAAGTTTGACAATTTAAGATTAAACTAGACACGAAAACCCTATATAGGATGACCAGTTACGAGTTGAGCTTCCAGTTTTGAGATCGCTCGATCAATGATTATTACAATTGTTATAATTAATTATTATTTGAGTATTATTATATAATAACTATTTTAGTAAAGTATATTTATTATTATACAGTAATATTTATTTTATTATTTTATGATAATATTTTAAAATCTTAAAATCTATTTTATAATCTTAAAATCTATTTTATAATCTTAAAATCTATTTTATAATCTTAAAATCTATTTTAAAATTTTAAAATTTACTTTAAAATAATATAATTACTTACTTTTCACTCTATTTGCACCCCTACTTTTTCATCCAAACAACAATTTATCCCTCCATTTACAACCCCAACAATTTGCACCCCCCAACAATTTACCCCTCAACTTGCACCCCCTACAATTTGCACCCTCTTGTTGCCAAACAGAGCGTTCATAAAGAAGGGTTGTGCGGGCTTCACCATCTTTGTTTGAACTAGGCCAAAATTTAATTTGACCTTGAATTGGACTATTCGAAAAATGTCGGTCATTATACAACACAGACCTTCATTTGACTTGAAATTTAACGACAAACGTATATCGATATCGTCGATTAGTGGTTTATCCATTTTACAGCCGGGGTTCGGTAATCGATTAAACCATTAACCTGCTAATAATCGATTACCAGTCCTATGCATGCTACACAAATAAAGTACTAGATAATCATGAATAAGATCTATATCTTGACACTTGGATCTCAATTAATCGAAAATTTAATAAGTATTTAGAGTAAATAATGTACTATAACAAAATGGATGAGAAATTAACGTCGTTTCGAGACAAATTCTAGTAGCGTTGGTTATGAAAATGCCTGAATTCTCCTTAAACGGATATGGCAATTAATTGGTCTCTAACACCCCACTTTGTAGCCACTAGGCGCAAAGGGTTTTTCTTGTGCATTGCAACGCCAGGCTGCACATCCATGTATAAATCCTCATTCTTCATTCCATCCGGCATTCCCCAATCGAAAGCGTAAAGCAGATTAGCCAGAGAGAGCTCCACATTTGCGAGCCCCATGTGAATAGCGGGACACATCCTTCTTCCCGCTCCGAACGGTATCAACTCAAAGTCTGCACCTTTCACATCAATCGACGGATTTTCCATGAACCTCTCCGACCTAAACTCCTCTGGGTTTTCTCCCCGGGTTTCAGGATCCCTTCCGATCGCCCATATATTCACGTAGACTGTAGTCTTGGCTGCTATTTCATACCCGCCTAACCTACAATCCTCGGTTGATTCCCTTGGAACCAACAATGGAGCTGTGGGTTGCAGTCTCATTGACTCCTTGATCACAGCTTTGAGGTAGGCTAGTTGATGATCAAGAAACTAAAATAGTAAGTTTTTAAGTTTTAAAGCGCATTTTTAACTACACTACCTATAAAAACTGTAAGTCTATATAAAAACGTTTTGATGACCTAGAAACGTAAAAGCGCAAATTTTTAAACTTTAAAGTGCGATAACACCCCAACCCATTCCGCAACCACAAAAAATAGGTGTCGTAGCAATGAACGATTTTAACAACAGCGCCTCAGAATGTAATCAGTGAATGAATGGAATCGATAACAGTACTGATCTTATAGATAATGGTAATAATAGAATCACAGCAAATCTCCAAGCGCGGCGACGCACAGAGCAGACAATCTAAATCAAAAGACTGCTTACAAAGTGTTTCTGATGAAAGTTTAAAGTTGGTGTTTCCTTCCCAGATGAGGAAGCACATAAATTATAAGTTAATCACAATTGCCAGTTGCTACAACCCTTGTGTGCGATCACAGAGAGAATGAAACGAACTCCTAAACAAGGGTTCTTCCCGATCGATTCAATCGTACAACCCTTCTTGTTCCCAAACGTCCACCAGAAAATCCACCATTTCCTGCCATTGTACAAACAGCAAGACCAAAAGGAAATGTAAAAAATTATCTCATTGGCCTGCTGAACTTGTTTTGAACGACGACGGCCACCATTTTCATAACTTACAGCGAGTGGGACAGGATGGTGGAATGGCTTATTACTCCCGAGTAAGCTATCATAAGAAGCATTCCAACTGCCACATACATCAGTGCTCGTGAGTCGAATTGAGAGCTTAAACAATCAACTCTAAAAGGACATGGAATCAGATATGAGTTTTGAAACAGATAAAAGTTGGATGGATGCAAGATCATGCCACTCTGCTCCAAGAAGATAATTTACATGTGAAACTTCTATATGATCAAAAGACCAGCAAAAAGAGTGTTTTAACTTTAAATTAGGTTTCGAGGGAGTAGCAATGCTCTATAGAGTCATCATTTTCATAAAGATAAACTACACATCACCTTATCGTGGGCTCACGAGCTTGCGGTTTTGTTTTGCTCTGAGATAACTTATTTGCAAGCCATTGCTGCCTTGTCTGGTTCCATAGAAGGAGACCTGCAGCCAGCAAAAATAATCCATTTTCAATGTACTTAGCTACGCACTAACCTTCTAAGGACAACTTCAATAGCAGCCTCTAAACAATTTTGGAGAAGGGAAGTCGAACAATGAAATAACATGTCAACCAAGATTATCAACAGACTCCCTACAGTAGGAAAAAAATAAAAAAGGGCCAAACAAAAGCCAATGAAACGACCACGAAGAGAAGATGATTCTGCTGCATCTGCAGTTTAAATATATTGACCATGACTAGTGATAACTAGTAGAACTTGCCATGATTTACAAATTCAGAAGGGTTGCTTGAGCTGCCAGCATTACTGCAGGGATCGAGGGGCTGGTTTAGTGTGCTGATGGATGACATGCTTCTCTGTGATTGTATAGCACTGTTGTCCATTTCTGCTGCACTACTGCTCCAGAAATCGTCGGTTATGCTATATTTCTTTGCTATCCTTTCTTGAGGTCTTAAGCTCTTTGAATGCTCATTCACGGAAACAACGGTAGTGGGTTTAGCACAGCAACCAAAACAACCTCTGCTCTGTTACAAATCAGGTTTTACCACAAATATGATTAGAACCAAGTAACCCACAACTAAGTACTTCTCATTTCACAGCAAAATGATGATGATAACAATAAGACAGATGGAAAAGGCAAAATTTGAAAAGTTTTATAGAAATACATCACTGTTAAGAACAACTTAGTCTTTTCGACTATGCTTTTCCATTTGGAAACCAAACAAGGGGAAGGGATGCAATGTCCATTTGCCAGTAATTTATTTTAATGAGCCAGCTACGAAACAATGCAAATATACATTCTCTAATAAAATATGAAATTCATCACTGGCAGGAGACAGGAGTTAGAGTTATCCTTCAAGCTACATGAATTATTGACCTAAAATTTGAAGCCCGATTGGTGTGCAAACGTTGCAAATGGATATGCAAAATACAATGGCTTCTGTAAGCTTAAATCTATCAATTTTCCATGTGGTAGTACATGGAAATGGGAAACTAAGCACGCATACATCTATTCCATTACACAAACTTATCAGCATTCAATGCAAATAAAATCCGAGACCAGGAATAAGATTATAAATCCAGTAGCTGGTAGGGTGTGAACTCCCTGAACTTTCAGTTCACAGGGAACTGGGGAATGCCATCAGCGATAATTTCTATCTCATATGTAAAAGGTAGGCCGATTCTAGAAACAAAACATTAATGAAGAAAGAGAAGAAAACAAACAAAGCTGAAAGCTTCTCACACTGAAAATACCCTTCCATTTACTCCTAAATCCTTCCATTCCCATGCGTGCCACAACACGGAAATATGCTCCAGAAAGCAATACAAAAGAACTGCAAGGTTTCCTCCCAACACATCTCTCAGTCTGGTTCAGGACACAACATGTAGAGAACATTACTTCCTACAACAAAAAAGCTTCTGCCCGCAAGCAATCCCATTGGAGAATAGAATGTCCCAAGTTGCTCATTCTTTCAAGGAAAGAAAGGGGCGACAAGAAAAGCCAATCTTTGTTTGTTCTTATGTTCCCCACAAGTGAAGCTTTTACTTACAGACGAAGCAAAGAGTAGTAAAACAAAGATACCAAATCAAGCTGAGGCAGGCAAGCTTGATATACACAACGGTAACACCCATCCCTATCTGCTGAAAAGCCAGGTAAAGAGCCACATTTTTTGCGAACTAAAGGACCAAAAGCTTCCGGGGTATGCCTAAAAACTGGTCTCTAGATGAAAACCTAGATCGCAACCCCCCTTCTCACTAGCTTTGTACCAAACAAAAACAGTTGAAAGAAAAGAGGTGGATTTTCTCCACTGTTTCAGAGCTCTTGAACAGTATCTCATCTTGTCTCATCTTATTCAGAAGCAACAAAAGGAGAATCCAGAAAAGCTCACCCCATGCATGCAAAGAGATGGCAGATCCAAGGGGGAAACAACCTACAAAACTGCATTTACAGGCGCCACGCTGAAGATCTTAGCTGCAAATCACCAAGTCGAGGAAGGAGACTCCGAACAGACCTGAAAACAGAGGGATATCAAACTCTGATCCAAATTCGGAATCACTAAAGCGAAGATTCGAGGGGCAGAGATGCGTTAGAGAGAGATAGACAGAACAGAGAGAGAGGGAGACCTCAAAAACTGCATGATTGAATAGTAATGGAAATCGGAATCAAATTGGGGAAATTTCCTTTTTAAATTAACTGGGTTATCGTCGATTTGTCTCCTTCCTCAACCGACCCCCGCCAAACAAAAGGGCACTCCGGTCACCGATTCAACCAAAGGCCTTTCTTTTGGTCTCCGACGCCCGAGGCCCTTCCGATTTCCGGCTCAAGAATTCCTTCCCTACAGATTGAAGCTCTTAATCTCGATTTATTAGAAAAAGGAGAGGAAAGTGCGGGGGGGGAAAAGTTTCCCTGGCCGGAGATGGCGGCGGCGAAGGAGGGAGACGAGGGAGTGAGCGGAAGAAGCGAAAGGGGAAGGGGAAGGGGAAGAAGAAGAATGAGTTGTTCTAGGCGTAAGAAATTAGAATGGGGTAATGGTTGTCTATGGTCGAGAAAACTGCAGATTCTGGTGCACCTGCTACGTGAACTTCATCTCCACCGTTCGATTCCCCAAATTTGATGAGAGTGCTCGATCTGCTTTGTGGGTACGCTGATCTCATCAACTTAATCCGTTTATTTAATTTTGGTAAATGATCTTTAAGATACTCTACTTTACTGATTTTAACAACTAAGCCCCTCTACTTTCTATTAAATAAGTTATAGTACTCTCAAATATGAGACAATTATACTTTTCACAAACATTACCACTTCATCGAGTTCACCGTTAATCTAACGTTATATGTGGTGTTGTGCGTACGCATGGGTGAGTCACCTCAGAGACGAAATCACCCTTCAACTAAGTAGGATAATGTAGAACAATCATTTGCAGAAAAGTATATACATAATGATGTGATTAATAACTTTTGTTTCTAGTAAAAGAGCATGAAAGTGTTGAAACTAATTGGCACATTTAATAATTTCGGATAGTACATATACATTAGTATTACTCTTTTATTGTTTTTTTTCCTTATGTACATATCTTTTAGATCATTCACTGATCATATTAGTGATAACAAATCTTATGTGGTGAGAATTGGCGGGAGATAATCCGCTTTACGGCCTAGGACGGGAGCATTGGTGTCTGGGAAATTCATCTCCCCAAAATTGGTGATGACTCCGTTGTTACCAATTTCAATGGGATACCTAAGCAAGTGACCTGAAAGATCGTGATCGAAAGTCTTGCTCACATATTTCTCCCAATTATCCTCTGCAAGTTGATTCACCAATTGCACGCACCTCACGCTCCCTGGATATTGAAATGACTTCTCAAGCACTCCTAGATGTTCATACCATAATGCTATTCGAAACCCATATATTTGGCCTGTTGGTTGTTGGTTACTCGTTGCTATATGTTGCGGCTGAAATGCTCCCATTGCAATCTCAGTGTCTCTACCACCATCCATCGACCTTTGGTTGATGTTTGCTGACCCAATAATTATATACTCATCATCAACTACAAAAAGACAATATTGTCAGCCTCATTTCATTCATAAAAATTGTGCAATTCACATATCTTAACATGATAATTGTATGGTAAGCATGTATGTTCTATAAAAGATGATAAAAGAATTCAAGGAGGATAAACATCTACCAATCATCATCTTTGCATGGACATAAATCATGAATCGACGAGAAAGTTGAGCTTTGGCATAATCAGAATCGGGCTCTGGAGTCTCCTGAGGCACGTACTCGCCGCTCTTCTTGGTCTCCCTATTTCCAAGACAAAAGAACGACAAGTATTCTCTAGGACTCGTGTTGAGCCCTTTCCTTCTAAGAGCTTCAGAAATGTCAGAATACATCATCTCCATCGTTCTCCTTTGCCAATCCAATATCGCTTGAACGGATTCGCTCTCCGGAATCCCTTCTGGCCACATTGGGATCACAACATACACTACAAATCTCTCACCTGCTTCGATCTTACTCACAATCTTCAACGACAATTCCTTAGGTATGAGATGTAAAGCAGTAATGTCCTCCACTTTAATATCTCCACTTTGCTTCCACCCGAAAGAGCTCCCAAGAAAATACTGGTTCTCGATGTATATGAAATTCTTGGCCCTTCGAATGGCGTGAATGTACCCGTCCTGAATGCTTCTGTCAACGACGTTATCTTTACCACTAATAAGCCCAACAGTTGCAGCCTCCTCCGGCTTTTCAGGAAACCCTAAAACCGCTCCACCGTCTATGGACCGAAAGATCTGAACGTTCCATGCCTCTTGATCGTTAGACTGCAACACTGGCATTGGACGCGAGATCAACCCTTCTAGTTTCTCTTGTGGGATCAACAAATTTTTGTTATTAATATCTGCAACTTGTTTCCGCCACCTTTGTTCAAAGTTATAAAGAACATCCCATGCAACCGGACCTTCTAGCTTGCAATGAACGTCATGCCATGGTTCTCGTGGACCTCCTTTCGTAATCGACGATCCTGGAAAGTTTGGTTGGTGGAAATCCTCATGATGAACAGTGTCTAACGTCTTGAACAATGGATGATCTTGTGTATCATATCTACCATCGCACAAATCGATTCCTCCAATGAAGCTCACAATCCTTCTTTTCGAAGACTCTTCAGTACCTCCCCCCACTCCTGATGGCATGCTAGCATCCACAACCACTGTCTTCTGATGATGTGTGAACATAGCTGAGATTGCAAACCCTTGAATTATACTCCTTCCATCATCAGGATTGCGAGGACATAATATGCACTTCACCTTTGTGTCTCTAAAATAGGCTTCAGTCTCTTGATCGTGGGTTGCCATTAACCCATCCCTTTTAAACTCTGAAACTGAAGTTCTATCATCCCAGACCAACATGAGAACGGTCACACCTTGGTCCGCTTTCATCTTTAGGAGCTCACCTAGCTTCATATCACCTCCGAGTTTCGGCCGATTCGGGTCCCTCACTAGTGTGATCTCGGTGTAAACCGACCATCCGGTTATGTAAATGAGGTGCCTCGCATTGCTTATGGCTTCAAAGATATCCTCCCAACATCTATTCGCCTGCATTAACTTTCTATCTGGTCCCAAATGAACATTTGGAATGAAGTTGTCGTGGACGTGAGCATCCTGGTACAAGGTTACTTGGCACCCATGCCTTTGGTTGAAGAAAGCATAGGGGATGCCTTCGTACTTGGGGTTTTTTATTCCTTGCGACCAGTTAGAATCATAGGCGATGTTGAAGAACTGAATTTTGACGTGGATTCGAGGGTTTCCAGGAAGGGGGGCTTTGTCGTAATCGTCGTCGAGGATGGGGACCCATTTGTCGACGATGTATCCTTTGATGATGTCTTCCACAGGGATGTAAGCTCTTCCGATCAGTGTGGCTCCAACTGGGTCTTCGTCTTTGATGGTGAAGATGATGTGGTTGATTGTGTGAGCGCAATAGATCCAAAAGGATTCATACCATCTAGGGTTGGAAGGCTCTTTGGTGAGGATTCTAGTTCTTCCAACTCTTGCCTTGTCCAAATCGACTGTAGCATATAATCTCGATCCACCAATCTGTTACCATAATAACATTAGAAATAAAAATAATAATTATCTACCATAGTTATATGAGTAAAAAGTTATATTAATGTTTCCCTAGTCGATGAACTCTATTGTCGAATTAAATTGAACCATAGCACTCTCCATTTAAAGTCCCAAATTTTATAGAAATATAGAGAGTAAGTACCTCTGGTCGGCAAAATAATACGCGTTTGAATTTGGATAAAAACCTTCTTCCGATCTTTTGCGGCCCATCACACTGAAACATATACAATAAAATTAAGTAGAACAACCTTAATCATCAACAAAAACATAATTTAATTTATGGTGACATCACATTTTTCAATTATTTTTATGAATTGATTAACTATAATAAAGGATAGAATAATTTGAATGGGAGTACCAATGAAGACAAATTAACTTGTTCTGATATGTGATTGAAATGAACATGTGTTGTAATATTTTTTTTTCTTGAGAAGAAATATGACTAACAATTTGTAAAGCAATTAGGAAGAGAAGACATGATTGATGAAGTCTACATGTACATGTGTATAAGATTCATTACGGAGTATACATAAAAGAAAACAGAATTAACAATGATGTCATGAAGCTTCATTTTTCTTGATCATATGGAGCTAAAATCTTGAGCATGTGGAGCAAGTAGGTTAAGAATTTAATATGAATATATATCATTAACTTCAAGAGAAATATAAATTTACTCATTTTTAGAGATTTGACATCAGAATGGGCAAAAAAAATAATGCATGCCTATCAAACTTATTTCATTGCATTATCTTTCTTATCTAATTTCCATACAAAATCATTGTTATTGGACGCCCAATAATATTGGAATTTTGATATGAAGTACTTTGATAATTTAGGGGTAAAGAACCAAAAGTTTTTTTTTCTTTCAAAAGTTCATAACATGATCACTCCACACTAGAACAATACACAATTCTTTTTTAAACCCATACACTCTATAATTCATATTTGCCAAACGATAGAGCTACTAACAACGATTTAAAATAAGCCATGTTAATCAGTTTACTCAAAGTGAAGAACATGTCTATACGAAAATAAATCTCGACATTGCAATATACAAATCTAGACGAAGATGATTTCAGTTTTTGTACATTATTCTATAACGTGGCTATTCTATTCCGTCTCTTAGGAAGAGGAAAAAAAATCGAGCCAAAAATACTTAATAGCATGACATTATATTTATACAAATGTATACCTTGGACATATGCAACGAAACCAATCAAGTAAAATCTAGTACACGAATCAATTTGATCTAAAAATAATATCATTATGGTTTAAACCGTAACGTCAAAGGAATCAGTATCGAATCATTTAGGAGGAGATCAGAATCACCTTAGAGAACATGTCAAGGCCACATCCATTGTTGAGGCTATCAATCTCATATATGGTAACAGCCAGGGTCCCATGCAGCAGACGTCCCACCATCGATCGAGGTTGAGTACTCGTTATCTTTCGAAAGGATGAATGTGGAGAGAGTTAGGTTTTAGGGTTCATGGAGAGGAATGGAACCATCCATGTTTATATATATATATAGACACATTATGGGAGTAAGGATATGCATGGAAGACACGAAAGAGGGAGAAGAAAAGAGAAAGAGAGGTATATTCTGAAGGGTTTCTTGGATTAGGAGTGGCATAATGAGGTTGAAGAAGAGGGCAAGAAAGCACTACTTCCATCATTATTACCTAGCTGCTTGCTTCTTGGTTTTAAGGTGGCAAAGAATAATGGTTTGTTTGCCCCCAAGTATTCGATCTTTTAATTGCATCATGGGATACTGTGGCCTGTGGATGGATAATGATTTAGGCCCAATGGAAGAATCTCCAACGGCCCAATCAGTTTTGATGGACACCTATTGGGGCTTATAAGATGAAAACCAAAGGTCCAATCTATTTCAAAGTGGAAATAGTTGGATCAGGAGTTGTGGCCCTGCACGCCGGTGGACTGTGGCCTATTCCCGTCATCATCAGTTCCATCTTGAAGAAAACTAACGCGGGAAAAATATATAAGATCATTTGATAAATTATGGAACAAAACTGAAGGACTCGTTTGCTTGTTGAATTTGAAAAATGAGGATTTTGAGTTTTAAAAATCTTTGGATTTATGATGGATTTGTTGCATTATGGATTTGGAAGAGTTCATTGTTTGTTTGGTTAATTTTTATCATGGATTTATCATTGATTTGTCTCACAAATTTGCCTTCCATTATCAAATCCTAAATGAAATATGAGATTTGCAAATCCGTGGGGTCCACGGATTTGGATCTAAAAAAAGGGTTCAAATCCGTGGCCCCCACAGATTTGTGTCCCTTATCAAACAATAGAGTTGTGTCAAATCCATGATGCTTGGAATTTGGGTGCCAAATCCATTACCCAAATCCCACAAGCAAACGATACCTGAGTGGGCACAATGTGAGCCAGATCGTAGATCGTTAAAAAAAAATTGAGATTGGTCCATGATTTGTATTTGTGGGATGTTTTGCTCTTTTGATCTAGTCCAGATCGTGATTTATCTGATCATACCGTGGACCCATCCCGCTTTTTGACAACTCATAAAATTTTCATATCCATATATTTCTGTCTCCTTTAGTTTACGTTTTTTCTAGGCTAATTGATTCGAGAAATCTAGAGAGACCGTATACATAAACTGATGAGTTATATAAAAGAAGCCGTACTTGGATGTGGCGGCACCGCCATTAGACTATGGCATGAAGTCTGCAGCCGGCCAACCGGAAACTTTTGAGAAGGAGTCTTGCTGCCATCAACTAACTGCAACTGTAAACGCTGAACCTGAAACATTTAAAAGGGCGGCCTGCAAATGAGGGAAGAAAAGAAACCAAGCTCTGCACTGCAGGTAGGGGACTCGGTCCTCCGCCACAGAAATTTGTTTTGTGGCCCTCAAAATTTTCAAGAAATAAAGGTCCAATTTGTGAGCCAGCAATCCAAATAATAAACTAGACTGGTGACTAGAAGTCAGTGGAGTCCCATTGCTAGTTGATAAATATGTAATTTTATTTAGGATATATTGTGCCTAGTAAATTTGGCATTTACCATAGTGATACCGGACTATATATGTAGATCACGAATTAATCGAAATTTTGGAGTATGGTACTATGTTATAATCTTTCATAACTAAACTCTAGACAAAGCTTCCCTAATTATCAAGGTTGTTTAACCCCTATTAGACCTCGGTTGGAGCCGGTCCGACTGAAGCCGGGCTTCAAAACAGCCTTCAGAAAGCTTCCAGTCTGACCCCTAAAGAGGGAGAAGAAGAGAGGGGGAAGAGAGGAAGAGGAACGAATGAAGGGAGCTGGTAGGTGGGTCATGAAGGTTAGGTAGATTTATTTTGCGGAAAATAATTTTTTAACATAGATATATGTAAGATAAATGTAATTTCAGTCATTAAATCTTTAATTACTACCTTATTTGTATATATATTTAGAAAACGTCTAAAACGCCTCAAACTGGTCGGACCCCGATGAGATCATTAAACCTCAAACCCTTTATTTGACTGATTCAATGACTTAAACCGGTTTGACAACTTTGCTAATTATTAAATTATAAGATAACACAATACAAGAAAAATGGTTGTATACAGACGTATATTAGAAATGTGTCTCTGCAAGGCATGTATTTACCTTTGTATAATTTTAGAAACATACGATATAACTCATTTCTTTTCGATAGAATTGTTACTGTAGCCTTGCCGGGAGAAACATTACTTGTTGTTGATTAGAGAATCGTTGGCTAATATTTTTAGCCTCTAATGTCTTTTTGAAGCATAATATTTTGTTTCTAAGTGGTAGAACAAGTCGTTCTATCTGTAATTTATTTTTTGTGGGACTATTCGTTTGATTATTAAGGGCGTTTTGTGTTCAACTATTTGTTGCTTCGTGCTATCACTTATAGCGATGGGTTAGTCAGTAGTGAATATCATGGTAAATTGGTAATACAACAAAAATATATTTAAATGCGGCAAAGGAAAATATTGAATGAACCTTAAATTGATGCAAAAATGAGACCATGTCAATGGCTCTCTAAAAAGGGCAAAATTGTAAAACACCACCTACAATAATGGCTAAAAGTTACAAAAAAAAGGAGGATTTGGGGCTAAATTTGGTTTGGATAAGACAAAAAGCCATTCCTAAATATGGTCTCCCCACTTTTCATATCAGTGTAGATAGGGGTGAACAAACACACCCGTAAATCGACCTATCCGTCTAATCCGATCCAACCCACCCGTATTTATCGTTAAAACGAAGGTTTTGGGTTGGGTGAAGGTTTTGTTTTGTACAACCCGCCTCTTTTGGGTTGGGTTTGGATTTTGGATTACACAACCCGTAGAACCCGACCCAACCCGTGTTCCAGCTATTAGTATGAGTTCGGATCTAAAAAATATTTATGTCGTATATAGTCATATACTTATGAGAAAATTAAGATATTTCGTCATGTTTTTCTCTCATGGTCTCCCTAATCTAATGCATTTTTCGACTTAAAGTTTAGACATAAATTGAATTTAGATATAATTCACGTAATCCTTTTTCTTGTGTACAAATTTAATAGAATAATATATGATTGATGCGTTTGTTTATAATATTTTTAGCCTATTTCAACAAATATCTTGAAAAAACAAGACATATGTTGAAGTAAATCACATTTTATTAAAATTTAAAGAACATTTGTGAATTTTCATACCTTTCACCTTGGTTCATTCGTTTGAAATTTTAATTAGTTATAAAATATTTTTATGATGTAGAATAATTATATATTTTATGTTGGGTTGGGTTTTTACTTAAAAACATCGCCAACACGACCCAACCCAATTAGAAACAAACCGTAGAGTTTAAATTTTTTTGGGTGGATTTGGCTTTGATATTTCCCAAACCGTAGTAATAATTAATTAAAATGAACATTTTAATATGATATTTTTAATTTGAACATTAAAAATTTACATCTTCAAATATGATATATTTTTAATATGTATATAAAAATAATGAATAAATTATCTAACTAGGCGATAAAATATACAATAATGGAGTTTAGGCCAAAAATTAATTTAGAAAATTTGAGATTTTAACACTCATTATTGGAGAATAAAAACCTTTTGGTAAGATCAGATGCCAAATCTAACTCCAAGTTTTGTGACATTTTTTGCTTTACCATTGGAGATAGTCTAGGTTGGATATTTGACTTGGCAGAATGCCAAATCTAACCCCATAAACCTACCCGCTTTCGCTTACGTCCTTTCATCTTAATGTGTGTTTTCTAGCACATCTCTATCTACACTTGTCCTTTTGTTCCCTCCTTTTCAGTTTTCACTCAGCTTGTCTTGTGCATGTTTTGAGATTTCTTTACCATTTTAGGTTGAATTATTATATGATCTTAGGACTTAGATGTTGGATTATAAAATATACAGCACGCTACATGGATTTACATTACCATTCTACACTTCCACTAGAGGGGTGGGGGAGGGTGGGAAAGGAGTGTCGTCCCTGGGATTTGTATCTAGGACCTCAAGGGTGAAAACTCGCGGTACGAACACTCGACCATAGTCTCGTTCGCATGCACTCATATTGATACCTCAACAGTTACGTTGTTTCCATCAAAAGAACGGTATAACTAATAGACATGAAATATTTCAACATACATAACCAAAGAATTGTAGGAATACTGATAAACTACATTTATCATGTTTTGTTTCACTTTTTTTCGGAAAGATTTTGGTATAAATAAGCACATTCTAATTTTTTAAATATTTATCCACATCAAAATTCAAGCCCAAAATAAGATGGATCCCATTAGTAATCATTTAGTACATCCATATTTCACTGATAACGTAGGGAAAAAAACTGAGTATATACTATATATATATATAAGTAACCAAAATAACTTTCTCAACACTAAAAAAAAAGTAACCAAAATAACGCCATCAACCCAATCGTAGCATTAGTTCAGATTTTTTTCTTCTTCTTCATCTTCCAAAGATGAAAAGAAACCTAAAAGTGGATCTATATGTATATTGCTATATCTGTCCGTTTACAATATATGGATTTATTTGTACGTAACAATAAAGAGAGGAGAAGATGAACGACGACGACGAGACGAGGAGTAGTATACTAGCCCCACCTGAAAGCGAGAGTACGTACAGTAAACACACCATAATCAGTTCCAATTAAGGAGCTCCTCTATCATTTGCATAGCAACTCTGTTCTCCTCCTCTTCCTTCTCTCCCCCACTCGCCGCCGCCGCCGGCGACATCCCCTCACCCTCGCCCGACGAAGAAGCAGCAGGCCCATCCTCAGCAGCATTGTCCACAGCAGGCCCGACGACAGCAGGAGTAGGACCGGATCCCAAACGGACGCGCATGACCCAGCTGGATGTGGGCCGGGCCCCGGCCCGCTTCTGCCAGACACCAATGTGGGCGCTGTCTTCGGAGTCCAGCCTGAGGCACGTGAGCGAGCTGGTGGAGGGGTCCTTGCCGCAGCACTTCCGCAGCTTCGCGTTCAGAGCCTCCCCCAGCGTCTTGCTGCTGCTCGCTGACGTGGCGGTGGCGGGAAAATTGGTCTTGGCATTGTGTCCGTTCATCAGGACGGCGGCCTGATCGTACGCCCTGGCCGCCGCCTCCGCCGTCTCGAACGTCCCCAGCCACACCCTCCGCTTCCTGAGGAAATTTAATCAAACCCACATTTATTTATGTGATAAGAGAAAGAGTAGCTAGCTAGAGGTATAAATGCTGTAAGCTACAAGAGCAGAAGAGAAAAGGAAAGAGAGATGGGGCAAAATATACGTACAGTAAAGGGTGGCGGATTTCGGAGACCCAGGAGCCCCACTGACGCTGCCTGACACCTCTGAACTTCTTCTTCTTATTATTATTATTCTTTGATTGTACTGCCATGCTTTTGTTTGTTTGGGTTGCTTCTGGTTTGAGGAGATGGAAGATTTAATTTGTTTGCAGAGAGATGATGGGGGGAGGGAGGGAGGGAGATAGAGATGAGCAACTACCGAAGGAGTAAAGAGACAATAATGGTGGTGATGATAGTACGATATTATGGACAGGGAGGAGGAAGGTGAGTTGTTTTTTGTTTTTTTTTTTTGTTTTATTTACTTGAACATACAGAAAAATGAAAGAGGAGAGAGTGTGAAGATGTCGGTGAAATATGGATGGGAAAAGTCTAACTTTGCAATTAATAAGGGTTTCACCTACATTATTATGTACGTATATATACCCTGCTCCACAGGTCAGCTTGCTGTATTGTTTGATCATTTTGTGGGTTTAAAGGGCAATAGCTTGCTTATGATCTTTGTGTTCTTGCTTGACAAATTATGATGTATTCCTATTGAAATCGTAACAAATTAGGGTTAGTTCAAGATCCATAGCCTTTAATTTGAGTTTACTTTAGCGAAATGATGCATGTGTATGTGTGGGGGTTTAATCTGAAATCCCACAATTGAAATCCTTGGTCCGAACTATCCGACGTCAAATCCTATGGTATTATATCGGAACCAATTGATCTCAACCATTCGAGTTGTTGTGAATCCTGTACAATATTTTATATAATTCTTGAAAACTAAATAGTGACCATCGTTCCGAAACTCTTGAATATAGGAGGAGAAAAAACTACCGGTATGATCAATAATATTAATAGGTGATTTTGGAGAAGGATTTGATGGGGGTAGGATATAGTACCCTTTTCTCCCTCTAGTGTAAGTTGTGAAAACAGCTAAGCTAGAAATAAATGTAGAGCCAATGAGATGCATATTGCAGATGTGCAGTGCCCCAACTGCCGATTAAAGAAACCAACAGACTTTGGCTTAGTAGTTACACACTCATTATCCCCAGCTGCATGCACAGGGCGTTGTACCACTTTCTTTCTACTTACATTTCATAAAACGAAAAGATGTATTCGGTATATGCACGCCGCTTTTAAAAAACTCCGTTTGCGGATTATTCTTACCCACAAGTATTTGAGATTGTGTCATTATGATGCGTGTGCGTGATTGCTGTGTACTACAATGATGATTTCGAAATCAATCCTTTCCTTTACATATATCACTCTCGGAGTATAAATTCAACCTCCAAATTAGTCCAATTCTTTTCATGTGAAAAGAGACATCCAATGACTTTAATGTATCGTCTCTGTTCTTGTTTGATTTCCAGTTTGGTTATGAATTTCAGTGGGTTTTATTTAACAAGATGTACCATCAAACCTGCCTAAAGCCTTGAAAATGAAGCTTGTTGGAGAACATATATATGATTGATAAAGAATAATTAAATTTCCCTAATTACTTTCCCAAGCCACTTTTCAATTTATTAAACTGAGCTTCCTAATTAGGGGTGTGCAATGGTTCAGTCCGAATGAATCTTGTTGGAGAACATATATATATGATTAACGAAGCACAATTAAATGCCTCTAATTACTTTCCCGATCTACTTTTTAGTTTATCAAATTGAGCCACCTAACTAGTGGTGTGCAATGGTTCGGTCCAGTTCGGACTGAACCAAACTCATGAGAACCACGGTCTATTAGTAAAAGACATACTAGGATCAAGGATCATAACATCATTGTATTTGGTTCAATTAGTCTGGTTCGGTCTGGTCTAAATATTAGTTAAGTCCATTGTTTCTCCAGTAATTATAAAATTCATGAGGACCAAATACCGGACTGCATTATATATACTCGGTCCGATGCAGTCCGATCCAAACTACGTTGCGATATGGTACGAACCGAACCATTACACCCCCTATCATAATAGATTTGTCTCCATTTGAGAAAATCAGTTGGAGAGTAACAGAGTGAAGCCTCTTGAGCTTCAGAGAAGCAAACATAAAAAACCAAATGATTACTATTTCCCTATCCTATCCATTTAATTGATTATGCCTTACTCAGTTAATTCGAACTTCAATTTTTTTCTGTGAAAAACAATCTAAGAAAAATATGCTATATATAAAATGACATCCACTTTTATACATTTTGGTAACAAAAAACATGTTAATAGAGACTTCTTCTGCCACAATATTTCATGGTGAATTGGGGATAGAGATAAAGATTCTACCATGCTGTGTAAGTTGTGAAAACAGCTAACCTAGAAATAAATGTAGAGCCAATGAGATGCATACTTTGGCTGTGCAATTCCCCAACTACCTATTAAATAAACCAACAGACTTTGGCTTAGTAGTTACACGCTCATGATCCCCAGCTGCATGCACAGGCGTTGTATTTGTTCACTCTCTCTCTCCATGTTTCTCTTTCGATCACTTTCTACTTTCGTTTCATAAAACGAAAAGATACATATCTTCGGTACATGCACGTCGTTTTAAAACTCCGTTTGCGGATCATTCTTACCCACAAATATTTGAGATTGTGTAACATTAATGGTGATTTCGAAATCAATACTTTCCATTACATGTATCACTCTCTGAGTACATTCAACCTCCATATTAGTCCAATTCTTTTCATGTGAAAAGAAACATCCAATGACTTTTACGTATTGTCTCTGTTCTTGTTTGATTTCCAGTTTGGTTATGAATTTCAGTGGGTTTGATTTAACCAGATGTACCATCAAACCTGCCTGAAGCCTTGAGATAATGAATCTTGTTGGAAAAGATATATACATATGATTAATAAAGAAGAATTAAATGCCCCTAATTACTTTCCCAAGCCACTATTTCAGTTCATCAAACTGAGAATCCTAACAGATTTGTCTACATTGAGAAAATTAGTTGGAGAGTAACAGAGTGAAGCCTCTTTTGAGCTTCAGAGAAGCAAAAACATAAAAAAAACCAAATGATTTCATTTAACAATCAAGAAACGACATTTGCTATATGAAAAAAAGGTGGCATGATATTGATTGGTGGACTCTGATGATTTGAGAGTGTGGGTCTTTCACACAATGGTATGCATTACTATTTCCCTATCCATTTAATTGATTATGTCTTGCTCATTTAACTTGAATTTCAATATTTTTTTTTGTGCGAAAAACAATCAGAATAAATATGTTATATTAAACGATATTCACTTTGATATATTTTTATAACAAAAAAATTGTAATCGAGTCTTCTTTTGCCACAATATTTCATGGTGGTAGAGATAAGATTATACCATGTTGGTGATATAATATAGAATAGTAGTAGGAATATAGTAATTGTCATCTAACATTGCCTACCACTTTGATAAAAATGATGGTTTTCCCAAGAATGAATATATTTTGTATATCACAATAAATCCGTTCATTCTATAAAAAAAAAATTTGAATGGAAAAAGATGGTAAAGAGTAGTAAAGGACAACCATAAAAAAAGAGTAGTAAAGGGTGCTCCAAAAAGATTTGCCCCCAAATATTTCAAAGGCGGGTATCATTTTATAGATTCAATAAATTTGGTCATTCTTGGTAACAAATTTCAAAAAAAATTTCGTTGAATTCAAATGTCAAATTTACCTTCAAAAGTTAAAACAAAGAAATAACAAATCGATGAGTAAAATTAAGGAATTTAAAAAATATTTAATCTCACCCATCAAATAAGATCTCACTTCTTAAAAAGTAATATTAGTCAAAATCAAAGGACATATAAAGTTATAAACCCTGCTACAAGTACTTATAGATAGGGCTGCAAACGAGCCAAGTCGAGTCGAGTTTTTACTTAACTTGAGCTCGGCTCGTTTATTAATTTTTTAGCTCGAGCTCGGCTCGAACTCGAATTTATATAATCCAGCTCAACCTCGAGCTCGGCTTGAATAAAAATAAACTAGCTCGACTCGGTAGAGCTCGATAAATGCTCATTAACATAGCTTGTCAAGCAGAGTACAAGCTCGGCTCAAGATGAGCTCGATTCAAAATCATTCTTGCTGGAAAAATGCGTAAACATAAGAATTTAAATGATAAAAAGAACACTAGAAACTAAAAATAACATCTAAATTTCATACATATGTGCATTAACAAGACAATGTTCATGTTTAAAAGAGTAATTCATCCTTCCACAAGTTCTAAACAAGGCAGCTCGCGAGCTTAGCTCAACAAGCCACCGAATCAAACTAGCTCGCGAGCTTATCAAGCTGAGCATGGTCTAGCTCAAGCTTGGCTCGTTAACTAACGAGTTGGCTCGCGATCCGGCTTGTTAAATAACGAGTCGATTGTCGAACGACCTTTTCCCAATTCGAACGCCGAGTTGCTCGCGAGCGGCTTGGCTCATTTGCAGCCCTTCTTATAGAAGAAGAAAATAACCCTACTACAAGTTTACAACCCTATAAAATAGTGAGGACAAAATTGTCATTCTTGTCACCCCCGCAAATTCCATCGAACAGTAATTAACAGAAATTCGGCCCAAATTCAACCTTGACCAAGTTCTACAAAACACAGCTGTTGGGCTGTCTTTCCGGGGCGGCCCATTATGAAAAACAAGATATATGACGAATTGACCAGAGAAAAGTATAGTGATGATTCCGTGGCTTATACAAAAATTATAGTAGCTTTTTGGAAATTAGTCAACAACTTCAGAAATGGCCTGAAGTCAGAAGAAAAACGAAGATCAGTTGTAAACGAAGATCAGTTGAGGAAAGGAGATTTTTAGAGGGGCAGAAAAGGAGGGAAGATGTTGCTTGCAGTTCTCATCTCGAATTCTGTGGGCAATATCCTTGTGGAAAGGTAAAACATCTCACGATTCAATCTTTACCCGAGTGATAGATTTACCTTTTTGTGAGATCCCCGAATTCTGCCTCATTTCTTGTGATCTGTTATGAAGATGCTGCGATTGCGATTGCAATGGCCTCGACTTTTCTTTCTCACTTTTCTGGGTTTTCATTCTTGCAGATTCAATGGAGTTCCAGCTGAGGAGCGATTGCATTGGCGATCTTTCCTGGTGAAACTGGGAGCCGACAATCTCAAACACGCCAAGAACGAAGAGCTCTTTGTCGCTTCCCACAAGTAGGGTTTTGCTTTTACCTTTTTATCTTCCCTGTCACTGCTTGAGATCTCTTTGCTTCAGATTTAAAGGGTGCTTCGATTTTTGCGTCTAATGCCATGGGTGTTCGTTGAACTTTTTGATTTAGGTCGGTTTATATCGTCTATACGGTGCTTGGAGATATCTGCCTGTATGTTGTTGGCAAGGATGAGTACGATGAACTAGCTTGTAAGTAGCTCAATTTCTGGTTTTCATACAATAGGTATATAAAGGAAGTAGCTCAAAGTTGGGTTCTTTTTTATGCAAGTTACTTACTGATGGTAATTTCTGTTGGTATTTCTGGCTGGATTGTGCTGTAGTGGCTGAAGCCATCTTTGTGATAACGGGGTCGATCAAGGATATCTGCAAGAAGCCACCAACAGAACGTACTTTCCTGGACAAGTATGGAAAGATATGTCTAACTCTGGACGAAATCGTCTGGAAGGTATGTATTACTTTTCTCTGCTTTCTTGTTCTCTTGACACTGCGAAATTGATGTTAGAACTGCTAAGGGAGGTGAAGGTAGTCTATGGTTTGTCCTAGCAGCAGTGTTTATAGCAACTTTCACTAGTATCCTACATAATCCTATAGGCTGTAGAAGGACAATGGTGGTGGATCATTTGATAATTAGAGAGCAACTTCTTCACTCTACTTCAGGTGCTGGTAGATCTCAAATGGTGGAACTGTGGAAGGTTTTTCACGTTAAGGTGTTTCATTAGCTACCTTTCCATTTGAACAGTTAGAGGGTTAGGATCCTTTTCCTATAGGGCTGCTCCATCCATTGGGATCAAATATGTGAATGATTATACTTCAATTTGCATTTGCATCTGCATCTGTGTTACTTATGTTCATCGTCATTCAGTGTGATTTGCTTGTTGTTTTTCTTATGTGAAGGGTATCTTGGAGAACACGGACAAAGAAAGGATCAAAAGGCTGGTGAGATTGAAGCCTCCCACAGAATTCTGAACTGTGGACGTTGGAGTCTCAAACTTCATCAACATATATAGGGCTTGTGAATCAGTTTCCTGGTTCTGATGTGAAACTTACTACAGATGTTGTATTCTTGGATTTGTCTCCAGTTTCTGTGGCTCAGTTGCTGTGACTGTGATCGATGAATTTTGTACTTCACGGATCATTAGATGCATATGGATGCTTAATATGTCCAGTCAAATTGTGAAGCTGAAGTTTGAAAAAGAATGGAGGAATTCAAATTTCGTTTGTTTGAATTTCTCTATTGTTCATCTCAGTAATTTTCTGTTGATCATGGAGCATTTTTAAACCTGATCTGTCTTCAAATGCTTTCTACATCATTTCAACTTCAAACTCTAGACAACTAGACATATAGAATATAATGGCAATGAGGAACCTGGTGGAGCTAGTATGGCGTACTATTTGGGTCTTGGTATGAGGAACCTAGTCGAGCTAGTATGGCATGCTAGTTGGTCTTGGTATGTGACAGTCCCACGATTGTGCTAACAACACAACCTGTGAGACCTTGTTTATAAATGTTGGGAGTCATAGATAAAATCAAGCATTGGACGAACACGGTAATTGACAATAAGAAATCTGAAGTTTCATCACTGTTATTGCATAGACCGAATGATAGACTCGAGGACACAAGCAACTATAACTAAACTAAGACTCATGCTTGCAATACAAGGTATGAACTACTTTAACAAGAAGCAACATAGAAGCAAACCATGGCAGAGTGGACTTGCTACGAAATCAATGGCTCAACCACAACAACGACTTGACCTAATTGTTGGGATCACAACTCATAACCTCTCAGCAATGTACCTTCGCAGAACCTCAATGGGCTTATTCCCGTCACCGCTTCCCCTTTCCCTTCGCTTAACCTTCACCCTCGCAAGGTAATCAGCTGCAATCCATGGGAAGCTGAGCATCACAAAATTGACAGCACCATCAACCTCCTGCAACTTGGCATACCTCTTCACCCACGTAGGATTGTAAGTCACCTGATACCAAGCCGATGCTTTCTTCTCGTACATGATGTTCCTCTCTTCATCCGGTAGCTCCTCGAAACCATCATCCATCTGCTCAAACATTCGGCGGAACTCTTTCCTCAGGCCACTATACGACTGCTTCAGCCTCTCCTTCAAGTCGCCTTGCTTCCTGCTGTTTGACTTCGGCATTGACCAGACATGTCCCGTCACTATCTCTTCCTCCCTCTTCACTTTGTACTGTTGAAGAAGGCCTCTCAGCTGGTCATCGTACGAGCGCTTCAGGTCCCACGCTTCCATTATGAAATCGGATGCTCCCAGAACGTCCAGATCCCAGTCGTAGTGTATGTCGATGGGAGAGCTGCTGGTGCTGATGGGCTCCAATGATGCAGCAGCCGTCTCTTCTTCGTATGCATCCTTGACCTGGCGATACAGTCTTCCCAGGATCTTGCTAGACTTGTACGACTGATGGTCTTCTTTCCCCATGAAGTCCGGGTAGAGCTTCGGTTTAAGATTACCCGGCATTGTTACTATCTTCCCGGTTTTCGGGAAGTCAACAGCTGTTGCGGCTAAATCCGCCAACTTGATGCATTTTTCGTCCAGAGCCCCATATTCGCTGAGATCTGCGTGGACCACGTGTGCGTTGCAGATTGCTCCCAGGTTCTCATTCACCATGTTCTTAACGAAGAATTCAATTATGTCCTGCAGCATTGACAACAAAGCCTAGCATTAGCGTTTTCTTTCTTGTTTAGTGATGAATTAACTGCTCTACTGATGTCGATATAAGACGACAAGTAAAGATAAACAGAAATAAGCCTACAGCATGTAAATTATTACCTGAGTATCCACTTTACGACCAAGCAGTTTGGGTTCTCCGACATCATACTGCATTGGCGGCCAACTCCTTTTGCTGGGAGGAATAAGATCTTCATCCCACGTGACAAAATACAGGTCACCATCGAGATCACTACCAGAGGCCTCATTTGTATGTGGTCTCTCACCCTTCTGAGGGAAAATAAGGCAATCATGTAAATGGTGCAAACCAGGATCATCAACTGCTTCCAGCACCCTCACATCTCCAGGATGAAGACAAGGGTTCTTAGCTATGACCACAGTGCCCTTCACCACATGAAGATCTTTCTTACTACCCTGAAACCTCTCACCATGCTTCAAGAAACAATTCTTGAGAGACGGTTTGGAGACTTGGATGAAGCATTGCCCTTGCTCGAGCACACCTAGCTCGTCAAGACAACCCATCAACCATCTCCCACTTTCGACGAAGATTCTCGACTTCTCCCTCAACCCCCAGAGCTGCGAAGCTCTAATGGAAGTCAGCATGCCTCTCAAATGGGGTTCCGTTTGTGGCTTGAAACCTGCACTCAGCATTAGTGCAGCAACAGTTCCTTGCTCGGCGCAAGATGCTGTGAGAACATCGAACGCCACATCTACATCGACGAGCATTTGGTTCAGTCGAGACAACTGCCTCTGCTGCATGTCCCAGAACACAGTATCAGGAACATCAAGAGTCGACAGGAGAGTGATTATTTGCCTGTTCAAAAACCCTGCCTGGAATCTAGCCCAAGAGCATATCTCCAGAGTAGAATGAGTGGAGATGAACTTGTTCATGCTGGGTCTCAAAGACAAACGATATCTTTTGTCGTTGTCTTTTGCAGGCCAGCAAGCCACCACACCTTTACAGCCGGCAAATCTGATCTGGTAAGCACATGGTGGATCAGCATCTAGTTTCAATCTGATCGCGACTTCCTGGGCTAGGTCAGGCGCTATCATCCCAATGCCATCAGAAAAATTATAGCCATTTCTCTCAATATCAGGAAGCATGTCGTTGACCTCGTCTGATGGAACCTCCACAGTTGCATAAGTGGAGGAGAAACACTGACCCATTCGGGCAGCGCATTTTGCAACATTCCTATTATTGAACTTACCCATCCATTCTCTTATACGGCTCGTGTTAACGGTTTCATGATCGGCGAAGAACCATGCTGAACGATCTCTCAATTGGTTTGACGAGAAAGCCAAGAAAGAGTACCTTCGACCGCACAGATAGAATCCATCAATGAGAACACTTCGAACCCTTTTGAAAATGGTGGTCTTCTGAGGAAATGGGTTTGAGGTGATTTCTCTCACGATGGTAGCTACATAGTACGAGAACGTATTCGAGTTCATCGTTTGCAAGCCCTCGTCCATGAAAGTGACTCTCAGAAAACGATCAGCAACGTCTTTGTACTTCCTCAACACTCTATTGGAGAGCTCGACTTCAGGAGGAAGGCAATAGGCTCGAGTTGGGGTAATTACCAACCTCCTGATTTCAGCAAGGTCTTCCAACCGGGTATTGCTCTTGACAGAACTATTAGCATTGTTCTTCAAAACCCACCGTTGGACGAGTTTTAGCCGCTCAGTAGCATCATCAAGGACAGGATGTCTGTAAGAACAAATGTGCTTTAGAGCAGCAACATTGATCTCTGCAGGTTGCTTTCTCAGTGCATTGAAAAACTCTTCTGACAGCTGGTGCTGACTGAATATTCCTTTATGCATGACGGCGTTCACCAGGAACATTTGTTCGAAAGAGACCCCTGGATAGTTGTTATGAATAGAGAAGAAGACATCCAATAGGGGTGCCCCGAACTCAGGCTCATCCAAGATCTTAAGAGGTCTCTGAAGGGAATAGTCCTGCACCCTCCTTTCTCTAAGAAAAGTCATGGCCTTCTTCAACTTGGCACCGTGGCGTGGTCTAACAGAGAGTCGATAAAAGTTGCACCGGCCAATAGCGCCACTTGGGGTGAAGTCGGTGGTTCTGATCCAAGGGTCATCATCATCCAACAGATCGAATGGAACGGATACTTCAATGTCATCATCAGCAGTTCTATACCAGACATGTGGAGCTGCAGCTAACTGCAACAGTATAACCAAGCATGTTCTCTCTGTGTACTGTTTGATTTCAAATATGTCTCTCACCAAGAACTCCATCTTGTAATCACAATTGAGCACTGCATGCTCGGGAGAATTTTTGAAGGAGAAGTACGTCTGCCTGGTGAAGCAGAATTTGCACGTCCCGTCGAAAGGGTCAACCAGAAAATCGAGACCAGAATCAGGTCCTTTCCAGCCTACAAAGAACTCCTCCCGACTGACAAGGGTTCCAATGTCGAGCTGCACATCGGGGATCTTGAAAGGAGTTGAAGTTCTTCTTCTTTGGTTGAGCCGAAATGGGTTTTCAGGCCCCAGGCTAACCTTCAAAGGAACATCTCTGAATGTGAGCAGGCCTCTTCCTTCAGCATCCATGGCGGCACTTGCTGACTCGGGCAATGCGAAATGGACAAATGCATGGGGCACCACTCGCTTGTAGGTGTCCATTACTTGGATGCCATTTGGTTCGATGATGTCAAATTTAGGATAGGACTCTGGAGGGGTCCATGAGGCCTTCAGTCTGCATCGCCAAACTTGTCCAATCTTGTCTTCAAGATGCTTGACAAGATCATTTGCTTTGACATCAATGTCAAATCCTCCAATGCTGACCTGAGTTACCACAGTCTGTGCGGCACTCTTTTCTGAATCCATTCCTTCTCAGGAGAGTCAGACGATGCTAGTAACTGGTTACCTATTGAGTATCAATACAAGTTAGAATTCAAGAAGCTTTATTGTTTCAATGCAGATCACAAAAATGAACAGATCGTTTTACATGATTATCAGTTGTGAATATATCACCTTGGCAGTCAAAACATAAACAAACCTATAAGCATTAAGCATAGCCAAAAAGGAATAAAGCATATAAGTTCATTCCAATTTCAATTGCCACTGATCATAACTCATAAAGCATATAAGTTCATTCCAATTTCAATTGCCTCTAGATAGCTATCCAACAAACAAGGATAGAAATAGTGTGAAAATTCAAGCCCTACTTCGCAGAAGGCTAGTTGTTGAGGCGTGATATTCAGGCATACAATTGAATAGAACACATTAAGACAACCAAATCATGCGGTTCTCGGCAGGCCATTCTCACATTACTCCTATTAACTTCAATTATCTCCACCTTCTCCCCTCCAGTTTGTGAATTAGAAATATGCAAGACTTGCAATTGGCGAAACAGAAATATACTCGCAGATAAAATAGATAATTTGGTAAGCAATTGGTGTGGGGTTTACAAGACTAAATGCCCTAGTTTCAATGTTGCGCATTTACTTACACAACACCTAACATAATCCTGAATTACCCCTAGGATTCAGAAGCCAAAGACATTCAAATTTGAGCAGATGATGAACCAACGAAACTGGGAAAGAGCAAAACAAATGCCAATTCTTTCCCAAGAATCCAAACAGATCACCAGAACCCATCAAACCCATTTCAGAACAAGCAGCAGAATAACCAAAAAAGCAAAACCCATCACACAAAATTCTCGAGCGAAAAGCATGGTAAAGATTTCATGATGAACTAGGAAAAGGCAGGATCTTGGAAAGGGGGAACGATAACTGACCTATTTGCAGTGAGATCTAGCCAAAAGGGGGCGGGGCACGAGGTCTGACTGAGGCCGGCAGCAAGATCAAAAACAGAAACAGAGGCACAGAAAGGATGTGTGCGCAGAGAAGGAGCAAGTCAAGATGGGTGTGAGACGAGAATGTGAGAGGGGGGGAAATGCACGTTATATGCAAGAGGAATCCGATTACCTTGCCCTGGAAGGACCTTCTTCATCCCTTGCCTTTCTGCAGGTGTGTCGCCTTACGGAGGAAGTTGTTGCCTTTCTTCTTTTCTGGAAGTGGGGGGAGATCACTGTGCTCACTCAAATTCCAAACGAGTAGTTGGCTTTTCCTTATTTTTGTTCGTATCAGTTCCCGCTACGGCACCTGGGCCCTCTATGTCACTGTAGCTCCAAAGTGCAAGTGACGGAATGTGGCAGTACTCTCCTGTTGTTGCAGGCGGGCGCCCTAAGTGGATGAAAATTATGACGATAGAGAAGAAAGAGGAGATAGAGCTCCTCCTCTTCATTGATGATCTTTTGACGAAGTAGCGAAATGAATATTGGGAAAGGTGAAAAGTTAAGATGAGCATCGGCACAACTCATCGGTAAATATGATGAATTTCTTGGTCACTGTGAAGTTGCACTGGAATACGGAAGTGTGTAGAGAATCGTGAGCTCAATGTTTATTTAGCTTTTCTAGGGTAAGTTACATATTTACCTGTAGGAGATCCTTAAGAACATATGTTTGCGATCTAACGACTGTGATAGAGAGGGTGAAAGGAAGCCATTGAAGAAATTTCAATATATATACAAAGATTAATAGGTGAAGTCTCAATCAAGGACCCCAAGAGCAACAATTCAGGTCGAGGCGTAAAAAATCTGGAGGTCGACTTCGAACAACTATGTTTTATCCGATTCGTGATGGAGTTAGGAAAAAAGTGCAATTTAAACGTATCCACCAATTCCTTTGAAGAGATTATCAGTGTCAAGTTGGTTGACATGAGGGATGAGGATGTGAAACCTAGAGAAAGGTGAATCTTTTAAAGGAAAGTCATGGTTAACAAAACTACCATAACACAACCCTAACCAACGAACATATGTTCTCGATAAAAGGTTGTAGGACACACTTAAATTACTTCTTTTAGGAGCCTTGAGCACAATACTTCAAGACATCATTCAATCGAGATGAGAATTTTTAATGTTAGAACAATATGTATTTCAATGTTAGAGAGATGGAACCAATGTTGACTACACCGTGATTAGGTCGGAACCTGACAAAGTCGAAAGAAACAACTTGATTAGGTTCAACATTATAAGCAAAGTAAAAAGTTATGGTGAATTAGTAAAAATGATAAGGCAAAGAAAGGAGGGTAAGATGTCTAGTGGATCACGAAGTAATAAAGTTGCAACAATAACGTTGTTATGAAAAGTTGCAAATTAACGAAAACAAAGTTAAAATAATGACTAGACAGAGGAATTCACGTTTAAATAAAAGACAACATTCCAAACAAATTGAAAATTCATCATATTTAAGTAGACTATTTAACCTCAATATCAAGAAGTATAGTTTTGAATCCAACAAATAACATAAACATTTAAACATTCATATTCAAATCCATCCAACGAATAACAGTATATTACTCTCAATTAAAAAAGATAAATAAACAATTATTTTTTCTTAATTAAATTCATCAGAATTATGTTATTTTACTTAAAGTTGTAAATCAATCATGTCAATCGGACATTCCGATCAATTTTGTAAACAACACTGGTGGAATCGGATATTTAGTTCTTTCTACTTTGATGCTTTGCTTTTGCTGTGAATGGGTTGCTCTCCACATGAAACCTTATAAAGGGGAGATCAATGGAGGCATGACAATCCTGCTGCTGCTGCAGAAATGTCATTGTTGTTCTGTTTGGTTGGTGATTAGAGGGATTTGCTCATTCTTGCAGAATTCCTATTTTTACTGTTGATTTGTTCCCTTCAAGATTACATAAAGTCACCTGAGATTTCTTCTTATAGCTATGTTCCTTAGATTGAGTTATGTGGCTTGGAATATGGATGGCAGTTCGAGACAAAGGTTGATATATTAGGTGCTTGTGGTCTGTATTACTTGAGATGATTCGTTGGATTGAGTTATGTGTTTTGTGGCGTGGAATATAGATGACAGTTCTAGACAAAGGGTGATATATTAGGTGCTTGTGGTCTGGATTACTTGAGATGGACATGATTCTGCTTTGGTTTTGCTGTTCTCTCTGTAGCGGGTTACATTTCTCCCATAGGTGAAGGTTAGTTTGTTTGCTAGGGAGAAAGACTGTACTTTCTTTTGTTGTTTTACGTGATGAAGATTAGAGTATTTGATTGAACTTGTCTTAAAAAAAGATATTAAAGGGGTTAATCTATGAACTAACCATATTTAAATCACACAAATCTCTGTTAGGTCTCCTGAAGTGGCACGTAAAAGTGTTATGTAGGAAGGGGATACCGAAGCATAGAAATAATAGAGAAGCAATTAAGGAGGAGATTCATAGACAAACTTGGGAAATGAAGGAAGGCACTGTCCCCAACAGAAGGCAATGGGACCAAATTGGCTTTTCTTTTCTTTTCTTTTGGCGAGAAGAGAAGGAAATAAAACATCCTACCCACCAACGAAACCATTAGAATAATGGAGCAGCTAGGCTGTCCAATACATTGAACAACGTAGAAAATGGAGGAGCAGGGAACTCAAGATAGATAGATAATCTTAAACAAAATCTAACTTATACCCAAATGGACCCATTTGGGTCGGCCCAAATATACATGCCCATTCTGGACCCAATCTAAACCCAACCCAACCCAAAAAAGTAAAAAAAAAATTGGGTCCATTTGGGTCCAAACCCAATACCCATATGGGTCTAGGTATTTGGGTCAAAAAACCCAATAGGCCTACCCATTGACAAGCCTATGTACCGGTCGGCAATACCGTCGGCTTGACAACCATGAGATCTGATTAACCCACAAGGAAAATTAACCCCAAAAGTTATATAAAAAAAAGTAAATGCTGGAAAATAAAAGGGAAATTGGAAAAGAAGAGAATAAAAGAGCAAGGAATATTCGAAATCCGATCCGGGCAACAAGAATATTGTTTTTCATAAAAAAAAAAAGAATATTGTTCCATTATTTATGTTCGGACTCCGGATGCGCTGATTGATTTCTTTCTTTCTTCCCCTCATCTTCCGATACTTCGATACCAAAAAAAATTTTGGATTGTAGTGGAGGAGAATTACCGAGTCGAGCGACCCAAACTACGAAGAGAAAGAGAAAGAAAAAAAGAAACTGACCGGCGGCGGGATTCGACGGCGATCAGGCGCACAGCAGTAGTAGGATCATCATGAAGTTCTGGAAGAGTCTCAGCATATTGATCGAGGATACGCTGCCCGAATGGAGGGATAAATTCTTGTCTTACAAGGATTTGAAGAAGCAGCTGAAGCTGATTTACCCTAAGGACGGGGACAAGCCACCGAGCAAGCGATTGAAATCGGAAAACCCCTCCGCCGACTGCTCGGATTGTAACGGAAGTGGAGGAGGAGATGTGACGAAAGAAGTGATCGATTTCGTGAGGATCTTGGAGGATGAGATGGAGAAGCTGAATTCGTTTATCGTTGAGAAGGAAGAAGACTCCGTTATCAAGTGGAAGGTACGTCTTTCTGCTTCTGTTTCCCTCGTTTATATGATTGTTATTATTATTATGTTATAAATGGGAAATTTTTGTCGAATTATTGAATTCAATCATGGATTTTAGGGTTTTTGGAAAATTGTTGTGCGATTCTGAGGATAGGGTTCGGATATTGAGAAATCAATGAAGAATCTGATACTTTTGAGGGTTCGATTATTGGTTTGACTAGTGAAAATTGGCTAGAATTTACCATGATAAGGAGAGGAATATAAATTTTCAGGAACTGGGTGATACTATGATGTGCAAATTATTGTCAAATTTCTGGACTTTTTTTGGTATGTCATGTTTGGAAGATGCGTTCTTAAATTTATGCAGTTGACCTTTGGTTGTTTGGGTTGCAGGAGTTGCAAGATAGGGCTGCAGAGGCCAAGGATTCAAAAGATGAGCTGATGAGAGTAGGCAGAGAGATAGTAGATCTGCACGGCGAGATGATTTTGCTGGAGAATTACAGTGCCCTTAACTACACTGGTATTCCTCTCTCTTGTTTCTACTTGACCATGTTATGGAAAACTTGAATCCCTAGTTTCTTAATTAAGTTTACTGCAAGTCATAGATGGGAAGATAATATAAGATACCCTTCTCTACCATCTTCTGCACTTTGTTTTTGCCTGATCAACAAGAAATAACATCTGTTTAGGTACAGTCATGAAATGGGATATTCTTGATTTCTCTCTTTTGTCGTCTGTGTACTAAACAGATAGAAACCCCGCTGCTCTGTGGAAGAAATAGACCTGTCATGCCATTTCAATGGGCGCTTGTAGTTGACTATATGTTCGTAAAGGCTGGATGGATACATTTTTCTTGTTCGGATGATTTTGAAGTACCTGTTTGGCACTTTGCAAAAGCTATGAAATAGAAATATACAAGAGACATCTGGCCAATGCCTGCTTCGGTCAACTGAATGTATCAAGATTAAATGAATATATAAATGTTACCGTGTCTTGTTTGATGATTTTGAAGTGCTTCTATAACATGTCATCGGGCTCTGCGTTGATCTTTGTGATTGTCAATATTCTATGGCTTTAGGATTGGTGAAGATTCTGAAGAAGTATGACAAGAGAAGCGGTGCTCTACTTCGAGTGCCTTTCATTCGAATGGTCATGCAGCAGCCTTTCTTCACGACTCATGTGCTTAACATGCTTGTGAAGGAATGCGAGGCGACACTCGACGTCCTCTTCCCCAGGAACGAACCACCAACGTCATCGGTAGTCCCACCGGAACCCTCTGGTGGGGAAGCGACGACAGCCACACCTGAGGAGAGGTTGTTAAGGGTGCCGAACGAGCTAAACGAGATCGAGAATATGGAGAGCATGTACATGAAGCAGACATTGTCAGCATTGCGTGTGTTGAAAGAGATAAGAAGTGGGAGCTCGACGGTGAACATGTTCTCATTGCCACCCTTGCAGAGCCATGCCGCGCTGGAGGAAGATTGGAAGAAGCTCTCCGTGTTGGAACAAGCTGCCAAGTAGGGTGTGATTACAGTGTTATAATTAATTTGCATTGCAGACGTTTGGAAAGCATTTCTGATTCTATAGACGTTTTTGCTTTACCTGACTTGCTGTGTATATCGTCTTGTGTTTTCTTCCCGGAGCTTGTGGAATTTTAACAGTTTCTATACTTGCAGAAGTTGAACCCATGTATTACTCTGGTATTGATCAGTGTGAGGTCAAATAGGCGTGACTTTAGGTTAAGCTATAATAACACCATTGTGAATTGAGCATTCTTAAAATTCTGAGGGAATCATTGTAACATTACTCTGGTTCTGATCAACGAGTTATGGCCTGATTGGCAGATATGGTGTTGTATCACAAAGTTAGGTTAACGTATAATTGTAAAATGATGGATGGAAATCTATTAATTGTGAAGCAGTATTAGAGATTATATCCGATACATAATCCGATACTTTTAGTGCATGTAAAACATACAGCAAAAAAATGATTACATTAACACCACACCATCTTAGTCACCTTATCACATGATTGAACTGACACAATTGGCTATTTTGATTTGTTGCTGCATAATCATACAGACTTTATCAACAGTATACAGTTTGGATGGTATGATTTGTTGCCGCAGGCTGCAGATAGGGATGAAGTTGCATGGGATATACGGTTTAACTTTTGTATTAGGTGATAAAATAAAGCAACCAATATCCAACAACTAAGCGCCTGTAGCTCAGTGGATAGAGCGTCTGTTTCCTAAGCAGAAGGTCATAGGTTCGACCCCTATCTGGCGCGTTTACTTTTTTCACTGTTCATTTTCCTGGTAGCCTTCTGGTTTTCTTTTGAAATTTTCAAGAAGTATGCATGAGCAGATGAGCTCTTGGCTCCCCTCAACTAAACTGTATCTGTATAGCTCAGATCAAAAGATATTCTACAATGCAGTACTCTTCACATGATCAACCTAAACACAGATGCCAAATAGCAACCTAGAGCCAACTTCAAACAACCAACCATCCTCTTTGGTTTTGAGGACAGCATGGTGACATACCCGTTTCCCCAGCCAGCCTATATATCCACACAACTCTCTTCCAACTTTAATGCTTCAACACTAGTCTCTCTTCCACATTTGAACATGTCCATAGTTGCAGAAGCACCTGGCTTCTTCCAGCTGTTCTCAGATGGCTCAGTCAAACGCTTCTATCCAGAATCAGTCCCTCATTCCTCGGAAGAATCATTGTCGCCAAATGGGTTCAAGTTCAAGGATGTTACGATTGACCCATCGAAGCCAGTAACTGCTCGGATATTCATCCCAGCTGACCAAGGGTCAAAGCTTAAGCTCCCGGTTCTGGTCTACTTCCATGGTGGTGGTTTCTGCATTGGCTCGACCACCTGGTTGGGCTACCACCATTTCCTTGGAGACTTCTGTGTCAAATCTCAAAGCATTATCGTCTCAGTGGACTATCGCCTTGCACCAGAAAACCGCCTGCCAATAGCTTATGAGGATTGCTACAGCTCATTGGAATGGTTGAAACAGCAAGTCAACTATGATTCTGACCCTTGGCTTCGAGCAGCTGACATATCGCGGATCTTCCTATCTGGAGATAGTGCTGGAGCCAACATCACACACCAGGTTGCCATCAGGGCATCCAGGAACAAAGATCGCCATGTTAGTGTAAAAGGGTTGTTGATGATACATCCTTATTTTGGAAGTGAGAAGAGGACTGCAAAGGAAAATTGCGATGATGCAGTTGAGGATGTGAAAATGAATGACTTGTTCTGGGGACTAAGCATACCTGAAGGGTTAACACGTGATTACTACGGCTGCAACTTTGAGAAGCAACTAGATGTTTCTGCTGCTGAATGGAGTGCATTCCCAGCCGTGACTGTGTATGTAGCTGGCCTAGATTTCTTGAAGGAGAGGGGAGTGATGTACGGAGAGTTCTTGGCAAAGAAAGGAGTTAAGGAGGTGGCAATAGTGGAAGCCGAGAATCAGCCACACATCTACCATGTGTTTCAACCTGAATCTGATGCAACTCGATTGCTTCAGAGTCAGATGAGCAAGTTCATTGAGAGTCATTAAGCATTTTCAGATTGGCTGTCACAGTACGAAGGCAACATACACAATAAAAAAGATAAAAGTAACAGAGATTTTATAGCAGGCATTGCCAATATGGTTCTATTTTCCAGAACTTTAGCAGTTCCCATTGTCAGAACAATACAACTACAGATTGCTGTGCAATTTGGTGGCTTGTCAAAAGCTCCTCCTTCTTGTTTTAATCGTCTGGTGGAGACTCAGCCATCGATTCAAGTAATAATGGGGTAATAGTTGAACAACTTTGAAAGAATTATGACATTATACATACATACAACAAGTTGCAAAAGCTGCAACAAAAGGGCTGAACATCAATAATGGTGGCTGAACAGGAGATTCAAATGACTTGAAATCTCTGACGAGTAATTCGTTCACGTCGCACAAGCGATTTCTAGTTATTCATCAAAAGTGCTCATAAAACCACCAATAAAGCCAGCTCCATTGCAGTTCCCACATAGCATATCTTGCTTCCCTCTGAAAAAAAAAATTCACTTGATTCAGCTATTACAAAATGCACAGAGCAAAATGGCTGCCAATTCAATACGAACTCAGATGGTGTTCTTGTGATGATTAGAAGCAGTTACCCACAAAGCCAACACGAATCTCCAGCTTTGAATTGACCGTTGAAGAAATCAACTGGGTTCACTCCACTACCCTTGCACTGTGAACACTGAACCGCACCTTGCAAAACAAAGATAAGCAAATGGGGAAAAGCAATGATCAGAGTGGAAATTTTCCAGTCCAAACACACATTCTAAACAACGGAAGCTTGAGGGCTACCATTTCCATCACAATCGGTGCATATCACACTCTTTGGCTTCGGGGCTTGATTATCTGCTGCAGCCTGTGAATGTGAACACAATAGGGTTTTCTGATTTTCACCGCTAGTAAGCAAATTCAAACTATTTGAGGTTGATGAAAATAACTTCAGACCTTGGAGGCTTGCAAATGTCCACGCCTCCTACTGCTTGACGCTTTCCTCTGCAGGCCATGAATCCCTCTAGTTCCCGAGCTCTGCGTATAAATCCCTGCCGAAAAGCTTGAGATTCTGATGTTATGAATCTTCCTTTTTCACGGGTAGCAGCCAGAAATGCAATTATTTACCTGAATGTGGAATGGGGAGCGCCATGCTACAACCTGCGACGGCAGCCATTGACGACGAAAATGAGAAATTTCCCTCCTCTCATATTTTGGAGTGGATATAAAGAGTAATTTCGGCTAAGAAAATATGCAAAATAGCACCTAACTTCTTTTTCATTGTGCACTTGGTCCCTGTATTTTCCTCCGGGTAGGAAAGCATGCTTTAACCTGCATTATTGATCAAACATGAACAACCAAAGCCCAAACCTCGGGTTCTCTAAAGCCCATTCTCCCCGGCCTCAATGTAGAAGTTCCAAAAATCTAAAAAGTCCATCGACAAGACCGACATAAGGAAGCGTAATAAAGAACGAAGAAGAAGGGTATTTCAGGAAAACGCATTCCAGATTTTGCTGGGCACTTTGTATAAATCATCGCATCGAGTTCAAGCCGCAGCCCTATCTCAAATTTACTCCGATTTTGAGGTCTCGCCGGTCTCCAATCTCTCAAAGCTTGGTTTCCCCTCAATTTCTCTCTGTCCGTAGCGTTGCTAACCTGTTTCCTTTGCAGACTTTCCCCCTCAACACCCCTCCCAAACCCTAACCCTAAAACCCATCTTCCTCACCCACAGCAGGTTAACAGGTATGTCGAATTTTTCTGAATCTCGCCGCTTTGGTCTTTTAGTTTTTGATTCACGGTGGGAGGAGTGAAACCCTAATCGGATTTAAAGTGATTCGTGCTGTTTCAAAATCGTTTGCCACTTTGGATAGATTGGTCGCGTGCTTTTCAAGTGGATTAGATCTGTGTGCTTTGTCTGTTGTCTGACGCTCGCTTTGTTCGGTACTGACTTCCAAGATCTGTGATTTTAGACCATGGGAGAAACAAGGGACAACGATGCCTATGAGGAGGAGCTTATCGATTACGAGGAGGATGAGGAGAAAGCCCCTGATTCCGTCGCCGCCAAAGTCAACGGCGAAGCTGCCAAGAAGTAAGTTACTTCAGTGCGTTGCTTAAGTATCTGATAGGCTGATTCTATGACCTTACACATGATGATTATTACCCTTTTTCAGCTTCGTAGAGTCTGTCTGCTGAGTTAACTATTGGTTAGGAGGCCAGTTTCTCAATTACTGCTGTCCTTATTTCAGGGGATACGTTGGAATACACAGTTCCGGATTCAGAGACTTCCTTTTGAAGCCAGAGCTCCTTCGGGCAATTGTGGATTCTGGTTTTGAGCATCCTTCTGAAGGCAAGACTTTCTTTTTACCGAGTTATATTTGTTTGGGACCTCGTATGTTTAACTAGTTAGACTTGCAATCTTAGATTTCGATGTTGGAAGATGTTTAACAATATGTTTCAAGTAGGTCACTGGCTCTGTGGAGTCCCTATTATTTCGAGCTATTTAGGTTTACTTTCATGAGATGAACTGCCACTTCGCTAATGTCTGCAGCTATTTCAGTGTCTGTTAGTTGCATTTGAATAGATCTTTGGTGCCTGGCTCATCCTTTAACTGTTTATTTCTCAATGGCATTTTAAGGCTCACATCTAGCTTTCTCTTTTATTTTCAGGTAATAAATAACTATCATAATCTTGATTTTGGAGCACTATTCTGGTTTGGTAACACCCTTCAATTATCCATCCGGGAAGGTTTGTATACTTACGAGGGGTACCTTCGGTCCGATTTTCTTTCGTTCCTCATCAGTTCAACATGAATGTATTCCCCAAGCCATCTTGGGTATGGATGTTATCTGTCAAGCCAAATCCGGAATGGGCAAGACTGCTGTTTTTGTTCTGTCTACTCTACAACAAATTGAGCCAACTTCCGGTCAAGTCATTGCCCTTGTTCTGTGTCATACAAGAGAGCTGGCTTACCAGGTATATCCTCGTTTTTATAGATTTCAATGTTTTTGTCTTTTGATGTTCCTTGTTGTTGGAGTAAGACTTATTTGTTTTGTTATTGGATGTTCCAGATCTGCCACGAGTTTGAGAGGTTCAGTACCTACTTGCCTGATACCAAGGTTGCAGTCTTTTATGGTGGTGTCAACATCAAGACTCACAAGGATCTTCTGAAAAATGAATGCCCTCACATTGTTGTCGGAACCCCTGGTAGAATACTGGCTTTGGCTAGAGAGAAGGATCTTTCTTTGAAGAATGTCCGACATTTCATTCTGGATGAATGTGACAAGATGCTTGAATCACTTGGTATGTATACAGTTCATGCTGTTTTTTTGGAATTGTTGCTGATATCTTTTCTATGGTTGAGTACTTATTGCGTTTATTATGTGGCATGTAGATATGAGGAGAGATGTGCAGGAGATCTTCAAGATGACCCCTCATGACAAGCAGGTCATGATGTTCTCTGCCACTCTGAGCAAAGAAATCCGCCCAGTATGCAAGAAGTTCATGCAAGATGTAATGTCCTATGGCCAGTTCTACTTGAATTTAGCAGCGTTATCCTTTTAATAATTCGAGATTTCTGCAAAAGTTTTGGGATCCAGTTGTCCATCACAAGAGTGGCCTTACATGTCTTAAAGGTGAAATGATAGTTCCTGTTGAGTGCCTTATGAGGAAGGAGGGGTCAGATGGAAGTTCTTGGCAATCACAACTGTGTTTGACTGCTGTCAAATATCATTTGTGCTTTGTCCCTCATATTCATCAATATACGAGGAGTTGCTGGTGGTCTGAAGTTAGCAATTGGGGTGGGCTGGGGAGATCAATCAGGGCCAAGGAAGTTGTTAAAATGAATTAGTCCGTGGGAGTATTTAGGTTGGTGAAGGGGTGGGATGAGATTTAATATCAATTTTGTTTTCTTTTGCTTTGTTTTGGGGGGCGAGTTGTATTTTGTGGGGGGTGAGCATGCTGGGATGTGATGATAGAGCTGAGCTATGGTGGCAGTGAATATAAAATGCACCTGCATGGAGACAACTCGGATGGACTGGGTTCTTGACTGGAGCAACTGATACGGTCATTCTTTCCTTCTGGATTGCATTAGCTTGAGGAACAACCCTAACGTGATTTACTGTAAAATTTGTTCCTTTCAGCCAATGGAAATTTATGTCGACGATGAAGCCAAGTTGACCCTTCATGGTCTAGTACAGGTAAACCTTCAGTTGTTTGTGGATCCTGTTTCTGCTTTTGTTTGCTATGTAGTTCGCTGACATGTTACTTATTATCAGCACTACATCAAATTGACTGAGCTGGAGAAGAACCGTAAGCTGAATGACCTTCTGGATGCCTTGGATTTTAATCAAGTTGTTATCTTTGTCAAAAGTGTGAGCCGTGCTGCTGAGCTGAACAAGTTGCTGGTGGAGTGTAATTTCCCTTCAATTTGCATCCACTCTGGAATGTCTCAGGAGGAAAGGTTTGTATAACTTTTTTTTTGCTTTGGGTTAAAATGAATGTGCTGTTGATATACGGTTTCCATGATCATAACTGAATATTGAATATAAAGTTTGCGATTTGTTATGTTCATATTTCTAAATCGTGTTTGGGGTGCACTTTTAAGGTTGACTCGATACAAGGGATTCAAGGAGGGTCATAAGAGGATTCTTGTTGCCACAGATTTGGTTGGTAGAGGAATAGACATTGAAAGGGTCAACATCGTCATAAACTATGACATGCCTGATTCAGCGGACACCTATCTTCACAGGGTAATTTTTGAGAGTGCGGTTGCTCAGCAATTTATTTTACTAGTCGTTGTTTTGGTGATGGTCCTCTAAGTTGGTAGTTTGTACGGATTGTCCTGTACAGGTTGGACGAGCTGGTAGGTTTGGTACAAAGGGTCTTGCAATAACATTCGTCTCTTCAGCTTCCGACTCGGATGTTCTCAATCAGGTCAGTGACATGAAGTTTTCTATCATGCTCAATCCATTGCTGCAGTCCACTCATTTCTGTTCTCGTGATTACTCATTTGTGCAGGTTCAGGAAAGGTTTGAGGTGGACATTAAAGAACTTCCTGAACAAATTGATACATCCACATACAGTACGTATTCGTGTGTTTATTTAATTCCTTTCCGAGTTATACTGCCGTATCTTGTGTGCAAATTACTGGGTTCCTGTCTTTGGTTTTGTGTTTTCTGTTTTTGTTTTGACATAATACAAGAACTGCTAGTTGATTGACGATCCTCTTGTTATTTTATTATATGTAGTGCCGTCGTGATGGGAAAAGCTTGTACTTGGAAGCGATTGATTTTGAAGGAAGGCCTAACCGCGCATCCGGGATGGTGTGTTTCCTTTGGGAGCTGGAAATGTGATTGTACTATGTAGCTTTGTGCTTTGTTGTTTTCATCTCGTTGGCCTAAAGAACGGAGTAGTGAGAAGTGGATGTTGGTTCTATCGTTATGAGTGTAGGGGGTGATGAAACTTGATTAGTAGTTGTAGCTCTTCACCAATCATTTCGGAATTTTTCGGCCTATCAAGTATCATTCTGTGAGTTGTGTACTAAATTTAGATAATGAGGTTATACATTAGTTGATTTTCAATGCGTGTTAGTTTGCACTATTGGTAAGAATGTGTTTTGAGAACGCATTTTCGTTGCATTTTTGTAAGCAATTATGTGCGTTTTCGGTGGTGGGAGTACGGTTTGACAGGTGTTGCCAACGGTGGTGATGGTTCCATGGGCAAACATTAGACAAACAAAGTTTGTGATCTGACTCAGGTTGGTGGTGGTAAATGCCCATTTGGTCACTGAGATTACTAAATCGTGTCATGTTCAGTAATTAGAAAAATTTTAATATAAATTGTAGTCATTAGAATCACTGAAAAAGTTAACATTTGGTCACTCAAATTATTGGAATATGTCACATTTAGTCACTCCAATTACTAAAATGATAATATTTAGTCACTCTCCCGTTAGTTTCCGTCCAACTCACCGTTAATTTTCGTCAAACTAATTGAGTTGGACGGAAACTAACGGGAGAGTGACTAAATGTGACATGTTTCAGTAATTTGAGTGATCAAAATTTATATTAATTTTTTTTTCTAATGATTAAACATGAGATGATTTAGTAATCTCAGTGACCAAATGTGGTATATACTCGTTTGTGAATTGTTTTTTCTTTGGGCTTGCCCATTTTCAATCGAAATGTACCTTACGAAAGACATTGTGATGTGGCCACGAGGTTGTTGGGGTTTTGAAATTGGTTTGAATGGGAAACGCGGTAGGGGTGGACAACGGGACGAGATTGGGTATCCATCCCGTTTGAAATGGGTACCTAATTCCATTTGGAGAAGAAATTTCATCTCATGTCCCAAACACATACGGGTTAATGGGTACTCATTATCCGTAAGGGATAATGGGCACCCGCGGGTACCCATAAACTTGTGTGATTTTCGTTATTGATTTTTTATTGGCGGTAAAATTGGCGTAGGAATTCAGTTTATTGAATCGAATTGTAGTGAACCTATTGCTACTGATTTATACAAAATGAAGAGAGAAAGCATTGGGCTTTCAACTGGTCCATGCATGCAGTAGTGGAATTCTTTCTATTAAATCTACACATAATATAATACACCGAAGGGAAAAACGGGAGCCCCATTTCAAATTTCCTGCAACGAGAGTGAAAGTAGGAAGGACATTTTGGTCTTCACAATTACTTTTTTTTATTCATTAAAAAAACACATACTGGGATTCGAACCATGACCATTTTAAAGAAAAGCAAGGATAATAACCAATCACACTAAGCACATTTGTTGTATGTTTTTAAATTTAAAACATATAATAGCAGGGAGGAAAAAATCCTTCCCCCATTTCAAATTCCCTACTCCATGAGCGTTTGTAGGAATGGTAGAATAGGGAGTGTCAATTTTTTTTTCTCTTTCCTCTGTGGAACGAGCCAACTTACCGTACACATGTGAATTTAAACCGGTCCAGGAGTGTCAATTTTTTTTCTTTAAGCCATTTTATTTTTCCGTGGTGACAAAATATATATGAAAAGGTAATAATAACACTCCTTTTTATTGTTAAAAATAAAACATTTAACAATAAACTAATGCATGGTATCTAATGGGCTAACCGCCAACCATAAAATAAAAGAGTTGAATGTGCCTGACCTACATGGGATTTGGCCATCAAGTAAAATAAATGAACATCATTGGTTTGTCATTCTAAAATAAGCTAATTTCTCTGACATAATATATATTATGCTATTAATTTATATCTTAGTGGCTAAAATATAATGTATTTTAAAGTTATTCAATGGTTCAACCTCGACCAACACAATTAGTCCAATTTTTATCATTTCAAATATATATTTTATAATTATTTGATATCATAATGATCAAATTATATTGTATTTTATAGGGAATAGTTTGGTATTTGTTAGTAAAAAATTAACATAAAGATCTATTTGGTTATTTAAAACATTATAACGATCCTAAACATTTTCAGTTCCTTTTGAATTTCTATGGTTTTATTCCCGAATAAGTGATGTGCAAATGGCGAATTGTAGTCGTCTCTTTTCTTTCACTATTTTTTATTTTCAAATAGAAAGTTTAAAAGTAAAGAATAATTAGAATTTGGCATGGGTCGTCAAACAGGCTGAATTTCAAGTTTTGGCTCGTTTGTTTTATGCATTGCAAATTTATTAGCATTTTGATGGAAATGGCTTGGAAAAAAGACATATAAGTTGTACCTTTGCAGAAATGTCCTCAAATGTTTTAATGCTTTGTGAATCAGGTTCTGTGACTTTTGTGATGGTGTATGTGCTTGACAATTGCTCGATGTTGTAACTGCTTAATTTGAGAGTAAATCTTTTGATTTTCCCTATGAGTTGTGATACCAGTTCTGGTGGTTGCAGCATGTTGTCGTTGTTGGCCTGTAAAAGTTGTTCCGCCGTGGTGCTAAATACCTTTCTTTCTTTTTTAACAAATTGTGTAGTAGTGCTATGAAACAGACCACCCATGAACGCTACGCTTATTATGGTCTGTTCTTACTTCCAGTGGTGAGAAATTGTGAATTGAGAATCATATTCGCCTACCGCACTGTGTCTGGCTGGTGGCTGCTTACTGTGCTCTCTAGAGTTATGAAACAGACTACCAATGAACGTTTCCCTTAAGAGTCCATAACTTTTGCGAAAAACCAAATTTAGGCAATCAAAGGTGGTGGATGTGTGATGATTTTTTATGGCTTAATTGTTTGTGAATTGGATATCTGATCTTTGTATGATTGGAGGGGATGTTTGCTTAATAGAATTATCCATTTTAATTCATGTTTATTTTTAACATGAACTTTAGTAACTCAAAACCTTCGAGACACATATAACCTACTGCATTGTATCATTTTGCCTGGGTGCTTGCTGTGTTGTCAAACTTCTTTGTTGCTGCTGCTTTTACACTAACAGGGGAGTTAAGAACCCATGAATGTTTCCGTTTGACACAAACAGTAGGACTTGCTTCTAAATCGTGCACTAAAGATGATTGGAGGAAACATCTCTATTGCAGTTGATATACTGGAGACCAGAACAAAAGCAATGTATAACATCAAAACCAACCATCTGAACTATTAGCATTGTTGCTTTACTATTTTTTTCGTGGTTGAGTCTCCTTCAAAAAATTTAGTTTGATTTTAGAAAATTTTGCTTCTGCAGTCCTGTCCTGCCACCAACGCGTTCAGTAGATGGAGATGGCAGAGGCGAACGCTATTTTTGTGCTGTTGTTGCTGGTTAAGGGATCGGTTTGTGAAGAAGAGGGAGAAGAGAGGGGGAAAGGGAAATGCAGGAGAGGGGGGTAACTCTTTTCTCTGACAAAAATGGAGTGAAGAAAGGAATTATGATCAGTAAGGATATGGTTATCTTACATAACGGTCTCTATTCTGTTTGAATTGAGCTTGAGAGGCAGTGATAAGACGAGCTGCAACCAATTCATAGTGAGAAGAGAGCTATGAACTGTGATCATGTCTTATTTCAAGTTAGAAGGTAGTTTCAGTATAAGGATTATTTAATTTGACAAGTTGTTTCGTCCATGATTCTTGGTAGTTTCAGTGCCATTCTAGCCATTGTTTAGTCTGTAATTTTTGAGAATTGATGTGCGAGTAATGACTTTCACTTAGCTTCAACTATTATGTGTGTATTTATTGGCATGTGATAGAAATCTCTTTTCCTTTTCTTTGAATTCAATTTCATACTCTAATTGTATCATTTGTACATAGGCAAATCATGCTCGAGATGACAACTCGCTGATAAGGCTGGTGCAAGGAACGGAGCCATCATTAGAATTCATACCGACAACGGGGAGGGATGCCCAGGACTAATTCAATGATGATTGATGATGGTATAATAAAAACTGCAGTTTGCATCAACACCAATTTCTAGGCCTAAGTAAAGCTATTCAACCCAGAACTCTGCTTAGCACTAAAAATTTCCCTCACCCAACCTTGATCCTGTTTGACCCACTTCTGAAAAGTCAAGATATATGAATATGACTAATCCTCTCCGTTCGTATTTTCTTATTGACTCTTCCTGACCCTTTAGGTTGGGGCGGGTCGGGAAGAATCGGATTAGTGGGTCGGTCCTAATCAAGTGGAATCCCAATCCCTTCACTCTCACTTGCTTTCTCTCCTATTCCACAAGTGAATAACATACAGTAATCCGGCCAACGGGCCGGGTAATAGGGTAGTTGAATTGTAATGAAGCTACTGCTGCTCATTTGTACAGAATGTAGGAAGGCAATGGAGTTGTAGTAATTGCTGTCCAATTAAGTATGTGAAGGTTATCGAGTAATATATGTTATCACATATCACAGGGAAGGCAGTGTATGTTCATTCATTGTTGTTTCAAATTAATGGTTTGGTTTGGGTGGACGGGTAGTACGGGTACTCGTAATACTTAAATGGGTATTAACAGGTAATCCACGGGTACCCATTGTAGAAGTTCTTTATCCCGAGTCCCATCCCGTAAAAATAATTACGGGTATTTGGGTACCCATAACCCTGAAAAAAGGAACGGGTATGAGTATACCCAAATACCCGTTCTCCGTTGTCCACCCGTAAAACGCGTGAAGAGAAAGCTTGAGTAAGTATAAGGGAGAAAAATGCACTAATAATTCAATTGGGGGAGGAGCGTTTTCTCTCTCACATTTAGCGAGAGTTTCGGAGCGACGGAAACTTAGGTTTTCCAACAAATTTCGGGGAGAGTTTGGTGATCGAATACTCTTGGGAGAAGGTTTTCAGAAACTATAAGGACTGCGATAACTTTGTTTATCGTGTTCTGGCACGAGATTAAAGCTTTTTAAGGAATATTGGGATAAGCCTAGCACTATGTGTTTAGGTTATTATCGCTGCTTGGCAAAGAAACCCTAAAAGTTTCCTTGCTATGAGATACATTGAAATTTCGGTGGGCTTGTTTACAACAATGGCGGAGAACCTGGAGATTGCGAAAGAAAAAGGGGATCTGACATGGAATACCTAGAACTGTGTAGCACAGGCTTAGGGATGACAATGAGGCGGGTTTGGAGCGGGTTTGTCCAAATCATCCATATCCCCATTTCAAATACCCAAACCAATACCCATGCGGGGAATGTTTTGCAAACCTATTCCCGTATCCATAGGTAATACCTGTCTCATACATCCCTCATTATTATACCTTTACAAGAATATTTTTTAATTATAACACTAACGAACATACTATATCATGCCGTCAACTAAATACGATCATTTTCTTAATACAGGTCAAAGAATATGATCCAAAAACATCCATTAATACATAATATAGAGTACAAATATTTGCCAATTATTATGCTCTAACTCTGATTTATCTACTAAGTAATAATTAACTAATATAATCTTGTTGATAAGGGGGAAGTGAAAGAGTGAAGGGAGAATTGAGAGAAATGAATTAAGATTATATTAGGGTGGCCACTAAATTGCATTTTTACTATTTGTTTTCTCGAGTTACCTTCATTATCATTGATAGGTTACGATTTGATTCGCATTTTTTTCAAATCTGGAAAAATTCTCTTGGTGGGGAGTGTATGAGTATGGTTATGGGATAGGGAAGGCTAAAACCATATCCACCCCAAACCCACCCCATACCCATCAAACATTTTATGGGTTTTACCCATACTCGTCCCATACCCAGTCAAAGCAAGGATTCTCCGCATTGACTGGGTCGGAGGCGGTTGGATACCCACGGTCATGAGTTTGATTACCATCACTAAGCACAGTTGAGAGCATGGAGAGAGCGACATGGATTTAGTGAGAATGGAAGCAGTCCGTCAGCTGGGTCTGATTGGGCGCCTGCTAGCTGAAAAATAATCAAACGTTAAGTCAATGAAAATAGCATTGGCTAAAGTGTGGAATCTAAAGAAGGGCTTTCATATTACATATCTGGGAGATATGCTATTTGCGTTCCAGTTCCTTGACATGGATGACACGAACAAGGTTTGCTATGGAGGCCATTGACATTATGAAAACTATATTATGGTCTTTATGGCTAGCTTGCTTATCAAGAAATCTACCACTGAAGCATTGCATGTGATCGATATCTGGATTCAAATCAAAGAGTTTCCAGCGGAACTAAGAACTTAGAAGATGGTAGAGAAGATAGCTAACAGATTTGGTTCCCTAGTGTGGTTTGATGATAATTCTCGTACAATGTGGGACACTTATATGCGCATGAGAGTGAGCATCTCTATTAATAACCCTCTGAAAAAGAATATAAAGCTCAACATTGGAGGAAGATTAGTGGAATACCTGATCAAGTACGAGAAGCTCCCAATGTTCGGTTATTCATGTGGGGGAATTGGGCACCCAAAGATACGTTCCCTAAACCATCTGGTCTGGAATCAGATCCTTTTGGTATGGAGTTAAAAACTGGAGTCCCAAGTCCTCGCAATTGGATGGCACACACAACAAAGAAAGTGGATGTTGAGATATGGGCATTACTGAGGAAAAAAGTTTGATATGGAAAGCATTAGATCCAATTCGGATCACGAAATGCCACCTCTAGAAGAAGTGGTAGACATCAAGCATTCACAAAAGTCTAAACAGGTACCACAAGCTGAGATAAGAAATGAACCTATCGAGATCGAAGAGAGAAGGTAGGAGAACGAGAAAGAAGAAGGAAACCAACCAAGGGAAGAAGCAGGAAAGGGCGCACCACAAAACCCCAATATGAGAAAGCTGGGGATAGGAGGAGCTCTACAACAATTTGTCATGGGGGCGAGTGGTGCTATCCCTGAAAGAAAAAACACGGGCAGAGTATGGAGAAGACAAGATTAGACAGTGAAGAGAAGAGGGAGAGAACTGACAGGTCAAGAAAGCTAAAGTTCTCACTTTCAAAGAAGGTGACACTGTGGTTCCAAATGGAAAAATTAACAAACATAAGGATGGAGAAGAGGCGGACTCTGATGAGGAGCATAGCCGCCCCACTCAATGAGCATCCTAAGTTACAACTGTCGTGGGTTGGGGAAGGACACGACAGTTGGAAGAGTAGCTGAGCTACTCAAAGAACAAGACCCCAACGTAGTTTTTCTTAGAAAACTAAAAAGCATGAGCATGAATGGGAGGAGCTGATTCGAAAGTTAGGATGGACAAAAGGTAAGGGTGTAGGGTTCAAGGAATACAACTAGAGGGATTTAAATGTTATGGAAGGAAGAACTGAATGTTGCAGTCAAGTCCCCCGGATCAAAATTACATTGACATATGGATTACTGAAGGTCTAGAAGAAAACAGGTGGCGGTTGATTGGAATTTATGGATGGCACGAGCGAGAAAATAAATCTCAGACATGGGATTTTATAAGCAGACTGCTATTTGGAACCCTTTTGTCTACTACCACCACCGTCTCTTATGTGCAAATGTAGAAGATAAAGTCGGCTTTGCCTCTGCACCCCTAACTTTTCAAAGACTGACATTGGATTGGGAGAAGAAAACAAAGAGAGGAAGGAGAAGAGTTGAGTGCGAACTAGGTGAGTGAAGCCATTGATGGAAGAAACTAGGAAGTAGTCTTTTCAATCTTTACTCTAGTAGAAGCCATTGACGAAGAAGAGTGTGACAGATGAGAAAATAAGTGCATCTACCAAATTTGAACCTTAAACCTCCAACATGTTGATTAAAATGTAAGTAGGATTATTGATTTTAAAGTTATCTTAGTTATTAAAAGACACGTTTATTCAACTATTGAAGACTCTAATACCATGTTGAAAACCAGTTTATTTTAAATATCTTAAGTCATAAGAAGTAAAAAAATCTCATATCATTATCGTACAAGTTAACCTGGTAACTTAATCAAATTCATATTATGTATTACATATATTAGTTCCCCACTCTTGCTTTTACCTAAAAACAAAATTTCAAATTCGGTAAGAAAATATGAAACATTTATGAAGTTTCTCGGCCAACTCTCTTTCAAATAACAATTTCCCGGCCAAATTCATCCCCTGAGTAGAGTGCCAGCTGCTTTAACTTATCCATTTTAACCATCCTTTTTCTCTATGTGTATTACGAATCTTCCATATATCGATATGCACTTTTACCATAAACCCGAACCAGCAGATTCGAAAATGAAAATAAAAATGAACAAATCAATTAATGAATTCCCTATCCCCTTAAAAGTTCATCTTCAATTATGATTATACCAACAACAAAAACTTCACTACCACAACAAATATGGCAACACCATATCACCCCATTAAATAAACTTCCCTATCCTCTTTGTCCTCTTCTTCCTTAACATGAATCATCACTCCCCCGTCTTACAATATTTATACCTCTCCACCTCCCTCTCCTTTCCTCCCCAACACTCACCCACTCACTCACTCACTCACTCACTCACTCACACAACACATATTGTCACATAACACAACCTAGAAGCAACAACAACAATGGAGGGTTTATGTGCCACCCAAGAACAATTGCACACATTTCACTCCATCGACCGTGAAGTCTTCTCGCGAATGGTGATCAACCTCATGCGCGACCCGGCCGAGTGCCTCATCATCGTCGCCGCCTGGCTCTGGCTTGAGCAAATGGGCTACCCCAACATCATTGTCTTCATGCCCTCACTCTCTGACGCCGTCGTCGACCTCCTCGCCGACGAGATGGCCCTCGCCCTCTCCTCCCTCACCACCACCACCACTGCCCTCCCCTCCTTCATGCCGGGCACCTCCGCCCTCATGTCCCGCACCATCTCCGCCGACCTCTTCCATCGCAACCGCTTCACCGCCGTTGCGGGGATCAAGAGCTTCCTTACCACCGTCTGTAGTCGGGCCTTCTCTGACATCCTCCAGTCCATCTGCCCGCTCGCCCGTAACGGGAGCGGGCAACTGGTCATCCCGGGGTTCCCCCACCCTGTGTTTGGGAACCTGACTGTTTCATCCCCTGCCAGCAGGGGACGAAACGGCAGCGTTTTGGTCCCACCTCCAACGGATGTGTGGGGGTGGGACCCTAACAGCAGCGGGGCCAGCGAGGACGACAAGACTTTGTTCTTGACGTTCTCGAGGGGTTTTCCGGTGACGAAAGAGGAGGTGACGGAGCTGTTCACGAGGAAGTATGGGGAAGGGAGCGTGGTGAGTGTTTTGATGCAGGAGAATGTGGCGGCGGGGGGCGGCGGGGACCAGCAGCAACCGCTGTTTGCGAGGATGGTGATGAGGTCGGTGGTGGTTGTGGACGAGGTGCTGAACGGGGAGAGGATCGCCAAGTTTCGGATCAACGGGAAGCATATTTGGGCTAGGAAGTATGAGCGGCGGGAGCAGGCGGCGACGCCTACACCGCCGCCGGTGTAAGACTGTGCGTTGACTCTCTCCCCTGTAGCCAAATGTCTCGCGTTCGTTGGTTGTTAATTATACACAGATATGGTCGTGATGTACAATGGCAATAATAAAAATAATAATAAAATCGGCTGATTGGATGAGGGTAGAGTGTAGTAATATATGATTGGACAATATGATATTTGAATTACTGCATGAATTATAATGAAAATTCTTCTGATGCTAGACTCCAATTATCCAATAGGTAAATTCTTAACTTTAATCATTCACTTATTCGTGCGAAACACAAACGAATAAAATTTAACATCGTTTTGAGATGTTTAAAATTACGATTATCAGGATACTATAAAAGCATGACACATTTCGAAAATCGAAAGTATTTGATACATGCACTATTATTTTGTTTTATTATATCTACTTTGATTTATGCGTTATGTATAGGATACTTTTCAAAGTCAAATTGACGACTCAGCAAAGCTGTTGCTAATTACCAGTGCCGGAATCATTACAAAGCCATTAATTCCACCTTTGACAATGAAGCAAAACAACAAAACTCCATTAATCCCCCTTCTTAATCTTATCTGGGTCTTTTCTCGTTCAGTTCTTTTCCGTTTCTGTTCACTTGAATGTAATTGGCTCCGTAATTTGCAAAGAGCCAAATTTTAGTCCTCGTTCAGTTAAGCAGTGAATGACTTATCTACCATCGAACACATGCACTTGTAGTAAACTTTTGAGTTAATAAACAAGTTGACCTGTCAGTGTTTCTCAAAACAAATCCCTCCAACCAGAAGAATTAATGTTGCAAGGCTGATAAATGAATAATCACAATTCTCGAATAATAAGGGAACCGTCGAATCAAAAGTCGTTTTAGTTATAAATTTTAACGACTTTATTAAGTCCAAGCAACAACCAAACTAGATTGTTCTATAACGGACTACAACACATCATTAAGCACACAAGCCGGCGTATGAACACCTGAGCAACAACCATAAATACTGATAGAAGGAAAGTCACGAGAAATCTTTTCGATGGGGGAATCTGTTTTGAATAATGTGATGATTTGACTCAAATCGCTCATTTGAAAAATACTATATTTATTCATTCTTTGCACAACGACATGAAAATGTCCATTAAACAAACTTAACCTCTCATTAAAACTAAACATAAAAAATCTGAACCTCTAACCCACGCCACAGCAAAGACCAACAAATCCCACTGGGACTCCAGTTCCTCTCATTGAAAGCACCTGGCTCTAGTGGCGTAGCCAGGAATTATGTTAAGGTGGGTCGAACAACAATATATATTGTTATGAACGGTTAGCAGAAAACGACAGTCGACAACCTAACTCGGATGTTGGGGAGTGCTATCACGTTATAGGCAGCATTATTGAGAAACAAGATAAGGATTTTGCCGTTAAACAGATAGTTAATACAATAGAGAACGACGAGCTGCAAGCGGGCAAATCGAGCAGCTAGCAGTTGACGGCTGACATGATTATTAGATTGAGGTTGTGCCTTGTGGGAATTCTGAAATCATGGTTATGAGTAGAAGACAATAGATTGGTGATCATTTGGGGAAGATCGTATTAGGAATTGTGATATCGAATAAAAGACAAGTGCGGTCGTGCTTCTTGTTTGATGTAAAAGATACTAATGAATAAAGAAATTAGATGCTAAACATAAAATAAAAATGACTAGAAGCTACTTAAGTGAAAGGGAGGTTGACAGTTTGATAGCAGAGTGATATAATTTTTCTTTTGTGCATTGAAAAATCAAGGTGGTGCAGCCGATCCATCCTAAATTAAAAGCAAAGAACAATGCGTCTGCCGGGAGTCGAACCCAGGTCTATTGCTTGGAAGGCAATTATCCTAACCGTTGGACTACAAACGCTCTCTTGGCCCCCGTGCGGCTTTTATTTAATATAACCAGTCTGGACTGGACAGAAATAGCAATCCTCTGGGCTGCTCAACCTGGTAAATGGGCCTCCATAAGGGGAAGGAAAAGGTCAAGTAAAAGTGCGAGGCCCATTATTTGCTTCCGAAAATGAAAATCTAAGCCCGTCAACGATCGTTAGACTGGACACGACAAGGTGGGTTTGTTAATTGTTTCTTTGTTAGTGTACTGTTTAAGAGGAATTTTAGAATGCTATAAAATATTGGTATTTTTTGTTTTTGTTTTTATAGTATAATAATTTGTTTTTTTTATAGTATAACAATAATTTGAAATTGTAATTTTAATGTTATGGTACAACCACATGTTGTATCCAAATTTTTTTTGTCTAAATCCATTTATGATATAAATAAATGTTGTATCATAACATCAAACTTAAAATTTACTTATCATACAACTTCAATTTGTACTTTTAATATTATGATACAACTTCAAATTATACTTCAAAACATCAATGCTTTAAAGTATAGTAGAAGTCCTTGTTTACTAGAGTTATTAGGACTCTTAAAGACTTAATCTAATCAGCAAAACCTCACATGAGGAAATGAATAATTTTCAGGAACGTTATGCGTAATGTGTTATGCAAATTGCAAACGTTCGATCATAGGCCAAGCCAACCTCCTTTTCATATTGTCACGGGCACCGTTAGAAATTGAAGGAATTTTTTTTTGTTAATACAATATATTAGCCACAACTATTATGAAGCGGGGAATTATAGCCACAACTATGAAAATTCAAATTATTAGCCATAACTATTATTGCAGGTCAAGATATGGCTAACTGTCTGTTACTGTTATTGAATTTTTGACGGAGAAGGCCACGTCATCGGGCACGACAACGGCCACGTAGGAATGCTTTTAGTTTATAACTTGAAAACATAAAAGTTTAGTCAGTATTACTAACGAAATTGTTAACAGATAGTTAACGTTTGGTTAATAATTTAAATTTCAATAGTTGTGGCTATCATTCCCCGCTTCATAATAGTTGTGGCTAATATATTGTATTTTACCTTTTTTTTTTATTAACACGGAGCAGTTGTAACTTGTAATATAGGGCTCAAAATACTAGATTTTCGGGAACGACTACGGTGCTAATTGTACAATAGTTAGCACCGTCCTAACCAAGGGAAAAACTACTACTAGTTTGAATTAGTAGTGATTTAGCTTAGATGTTGTATTGATTTTATAATAATCTGTAGTGATTTTTGCTAGTTATCACGGTGCTAACCCCTATAAGAGTTAGCACCTAATCCCATCCCTAGATTTTCACGTTCGTACGATTTTTTTTACAAACAATCAAAGAGACTTAATGGATTAAATCGAAAGACATCTAAGAGTAAAGAAAATGGATGTATTTTATCATTATTTTCAGGTTTAAATGAACATTGTAGCTGCAGAAAACTAAAACTTATATTAACCGACTATTTTCTTTTCTACAAACGAATTAATTTGATATTAAAAAATATTTCATTCAAATATTTATTTGAATTTTACATCATATAAAATGACACCCCTCGTTCCATCAAAGAGAGTTCCGCGTTTGGGAAAAATCTTTGTATCGAGAAGCCCATCGATACAAGGTGTCTAACGGATCAAGACAATCGCTGAGAAGAGAACACAAAGTTCGTGGTCCTTGTCGAGAAGGGAGGATTGTTATGCAACAATCCAAGTACCACATCGATAATACAAGGGAATAAACCTTTGTATATTAGTGTCCACCAAACACATCAGTACGAGGCGTTTTGGGAAGGAACCTGTTTGAACCTAACTGAGTGTAGGAGTGAGGTTCACTAGAATGGGTCGAGAAGAATGAACGGCTTGGTTGAACAAGAACTTTGAGACAAATGAGAGGGAAGATAGAATTGAGAGAGAGTGTCTTTAGTGAGAGAAAGTGATGATCTTAGAGATAGAGTCCGAAAAATCCGATCCCCTCACCCACCGGAGTAAATGCCATATTTATAGGCTACATGGTGGTGGGTGAGTGGTTGGGTTACAAGTGGGTATACTGATGTGACCCCTGACATGCCAGAGGTCTAAGCCATACTTTTAGGACCCTGATGTGACTACTTCTGACATAGGCAGGACTATACCTAGGACTATGATAGTGACTCCTCTTTGGGTGATGCGGCGCCGCTTCTGCGACTTCTCGATAAGGGACCCCGCCTGGGTAACGCGCTGTGACGCGCCGTCGTTTAGTGGTGCCGGCAAGACTTGCGCGCTCGGCTCCGGTGTGACTCACTCGCTCGACTCCGATGTACTCGCGCACCTTGCCTTGGTGTGCTCGCGCTCCTTGCCTTGGGCGTTTCTTTAGCGGGGAGAGATCCGAGTCACATGCCCAACAATTGCCCCCCATCAGTGGGTATTCCGCGAATGCCCTCTGTTTGGTCTTCGTGTAGTCGACTCGGATCTGGGCTATTCCATCTTTTTCCGCGCTGCTGATTGGGGTGGGCGCAGTCTGGGAAAGTCAAGGCCTTTCTGGTCCTCGCGCGCACATCCTGTGCATCGCGGGCGCTGTTCATTTGATTTTCGTGCGCTTGGTCGAAGTTGGTGTGTCATGCCCCCCTGTGTGCGCGCAACCTTTAGCTACGCTCGTAAGTCGAGTTGATTTTTTCCTCCTCGCGCGCTCGGTCGAAGTTGGTGTGTCGTGCCCCCCTGTTGTGCGCGCGACCTCTAGCTACTCTTTTAGTCGTGTTGTTTTTTCTTCCTCGTGGGTGTACCATGCCCCCCAGGCGGTGGGCGGCACTTGTGGCGTCGCCGACTATTGTCTCTGGCGGTAGGTGTCCACGTGTCCCTGCTTGATTGGGCTATTTGGGCGTGGATTTCTTGAAATTCGAAAGAATTCGAAAAGATTTTGTGGGATCTGACGGTTACGAATCCCTATGTTGCTTTAACCCTTCGCTTTCCCTTGGTCGACTATAAATATGGGTTTGCTATGGGAGTGTTGGGCTTATCTGTTTCTACGACTCTGCTTCTTGTTTCTCTGTTCTTCCTTCCTCTGAGATTTCTCTCCTTCTTATACAACCTTGAATCTCCTTTCGTTGTTGCTGGATTCAAGCTATTACCATGGCTGGCATCAACATCAACGAGGCTGAGGTCGTACAAGGCGAAGAAGGTAATCTTTCAACTCTTTCGCAAACTTCTACTGATCGCTCGCTGGAATTAGACGACGGTTCCGGTGGTGGGAACGGCGGCGATGGGGTTCCGGCGACACCGTCGTTCGACATCGTGTCGGAGGACGATCTCGGTGGTTCCCCCGACGAAGATATGGGTGCTTCCGGGAGCGGGCAGGCGAGCCAAGGGGCTCGTGGGGTGTTGATAATCCGCCGTGGGCGTGATGGGAGGCCGGTGGCTGTTAATGGTGACGTGCGCGAAGATCCTGACGAACAGTCAGAGCCGCTTTATAATGTGCGCGTAACTGAGGCTATGGCTCGACTCGGGTTGCGCGGGGTTGGCGCCGCGTATAACGTTATCGAGTGGGCCAAGATGTGGGATGATCAACCAGCGCCGCATGACAACCTCAAGCGCGGGCCCGAACACGCCTCCTTATACGACGTCGACTTGGAGGAGATAGTGCGCGGGCTGGGTTTGCCGCCCCATTGGCAGTATGCTGCTCCATCGACGCGCAACATGGTGGGTAATTGCCCCGCGGGGTGGTTTGGTGTGTACACAGAGTATTGGGTGATGGGGTTTAAGTTCCCCATCGACCCGCTCTTGTGAGCTTTGTATCGGCGCCTCAACTGCTCCGTTGGGCGGCTCTCTCCTTAGGTCATCATGCACGCGAGTTGTCTTCGCCTCGCGTGCAAGCGGCTCAATATCGAGCCGACGTACGGCCTTTTCTGAAAAATATATAAAATCAAGGAGCCCACCACGCGGAGCGACTGTCTCTCTATTAAGCGGCGTGACAAGAGGCCCGACGGCTTCGTGTACGGCTCGCCCAAGTTAAAGAAGACTTGGTTCGAGCATTTTTTCTACGTCAAGCCCGTTCCCGGGGAGTGGGCAACTGAGTTTGTTGAGGAGCCCACCGAATGGAAGAAAGGCAGTACGAACGGGTACGAGTCGGATGCCGGCGTCTACGACGGGCTGGACGATGAATACGAGGCGTGCATGAATCGAAAGATGAACTTATACCTCGCGGGAGTGCGCGAGGCTTGTTTGTAGGAGCTGTTCAACGATGGTTAGTTGCATTTCTTTTGTTTTGCATTCTATCATATTAACCGCTTTCTTACAACTTATTGGCGCAGGTGTTGACTTCTCCAGCTTGGTGAGCATGATGTCGGTCGACGACATCGTCAAGGCGCCGCGCGGCGACAAGAAGAAGAAGAAGAAGGAGGGTGTGGCGCCGAGGGGCACGAAGCGGAAGGAGATTGAGCAGCCCCGGACAGTTGAGAATATCCGTAAGGCTGCTCGCGTAGAGGGAACCAGTGCACGGGAGGCGCGGGCTCAACCGGCGGAGCAACCGTTGTCTGACGCGAGGCAGCTGTCCTTGGCGCTTTAACAGCCAGAGGCGGCTGTGACCAGACCTTCTCGGTGCGAGAGAGAGAAGGTGGGGAGCTCGTCGGGTGCAACCGTCTAGCAGAAGCTGCCCGACATGGCGGGTTTTGGGGGGACTGCCGCGGCCACCTCTCCCGACGCTGCTGCTGTCAACTACTTCCGCGATGTGCGGATCCACACATCGGCGGCGTGCAACCTTGTGGCCGCGAATACCGCACTTCGCGCGCTGGGGCCCGTCTTGAGTGTTCCGCCGCGGGTGGAGAAGTCTGATCCTCTTCATGACCTGGCTCAGATCCACTTCGCGGTAAGATCCGGCTCAGTGTTACCGCGTTTCATCTCTTTCTTTTATCTCTCTCCTTTTTTGTATTGTTCCACTAAGTGTATGAGCGCTGTGATTGCAGGGTTTGTCGGCGACCTTCCGCGCTCAGAAGGAGCGCGCGCTACAGCGCGCCCGAATAAAGGATGATGAGGCCAAGATCATCCAGCTGGAGGGGAAGGTTGTTGGGGTGAACAACCGCGCCGACGTGGCGACCAACGAAGCTAACGAAGCAATGGAGGAGCTTGGCCTTCTGCAGAGCAAGCTAGCTGCCGACGTGGAGACGGCGAAAGAGCAGGTGCGGGCTCAGGAGCGCGCGACCATCCGAAGCCAGCTGGAAGCCACTTATGACGAAAAGCTGAAGCATGCTCGCGAGGAGCATCAAAAGGAGAAGGATGACCTTGTCCGCCTTCACAACATCGCGAAGGCGGAAGCCGTTCGCGAGGCCGAGGTAGTGGCCGTTCGCCAGTTCAAGTCTTCTCCCTCTTTCGGGAAGATTTTGGCTGACGCTATGACCAAGGCCGTGATCGCGGTCGGGAAGAAGATCCGGCCGGAGAACCCGGAGGTCAGCTGGGATACGCGCGAGATGGTCCGCCACGTCCAGACGTGGATTGGCGAGAAGCGGCCCCTGGAGTCTGACTCCGAGTCGGGTGGTGATGATGACGAGGATGGTGATGAGGAAGAGGAAGAAGAAGGAGAAGAGCGCCCGAAGGGGGAAGAGCGCCAGGTTGAGGAGAAGATGATGCCCCGCCCCTTACGCGCCGTAAGCAGAATAAAGAGGGCCAAAGTGCCTAAGTGTTTTTGCGTTTGGAGTGTTCTCCTTTTGCGTTTGTTGTTTTGTTATCCCTCCTGTTTTTTTTTTAAGTATGACTGCGATTATTTGGTGCTCCCGTACCATTGAATCCAAATAGTGCTCGCTCGCGACTTTTTATTTGTTCCTTTGCTTTGAGTGAACGCGAGTAGTGTTGTGCTATTGTTAATGCTTGTTCCTTCGAACTGTGAGGGCGCGAATAACTCATAGTCATTGCTATTTTTTGTTCTTTCGAACTGTGAAGGCGCGAATAACTCGTAGTTATTGCTATTTTTTGTTCTTTCGAACTGTGAGGGCGCGAATAACTCGTAGTCATTGCTATTTTTTGTTCTTTCGAACTGTGAAGGCGCGAATAACTCGTAGTTATTGCTATTTTTTGTTCTATCGAACTGTAAAAGCGCGAGTAAATGGGAAGTCACAAATGTTATTGCTGATCTCTTGCGGCCGTGCACCAATGTTACATCAACTTGAGCAGTGGTATTTCCTGAGATTCTGCGCGTTCCATGTTCTTGGAATTTTGTTGCCCCCCAATTCGCTGAGCTTGAAGGTGTTGGCACCCACAACCTCCCGGATTAGATACGGGCCTTCCCACGTTGACGCAAGCTTGCCATGTTTGGGGTCGGGGTGGAAGTTCCTGCGTAGTACTTGATCTCCGAGCGCCAGCTTGTGTGGGACCAGTTTCGCGTTGTAGTACTTGGCCACTTGCGCTTTCGTTGCGGCTAGTTTGATGGCCGCCAACTCTCGTCGTTCTTGTGCTAGCTCTAGGTCTAGCAGGCGTGCCTCGTTGTTATCTGCCTTGTTATATGCCGTGACCCGGTATGTTGGGAATGTTACCTCGATTGGTATGACTGCGTCTGTGCCATAGGTGAGCGCGAATGGGGTTTCGCCCGTTGCCGCTTTGTAGGTGGTGCGATGCGCCCACAGCACCGTGTTGAGCTCATCCGCCCAGTTGCCCTTTGCTTCGTCTAGCCTTGTATGGAGGCTGTGCAATATTGATTTGTTGGCGGCTTCCGCTTGACCGTTGGCCTGGGGGTAGGCTACCGATGCGAACCTCGCGATGGCTCCCACTTGGTCGCAAAAGTCTATGACTTCCGCGCAGTCAAATTGTTTGCCATGGTCGAAGATGAATGCGCTCGGGACTCCGTAGCGCGCCAGAATATTGCTTTTTAAGAAGCGGGTTACCTGATGCGCCGTTATGGAAGCCAGCGATTCCGCTTCGATCCACTTGGTAAAGTAATCCACCGCCACAATTATGTATTTGCGCTTTCCTTTTGCTGTTGGGAATGGGCCCAGAAGGTCAACTCCCCATTGTGCGAAGGGCCAGGCGCTCAAGTTGCCTTGGAACTCAGTCGATGGGAGGTGATGTTGGCGAGCGTGTAATTGACACTTGTTGCATTCGTCAACGTACTTCTTTGTGTCCTTTTTTACCCGTGGCCAATAGTACCCATGTAACAATATGGTGCGCTCCATATTGCGCGCACCGGCGTGCATTGCGCACATTCCTTCATGCAGCTCCCGCACCATGTTGTGTGCCTCGTCGTTTCCGATGCATTTGAGATATGCCCCGGAATATGATCGCCGGTACAGGTCGAGGCCAATCATCATGCAACGAGCCGCCTTCTGCCTCAAGGTCCATGCTTCCTTGGCGTCTTCTGGCACCGTGCCATCCTGTAAGAACCTTATGATCGGGGCTCTCCAGTCATCTTCCGCGATTTGGGTGGTATTGACCGCGGCTTCTTGGTTGGCTTCCTCTTCCTCCTTTTGTACCGTCACTAAGCGCGTAGACTTGAAGTTTGTTGTTGTTGCCAGTTTGGATAGCGCGTCGGCGTGCATGTTTTCTTCCCTTGGTATTTGCACGTACGTCACCGCCTCGAAGGCGGTTGATCGTTGCTTGACGCGCTCCATGTAATGCGCGAGTGCATCCTCTTTGGCATCGAAGGCTCCATTCAGTTGGTTGACGGCTAACGACGAGTCGGAGAGTACTCTGATTGTTCTAGCGCCCAAGTCATTGGCAGCCGCCATTCCCGCCAAGATGGCTTCATACTCGGCGGCGTTATTTGTCTTCAAGGCTCTGAATCGGATTGCTATTTCGTGCACAACGCCCGTGGGCGTGCGCACAACTACCCCCGCGCCGGCCCCGTGCTTGCTCGCCGCACCGTCTACATAAACTTCCCACACCCCTTCTAGTGCCGTTTCCAGGGTTACTCCCTCAGCGATGAAATCTGCCTGGATTTGCGCCTTTATCGCTGGACGCGGGGCGTACTGGATGTCGTACTCTGACAGTTCGACGGCCCACTTTATCATCCGCCCTGATACTTCCATTGAAGTTAGAATCTTTTTTAACGGGAGGTTGGTTAGGACGGTGATTCGGTGTGCTTGGAAGTACGGGCGTAGTTTTTGCGCTGCGCTAACCAGTGCTAACGCTGCTTTCTCAATGGGTGAATACCTTGTTTCTGCGCTGACCAGAGTTCGCGATGTGTAGTACACCGGGCGCTCGCCCTGACCGTCTCTCCTGGATATTAGTACTGCGCTTACGGCTCTTGTGGACACAGCGAGATACAGAAAAAGCTCTTCATTAACTTTTGGGGCAGTCAATACAGGGGGGGAAACAAGATAGGCTTTGAGCTATAGCAAGGCCGCTTCACACTCCTTGGTCCATGCAAATCGCGCGCCGTTTTTCAGTGTCTTGAAGAATGGGGCGCACTTGTCTGCTGACCTTGGGATGAACCTTCCTAGCGCCGCAATTTTCCCGTTTAGAGACTGGATCTCCAATGTGTTTCTTGGCGCGCGCAAGCCTTGGACTGCGGTGATTTGCTTTGGGTCGACTTCGATGCCGCGCTTGGTGATCATGAATCCCAAGAATTTTCCGGCTTCTACTCCGAACACGCATTTCAGCGGGTTCAGGCGGAGACTGTGTTTGCGCAGCGCTTCGAATGTCTCGCGCAAGTCATCCAAATGTGACTTCCCTGCCTTGGTATTGACGATGAGGTCATCCACATACGCCTCAATGTTGCGCCCCCTTTGTTGTGAAAACACCGTGTCGATCATCCTCTGATATGTCGCGCCAGCGTTCTTCAGTCCAAATGGCATTCCGACGAAACAGAAGTTTCCGAACGGCGTCATGAAGGCTGTCTTCTCTTCGTCTTCGCGCGACATTGGGATTTGGTGGTACCCTGAGAACATGTCTAGGAAAGACAGTGTTTCATGGTCGATCAGTTGGTCGATGCGCGGCAGCGGGTAGGGATCCCCTGGGCACACTTTGTTGATCGTCGTGTAATCGACGCACATTCGCCAAGCCCCCGAGGACTTTTTTACCAAGACCACATTCGCCAGCCACTTCGGGTATTTCACTGGACGGATTAACCCCGCCGACAGCAGGCGCGCCACCTCTTCCTCAATGGCTTTCCGCTTGTCGCCCGTAAAGCTCCGTCGCGCCTGTTGTCTTGGCGTCGCATTGACTGGGACCCCAAGGGAATGTTGGGCGACATCCCTTGGTACTCCTGACATGTCTTCCGTGCACCACGCGAATAACTCTTTATATTATTTCAACAGCTTTATCAATGGTTCAATCGCGTCTCCAGGGACGTGAGTTGAGACGCGTATCTTGCGCGTCGGCTCGTTCGGATCAAGGGCGACTTCGAAGTCAGAATCCATTGACTCCGGGCGAGGCTCTTCTGCCCTTGTGTCCACGATGTTGGTCTGTCGGACTTCTCCTAGCTTTGGGGCTTCCCACGTTGTCCCGCGTGCTTCGTCGTTCCCCTCCTTAGTGGGGAATTTGAGTTTCTGATGACATGTTGACGGGAGAGCCATGAATTTTGCCAAGAGCGGGCGGCCAAAAATGCCATTGTGGTGGGATTTGCAGTCGACTATCATGAACTCGACTTGCTTCGAGACGCGTGGCTCTTGGTCCCCGAGCACGACTGGAAGAGTGACCACTCCGATAACTGGGACCCTCGTGCCGGAGAAACCGACTAAGTTCCCATAGGCGGGCTTGATTAGCCGCGGATTGATGTCCATCTGGTCGACCGTGCTTTTGAAAAGGATATCCGTCGCGCTGCCCCCATCTATCAGCAGGCGGCGAACTTTGCAGGCGGCGACGAGCGCGGTGATGATGAGTGGGTCCTCTGACGGGACTCCTCCGGGGAGTTCGGCGTCATCGAAGCTCAAGTTGCACTTCTGTGGAGCTTCTGCCGTCGCGCACTCTATGGCGCGATCGCGCTTCGTCTTTTTCTTTGGGCGGTCTCCCTCTATAGTCACCACCCCAATTTCTTTTCGCACTACATACGAGCCCGAGGCGTCGTCGTAGTCAGACTGTGGCGGAGGTGGGGGTTCCACAGGACGCTCCACCGGTTCATCCGCTCCGCGAACGAACTCCTTCAGGAGTCCCCTCTGTATGAGGCCCTCGATCTCATACCGCAGCTCTCTGCAGTTTTCTGTCCAGTGACCCGTGTCCCTGTGGAAGTCGCAGCGCTTCTTGGGGTCTCGCATGTGCGGGAGGGTATTCATTGGGGTAGGCCAGTTGATTTTGTACCCCTTCTCTCGCAGAACGTGGTATACGTTCTTAACCGTGTCGTTGAGGGGTGTATGGTTTGGCGGGCGCCTATCTGGCGACCGCCCCCGATGGGCTTGTTCCGGAGGAGGTGGTGGACGTCTGGCGCCGCTGTGCGCTTGTAACAACTAGTCTCGCAGCACAGGAAGCTGCCTATGAGTTTGATCTTCTTTAGGCATTTTGGCGGGTTCGAAGCGTCTGATGGAACCCGCGCCCAGCGTTTCTTCCAAAGTGATGGCCTTTTCGATTTTGACCTCAAGCTCCGTAGACAGTGTGACTGGTCTCTTTGCTAGCGCTCTCTTGAGTTCCATGCTAGTGGTGGCGTCCATGAGGTGGTGGGCGGCGGTTTCTGGGGTGAGATCTCTTACGGCCATTGCCACCCTGGACCACCTGGCGTAGAACGCACGCAAGCTTTCTCCCTCCTTCTGGCGGATGTCTATCAGTGCCTTGAGGTGGAGAGGCCTTCTTTTTTGCGACGCGAACTTCGTTGTGAACAGGAGTATGAACTCTTCGAAAGAGTGAATGATTCCATTGGGGAGGCGGTTGTACCAGTCGAGGCATATCCTAGCAAAGGTTGATGGGAACGTTCGGCACAGTGCCGCGTTAGAGTTGGTTTGGAGTTGCATCCGTAGGCAGAAGGTGCTGACGTGATCCTCAGGGTCGGTTGTACCGTTGTATGTGGGGAGGGTGGGTGGTGTTCCGCTCAAGTGTTCCGCCATGATCTCCGCGCACAATGGTTGATGTAAGGCTTTTCTAGGCGGATTGGGGCGGAACTGCGGGGACAGGTGCTGCTCCAAAAAGCTGAGGTCCGCTCTTCCGGGCGGTTCGTATTGTTGGGCTTCAGGCGTGGTCAACTCGACCGCTGCCTGACGTGGTGGCGGGACATCGGCTGACGTCCCTCCTCGCGTTAGCTGTAACGCGTCAGACGACGCACTCGGCGCAGCTTCCCTGCTCATCATGAGCGAAATAACTTGGCTCATCTGTTTTTGCATATCGGCGATGACGTCATTTTGCTTTGCCACCAGCTGCCTCATCTCCTTGGCCGTCAAATTCGGGCTCTTCCTCCTCGATGAGCACCGCATCGCGGTTGCTGGCTTCCGCGAGTCCTGCGAACACTCTGGGGTCCGTCATTGCCTTGATGGGGTTTACCTCGCCGGGTATGTTGGAGTTTTGTTCTGCCATTTTTTCTTCAGGCCCCACGGTGGGCGCCAATTGTTTGAACCTAACTGAGTGTAGGAGTGAGGTTCACTAGAATGGGTCGAGAAGAATGAACGGCTTGGTTGAACAAGAACTTTGAGACAAATGAGAGGGAAGATAGAATTGAGAGAGAGTGTCTTTAGTGAGAGAAAGTGATGATCTTAGAGATAGAGTCCGAAAAATCCGATCCCCTCACCCACCGGAGTAAATGCCATATTTATAGGCTACATGGTGGTGGGTGAGTGGTTGGGTTACAAGTGGGTACACTGATGTGACCCCTGACATGCCAGAGGTCTAAGCCATACTTTTAGGACCCTGATGTGACTACTTCTGACATAGGCAGGACTATACCTAGGACTATGATAGTGACTCCTCTTTGGGTGATGTGGCGCCGCTTCTGCGACTTCTCGATAAGGGACCCCGCCTGGGTAACGCGCCGTGACGCGCCGTCGTTTAGTGGTCCCGGCAAGACTTGCGCGCTCGGCTCCGGCGTGACTCACTCGCTCGACTCCGATGTGCTCGCGCGCCTTGCCTTGGTGTGCTCGCGCGCCTTGCCTTGGTGTGCTCGCGCGCCTTGCCTTGGGCGTTTCTTTAGCGGGGAGAGATCCGAGTCACATGCCCAACAGAACCCAATAGTAAAACCGTTCTCTTCTCCACTATGCCAAGTATCGACATGAAATCTCAATAATAATAATAATAATAATAATAATAATAATAATAAGATGCGATCATACCAACACTGATGCACTAAACTTCAACAGAACTTTTAAGCTAAACGTGTTAAAAGTATTAAGATGAGTAACGATTTGGAAAATCCTCCTATTTGCACCCATTTTATTCCCACTATGATCATACAATAATCTCAATACTAATGAAAAAAAACACCGTATGAATTTCATTAATCATACATGATTCTTTGATTTTTTTTTTTTTTTTGTACATTATATATGTGACCGAATCAACTTTGCGGAATGCTAACAAAATCAGTGGTTGACTTAACTAACCCACTTAGTTAATTGAAATTATTATATTGACCGGCTCTAAATTGTATTATTCTTATTAGTTGCTCAAATGTGCTGGACTGCTGGTGTCTTCCTCCTCCCCCCATTTTTTCTTTTTCTTTTTCTGCAGCACTAAAAAAGAATACGGCTTTCGATGAGTGATCAAAGCATTGATTGTCGTTTAAGCAGTGGTTAATGTATCGACTTCGGAGTATGTTCAACGGAAAGCGTTGAGCACATAACAAAGCAAGTGTGGAATCTGCGTATAGGAGAAATCCATGGAAAATGAATAAGTTCCAGCTGCAAAATGGGGTTTGATTTAAACTTACTCACTTACGGGATAAAGGCAGGCTATTTATTTCAATAAGACAATCACGTAAAACGGGAGAAAAATATATATTAAAGAAAATAACAAATTTTTTAACACAAAATCGCTCTTATTAATGAAAAAAATATTCAGATACAAAGAAGTTACGTAGTTGAAAACAATCAAGATTAAGAATTGAATACTACAATCAAATAGAGTTTTTTCTGTTTTGTCACTAAATGGGCAACAATTATTAAGCTGCCCCCTCTTGAACCTTCCCGAGCACCACCTGCAAAAATCATGGAAAAACATTAGTTACTCATGATTTCAGCAAACATATGATATGTTCGAAGCTAAATAATTGAGGCACTAAATTCACTTGAATAAAGTTTTGTATTCGAATTCATTCTCTTGGATCCTATAAATATACGATTTATTATTGCATATTATTTTTACGTTTATACCAATAATTAAATGGATGTACACGAGTTGCTTACAACATCTATCTATTGTTGATTCCGAGATTTAAAAAGAGAGACAAAAAATGGACATTTTACAAAGAATAGAACGTGATCACGAAGATCGAATAATTTAATCACTAAATGAAATCAAACTTTTTCTGTTAATTTGATACCTGATTCTTATTGTTGGACTACGGATGCAAGAATTTTCGAGTTTGTCCAAATATATATATATATATTTTCTTCTAAAACAAGTACTCTCTTCCCGTGAATGAATCTCCTAGGCCAAACGGCAGTAAATTCTTAAATCCAAATGAAAGGAACAACTAATGAATCAACATAAACAAAATTGCTATTTCTTAAGCTTAAAACCGTTAATAAAAATGGTATCAAATGCCAGCCTCCAATCTTCCACAAATACCTGTGGATTGACATTTCAATTCTCTATACAATATGTCATAATACGAGAGTTGCTTAGATTTTCGACATCTACTTATTTTACCGATAAATCTTGTCCTCTACATAGAAGATGTAATAAATTTACTTTTATTTATATTATCAACTCAACTAACTCATCAAATTATCAAATAAATCTCTCATCATTCTTAATATAATGATAATAATTTACAAATTTCTAGACAACCAGACTAGAGGGGTTCCCATGGGACTAAAGAAGATGTAGTCACCTCGAGCCAAGAATGCTGCTTCATTTTTTTTATTTGTGTGTTCATAGAAGAAGAGAGGAACAATGAGAAAAAAATGCTCACGAATTCAGGGTTTTGATAAATTGGGCAACTTAGGGAGTTTATTCATTATTGATGTATGAATACGTTTAATGGTTTAAGTTGTAAAATGTGCTTATGATGTAATGGATTCCATCTTCTTATATTACTACAAAATCAAAGGTTCAAAATTTAGGAATTGTCCCTTCTTTTCCTCTCCCAAATTTACTATCCACAGGTTAATAATTTTTCTTCCAAAATTTAGGAATTTGACGCAACACCCCTAAATCTTCATATGTCAGCCCCCTGTATTCAATATCTACTGTATGTTTGGTATATTGTGGTTAAAGGAAGGAATTGTGATACAAATATGTTTGCCTCTAAAAATTTATACCGCTATCGAGTAAAATTGCGTGGTGTGATAGAAAGTAAATATATTTGCCTTTTAAAAAAATTGAAAACAAATAGTCGGATTAAAAAAAATCAGAAAATTACTGTAGAAACTTACAAAACTTTGAATAAGTGCTGTTATATTATAGAATAACCTTCATCGTTGGATTAAAAAACGTGTAGTAAGAGAAACGGTAGCAAATTTATTTACTATTCTTACTAGCAATTTACATCAGTATATTTAACTGATAGGCAAGGTATAATTATATCACCGGCTATGTTTTTACATGAGAACACATATATTTGTATTCATTATAATATAATTTAACAATGACATCATCTGACTCAAATTATCGAAAACCAATAAATACAAGATTAAAAAAAAAAGGTACTATCACGCGTACAATTTAATTTTTTGAAATTCAGACTCAACCTTTATTTTCCCCCTTTTATTACATGAAAGGTACATGCACTGAAAAAAAAAATACTAGACTTTTATATAACTTCATTAACTTGTTTTCTGGGCAAGAAAAATAGCTTTATATATTATTTTTCCAATATATATATATATGACCAAAGCAAAAGCCCAGCCCATAAGTAACGAACGAGGGAGGAGGAGACCAAGTACCACAATCTCCGTAGAAGTCCACTGAAAAACTGCCACCTCACCCCTTTCTCTCTCTCTCTGAAACTTCTTCCTTTTTTTAACTCCCTCACTCAGTCTTCCATCTCCCCTCTCTTCTCTCCCAAAAGGCCAAAACCCCTCTTCTCTCCCGCTCCGCCACTTACCAAATCAAGATCTGAGTCCTCCTCCTCCTCATCCTTCCGCCACCGCCGACCACCACAACCGACCAGCAGCAATGGGGAAAGGCGGATCTCTGAGCGACTCCGTCCTCAAAAAAATCCTCCTCTCCTACACCTACGTCGCAATCTGGATCTTCCTATCCTTCACCGTCATCGTCTACAACAAGTACATCCTCGACAAGAAGATGTACAATTGGCCCTACCCGATCTCGCTAACCATGATCCACATGTCCTTCTGCGCCTCCCTCGCCTTCGTCCTCATCAAGGTCTTCAAGGTCGTCGAGCCGGTGTCAATGTCGCGGGAGATGTACCTCTCCTCCGTGGTCCCAATCGGGGCGCTCTACTCGCTCTCCCTCTGGCTGTCCAATTCCGCCTACATCTACCTCTCCGTCTCCTTCATCCAGATGCTCAAGGCCCTGATGCCGGTCGCCGTCTACTCCATCGGGGTCGCGCTCAAGCGGGAGAGCTTCAAGACCGACACCATGGCCAACATGCTCTCGATCTCCGTCGGCGTCGCGATTGCCGCGTACGGCGAGGCGAGGTTCGACGTCTGGGGGGTGATGCTGCAGCTCGGAGCGGTCGCGTTCGAGGCCACGCGATTGGTATTGATTCAGATCTTGTTGACTTCTAAAGGGATTACCCTGAATCCGATTACTTCTTTGTACTATGTTGCCCCTTGCTGCCTGGTTTTCCTGTTTATCCCTTGGATCTTCGTCGAGTACCCTGTTCTCAGGGAGACGTCGAGCTTCCATTTCGATTTCGTGGTGTTTGGGACCAATTCGTTCTGTGCTTTTGCCCTGAATCTCGCCGTGTTCCTGCTCGTGGGCAAGACGTCGGCGTTGACCATGAATGTTGCCGGGGTTGTCAAGGATTGGCTGTTGATTGCCTTCTCGTGGTCGGTGATCAAGGATACCGTGACCCCGATCAATTTAGTTGGCTACGGGCTTGCATTTTTGGGGGTTGCGTATTACAACCATGCCAAATTGCAGGCATTGAAGGCTAAGGAGGCACAGAAGAAGACCCAGCTGCCAGATGATGAAGAGCAAGGAAGGTTGTTGGAAGAGAGGGAGGGTGAAGGCAATGGCAAGAGAAGTGAATCACAGAACTAATAATCTCGCTCGTCTACTTTTGAGTTTTAGTTTCCGGTCTTAAATATTCGAGATCTACGAGAAAAAAAGACAAAAAATTTAGTTGATTGGAAGGTGGGGGAAGGAAGAATACGGCAATAAGAGCAAAAGGGTGACTGAAACTGAGGTTGAGGAGGAATTTGGAATTGTAAAGGTTAGGGCTTTGGCTGGGCTTTGAGGTCTGGTCTGCCAATGGCCTTTTGAGGCAGTGAGAGTGGGGCAGAGAGAAGAGGAAGAAATGGAGCTGTCTGTCTGGCTTTGTGCCATTTACCTCAGTTTCCTTTTGCTCATTTCGGTAATGTTCAATTTCTCTTGTTTAGGGTTTACGTTGTTGCTCTTTGTTCGCGTTAGTTTATCGCATGGATGTCTCTTTAGTTCTTATGCATTTAGAGGGGATCTGAGATTCCAGCAGCAGAGGAGTCTTGAATTCCCATTTCTTTTTCATGTTTTGTTCGTTGTGCTTTTTGTCCTTTGAATGTTGCTCTTGTTAATGTAGGAAGACAGACAGCTTCTATTTATGAAGATGCATATCAATCTTTTGATTAGTACTTGTTTCTCCATACAATTAGTCTCTTTTTTTCACCTTCTTCTCTTGCAATTCAATTGAGGTTTCCAATCGAATCGAAAGAGTCGAAGATGTCATTGGGGTTTATCAGTACCGAATCTTTCAATTTCCAGTCCTTGTTGGAGATGGATTGAGTTGTTGCTATGGTGGAGTGTCTTCATCCCTGATTACGATTGAACTGAAACTGAACCCTCGTAATGTATTGCTTTACTTGTGAAACTGGTATGGCCTTTAATGAGGTCTTGTGCATTTCGAGCTGGTGATCCTTGTTAGGGACGTTTTCTTTAGGATCTGCATTTAAGGCTGCTTGTGAGTTGTGATCAGCATTTAAGGCTTACTGCCGGGGGGTTGGTTTTTTCCTGTTTTTGTGTGTGTTTCTTAGATCCTTTCTCACTGGTAACTTCCCTTATGCATGTGCTCCTTGCCATCCCAAACCTACTACCAAGCTCGAATCACAATTTCGGCTTTGGGTTCGTCGAACCTTGAGACTAATGATCATTAAGAATACGAAACTTTCGATCATTATCTTTGTCTCATTTTTCGTATCAACGGGAGCGATTGTGAGATATTCAATCAGGCCACATTTGGAGATGTTACATTCCATAGATTCTCCCTTTTGGCTGTCAAACCTTGTGATGATTACTACTCAGAGAAACTGCTGTTAGTAACCATCACCAACTGGATCTCAGATAGAGTAGTGTACCATTGTAGCATTGTCACCCTTTGTTTGGTAATGTAGGCCTTTTGCTGGAAAGGGACTTAATGGGGTGTCATAACTCATAGCTCGGTTAAAGTTTGCCTTTCATGAAAAGTTGTAGCTTGCAAGAAAGAAAGCATGCATGAAGGTTCTTTCTTGCTACCCAGAACGTTACCTTATGGAAAGAGACACCTTTGCTTGGTTTGCCTGAATAGCAGAAACAACACTCACGATTTCCTTCCCGCATTTCTTCTGCTGAATTTGTGCTCTATAGAGGGCTTTGCTTCGGCCCTTGTCTTCTGGTTTTTGACTTTTTTTTCTTTGTAAATTGGACAGTTCCTGTAGCCGTTGGATTAGTTTACAATTTTATATTAAAGTGTGTTTATCAGAGTCTGTAATAGATCGATAGATTATTTGGGCGGGGAAGCATAGTCCCGTCAACGACGTGTGTCGGTGGGATTTCTCCACATAAATGAACCGAATTTTGTTGGTTTTTTGTCACAATAAACTATTTCACCGAACTTTGACCTACCTTACCCCACCGCTAGATGGATTCGAGGAGCATTTCAGGAAGATAAAAATCAGAGGGATCGGAGCAACTTCTTCAAGTTATCCACGACTGCTATTGTTAGAGCCACCGATAAAAATCAGAGGGATCGGAGCAACTTCTTCAAGCTATCCACGACTGCTATTGTTAGAGCCACCGATAAAAATCAGAGGGATCGCGCGGTGGCTCTAACAATAGCAGTCGTGGATAACTTGAAGAAGTTGCTCCGATCCCTCTGATTTTTATCTTCCTGAAATGCTCCTCGAAGCCGGCGGCATCGGAGAAGTCTCTAGCTGCCATCGTCTTTGCTGGACAAAATGGGGTTGGATTTTACTTAAAAACAACATTTTTATGTGCCCAATTAGCTTGGCCGACCCTCAGTTCCCAGAAAAGGGAAAACAAACAACAATGGGAAAAGAGAGAGGCCAACATCAATGACCTTTGAGATTCATCGAGTTCTCAGCATTTGTCAACTTTGTAACTGTCTAAACATATCCTCCCTTTTGCTTAAAATAACTAATCTCCTCTTTGCTAAAGTACAAAGCAAATAGTTAAGAAGTTCATCATTCATGAATACAATTTTGTCCTTGCTTCAAATTTCTTTCTTTCTTCTTTCTCATTGTTTAATGTGGTAGTGTTAGTCCGACCAGTTTGATTCGATTTAACACTAATCTACTTCATTACTTATCTAATTGACAGTGTGGCACCAAACAATGGATCTTGCATCCGCCCCGTTCTGCCTGGGGTTATACCCTGTTTTTATCAAAATTCTTCTTGAAAATTACCTCGTATTTATATTATTTTAATTTTGATTCATTCATAAATAATGCAGTTACTACTTATTGCAATCCTTCACGAGATTAAGCGGTGTTCTTGTTAATGCATTATCTACATTTTTTTTTTCTTCTTCTTTCTCTAGTAAGTCTTATCTTGTTTTTTATTCTCGCACATTGTTCGAATGAATATTATTAAACTTGATCCGTATCGAGTCAAGATACCCACCCATTCACCCATCATTGATCCCTTCCCACTGTCATTGTCCAAATTATTGGTGAGGGATTCACAAATGCGTATTCCAATTCTACCAATAAAACCATTAATCATGTCACCCATTTTGTTCCTGAATTGGATAGATGATTTCGCATAGGCCCATCCATCCTTTGGTGACTATTTACTTACTTGGTGAGCTGTGACAAAACTGAAAGTGGTGCAGCTCACCTACTCCAGTGAAAGCGCCCCATGTCTCAATTATGAACAAGTAATTCGTCGTCCTTCAAAGTTCAAAGCTTTTGCTTTCAGGAAAAAGGAAAACACAGCGTCCACTGCTGTGTCTTATTATTCAAGCACGATGGTCATTTTGGCATTGAACTTGATATGTGACTAATAGAACAGTAGCTGACCCTTGATAGTTGGTAGGGTCTTTTTCAACCAAAATAATAAACAACAAAATCAACTAAAACGGTGGTCATTGAATTTCTCATAACCATCGTTTGGCTGTTGTACTCCTTTTACATCTTTTAATCTTGTTCACAGATGGGCTAGTTAGGTTAGGCTATTGAGAAAAAGGATGAGCGTACTTTTTGTTCAATATTAAATGTTGCGTATGGTTCGAAAGAGGTATGATTTTAGATCAAATGGTAGACTAAATTCACCCTTGAATCGACATTTTTAGCTGCTAGTAGTAAACACAATGAACTCGTTCCATATCAAACTATATTCAACGATTCTATTCTAAACCAAATATCAACTCTATCTTAGCGTAGATGTATGAGCCTGCTGAGGAATTACTCAGCAATTTAACTAGCCTGTACCAGGATTGGGGAACTGGTTCTTTCCTTTTTTGATGAACCAATTTGTTGACAACAATTAGAAGATGTATTGCATACCAAGAAATGAAAATCTCAACTACAAGTAGTGTGGGACAACTTTATGAATCTCGTTCTCCAATTCAATCTGACTTCTTCCAGGGATCTTCTTCATACCCTTCATCTCCATCGCCTCTCTAACACTTATCTTCTTCTCCCAATCAGACATTTTAGCATAAATATCCGAGAGCAGCACATAATTGGACTCATACAACGGATCATTCCTTATCAGTTGCGCGCTGATCTCCTCGCCGAGCTTCAGCTCCCCGTGGGCGCGACAGGCATTGATCAAAGTACGCCCAATGATGGGGTTAGGCTCAATAGGCATCTCCTGAACGAACTCAAACGCCTCTTTAACAAGACCTGCCCTGCATAACATATCCACAATGCATCCATAATGCTCGATCTTGGGTTCAATCTCATACCTTGCTCTCATTGATTGAAAATACCCTCTTCCCTGTTCTACCAAGCCCGAGTGAGTGCACGCAGAGAGCAAGGCAATGAACACAACACCGTCTGGTGCTACACCGCTTCCTACCATCTCCTCGAATAGAGCAACAGCCTCTGTCCCTCGACCATGCATTGCTAGACCAACGATGACTGAGGTCCAGGAGATTATACTTCTTTTCTCATCCATGCTCCTGAAGAGCACAATGGCTTTATCGACATCACCACACTTGGCAAACATGTCGATCAATGCGTTGTAGAGCTCGGTGTTCTTTTGGATCATCTCTTCTTCGATACAAGACTCAACCCATATGCCTAGTTCAAGAGAGCCCAAGTCTGTGCACGCTGAGAGAACCGCAACCATGGTGATCTCATCAGGGCGAACTCGATGACTCTGCATTTCCCTAAACAATTGGACTGCATCTGCAGACATCTTTAACCGAGCGTATCCACCGATCATTGCACTCCAAGTAACACAATCCCACTTGGGCATTTCATCGAACACTTTGCGAGCAGAGTCGATCCCGTGTGTATCACAACAGTACATGTGAACCAACGTGTTCTGAACATGGATGTCATCATCAAACCCGAATTTCAACACCGACCCATGAACCGATTTCCCCAAGTTCAAGTCCTGAATCGCCGCGCAGGCCTTGAGAACAAACGGGTACGTGTATTTATTGGGGAAAACACCATACTCGAACATGAGGCTGTAAATATGTATAGCTCTGGCTTTCGAATCAATGCTGCCCCGAGCGTAGCCTCTGATGACGGTGTTGAAGAGGAAAGCATCGTAGAGACGGGTATCTGATTCCGGGGAGAACAAGAAAGATGAAGCGTAATCGATGGCTTTCAGATCAGCGGAAGTACCGGCAAACTTGGTGAGAACCAGGGGATTGTTATTGAGGCCGAATTTGAGAAGGCGGGCTTGAACTTGACTTAATTTTGAGAAAGAATCGCAGGCCTGAAGCAGCGCCAGACAGCTCTGCTCCGCTTCCCTCTCGTTCCCGACGATTCTGCCGGCCGCCGGCGCCGCCCAATTAGAGATGTTCACCGCCCGGAAAAGTCGCAGTCTAGTTGCGCCGACCTCGACTAGCATTTGATTAACAAACAGTAACCGCTAAATCACAAGTGGCGCCTTGAGCCTGAAAGTTAAGCTATTTCACAAATGAGCAGAAACGGCACCGTTGTACTATTTACGATGCCGTTTCGAGTGAACTTCTTTTAAAAAGTTGAACCAACGGCTATATTTGATCCACGTCAGTCTAGTATCGACGGGACCATTCGTCAACGTGGCCGCCAAATCGTCGGCCACGTCGGTAGTCTCAGAGCTGTTCGTAAACATGGTAGTTGCAGAGAAAGAGCAGAAGAAGAGGGAAGAAGGGAAAGCAGGTAGTTTGGGCAGGTTGTTTTTCGGGTCGGGTTGGATAGCTCCCAATTCTTCGAAGGGAAATGATGAGGAGAATCTATTCAATTTCGCATTTAGGGTTCTTCGTTCCCCGGAAAACAATATACAGAACTTTTCGGTTCAATGCGCGGGGTTACTGCGATCCTTCTGGCCTTGCTTCGCCCAAAACTCAAGGTGTTTTTCTTTTTTGACTAGGCGATACGTTAGGGCAAATAGTGATTGGCGAACTAACGATCTCAATTGGGTTGCAGGGCCATTGGCGCGGTACAGGGATTTGGTTGGGGAAGGCAAGCTGCGGCATGATCCGTATCAGGAGAGAGTTGCAATTGAATTGGAAAAGCTACTCGGAAGACTGGAGCAGTATGAGAGAGAAATGGAGGAGTATCACGTAATGGAGCTTTTGTTGAATTTCGATTTTTCCCGGATGGAGATTTGTATGGCGAATTGATTGTTCTGGAATCTCTTCTCCGTGGTCGCTTTTGCAGGAAAAGCTAGCCAATTGGGAGGCGGAGAGGGAGCATGAGAGGCGGAAGCTTATGATGGATGAAGCCGAGAGAAAGCAGCAGGGGGGCAATCAGTCCAGCAAACTTGTTGAAAGATGGGTGTTCAGGTGAGACAAATGTGTGTTTCCTGCTTTCTGATGTAGATGAACCTTAGAAGCTAAGTTTAATCTCCTATTCATGCTGTATAATTAGAATGATTTGAATTGATGTTGGTTGATTTTGTCTGTAAAATGATGTTAATTTGACAGTAAGATGTAATCTTTGGTCTGTAACCGTGTGTTAGCCTTAACTGTTTTGTCTCACTTTGCATGTATTGTCACTTTGACAGCAAGTTGGATCTCAAAATAGAGAAGTGGTAGGGCTGATTTCGGCATTTCATTTGTTCTGGACAAGAATGTTTACATTTGGATCTTATTGATCTTGTTCATTTTCCCATTTCCTTGCATTTTCTTTTCCACTCAGAAAGAGACCTGAAAATCTGGAGCCTGGAGTAGGCAAATGGGTTTCTTACCTAAACAGAGAGAGGAAGCTTGATTCGCTTGTTGGTAGCCGTCCTACTGGTCCTGCAGCACCAAAAGGACTGTATATATATGGGAATGTTGGAAGTGGTATGTTGTTAACTTACTGATGTAGCACTGTAAGACTGTTTTTATGAGATTGGGATGACAAAATTTTGAATTATGCTTCCTTTTGTATTAATGAGAGTGTAAGGTATACAATAAACAGTCCTGTGCCCCCTTAGTTCTTACATGCTAGAAAGTTGATCACTTGGGATTTTCAATTGCTAGAAAGTTTTATGTCCAGACTTTTTCCTTGATTCATATATTCTTTCCACTTGCGGCTCCTCAGACTGAAGGAATTGCTTTGGATACTGCAGGGAAGACAATGCTGATGGATATGTTTTATGGTGCCACAGTAGGACTAGTCAGACATCGGAGAAGATTTCACTTTCATGAGGTGACGAATGTTACATTGTTCTGGAAAAACATTTGCTTTATTGTCGCATCTTACCCAATGTTAGTTGTGCATACAGGTGTAGTTCTTCTTGTCAGTGAGGGACTGCCAATCTGATAAAGGAGTGATTGTTCTCTGCAGGCAATGCTGAATATAAATGAGCATATGCATAATATATGGAAGAATCAAGTGGAGGAGAAACCTTTCCACTCAAGCATATCTAGTTGGATTATGAATCTTCCCTTTGATATGAAAGTTAAGGAGTGGTTAGCTGCAGAAGAAAAATATAATCGAGAGTTGCATATGAAACACATTCTTCCTGCTGTAGCGGACAAGTTCCTTATAGACCAGCAAACAGGTCAAAGAGGGGCTAGTGTTCTTTGCTTTGATGAGATACAGGTAGATGAAAGAGTACTCCTCTTGTGATATCTTTATATGACCATTCATTCCGATTTGTTAGTTTAGCATCTACGTCCTACGATCTTAGTTCAAGGCTACTCTACTGTGGGTAGTTGTGGGTTGAATTCCTTCAATACTTGAAGCTGATACCCAATGCAATTCGCTTGACTTACGCTTCCTATTGTTGTGTGACAGACGGTTGATGTGTTCGCTATTGTGGCCTTATCTGGAATTCTGGGAAGATTGTTAGCTTCAGGGACTGTTCTTGTTGCGACCAGTAATCGAGCGCCAAAGGATTTAAATCAGGTGTTTTTTCCTCTTCAGATGAATTTATTGTTGAATGGGGTTGTATATATATTTCATTAAGAAGTGATGAAGGATCTGCTCTTGCTTTTGCCTTTAATACGTGCCTCCAATCTTCACTGTTCATAAGCACGTCAAATGCCACTCGGCTATTTCTAACAGTGATATGCTTTTATTGCATTCATAGGATGGCATGCAAAAGGAAATTTTCCAGAAATTACTTTCAAAAATTGAAGAGCATTGTGAGATAGTATTGATTGGAAGTGAGATTGATTACCGCCGTTTTGCAGCCCAGAGATGTGAGCATCAGGTGATGTTATAATATAGGTCATTTCTTTGGAAGTCAAGGTACTCTTATAAAGATGATTCCTGACTTGTAATACATTTCTATTCAAAGTTAAGTGTGCAACTTCCGGTTTTGCTTTGACGTTTGATATGCTCTGCTTGGAGTAACTGAAATTTATCGAGTCTTCTTTCATGCTTTTAGATGGCCATTCTTAAAAGATGTGTTTACTATAGCTCCTGTGAACTTGTGAACTTTGGCCTTCATCTTGATGGCTTAGTTTTCAATCTTAAAGTCCTTGTCCAGTTAATGAAACAAGAAATGTTCAGGGGGTAATTCTTAGTGTTGAAGTTATATTAGCACATGTATGCAGGTTCGCTATTTCTGGCCTCTGGAAAGCAATATTGTGAATGAGTATGAAAATCTGTGGTGTCAGCTGACCAACCAACTGGGGGGTCGAATCACCTCTGAAACCATCCCTGTTATGTTTGGAAGGTACTTCTTAAGTTCCAAAACCTCCATTCCACATAATTGCTTCATACGTTCATTTGAATACTCACATTCACTCTGAATACAGAAAACTGGATGTCCCTGAAAGCTGCAAAGGAGTTGCAAGGTTCTCATTTGAGTATCTATGTGGTCGGCCGGTATTAACTCTTACAACTCTAAACCCTTTTTAACTTCTTTTTTTGTTGTTTCCTTTAAAACTGAAATTCTTATAGAGGGAAGTTCAATAATCACAGCAGATGGCATTTGAGCCTGAAATACACTTTTCTGAAATTCCTCTGCCTAAGGCTATCAGTTGAGATCTGTAGAGTTGGTCTCTAAATTCTTGATTTGTAGAAACTGAAGCTAATCATCTTTTGTATACCTTTCAGGGCAGCAAGATATTCGAGCTCTGTAATGCTTCTTTTGTTTTGAATTTTGAGGCTTTGATAGTTATTGCTAAAAGCTCATAACTGTTTTCCTCCTCTTCTAGTGTGACTTACCATATTGTGAATATTTTCAGTTGGGCGCAGCAGATTATATCGCTGTAGCAAAACATTATCATACTGTTTTCATCTCAGATATCCCAGTGATGAGTATGAGAATCCGTGACAAGGTAACCATTACCAGGAGTTAAGGAACGTACTATCATTATTTCCTCTCAATATCTTAGGAGATTGTTTGGTGATAAAATTGTATTAACGTTTTCTGGGACATCATCAATCAAACAGTAGGTGGAGCAATACAATATATGTTGAAACTTCTTAACGCACACCGTTAATGAACTTATGTTGTGATTTTCCAGGCACGTAGATTTATCACCCTGGTAGATGAGTTATACAACCATCATTGCTGTATGGTGTGTCATGCAGCATCTGCTATTGATGACTTGTTCCAAGGAACTGAAGAGGGTACCCTCTTTGATCTGGAGAGGTAACAGTCCCCTGTTTATTAGGCTACCCTGAAAGGTGGTCTTAACTTATTGTCCATCATACGATGCACGATCTTGTATCAATACTTACGTTGTTTTGCATCCAGTTTTCAATTTGAAACAGAGATAGAAGGTAGCAAACTTCGTAGAGATGTTTTAGCCGAGGGAAAAGTGAGCTCTGCAGGTGCACCAACTGGAATCATTTCCATGCTATCCGGTCATGAAGAAGGCTTTGCTTTCCGTAGAGCCGTAAGTAGTTCTCCCAATATATCTCTTTGCTCTGTCTGCTTCTTACTTCTTAGTCAAGAATGGGTCTTTTGTCAGTATTTAGACGGGTAGCTTAAAGCTGGTTGGACTTACGAATCCCATTTATGGAAAGATTTGCATCACACGCTATTGTTTTTTTTGTAGGTTTCTCGCCTAATTGAGATGCAGACGCCTTTATACCTGGAAGGAGTAAGGGCACTTCACCCTTACTTCCAGCTCCAGAGTCATGTTGCTCACAGATCAAGTCCAAGTTCCGGCACTTTACGATCTCAAGTTTCTCCATAACCGACGGGCTGGCTGAGAAGCATAGTAACCGGTAAATTCATTCTGTTGTAGCTCTTCTACTACATAGCAGCTAATACAGCTTATGGAGGCATCCATTTATTCGATTTGTTGTAAGATAAACTTAGAGGGATCAGCCAATATGGCCAAAACATGGGACATACTCTACAGAACAACAGGTATAGCTGACAGGCAAGTGAATAAGTGATATCATCCTATTCATAAACTCATTGATCAAGATGAAGATTCCTATTTTTTCCCCTTCAGTTATTGTCAATAAATTTCGTCATCAAGGTGAAATCTTGTTTGGTAATGGAATTGAATATTTCCACCACATATGCTGTTGTAGAGATCATGTGCACTAGCTAAGTGAAGGCTTTTCGAATCCACCATAAAATCCCTTTTTGAACTTGACTATGATAAGTTGGTAAGTAGATCATTATGCTGAGTAATGCCAAATCAGCGGCGGCTCGGCCTCTATCTTTAGTGTTAAGTGGAGAAATGGATATAAGCAACTAAGCATATCATCATAGATATGGCTCCTATGCTTTGTACTTAAGCTCCCCAACTTTAATTTGACATTAGTCGTTGACCTGGTTTTGGTAATATATATATGCACGCCGGCGGCGCATAATTATTAGCCGCATCTGGGTTTTGCACTTTGTGGTTGACCACATGGCCGGCGTCCCATATGGATACGCACTGGATTTGGTGGCCGGAGATCGGTAGTAGTGAGGTGGTGATGCATGCAATTACCATACCGGCAGCCACGCTGATAAACGTGGGCTGGGAAGAATCAACTGTGTATGCAGTAGATTCATCTCGAGAACCTTATCTTGCATATGCTGTTTTGAGCGTGAAGTTTCGTGTTTGATGAGTTTAGAGTGTTTTCAGCAGTCAAATCAAAAGATAAATACATGTAATTATTTATTAAAAACGCTTGTCATGGGTTAATTATGAATAATAAAAATATAATAATAAGTTGTTCGTGGTACATGTAACTGTATAGATACCATAAATATCATAGATACAATCACAACATTCAAAATGGTAATGCCATGAGTAGATACTAAATAGGCTATAATGTAGACAAGTGATAGACATATTGATGTTTTACTGGATGTTATTATGGTCCAATTGTTATTATCGTAAATGTAAAACATAGCGTTCATGGAAAGTATAACAACACTTGAATTACTGTCGTTCTAATTTAACTCGAGGACCATGATAATAAGTTGGTATACCATGCATTAGTGCGTTTTAGGGTTTGTGCATAGCACGAGGAATGTATTCCTAATTTTTTTTCTTTACTTGTTGATATTAAGATTTTAATCTAGAGTGTGGCAGATGTTCTAATCTCCACGTTAACGATAGTCAAATCCGCGCGGGTTTAATGTATTCCTAATTTCATTTGATTAAGTGCGCTAATCTCAATATATATAGCCAATGCCTAGCATAGGTTGCTAGTATATTATTGTCGTTGACTGATGTTTGAATATGTGATTAGATCGGCAGCTGGGTAAGTGGAGAAGTTGGTGCCGCATATTTCGGCATGCTAATTGCCATTCGACCGGACGTATTTTTTATTTCATCGAGAGCAGAGTCCGGCGTTGACCAGGGCATAGTATCCATCGCCGGGTGGCAACTCATGCAGTTTTCTGTTGTTCGGTTATGCTACTATAATCATAAATACCGATGCTTTTATTTAAATATATCTTTTATGATACAAATTAAATTTGTATTCTCATTACGTTACAAATTCAGTTTGTACCTATACATTTTCGCATAGAATTTGTTTATGGTACAAATTAAACTCGTAGCTCAATCTCATGAAACTAATTCAGTTCATATCTATACATTTTCATACAAATTTCTTTATGATATAAAACCGAACTTGTACTTTATTACATAAATTTAACTTCTACATTAAATGATAGCACACGTAGCATTATAAAATTCCTCATCAAATATCTTGTTAAGCATGTATATGGTTATGATAGCGAATGCCCATTTTATTGGAACCAAGAAGTTGGGTTTCCAATCGGCTGATTTCTTATTCTATTCTATTCTATCGTGTATTAAAGTCCACCATTGATATCTACCTAAAACACAACAATCATCTCTTGATACTCATTCTTCTTCGAGCTAGCATCAAAACAATTTACAATCATCCTATACGTTCCATCTCCTCTTTTTAACGTGACTGCTCCCGTCGATATCGCCACATCATCATCATCATCATGTCCTGCACAAGTATGATCATTCGTTAAAATTACGCAGTATAGTACATTGCCGAGATATTGAAAAAAGATAAGTCGATAAAAACACATACTGAGCATATTCGATGTTGATCTTGGCGTTTGGGTGGTGTGAGATGGCGTTGAAGGCGTCGTTGGAGAGCAAAAAGGTGGCAGGGCAAGGCGATTTTGGGCAGTAATCCACCACCTTGACGTCGATCATGGTGCCTTCTTTGCACGGCCGGTTGGCTCCGCTGAGGCACCGCATCCTGTACCGCCGGCCGCACGCCGCCCCGTTGTCCCACAGCCCTTCCCCCACCGCCACGAACATGTTCCCCGCCGGAAACTGGTCCTGCCTCCCACCGTTGCACCTCGTCGCTGCCAAAACCGTACGTACGCCGGGCGCCCTTAACGTGCATTAGTCACCGTCGATCGATATCGATACGAAGATAACAAATTGCAACCATTTTCGACAATTGAACGTAAATTTTTCCTTTCATACCACTATGGTTTCTCAAGGTATGAATATGTACGTTATAACCTAAAATCATAATTTCTGGGACTCCTCTTACTGAACTACACGTAGCTCTACCACGAGAGGGGAAAAAAAACGTAAAGAGAAGAGAGATATGACGATCACTCACGTAGATAAGGAGGGTTGTAAGAGGTGGCGGTGCCGAAGTCCGCCGCGACTAAGTCAGCAAGGTTGGACATTGCTACGCAACCCAAACACAGGAACATGGCGATTCCTCGTACGATGTTGTCATTAGCAACACACGACGCCATTGTAGGTTCTTTGGGTAGCTAGTTGAGGGAGATGGGATTCGATAGACAGATATTGTTAACGCAGAGAAATTAAACGTATATGCTTATATGATACGTTTCATTTAGGCATCAATAATGGTGGGTTTGTTTTGAAACAACGTATGGCCGGTTATGGCGTGTATTTATAGGCAAAACTAAAGACTGGTTTGCAAATTTGCACACGTCTTTTTCTTGATTAGCTTTGCTGTTGCTTTTTCGTTAATGGGGGGATTAGCTAGAAGTAGTGGTATGATCTTGTGTGCGGGGTTTTATCTTATTACGCTTATACGCATTAACGTTGAAGTTAAAGTTGTTAATTAAAAGCCACCCACCACTAATGGTGGTTTTATGCCCATCATCCATGGAGAGGAACGAACGTATTAAAAGCTTAATTAGCTTTCCACCAATGCTGATTTAAGGTATCCGCACGTTTAATCCAAGGCTGACAAACAACCGCATGTTTGCAAATTCTAATTAACAACATATTCGTTTGTTCTATTGGATTGGTTGGTGGTGTTGCAGGGAATCTATGGTGTAAAGTTGGATATGTTCTTAAATAACAGTTAGTTGTTGTACGGTCATTTAGTTTGTTTCCTAGAATATAGCTTAGCTATGCATAATTCAGCATTGCTTTTATTTTAGATGTGTATATATAGTGCAAATGGAAACTTAACTTACCTAAGTTTTGCAAAGGGTGTATAACAAAGTTGTTGAAGGCCAAGTTACCTTGACGTTGCAGAATCCGAATGGAAATTGCCAGTTCGTTCCGTCTTGCTCCAGGCTAGTGATGGCAATGAGGGTAATACTTGTGCGAGTACGGGTCGGAACAGATCGATCCGTTAGTGTATTTTGGATATTTTTTTTATTTTAACGATAAAAAATGAAGGTAAAATTGCTCATAAATGAAAAATAGAGATAGTAGGTAGATTAATTAAGTTAAATTAGTTGAAAATAAAGTATTGCACTAAAGCAAAGTATCATTGGGTGATTATATACGATCTCCTATGGGTTAGTATCTATGAGATAATAAAAAATGTGAATGTTTGACATGTGATAAAAATTTCATTGCCCACTTGATAATTTCAACAAATTCCGTGTTTCTGAACTAACAAGATAGCTACAACCCTTAACTGTTTGATGAGACCTTTTCATCGAGTCTAGATTGAGGCAAAACTAATTAAACTATAACACGAGAAAAAAGTAATTGGTCCTTCATCATAAATGGTTGCACAAAGCCATGAACTGCTGATCAATGGATTCATTCCTAGGAGCAGCCAAAGAATCTCAGAGGTAGTGTTAATGAGCAACAGTGAGCGAGTCCATGTTAACACTCTTCTCTTATTGGGCCACCCCTTTGCAAATATTTCTTGGGCTTGCTTGGTTAATCAGCCCACCTTCCTTGCTTGCTCCCCAAATGAAATCATGATTTGGTCAATAAAAAGAAAAAGTTAATTGCACGGTTGGTCACTGAGTTTAATAAAAGGGTCATGTTTAGTCACTCGAAATATTTAATTCCAATGTTGGTCATTCAAATTAGTAAAACGATCCGTGTTTGGTCACTCTCCGTTAGTCTCCCTCTAACTCTGTTAATGAAGTCTGTTATGTGCTGATGTGACTAACAAAATCGTCTAGTCAACATTGTTTGACTTTCAAAATAATAAACTCAACTCGCCACATCATCACAACCCACCATGTCAACCTGCCCAACCCAACCATTGAACCTAATCCAACCCGACCCAACTCTCCATCTTCTTCCCTCAACCCTTCTCTGATAATCTCAACCAAATAACCAATAGCCTCCCCCAACCATTAATTGAAAGTTGAAACTCACCTCTTTCCGGGTTAATTCCACGAATATTGTTTTTTTTTAATTTACCACGAATATAGTGTTTTGAAAACTATTTACAAGAATATTGTGTTTTGATGGAGGGAAGGCAGCGACAGCGCCCGAAACTCAAAAAATTGAGTGTTGAAGGGAAAAGATAGCGACGGCGCCCGAGTCTCAAGCTTTGGCGCTAAAAATTTCAAATAGCGCCAAAGCTTGAGACTCGGGCGCCGTCGCTATCTTTTCCTTTTATTCTCTTATCCCCTATCCCCTTCCTCCCTGCCCTCTCGCACAGACCACCCACACCCCCCCCCCCCCCCCCCCCCGACCCTCCTCCTTCACCTCCTCCAACCCAGCGCCGACGCCAGAAGAAAGAGCGGCGACGCCGAGAAAAAGGGGGCACCGCCTCAGTCTCAGGCGGCGGCGCTAGGAACTCGACGAAGGCGCCCCAACTAGAGCGGCGGCGCAGCCATGTCCGACGACGAGCAGCAGCAGGCGCCCGGCGGCAGAGGAAGAGGCCGAGGGCGTCGTGGCGGCGGCGGCAACGAACGCTACAGGAGTAAGTTCGGCCGGGTTCTTCTCGCCGGCGGCAACCATTTTTTTATGTTCTAATTTTTTTTCAGTTCCTAGGCTTATCGATCCTTGTTCAATGAGACCACCACCTGCGACAATCGATACTGCTCCGATGGATCCGGAACTTCTTTGGGGGCATGGTCACCATCGGATTGACGCAGTTTGGGCAAACGAGGTAAGTTTTTTTTTCAAACTATTTCTATAATTTTTTATTAGCTGAATAATATCATATAATAAAATTAAATTAAATTACGAATAGAATTAAATTAAATTAGGAATAGAATTAGATTAAGTTACGAGTACTGTGAAGGAATTGAATTAATATAGTTTTGTGCATTAATTATAGGCTGGTGATCGACCTTAACACATTCGTCATACGTGCAATTTAGTTCGATACAATCCACTTTACCTGCCGTATCTCGTCGATGCCGGCTTATCTAGTGTTCTGCCACTAGCCCCTCTTACCGGTGATCCGGGTTTGATTACTGCGCTCGTAGAGCGTTGGCGACCCGAGACATCGACATACATGCCGTTCGGTGAGGTGACGATCACCCTAGAGGACGTTGCGACACTGACCGATCTAGCGATCGATGGTGATGCCGTCGTAGTAGACATACCAGACGAGGACTGGTCGGCTATGTGTCTTCGACTGTTAGGAGTGGCTCCTACTGATCTTGGTGGCGACGTCATCCGGATTGCTTGGCTTAGAGAGACTTTCGATGAGCTACCGCTTTCTGCATCACCCCAGACGACAGAGCAGTTTGCTAGAGCATATGCGCTGTCTTTGATGGGAGGTGTCTTGTTCTCCGATCGGTCTGGAGGTTCAGTTCACCTGCAGTACCTACTTTTGGTGGAGGATTGGCGCAGAGCGGGGAGGTTTGATTGGGGAGTAGCGGTGCAGCCGGTGCTATCCTACTTGTACCGTGAGATGGGTAGATCGGCGCTGCAGATGACGGCATCTTCTTCACTTGGTGGTGACTTTGGTGGATGGTCCGCCTTGCTGATGATCTGGACGTGGGAGTGGTTTCCTCATACATCACCACTACATGCAGAGACGGGTGCGCAGATTACTCAGGACGCAGTGCCACTTGGCCTTCGGTGGTTCCGGCCCACACCCATCAGCATGGAGATCAGTTCTACCTGTACAAGCTGTGGTTTGACGAGTGCACGACATTCGTGGTTAGTATATAACATTTCGTTTTATAGAATAGTTTTAATTGATTTGTTATATATTTAGGAGTAATTATGTGACCAATGCTGGTGTGTAGTGGCGTCCATACTATCATAGAGGTCAGGACTACAGCGGTACCGATACGTTTCGAGCAGTAGTTTCGCTGATCTGCTTCTCATCGCAGATGTGGCATCATCCAGATCGCGTGCTCGGACAGTTTGGGATGATTCAGGACCGGCCTCATGCTCCACATTCCGTTGATCTGCTTCCAACGAATCTGATGTTGATCCACCCAGTTATCACATGAAATATTTCTATCAGCGGCCACCTTCTTAAATTGCTCAACTTGACGATCAAACTTCTCCAACCGTTTTTCTCCGGCTAACAAAATAAAATAAACCACCACACGGGTTAGATAAATTCATGACAAAATTACATGAAAACAAATAAAAAAATTAAATGAAGAAAGCTTACCGACTCGAAATAGTTGATTATACATAATTCTGCTTTTAGTCTTTCTTTGCAAATTGCTTGCATAGTGTCGCATGCACCACCTCCACTCCCAACCTCTTCCGATGTTATTCATGGCTTCATAGAGTCCTGCATGTCTATCTGAGATGATGCATACATCATTTCGATCAGTCAAACCCTGAACGTGACTTATGAACCATGGCCAACTATCAGTATTCTCACTCTCCACTATGGCAAATGCAATTGGAAAAATCTTCTTCCGGCCATCAAATGAGCTCGCCATGAGTAGCACTCTTTATACTTCCCAGTAAGAAATGTTCCATCAACAACCATAACGCCTGGAAAATTCTTGAATCCATCTATACAAGGTCCATAAGCCCAGAATACTCGCTGAAATATTGAATGACCTGGTTGAGTCGAAGGAACTCTTACCCAATCAATCACCGATGTTGGCATTTTTCTCTTGACCACCCGCAAGAATGTTTGCAAAAAATCATAGGATTCTTCCCAATTTCCATGCAACTTCTCCAATGCTCTTTGTTTCCCATACCAAGCCTTCTTGTAAGTAACTTGCATATTAAACTTATCTTTCAACTCGGCCTGAACAGTTAGAACACTCAGATTTTGTTGGGCAAGTACCAAGTGTTTGACGGTCTCAGATATCACGTCGACATCAAGATGGCGATGATCCGTCGGTTGAGTCGTACTGCTACAAGTATGCACCAACTCGACCTTTCTCACGCTCCAATCGCCTCCCACATCTCGACATCCAAACCGCACCATCCAAGGACACTTGTCCTCGTGCATCAAACATCTTATCTTCCAGAATGAAGGTGACGACTCCACCACGTTATACTGAAAGTTGCGTTGTAGTGCATAGTGTTTAATCGCCACCTGTGCAGCTTGTTTCGAGTGAAATATTTGCCCCTTGTAGAATTCTCCATCAAAACCACCAATAGTAGACCCTGGAATTACGCCATATGAATCAGCATATGATAATTCCTCGTCCTCTTCATTACCCTGCAAGTAAAAATATGGAGGATAATTAGGTTGTTCTCCTCCCTCCCCGTCGTCGTCGTCGTCCTCCTCCTCCTCATCATCGTCTTCCTCATCTCCGTCATCACCGTCATCATAATCATGATCGGATGGCATGCTCCATGTGTCATCACCATCATCATCGTCTTCCTCTCCACCCCGATCCTCACTGAGCTCAGCATGTATCTCAGCACCCAAACAATAAGGATTTTGTGCCATAAAATTCCAAAGCACATTTAAGCTATCATCATCGACAATAGGCATTGCATAATGAAATAAAACACCATTCTGCCATTCTGGAAGACAGTAGGTGAAACCTGTAATCACAACACTATCTTGTACTGTTTCGTCTCTAATCCGTATTCTCGAATTAGATGATCACAAAGTTTCTGATAGTTCACCCTGGATGGAATAGTCATCTGGAAACTTAGACCACCAACAAAATGGACACCCAAATTGTCTTCTACTTTCTCTGATCGCCACCGAACAGCTAGTTCAAATCTTCTAAAACCACTACATAAAAAACAAACTCACTAATTACTAACCGGACAAAATCATTATGATGAATACATGAAAAATAAAATACGACTCTTACCTGTTATTAGCCATCTTCCCAGCAACCAGACAGCAACACCAGAGCTTCTTTCAGAACTTCTTTCAGTTTTTTGGTGATGAAGAACCGAAGGAAAGGTGCAGTATATATGGTGATGGGTGGTGCTGGAGTGGAAAAAAATGGCAGCGACAAAGCCCCAGTCTGGGGCGCCGACGCATTTACCTTCCTAAAAGCGACAAAGCCCCAGTCTGGGGTGGCGCCGCTGTGTTTTTTTGTTAAAAAAGCATCCAGCGGCAGCGCCTGAATCTAAGGCTTTAGCGCTTTAAACATATAAAAAAACACAATTATTCTTGTAAATAGTTTTCAAAACACTATATTAGTGGTAAATTAAAAAAAAACAATATGTAGGGAATTAACCCCCCTCTTTCCATCATAGAGACCATCATTCCCTAGAAGTAGAAGAACTACTTCAAACCGCAAATCTCATCCCTATCCCAGATCCAAAACCCGCCGGCAGTCAAAAGCGGAGACGTAGAGTCAATCTCCCACTCTCCGTCGGGTCAAATCCCATACCCAAAAACACTCCACCGCGGCAGGGGTCAGCCGGCAGCAGTCGCTCATTCCAGTGTCGCGTCCCATACCATGCGTCGCTTCGATTTCAGATCTAGAAACTGAATCCCAAAGTCGCTGGCCGCCGAGAAAGCTAGAAACGACAACGACGACGGCGACAAAATCACACACTTAAAGCTCATAATCCTCATGTGTTCTCTGGGCTGGTGACTCGACTCTACTGTCACTCCAGGAATTGGCCAAGTGTAACCACTTCCTAAAGCGTAGTATAGCGGGTTTAGGTTTAATTATCAACCCGGGTCCTAGATGTGATGACTACTCAGTGAATTCTCGTTATCTAGCAATAAAACTTTAATGCAGTTCTAAACTAACACACTAACAAAGCGAGTAAACGGTTGTATTCAGGTTAAGAGAGGTCACCCGGATATGGTTCCCCCTAGACTGCAGTTAAGCCGGATTGTAATTACCAAGTTCAGTTTCTATGATAGTTATACTGCGGAAGGTTCTCAAACAGCCTGAAGTCTCGACTAAAGGTCTTCAGACCCTCTCAATCTGAGTCTCTAGCGGGCGACTAACCTCCACCGGAGTAACCAGATTGAGGCCCTAAGAACAAAACCTCCACTACCGGAGTAAATCCGGTACAGAATAGTGAGTTGGTTCCTCGACTAAAGTCACCAACTCCCTATCTTCAATCAAGGATACTCTATTAACCTAGGCAGATATTCTCATTCTAGGTTAAAGCAGAAACAACAGGAATTTGATCAGGATTCAAGTCATTCAATCATTCAAACCTCAATCGAATATAATCAATCATAGAATCAGTACTTGGGTTCATACAATCAAACCTAACATACAAATCTAGGGTTCTCCATACCCAGATGAATGGGAGAACTACTCCATGGAGAAGAAAGCAAAAGCAGAATCAGACACGGAATTCATATTGTGAAGGATGGATTCCTGCTTCTGGACGTTGATCGGCACTTCTCCAAGCTCAAACTGGCCTCCAATGGTGTTGAAGATCAAGCTAGGGCACTTGGAGACTCTTGTTCGTCGCTTTCTCTCTCTAGGAATCGCTCTGTCTCTCTAAAACTCGAATCCCCCTTGACTTTGGCTGAAAATCTGCTTAAAAAGGCATCAGTGGCCAAAGCACGGTCGAGGACATGGCCGTGCTTTGCCTGAGCCTGCCAGTGCCTCGGCCAGGGTTAATTACACGGCCAGCAGTGGGGAGAAACACGGCCGTGCTTTGGTGGAACACGGCCGTGCTTTGGTGCCCGTGTTTGCAGCTGAATTTGCCATATCGAATTTGCTCTCGGCATAAAAAGCACGGCCACAGGTACACGGCCGTGTAATGCTTTAGGTCTGCCCGTGTTTTGGCTCCAGCTTGACGAAATGACCTCCGAATGCCCCGAAACTCGCGCTTAGCCTTCCCTTTGACACCTGGGACCTGAAACATGACAAAATAGCACAACCCGGCGTAAAATAGGCCAAAACACACGACTATGCCCCTCAAACGGATAAGAACTAGGGGCGCAAATATGTGCAATTACATCGTTATCAGCTGGAATATTGTGGACGAAGGAGAAGGAAAGGAGTCGTCCTTTCATTCGTTGTTTGGGGTGCACAGGGAGAAAACCTTGTGATTGGAGGAGAAGGAGACGAAATAAAGAGAGCAGCTTAGCAAAACAATCGAGGAGGTAGAGTTACATAAGAAGAGGGAGGTTAATTGTAAGAGTTATAAAGCAATCAACATGGAAAGAATAGATGGCGGAGTTAAGGGAATCAAGGTAGCAGAGAAGGGTCGAGGGAAGAAGATGGAGAGCTGAGTCAGGTTGGACAGGTTGACATGGCAAGTTGTGATGACGTGGAGGGTCAGGTTTATTACTTTTTGGGTTAAACCAGGTTGATTAGGCGATTTTGTTTGCCACGTCAACACATAACGGACTCCATTAACAGAATTGGATGGAGACTAACGGAGAGTGACAAAAAATTGATCGTTTTACTAAGTTGAATGACTAAATATGAAATTTTTTCGTAAATCCAATGACCAAACATGCAATTAACCAAAGAAAAACAACCAATATTCTTTCAGGTTGAATTTGACCTTTTGAGCACACAGCAGAGTCCTTGAACTGAAGAGCCAGTGTCCCTTCCCAGGTTCCCTTCTCCTTCACTTGTTAAGTGGCAAGTGGAACCGCAAAACCTAAAAGGCTAAAACCACTCCTTCGCTTAACAAGCCATCACCAGAATTCATTCATAGCCTTCCTTCACCTAACCCTCACAACCTCCGTCACTTTCCTCCTGTCTCGTTTTCGCCGTCTTTCTCTTTCTTGTATTGGATTTTCTTCACTCCACCTCCAAAAACCTTTGCTTTTTTTCTCAATTCTCTCCCTCGCCAATTTCTCATCAATGAATCTCCTCCATCCCCATTTCGCCAAAACGTGTTCTTTCCCCCGCCGGGCTCTCCAATTCTGATTGAAAACCATGGGACAGGGAGCTCGATTGGGCGTTTAGTAACACAAGCATAACTTTATAGTCACCAACCACCATCGCCATCCGTAATCAGGCAGGGGAAATTGAATCATGGGCAAGCGAGGGATTCAGTTGTTTGATGATAAAGGCGGCGGCTTTCTTTCAATCTCAGGTTTGGGTTCTTCTCCTTGTAACCAGGATGACGATGTCGTTCAGTGCTTCCCCGGCGCCGGCGGGCTTTTCGCGAGCGTCAATCAGATGGGGATGGGGTCCAATGGGAATGGTGGTGGAGGTATGAAATCTGTTTATAATGATTTATATGAGAAGTATTTGTCATTTGTGGGGTTAGATGAGGAGGAAGGAGAGATGGGCAAGAAGAAGACGAGGAAAGGATGGCTTCAATTGAAGATTAAGGTGAGGAATCCTTCATTGAGAAGGTTGATCAGCGGTGGAATTGCTGGGGCTGTGTCTAGAACAGCTGTTGCTCCTTTGGAGACTATAAGAACTCATTTGATGGTTGGAAGCAGTGGGCACACGAGCACTGAAGTGTTCCAGAATATAATGCAACATGATGGCTGGACTGGGTTGTTCAGGGGAAACTTGGTTAATGTGATTCGTGTTGCACCAAGCAAGGCGATTGAAGTAAGTATTGTTATGCTGTTTAGATCTTCCTTTTAGTGTTTATGATTGGCAATTGGTATAAATTGGCGTACAGATGGATATTACTGATAGAATAGAACAATATGTTAGTAAGTTAGAACCCTCGTTATCCACCTATTTGGCAATGCATATGGATTTTCATTAGAGGCTCTGGTGGATACGAAAGCTCGGTGCTTTCTTTAACTTGTTTTCTCTCCTGTGTGGTTGATGTCGAGCTATCAGCTTATGTTCACATATACAGTGATTTTATTGTTTGGCGGAAATAGTTCAGGATTCATGGTCTGAGATGTTTGTATGTGCACTATATTCTGTTGTTTTCTCTTACATGACTCCATTACCTCTCACTTGAGCATGGCATATCCGAATCCCTAGGGAGCCCCTTCTGGTTGATGGAGGTTTTCAGTATCAGGATTTAGTCGGAACAGATTCTGGACTTCATGTCCTGCAGCATTGCCTCTGGACTCGAAACCAACGGTTCTAAGCTAAAATGGCATCTTCCTTGTACTAAGTTTGCTCTTAAGCTGTCAGATGGGATAAAGTAGTTTATTCTTAGCCGCTCCAACTGACACGATTGTGTTCTCTGTATATAATCATTTTACTGAAGAGTAGAAAGATTTCTTCACTTCTCTCATCCATCACAAACTTTTACCGAGGGCAGGTTATCTTACACTTTCCCCTACTGTTGTAAATATGTATTTGCAAAATAGTTTGCATTGAATTCTCTGCCTGTTGATGCAGTTATTTGCATATGATACGGTCAATAAGAAGCTATCTCCTGCACCAGGAGAGCAGCCTAAATATGTATTTGCAAAATAGTTTGCATTGAATTCTCTGCCTGTTGATGCAGTTATTTGCATATGATACGGTCAATAAGAAGCTATCTCCTGCACCAGGAGAGCAGCCTAAGCTTCCAATTCCAGCCTCGTTGGTTGCCGGAGCATGCGCTGGAGTGACCTCAACTCTATGCACTTATCCTCTGGAGTTAGTCAAGACTCGACTAACCATACAGGTATTGACAAACGCATTCATGGCTTAAAAGATATGTTCCCTTTGCTAGTAATTAATTCAAAGGGCATGAGTTACATCATGGTATGCTTGCAGAGAGGTGTATACAAAGGCATAGTAGATGCATTCATGAAAATACTGAGCGAAGAAGGCCCTGGCGAGCTCTACCGAGGCCTAGCTCCAAGCCTCATTGGAGTCGTCCCTTACGCGGCAACAAATTACTTTGCTTATGACACTCTTCGGAAGGCATACAGGAAGCTTGCAAAGCAAGAGAAGATTGGCAACATCGAGACCCTGTTGATTGGATCAGCAGCTGGTGCTATATCAAGCAGCGCCACTTTCCCTCTTGAGGTGGCTCGCAAGCATATGCAGGTGGGAGCCCTAAGTGGGAGGCAAGTGTACAGGGATGTGCTTCATGCCCTAGCAAGCATACTTGAGAAAGAAGGGGTTAAGGGTCTGTACAAAGGGCTAGGGCCAAGCTGCATGAAGCTTGTCCCGGCTGCTGGGATATCGTTCATGTGTTATGAGGCTTGCAAGCGGATTCTTGTGGAGGAAGACCAAGAAGCATAGGAAGAGTTGAGAGACATCATTATTATTTCGATTTTCTTTATTCTCACAAACAGTTTTGTTCTTGTCCTCCCTCTGCCTGAGAAGGATTTGTTTTCAGGGTTTAGTTCAGTTAGCTTTTTCTTTTTCTTTTTGGAATGTTAGAAATAGCAAGCATATGATCATTTTGTGTTGGCTACCTTTTGTTTGAGAGAATCAAAGAGAAATTGTTGTTTCGAATAGCTTCGGTTGGGATATTTTAACAACATTTGCATAGCATTAGCAGAATGTTTCTACAAGATAAAGTACTATCTCGCGGAATTGAACTTTGTCTTAGCAACTGGTACAAAGAGGAAGTTTGACAGATTTATTTCGACTAAGCTGAGCTCTCCTCAAGGTTCTCTTCTTCATCTTCTTCTTTAGCAGCAGCAATCAACTCATCAAACTTCTCCGACTTTCCCAGCATGATTTCAATCTACAATGATAACGACATAAACCCATTAGAAACTCGAACTATTTGCTACATCTAATACTAGAACCAAAAAGATTGGCAAGCAGAATTAGAGTCTCCATTATAATCCTCCTCTTAAGGGAAACAATAAGAGCAGCATTTACAGCTCCGGTTTTAGATTGTAAAACTTCTAGCAATGGCATTTCCATTCCCAAACTCAACAACAACAAGGAAGATCTAACATGGGCTTTAAGTTCTGTTTCACACTAGTTCTTATATATTCAGCCAACATTCGATAAAAGGGTCTGGAAAAGTTTCTAGATTACCTTTGGTTTTGGAATCGGACGAGCTGCAGCATCCTCCCTCATGTCAATAGTCGAAGTCGTGATTCCTGCAAACTTGTGTCAACATTGCTACACTTTGGGGAATTGTAAATTCCAGAACTAGAGCAGCTGAAAATTAACCAAGGAATGGTAGCTCAGAAAAAAAAAAAAAACGTACGCTTCTCAATTGCAAAGCCATTATTCTTCAAGATCTCGGCAACAGTAACAACGGTGGCAATAGCTGCATAAATAATCAAAAGGTGGGTAAGTGGCGACTAGCAGCAAATCAAAGAACAAAGTCCATAAATGAGCAAATAAAAAAAGCACCATGACCATGGAAATGGGGAATAGAGAGACATACCCATCCCAAGAGCGGAAAGCTCCACTTCATTGAACTGCTGCATATACCTCTGCAACAAAAACTCAAAACAAACATCACCACGCGAACATTCCAGTTATTCCTTTCCTAATTCGTAAGAAGGTGAAGCCATTAAGTTCGACCAATTCACACTATCACCATAAATGATAGCGTAATCAATGACTAACAACTAAACTCGCATAACGAAAGCTGCAAGTTTCCCCCGAAAAAAAAAAAACAACCCAGCTAGAAAGCAAAACCCTTCTAAACCACCAGAGCAGCTAGTTCAGCCAGAGAAAGAGAGGGAACCTTGGCGAGATTGACGTAGAAAAAGAGAGGCTTTTTGGTGTTGGAAACTTGGATTCTGTTCCTCTGGTATCCTGGAGCAGCTGAATCAGCGACGGCCAAGTTATTCACTCCTTCCGTAATCACCTCCATTGCTGGACCTCTGACAATTATGTTCAATCTTTTCAGTCTCTGCCGAACCCTAAAATGAAAACCCTGCGAGAAGCTCGGGAGAAAGTGTGTGTAGCAACTAGCAAAGCACAAACAAGTAAAACCCTTACTACTGATCGAAGAGACCCAAAATCCCTCTCTCTCTCTGCCTATTCCACTTCTTGTTTCCGGAAAGGTTTTGGGCTTCTGAATATGCCGTTTTCGTTCGGGAGTTGCATCAAAGGCCCTCAATCTCAGGCCCAATATTGAGTATGATCTTGGCACCGGCCCACCCAGCTTACAGATCATCAGGCCCGCTTGGTCTGCACCCTGGAGCTCATTCTCGGGCCCGCTATTTTGTCATTCGGAGTCAGAATAGAGGTCATTGACGCCTACCAAACCAAACCCACCCTCTCACGGTTATTGATCAAAAGATTTGTGGAAGATGACAATACATTGATCCATCCTCTTCGGAACAGTGACCATATCATTGAATAATTCGTAGTCCAGCAAGAACCTCGTTTCAGAACGCTCTCCTATACGAATAGATACTTGCGCGGCTCTGCTCGTTCTTCGAGCCCATTATATCCTCCCCTAACGGTCGAGCATATTGTATAACCTTTCTCGCTCTCTCTCCGTTCTGTCGATTAGATAGGGCCGGAGTACAGAGACAATCGAAAGAAACAAGAGAGCCAAACGCCCATTCTCATTTCCAGCAATACCACCACAATCCCATATGGGAATGAGCTACACAACAGCAATCGAACACGAACCACCTCGTGAACAATACATTCTACTCTCTCTTCATTTATATGGGGTAGGCGCAGCAAGAATGGCGACAGTTTCATATGAGTAAGAACACATGGGCTGGCATGCTGCAAAAGGTGATGCAGGCAAATACTGCCACTCCATCGATGTCTCGAGTCTAAGCCGAACTGATCGCTAGCTCGACCCTCCGGTGACCACCCAATATTCTGGCCGCGGCTCTAACTTTCACCAAGCAACTCAACCTTACTAGTCAATACCTCTACATACACACAACCAGAATCGGAACACAGATGCCTATGTATGTGCTTCCTTACATTTCCTCCTCTCCATGCAAACGAAATCTCCACATTTGATTTGTTAATGAGGGACTGTAGATTCTCAACTCGTAGAACACATCAATCCGCAGCACTGTTGCCTCCTCTCCTGCTAGCTGTTGTGTTTTTCAGTATCTGCCACACAAGACACGAGTTTGGTTGGTTTCAGACTTACAGAATCATTAACCCACATAGCCATTTCTCGATGATCGTACGGACGTTAAACCCTAAAAAAACCCTTATCATCAATGGAAAGTGAATGCTCAAATGAATTATTTTATCTGTCCTACCATACCAACTAGCCAGTAGCCAGTGAATACTTTTTTTTTAATGGTGAGGTGAATACCTGTTTTAGATTGATCGATGTAATGAGTCCTTATTGTTGTGGGGTCGCGACCTAAATAGAAAAGAAGATCAACTAATCCTGGTCCCATTTGGAATTGACAAGACCTATACGCTTTTGCTTGCATTACAAACACATTTTTGTTCTCAAGCTAAAAGAACGTATCACCACCTTGTTTCATTAAGCTTAATAATCCAAAAGACTATCCAGGTCTGATGGTGATTAACTCCATTTTTGTAATTAACAATAACGATAAAGATCGTTGACACTATGATTTGATAGATAGTAAAATCCCGGTTAAAACACGTATCAGTGATCAAACCAGTACATCTATATCGATTAAAGCTCGTGAAACCAGATCCCTTATTATCACCAGTTTGATTTTCCAGAACGGTTTGGAGAAGAGCTAGGGAAAGAGATGCAAAGGGTGGAAGGCAACTTACATGTCTAAGCATCTGGTTCTCATTCTGCAAAGTGGAGAGCCGCTCTTCGAGCTCCGAATTCTTCTTCTCCAAGTCTTTAACCCTCGTCTCCAGCTCGCTTAGATAAGCTTTCTTCCTCTCCCTGGCTTGCTGCGCAGATACTCTGTTCCTCAACAACCTGCAAAAGTGAAGAAAAAGGTCATCATCAGCATTATCCATTATCCGATAAGACTCCATTAGTAAAATCAGCCAGAAAACAACTCAAACAAATTTCAATAGAGAACCGTTTGAGTCGCTTGTTCTCTTTCTCCGCTGGGCTTCTCCCTCGCTTCCTCGACACTTCTCCCGGACCTTGATGAGCTCGTTCCTGCCCGGACACCACCGCCGCGCTCCGACCCGACCCGGAAGCCCCCGCACCTAACTCCGGCACTCTCCTGATCTCCTCGTCGCTCTCCATTCCTACCCGAAATTGAAAACCCAAGACAACCCATTAGTCAAAATCGCGCAATGCACGATTCCCAGATGGGAATTCCGAAACTTTACTCCAGAAACCCATAAACCAGAGAGAGAGAGAGAGAGAGAGAGAGAGAGAGAGAGAGAGAGAGAGAGAGAGAGAGAGAGAGAAAGGAGTTGTGGAAAGGGATAAGGAGTTAAGGAGAGAGATCGGACCTTCCTTGACCTCAAGCTGAAGAGCGGAGCTGGAGGATCTCTCGCTGCTTGAAGGCAGAGAATTGGCTGCAGCCGAACTGGTGGCTTGTTCTTGCATTTTGTTGCTGCGTTGTCCTCTACTACCGAAGCTAGAAAACAAGTAAAACACCGAAAAGGGAGGCGGGAGCTAATGAAACTGTATGGAGCAATTGAGGAAAAGGATGAAAGGAAAAGAAGCGGGACTTTAATGTAACAGGTACGCAGACCCAACCCAGAAATGAGAAAAATTGCAGAGGGGAAAAGAAATGTGCAGGGACTGGAGAGGTGTTTTCGGGCGTCAGATCTCTGATCCATCGGACGGCAGATACAGTGGGATCGTGGAGGGTTGTGAGCCATGAGAAGGTAGTTGGATCGAAGGATCAGGAAGAGGGAATCGTGGAGGGGTATGGTGCGTTGGATTGGGATCTTATCGGACGACTGGGAAGTTAGTTAGGCAGAGGCAGGGACAGGGTATTTCCTTACAATTATTATTGTTAAGTGTTAACTCATATTTTCCTTTGATAAATTAAACTTCATGTTTTCTGAACTTATAAGAAAAAATGTTTCTGATAGTTGAGGAGACACATTATAGATGGATTATTTTTTTCAAAAAAACATTAGCTCAAGTTTTATAAATATACTATAACATTCTAACTCATTCCCTCACCAATATATTAGTTACTTTGGTTTGTACGATTTTGTTTTCAACTGCCTATCATACGGACTTTTAATAGGTCACTCATCATTGCACTGCTTAAGTTTTATAGCTATACTATAACATCTCAACTCTTTCCTCACCAACATATTACCCACTGTTAGTCTACCATAGCACAGGTTTGCTTTTGAATGCATATCATAGTGACCTTCAATAGGTCACTCTTCCTTTTAGGGATGACAATGGGTCAGGGTTGGGGCGGATTATGCCAAACCCAAACACAAATCCATGGGTTTATCTACCAGAAAATCAGAGTGAAATCCATTGGATTTGGAAAACTCAAACCCAACCCATTGGGTATTCGTGAATTCATGGGTACCCATGGGTTAATGTACACAGATGCAATTCCACGAGTTTTCAATACTATTGTCTACTACATATACACTAACTCACAAATTATTCTTACTAATTGTTCAATATTAAAGATAAACATCCACAAACAATATTGATTGAAGGTGTGAGGAATTAGTTTATAAATTATAGTTAATTAGTTAAGGGTTCCGTGGGTTGTGCGGGGTGTGGACTTGGGTGCGGGTATCCACGGGTTTGATATGGCTAAACCCAAACCCAACCCACAAAAAGCGTAGCGGGTTTAAACCGAACTCGATTCGCAATCCGTCAAAGCAGGTTTTACCCGCGTTGATCGGGTTGGGTCGGCTAGGTTACCGGCAGATTCGGGTTCTACTGCCATCCCTACTTCCTTTCACTACTCAAGTTTTATACCTATACTATAACATCACAAGCCTTGTTTTTTCACCGAGATATTGTTCACTATGGACCTGCCTTGCACGATTTTGCTTTTGGGTGCGAATCATAATGAGTTCAAAGAGGTCGTCCATCATTGCACTGCTCAACATTGAGCTCTTTATGAACCTTGGGACTCAACGTCCTCGTTGAAGTTTGCACCACCATCTTCCGAAGAGGTCACCCATTCTTGCAATGATCTACATTGGAAAAAGAATTTAACTTCAAAGTTCTTACAATAACTTCTTCATCTCACCCCAAAATAAGTATTGTCACCTAAGGTTGGATTATTCTTTATGGACCATAAATATCTCCCGTGCTTTGTCAATGTAAGATTTGTCTAAGGTGTTTACATACACCCTTCCTTTGGGACTCAACGTACACGTTGAGGTTTGGCCAACCATCTCAAGAAGGGAGAACAGAGACTTTGATACCACCCATAATATCTCCAGTGGCGTAGCCAGTAATTTTGCTAAGATGGGTCCAACGATAAAAATAAATTTATAACGTAATTGTCACGATTGTTTTCTGCGAATCAGGAAATAGGAGGATTTGACAATGCAAAAAAAAAAAAAAAGCGAAAGCACGAACACATACATGACACATGTGTTTTCATATTCTGAAAAAGTATGTAAAATGCATTCAATAATCCAACCTATCAAAAATGCCGCTCTCAATAAATCAACAAAAAAATTATTCATGATTTCATCACTCATCCTATTTCGAAGTGTGTTCTTTACGAAGTTCATTGCAAAAAAGCCTCTTTCAACACTTGCTCTGTCAACAACTAGCAATAGATTATTCTAGCCATTGCTTTTTTGAAATCCAAGTAACCAATTCTTTCTTCTCGAAATAAGAATAGATTATTCTAGCAACCTAGCCTTGTAATGGATTGTCCAAGAGGAGATTTCAATTTTTATTTTAAGAACTGTTCACCAATGATAAGGGAATAGGTATTTCCTTGTCAGGAGAGTTCGTAAGCGGAAGCGGCAGAAGCAGAACCCCACTATGTGCATAATAAATATACAAGAAAATGAAAAATAACTAAAATTATGTGCATAATAAATAGCTTGAAGAATCAAGAAACCCACTACAATTCTCAAAGGAAGAAAGGCCAAAGCCCACTGCCCACGTACGCCATAAAACATATATATTTTCTCCTTCCTAGCCCAAACCCAAGGTGGGTCCGGGGACCTACCCACTAATGGTCTGGCTCCGCCACTGAATATTTCAACCTATTTTTTATTAATATATTGTCCGCTTTGGTCCTCCTCTCTAGCATCGTCGCACATGTTTTCTTTTGGGTACATATCATAGTGACTTCGCAAGAGGCCACGCATCCTTGCAGTATTGCTCCACATTTGTACACATGAATTCATAGTTCTAACAAAAACTCGTCAATTTTATCCTAAAATGCGTCTTATCATAAATGTTGTATTATTTTTATGAACAATGGATATCTCTCGTATATTTTCAATGTGAGATCTGTCTAACGTGTAACATATCATGATATAGTAAAAAAGTAAATAGTAAAAAAAATTGGTTATAGTAAATTGTAATTTCTAAAATTAATATGGATAAACGAAACATATATAAATATAAGTAAATGAAAGGGATTTGAAGATTTTTTAAATATTGTAAACTATAAAATGGAAGTTAAATTATAAGATGAAAGGTGGTGATGAGAACTGTGCAAAACACCAAAAAATCATCTATAATTTACTAATTTTACCATTCTTTACTACAAGGAAAAAGAAACCCAAACAATTTTATTATTTCCAATTGTATTTCCTTTTGCCTGTTCCTCCTACTCTTCGATTCTAAAGATGCCGCAATATCATTTATGCCAAAATAAAAATAAAAAAACTAATAAGTGGAAGTAATGAAATTTTGCTTTTATTTTTTATAATTAATTTATTATTATTTTTACGACATAAGTGGTTATTTGAGATAAAGAAAATCAATGAAATATAACCTAAATAAATTATCTAAATGTTATGTTCAATATAAATGAGTAAACTATGAACAAAAATTAATCATATGTTTATTGTGTAACATGTTTCTCGATATTTCTATAACTAGAAGACGAATGTCTTCAATTTTATTATTAATATAAGATAAGTAATTAATTATATAACCAAAAGAATTCTTCCGTATTTATAAAAACATGTGAATAAGAACTATACCACATTATATTCGATTCATAATGATCCAATTCAAATATCAATTTGATCCGATATGGTCTGATACAGACCAAATCCTTGCATATCCCTACTTCTATCCGATTTGCAAATAAGTCGAACAACGACTTTGTCATCACGAGTCACAACTTTTGCAGCTTGCTTTTCCAATGATCCGAAACGAACGAAATTATCCATATCAAAATCCAAGGCAACAAATCATCCGTAATGAGAGCAGTTCAAGTGAGCGAATTTGTGGTTAATAACCATGCATAACTTGTCACATCACCATTTAAGGAATGCCTCTAATCTTTCCCTTATAAGTAAGGCTGGCTATTTGGTCCCGAACTGTTTGGTTTTACCCGAAATGGACCGTATAACCAGGACCGGGACCGGACTGGAATCGGATAGCAAACAATGCAATCTCATATTCGGGCTTAGATTTGAGGTAAAAAAACCCGGATAAAGACCGGATAAGAGACCCCCAACACCTAAAATCAAGATAAAATTGGGACCGGACCGGGTCAAGACCGGACTGTATCCAATCCAATCTTTGGTCCTTATATTCCTGAAAAGACCGGACTGGGACCGGATCAATTTGGTCCAATTTAACAGGACCGGACCGTATAGCCACCCCAGTTATAAGTATTAACGGACAATATCTCTTTTATTTTGCACGAATAAACCACATTAATTGTGCAATTTAAAATGATATCCAGTTTGGCATATTTTGGAACAACAAAATTTGAGACATTTAGTACTAGTTAGGGATGGCAATGGGGCGGGTTTGCTTAAACCATCCTCATACCCATCTTCAAATACCCAAACCCATACCTGCCCCATACCCATGCGGGGGAATGTTTTGCAAACCCATCCCCATACCCGTGGGTTTCGGGTACCCATGGGTAATACCCATCCCCGTATATCCAACATTATTATACCTAAAACTTACAAGAAAAGTTCTCATTATAATTCTAAAAGAACATATTATCATGAAGTCAATAAAACACGGTCATTTTTTAATATGGTTCAAAGATTATGATCCTAAAATATCCATTAATACATAATATAGAGTATAATATTTTTCAAATTATTATGTTCTAACTCTGATACATCTACTAAATAATAATTAACTAACATAATCTTGTTGACAAGGGGAAAGTGAAAGAGTGAAATGAGAATTGAGAGAAATGAATTAGATTTTGATTAAGGTGGTTAATCAATTGCATTTCTACTATTTATTTTCTCAAGTTATCCTCATCGTCATTGATAGATTATAATTTGATATGCATATTTTTTTATATATGAAGAAATTATCTTGGTGGGGCGGGGGAGGCTAAAACAATACCCACCCCATACCCATCAAACTTTTTGCGGGTTTTACCCATACCCGCCCCATACCCGGTCAGAGCGGGGATTCCCCGCATTGACTGGGTCGGGGGCGGTCGGATACCCGCGGCCATGGGTTTGATTGCCATCCCTAGTACTAGTCTATACCATGGTGGTAATTTTTTATATTACCACACTGTATTGAAGTGTACTATGATGGTATGAACATATCATAGTGTATATATGATGGTTGTATATATAATATAATAGTATGAATATGCAAACTGTCATTTATCACATCATTATTGCTTACCACTAGGGATGGCAATGGGGCGTGTTTGGGGCGGGTTTGCCTAAACCATCCCCATCCCCATCTTCAAATACCCAAACCCATACCCGCCCCATACCCATGCGGGAAATGTTTTGCAAACCCATCCCCATACCCGTGGGTTTTGGGTACCCATGGGTAATACCCATCCCCGTACATCCAACATTATTATTCCTAAAACTTACAAGAAAAGTTTTAATTATAACCATAAACAAACCTATTATATCATGAAGTCAACAAAACACGATCATTTTCTAAATAAAATTCAAAGAATATGATCCTAAAACATCCATTAATACATAATATAGACTACAATATTTTTTAAATTATTATGCTCTAACTCTTGATACATTTACTAAGTAATAATTAACTAACATAATCTTGTTGTCAGGGGGGAAAGTGAAAGAGTGGAAGGATAATTGAGGGAAATGAATTAGGTTTTGTTTAAGGTGGTTACTCAATTGTATTTCTACTATTTATTTTCTCAAGTTATCATCATCATCATTGATAAATTATAATTTAATCTACATATTTTTTGATATGTGAAGAAATTCTCTTGGTTAGCCTCCCCCGCCCCATACCCATCAAACTTTTTGCGGGTTTTACCCATACCCGCCCCATACCCGGTCAAAGCGGGGATTCCTCGCGTTGACTGGGTCGGGGGCGGTCGGGTACCCGCAATCATGGGTTTGATTGCCATCCCTACTTACCACCACTTACCACCCCTATACCAGGGTGGTATGAGGTGATACATTTTGATCCTGTATTTTCCCCCCAAAAGATTGTAAATCCAACAGATCACGATGAACTCATTCTTATTGTGCTCAAATTTTCAATATTCGAGTTAAAAACGAATGTGGTACCAAGATGCATGGCAACGAGTAGTGTGAGTGGGTATAAAAAAAGTTCGAAATATATTTATAATGAATCTCTTTATGTAAATACAAGTTAGGACGAAAAAGATACGGTATTTAACTGTGGTCAAATCCGGTCAGATCCAGAAATTCCGGCCAGTTAGACCAGAAACCGGAATTCAATGTTACACATATTATATAAAAAAATAGGGCTAATACCACTGAAAAACCCGAACTATTAACTTTGTGTCATTTGTGTCCTAAAGTATTCGATATGACATTTGTGTCCCAAAAAAATAAACATCCTCCATAGAATTTGAACCAAGTAACCTATGTTCATTTTAGTTTCACTTATACACCACTAGGCTACAAGCAACTTCGTTGTCATTATCAACCTTATATATTATATATCTAATACTAAATTTTACACAAATTATTATAAATATTAATAAAATTCATTTTATATAATTTTATTTTTAAGCATCTAATTATTTAGTATTAATTACCAATTCTTAGCTATAAATTATTTTTATGTGAAATAATTCTTCTAATTGATTTTTCATGACTAATTATTTGGAATTGAGAATTTCCATTTTTCTCGTGTATTTTATTAAAACCGGCGCAACCGATATGAATACTAATTATACCATGGTCGGACCATTCCACTTGCAAAACCGGCATACCAACGATTAACCGGTTTGACAACCTAGCATGATCCTATACATCCGTAACAGGGCCCCTTCCGATTCCGATACCGAAATAATTATACGAAATAATTATATGCACCTACGTACATCGAACTTTTCTAAAAATAAATATAAACCCGCGTTGAATTGATAATAGAGTAGTCCGAAACCGATCCGAACACGTACGGGAGGGATAAGAACACAGTGCCCGCGTGGGAGGAATCGTCTATATATTTAATTTACGTATCCTAATTAGTCTAGGATCCTAATTAGTCTATATATTTACGTATAATTAATCCTAATTAGTCTACGATCACAAACAACTACAACCAGAAGAAGAAAGAGTAGGTATGAGGAATCGTATGATGATGAGCAGAGAGGTGGGCGCGTGGAGCGATCTGTGTCCGGATCTGTTGGAATCGATCTACGGCAACCTCCTCAACCCGGTCCACGCCATGGAATTCGGGTCCGTATGCAGGAGCTGGCGCCAAATCCACGCGTCCCTGCAGGCGCAGCCACGTGGACGGGTCTTCGGGGGCGTCCGGCTCCGAGAAATCCGCTGCCAGGAGGCCCGCGACAAGTTGCTGCGCGGAGGAGAAGAAGGTTACGAGGTTTACAGCTGGGCCAGCGGGTGGTGGCTTCTGGCGTCCCTGGAGCGCAACGTCTTGGGCTGCTTCAATGACTTCCTCTCCTGGCCCTCCAGTTTCATCCCGCTTCCCCCCGGGCTGAATTTCGGAAGTTTTTCCCGATTTGACGGGAATTGCACGAGCATGCCGATCAAGGCGGCATTCTCGGCCCCACCGGCGGCGGATGGGGACTGGACCATGCTCATCCTACACAGCATCAGCTGTTTCAGCACGTTCCGGCCGGGCCAGGACGAGTGGTGCGGCTACTTATACCCACACATACACGACAGAGTTTGCGTGGGGATTGGGTACAGGGATCGGAGATTCTTCTGCCTGTTCAGCACGGGCGATGTTTTGATCGTCAAAACTGATCATGGTCGTAATCCCGGCAGCAATATGTGCGAGTGGAGGATGATGCTGGCTTCCGAACCTATACTGACGCCCCGAGATCTGCTGGCTTCTGCGCTGTCGGATTCTAATTTCCACGTCGTGCTATTTATGTTGGATGAATGTGGTGGTGGTCGACGGGTGGTGATCAGCTGGGAGCGAAGAGATGACACGGCCTTCTTCCGGCTGCTAAGGGTGGAGAAAGAATTGTGCGATGTCAGGGATGAAGGAATTGCTATTTTTGCAGTTGGAGAAAGGTGGATGCAGGGGGATGGTCTTCGCGAGAGGCTAGAGGCGGCCGATTTGGAGAGTGGAGGAAGGACGTCTACTCGTCCGGCAGAGGAGGAATCAACGGTGGAGAGGAAAACCCGTTCAGCCAAAGGTAATTCCATCATTAGAGTGCTTTCTCGATGGTTTGCCCGTGGCCTCTAGCATACCTTGGTAAAGAAGAGCCCGATTCGAGGTTAATTACGTTCTTTCCTTTTGTGTGTCTAGATATATGGACTTGCTTATAATGGTCAATCTGATTTTGATGGAGAACAACAACTTGTTAATTAGAAGTTCATGTATATATGGAATTGTAATTAACCAATCGTATTAAGGGTTAATTACAATATGAGAAACGGGCTAGCTAGAGTTTTTTTTTTTTTTTTTTTACAAAAGATAATCATATATTGATTCATAAGAAAGATAGTTACATCCTGGAATTCAGCCAGGCCCGAAAATCAAAAACACGACACGCAATCGGCAACAATGAAAGGGCTTTTCTAGCCACCACATGGGCTACCTTATTGTGACTCCGACCTACAAATCGCACACTGAACCCCGAATGAAAGGCAAAATATGAAACTACTTCTTCAAGCACAACCCCCATCCGAGTATCACCAGTCTCTGCCCGATTGATTTTATCAATGACGACCTTGGCATCTCCTTCAAAGTGCACCGCCGAGAATCCATGCTCCAAGCACCACCAAATCGCCTCCCGGAGGGCAAGAACTTCCACCACCAAAGGGTCATCAATACATTGGAACTGAACCCCCATAACCCCCAGAATCTCCCTAGCCGACGTCATGATTACCATCCCACCCGCCGAGTGGGACCCTTGGCGAGTCGCCCCGTCCCACATACATATTACCGCATTAGTCTGAACTGGACTCAAGTATGTCGGCACAGGGATTCCCGGAACCATGACCGGATCAGCTGGGAGACGTACTCATTCATCCAGCTGCTGGTTGTACTGCCTCATCAAAGCTGGGAACCCAAACTGCTTTCCTTCAAAGACTACCCAGTTACGAGATCGCCAAATTCGCTAGAGGACAGCCACAACAGCTAACAAAAGGTCTGGTTGGCGCATAACGGCCAGTAAGTTCTTAAGAAAGAGAGGGAAAGTATGTCGGGGCAACCCTTTACTAATTCTACCATTCTTTACTACAAGGAAAAAGAAACCCAAACAATTTTATTATTTCCAATTGTATTTCCTTTTGCCTGTTCCTCCTACTCTTTGATTCTAAAGATGCCGCAATATCATTTATGCCAAAATAAAAATAAAAAAACTAATAAGTGGAAGTAATGAAATTTTGCTTTTATTTTTTTATAATTAATTTATTATTATTTTTACGACATAAGTGATTATTTGAGATAAAGAAAATCAATGAAATATAACCTAAATATATTATCTAAATGTTATATTCAATATAAATGAGTAAACTATGAACAAAAATTAATCATATGTTTATTGTGTAACATGTTTCTCGATATTTCTATAACTAGATGACGAATGTCTTCAATTTTATTATTAATAAAAGATAAGTAATTAATTATATAACTAAAAGAATTCTTCCGTATTTATAAAAACATGTGAATAAGAACTATACCACATTATATTCGATTCATAATGATCCAATTCAAATATCAATTTGATCCGATATGGTCTGATACATACCAAATCATTGCATATCCCTACTTCTATCCGATTTACAAATAAGTCGAACAACGACTTTGTCATCACGAGTCAAAACTTTTGCAGCTTGCTTTTCCAATTATCAGAAACGAACGAAATTATCCATATCAAAATCCAAGGCAACAAATCATCCGTAATGAGAGCAGTTCAAGTGAGCGAATTTGTGGTTAATAACCATGCATAACTTGTCACATCATCGTTTAAGGAATGCCTCTAATCTTTCTTATAAGTAAGGCTGGCTATTTGGTCCCGAACTGTTTGGTTTTACCCGAAACCGGACCGTATAACCAGGACCGGGACCGGACTGGGATCGGATAGCAAACAATGCAATCTCATATTCGGGCTTAGATTTGAGGTAAAAAAAACCCGGATAAAGACCGGATAAGAGACCCCCAACACCTAAAATCAAGATAAAATTGGGACCGGACCGGGTCAAGACCGGACTGTATCCAATCCAATCTTTGGTCCTTATATTCCCGAAAAGACCGGACTGGAACCGGATCAATTTGGTCCAATTTATCCGGACCGGACCGTATAGCCACCCCACTTATAAGTATTAACGGATAATATATCTTTTATTTTGCACGGATAAACCACATTAATTGTGCAATTTAAAATGATATCCAGTTTGACATATTTTGGAACAACAAAATTTGAGACATTTAGTACTAGACTACTAGTCTATACCATGGTGGTAATTTTTTATAGGGTTAATACCCTAGTTTGGCCCGAAGTTTGGCGTATATGTCAGTTTTGGCCCAATTTTTTAAATAAGACAGTTGTGGCCTACTTTCCAAAGTATTGGACAAATTTGGCATGGGTTTTAAATTGGCCGTCAAAATTGACGGTCAATGATTTTTCCGTTAGTGACTCAGTATTTGGTGCTGACTAGGATCTTAAACGTCATCATTTATTAAATTAAAAAAATAAAAACTAATTAAATATATAAATATTTTTTCCCCATGACTTTTTCCACTCTCCTCTTGGACAAACCTCCAATCGCCAAAACCCACTCCCTCGCCGTGATAGATGGTGCCCTCGACGTCATTGAGAAAGGAAGTAATTCACCCCTGTCAAACAGAGGGGAAATCAACAAAATCGCTCCTCCAATTTCAATCCCGACCAGCGCCAGAGGTGGATGAGTTTTGTAACGAACCATCGAAAGAAGACGACGCGAGCAGAAGGAGGGAGGTGTTTGGGTCTCGACGGTAACGATTATCGTTGTCGCGGTCCCTTCTCCTCGATCGATGGCCTACCGGCGCCTTCACCACCAACCTCCTCCCTCTCTCTAATCGACAATCGAGCCCACAAAAAGCTCGACATCGCCGCCATCAACTCAGATCTGGTGCGGAGGAAGCAGATATCGGGGAATGAGAGAGGATCGTTGGAGAGAGAGTTGAAGGGCGGTGGGTTTATAGCAGCGACGGTGTGAGGGAGAAGACGAACAGCCACCAGTTCGTTCGGCTGAGGGAGAAGACGAACAAAACCTGAATCGGGTCCGAATCCATCGATCTTAACGACGACGGAGTGGAATCTGAGGGGACGGCGACCGCGGTGGAGGAACAAGGAAAAAGAAGAAAAGAGCCCTGCCCGCGGTCGAGGACGAAGAAGAGGAAAAGGAACCAGTCCCAGTCAAAAGCCCTGCCCTGCGCCGCCGCAGATCTTCTTCCATAGCCGCTCGTTCCACCCCGACGGCGTCTTACCCTTGAACGCGCCGGCGTGGAAGTACACCAACACCGGCAGCTTCCTCTTCTCTTTGTCTCGTCTGGGGATGTAGAGGCGGGTCTCGGCGGAAGAAGGGGTTGAATCAGTGGGAATGAAGCGGAGGGAGGAAGAGATAAGGGTAGGACCGTAGGAGGTTGGGGGGTTTTGGGGTTTTTTTTTCTTATTTATTGAATTAGAAAATTAAGAAATATTTTATTTAATGACATGGCACCATGTATAAGCCACGTCAGTAGTTCTTTGATGAGTCACTAATGGAATAAGTGTTTGACCGTTAATATTAACGGTCAACACAAGTTTCGGGCCAAATTTGTCCAATAATTTCAAAAGTAGGCCATAAATGTCTTATTTGAAAAATGGGGCCAAAACTGTCACTCACGCTAAACTTCAGGCCAAACTAGGGTATTAACCCTTTTTTATATTACCACACTGTATTGAAGTGTACTATGATGGTATGAACATATCATAGTGTATATATGATGGTTGTATATATAATATAATAGTATGAATATGCAAACTGTCATTTATCACATCATCATTGCTTACCACCACTTACCACCCCTATACCAAGGTGGTATGAGGTGATACATTTTGATCCTGTATTTTCCCCCCAAAAGATTGTAAATCCAACAGATCACGATGAACTCATTCTCATTGTGCACAAATTTTCAAAATTCGAGTTAAAAACGAATGTGGTACCAAGATGCATGGCAACGAGTAGTGTGAATGGGTATAAAAAAAGTTTGAAATATATTTATAATGAATCTCTTTATGTAAATACAAGTTAGGACGAAAAAGATACGGTATTGAACTATGGTCAAGTCCGGTCAGATCCGGAAATTCCGGCCAGTTAGACCAGAAATCGGAATTCAATGTTACACATATTATATAAAAAATTAGGGCTAATACCACTGGGAAAGCCAAACTATTAACTTTGTGTCATTTGTGTCCTAAAGTATTCGATATGACATTTGTGTCCCAAAAAAATAAACATCCTCCATAAAATTTGAACCAAGTAACCTATGTTCATTTTAGTTTCACTAATACACCACTAGGCTACAAGAAACTTTGTTGTCATTATCAACCTTATATATTATATATATATATAATACTAAATTTTACACAAATCATTATAAATATTAATAAAATTCATTTTATATAATTTTATTTTTAAGCATCTAATTATTTAGTATTAATTACCAATTCTTAGCTATAAATTATTTTTATGTGAAATAATTCTTCTAATTGATTTTTCATGACTAATTATTTGGAATTGAGAATTTCCATTTTTCTCGTGTATTTTATTAAAACCGGCGCAACCGATATGAATACTAATTATACCATGGTCGGACCATTCCACTTGCAAAACCGGCATACCAACGATTAACCGGTTTGACAACCTAGCATGATCCTATACATCCGTAACAGGGCCCCTTCCGATTCCGATACCGAAATAATTATACGAAATAATTATATGCACCTACGTACATCGAACTTTTCTAAAAATAAATATAAACCCGCGTTGAATTGATAATAGAGTAGTCCGAAACCGATCCGAACACGTACGGGAGGGATAAGAACACAGTGCCCGCGTGGGAGGAATCGTCTATATATTTAATTTACGTATCCTAATTAGTCTAGGATCCTAATTAGTCTATATATTTACGTATAATTAATCCTAATTAGTCTACGATCACAAACAACTACAACCAGAAGAAGAAAGAGTAGGTATGAGGAATCGTATGATGATGAGCAGAGAGGTGGGCGCGTGGAGCGATCTGTGTCCGGATCTGTTGGAATCGATCTACGGCAACCTCCTCAACCCGGTCCACGCCATGGAATTCGGGTCCGTATGCAGGAGCTGGCGCCAAATCCACGCGTCCCTGCAGGCGCAGCCACGTGGACGGGTCTTCGGGGGCGTCCGGCTCCGAGAAATCCGCTGCCAGGAGGCCCGCGACAAGTTGCTGCGCGGAGGAGAAGAAGGTTACGAGGTTTACAGCTGGGCCAGCGGGTGGTGGCTTCTGGCGTCCCTGGAGCGCAACGTCTTGGGCTGCTTCAATGACTTCCTCTCCTGGCCCTCCAGTTTCATCCCGCTTCCCCCCGGGCTGAATTTCGGAAGTTTTTCCCGATTTGACGGGAATTGCACGAGCATGCCGATCAAGGCGGCATTCTCGGCCCCACCGGCGGCGGATGGGGACTGGACCATGCTCATCCTACACAGCATCAGCTGTTTCAGCACGTTCCGGCCGGGCCAGGACGAGTGGTGCGGCTACTTATACCCACACATACACGACAGAGTTTGCGTGGGGATTGGGTACAGGGATCGGAGATTCTTCTGCCTGTTCAGCACGGGCGATGTTTTGATCGTCAAAACTGATCATGGTCGTAATCCCGGCAGCAATATGTGCGAGTGGAGGATGATGCTGGCTTCCGAACCTATACTGACGCCCCGAGATCTGCTGGCTTCTGCGCTGTCGGATTCTAATTTCCACGTCGTGCTATTTATGTTGGATGAATGTGGTGGTGGTCGACGGGTGGTGATCAGCTGGGAGCGAAGAGATGACACGGCCTTCTTCCGGCTGCTAAGGGTGGAGAAAGAATTGTGCGATGTCAGGGATGAAGGAATTGCTATTTTTGCAGTTGGAGAAAGGTGGATGCAGGGGGATGGTCTTCGCGAGAGGCTAGAGGCGGCCGATTTGGAGAGTGGAGGAAGGACGTCTACTCGTCCGGCAGAGGAGGAATCAACGGTGGAGAGGAAAACCCGTTCAGCCAAAGGTAATTCCATCATTAGAGTGCTTTCTCGATGGTTTGCCCGTGGCCTCTAGCATACCTTGGTAAAGAAGAGCCCGATTCGAGGTTAATTACGTTCTTTCCTTTTGTGTGTCTAGATATATGGACTTGCTTATAATGGTCAATCTGATTTTGATGGAGAACAACAACTTGTTAATTAGAAGTTCATGTATATATGGAATTGTAATTAACCAATCGTATTAAGGGTTAATTACAATATGAGAAACGGGCTAGCTAGAGTTTTTTTTTTTTTTTTTTTTACAAAAGATAATCATATATTGATTCATAAGAAAGATAGTTACATCCTGGAATTCAGCCAGGCCCGAAAATCAAAAACACGACACGCAATCGGCAACAATGAAAGGGCTTTTCTAGCCACCACATGGGCTACCTTATTGTGACTCCGACCTACAAATCGCACACTGAACCCCGAATGAAAGGCAAAATATGAAACTACTTCTTCAAGCACAACCCCCATCCGAGTATCACCAGTCTCTGCCCGATTGATTTTATCAATGACGACCTTGGCATCTCCTTCAAAGTGCACCGCCGAGAATCCATGCTCCAAGCACCACCAAATCGCCTCCCGAAGGCAGTGGCGGACCCAGAAATTTTTTATAGGGGTGTCCACTTTTAAAAAATAAATTAAATAAAAATAAAATTTTAAATATGAAAATACCTTACTCGTACAGGTTAAAAAAGTCCATGATGTGTTTTCATATTCGGAACTAATTGTAGAATACACATGGTGTCTATTTGTGTTTAAAAAAATTGTCTCTATATACACTACTAGACAATCATTCACGAACTTATCACATATTCTATTTGTAAACTTGTTCTTGATGTAACCCAAAGCTGAAAGACTCTTTCAACATTTGTCGTACAATCATAAAATCAATACAAATTAAGGGTAGTTTGAAATTAGTTTAATTGTTAGGTTTTTAAAATAATTAGAGATAGGGAATGCCAATTTACTATTACACATTGTTCAAAATCGAACAACAAATGAGTTTAGCTCAACGGAAATTAAGTTTATTAATAATAATAGTGTTCTAGATTTAAATTATCCAACCTACCACTTATATTCCTATACACAAATGACAGTAAGATAATCATTTTTTCAAATTTAAGGGGTGTCCCTCACTATCAATTATATTTTTTTATCCATACGTAAATTACCACCAGGGGTTGGATAATCGTTTTCCCAAAATTTAGGGGTGTCCGGGGACACCCCTAAACCTCCCTGGGTCCGCCCCTGCCCGGAGGGAAAGAACTTCCACCACCAAAGGGTCATCAATACATTGGAACTGAACCCCCATAACCCCCAGAAACTCCCTAGCCGACGTCATGATTACCATCCCACCCGCCGAGTGGGACCCTTGGCGAGTCGCCCCGTCCCACATACATATTACCGCATTAGTCTGAACTGGACTCAAGTATGTCGGCACAGGGATTCCCGGAACCATGAACGGATCAGCTGGGAGACGTACCCATTCATCGAGCTGCTGGTTGTACTGCCTCATCAAAGCTGGGAACCCAAACTGCTTTCCTTCAAAGACTACCCAGTTACGAGATCGCCAAATTCGCCAGAGGACAGCCACAACAGCTAACAAAAGGTCTGGTTGGCGGATAACGGCCAGTAAGTTCTTAAGAAAGAGAGGGAAAGTATGTCGGGGCAACCCTTGACCTAAATGTTCCAACCCTGCATAATCCCAAAGGGCACGGGCCACCGGGCAATCCAGAAATAAATGTTCCATTGTCTCAGTCCCTTCCCAACAAACTGGACACCTGGGATGTATCTCGACATCCTTCTCCCGAAGAGCCTCTGTAGTAGGCAGAATCCTGTTAAAAATTTGCCAAACAAAAATACCTTCAACTTAGGCGGAATGTTAGCCTCCCACAATCGAATCCAACTGGTCCTGTCCATCCAACTAACCGTAGCTCTCCGACGGTGGTTTCCTTGATCCAATCTGATTGCCAGATGGTACGCAGACTTAACCGAGAAAACCCCATCAGCTGAGTCATGCCAGACCAATCTATCTTCTACATTGTCTCGGGGCAGCGGGATGGCTTTGATGGCACGACAGGTCTGTGGGTCAAACCACTGGTTAAGCTTAGAATCACACAACCGCCCTTCTCCCGGAATAATTACCTCAGCAACCAGCGGGTCACCCCCATCCGGCAGAACCATGGGGTTAAATTGCGGAGGAGATGGATGTAAGAGAGGAACCCAGTTAGACGACAAGAGAGAGGCTGTCTGACCATTTCCAACCTGCCATCTAATCCCCTTCTCAAGTAACTGCCTACCATGTAGAATACTTTGCCAACCCTAAGATGGGCAGGACCGCGCTTGAGCAGTGAGGAAGGTTCCCCGTAGGAAAGTACTTACCTCGATAGACCTGCGCTAAAAGCGATTGAGGTTCCGTAATAATCCTCCACCCAATCTTGGCCAGCAGAGCCTGATTAAAATGCTCAAAGCGACGAAATCCCAGTCCTCCATCATGCTTGCTTTTACACATATTACGCCATGATACCCAACGGATTTTGGACTGATCCTCCCCAACACCCCACCAGAACCTAACTACATGCTTATCGAGAAGCCTGCATAGGGACAGGGGGAGCTTGAAACAGGACATGACATGCAATGATAATGCCAAAGCGATAGACTTTATCAAGACCTCTTTAGCCGCCCAGGACAAAGTCCTCCGTTTCCACCCCTGCAGTCTTTCCCGGAGCTTTTCCTCCAGATAGCGAAAAGTAGCCATCTTAGAGTGAGCAATGAGTGTTGGTAATCCCAGATATTTATCATGGACCAAGAACTCTTGGTCAGGCAGGGGGGCTAGCTAGGGTTGATGTGTTCAGATGATGTAAATATATATGATGTACGCTGAATTATAGACGCGTGAATGCGCTAATAATAATATTGTCTTTGGGAGTATCAATCTCTCTGACCGGATTAGTTTTGGCGATAGCAGTTGAGAATATGTACCACATAAATCTCGAGTTAGTTCCATTATTTTTTTGTGATTTGTATTGGATTGTAATTAACCAATCATATTAAGGGTCAATTACAATGTGAGACACGGGCTAGGGTTTATGTTCAGACAATGTATACATGTTGTAGGCTGAATTATATTGCAGGTGTAACTAACTCGCCATAAAATAGTCTCAATTACTAGCGGTGTGGATACTAGTTAGCATTTAAATTTAGTGTTCATTCCATTATATTTTTGTGATTCATTACAATTGACTTTGCCTTTGACCAAACGGAGACCGAGCCGCAGGACGTACACCGTATCTGCAAGCATCTAGCATGTACACCAAATTTAGTACTACATTTACTGTAAACTATGTTTCCGTTCTTTCGTATACAATTTTAGACGAATAATATATTATAGATGTGTTAGCTTATAATGAATAACTTTTTTAACTTATTTTGGTAACTATTTATGGAGAATATTAGCCATATGTTCAATCAAAGTGTTTTTTTATCAAAGATCCAATCAACAACTTCTTTGCATTTTGATGTTTTTCCTATGGTTTATTTGTTTGAAATTGAAATTTTAATTAATCATATATATTTTTTTTAGCTTTGGGTTGGGTTTTTACTTAAAGTATAGTCCACCCAACACAACCCAATCATAAACAAACTATAAGATATTATTTTATTGGATGCGTTTGAATTTAGTATTTTCAAAATCGAATTGTATGAATCGGGTGATTATATACTCTAGCTTGATTAGGAATTAGAAGTTGTTGCTACGTTAAACATAATAACACAATGATTATCTATTAATTTAATCCTTTTTTACACAGAATTTCATTAACCGAGAATGTACAAAGTAGATAACAAAAGCAAGGAAAAGCCCATCCATTACATTGAATTCAAACCCATAAGGCCATAACCCATTCAAAACCAGCAATTAGAAGGGTAACGGGCCGTGTTGCCTGTTACAGTTGTGGTCGCGGGCTGGATCGTTTGAAACAAATACGGCTTTCAGCTCATGGTTGATCTCGTTCGGTCGTTCCCTTAACAAAAAGTTTTTAAAATAATTTTTTTTGGGAGAGAAAGGTTTTAAACATGATTAGACGATGTGTAATTAAACGATGCTTATGAAAAAAAGATTAAACGACGCATGTAGTCTCACACCTTCCCTCATGCATGCCTATTTGGTTGCCAATTTCGTATAACCTCTCACCCGCCTCGGGATCCCCACACACTCATCCACACCTTTTCTCTCTTCGTCCCCCGCGAGGATTCTCGCCTGCCTATTTAAATTACGAAACTCAATTGTGTTTCCCTCACTTTCCAATCCCCTCCATTTTCCTCTCCCTCTCCCTCGACAATTCAAATCCTTCAAACTCAAATTTCAGCCAAATACTCTGCAAATTTGCCAAACAACACAAAATGGATCCGATCTCAGCAGATTTCGGCGATTGATCTAAAAATTCAGAGCGTTCTATCACAGAGACTAAACACCACTCGGTTCTGATCGCTTCTGCTTACTACTTCTGCTCCTTCAACACTAGCTCGCTTGATCCTCTCCGATTCGCTTCCTATTCTCAACTCGAAGAGTCGTCAGCTGAAGGCAACAGCAGCAGCGACGGCCGCGGTACCTCTGTTTTCCCTTTTCCGTTCTCGTTCTTGATTAATGTGATGGTTTGGAATTTCATTTCTAGGGAGTTCGGATTGTAGGAATATCTATTTCGTAGCTAGTTTTGATTCCGTTGGATCTCAGCAGATTTCGTCGATTGATCTAAAAATTCAGAGCGTTCTATCACAGAGACTAAACACCACTCGGTTCTGATCGCTTCTGCTTACTACTTCTGCTCCTTCAACACTAGCTCGCTTGATCCTCTCCGATTCGCTTCCTATTCTCAACTCGAAGAGTCGTCAGCTGAAGGCAACAGCAGCAGCGACGGCCGCGGTACCTCTGTTTTCCCTTTTCCGTTCTCGTTCTCGATTAATGTGATGGTTTGGAATTTCATTTCTACTTCGTAGCTAGTTTTGATTCCGTCGGATCGTGATTTTAGTTTGCCACTCTGGTTCTTGATTGTAATGGTTAGGAATTTCATTTCTACTGGTGTTTGGATCGTCGATTTAGCTAGTCCAATTGCAATGTCGATTTGATTCCATCGCATCGTGATTTCAGTTTGCCGTTCTCGTTCTTGATTGTAATGTTTCCACGTTTTAACAGGAACTGACGAAGAAAAGTGCTAAATCGATCGGAAGCGGACAAGAGCTGGAGCGAGGACTTCCTTTAGCTCGAGCGTGAATTCGGAGAGCAGTTATGGCGGCGGATCATCACAACTCGTCGTTCGGGAGAGACAGCAACTTGGCTATCGGAAGCACAATTCCAGAGCATTCCACCAGTAAGCCTGCTCTTAACTAACTTCATAATCGTAATTAGCAACTGAATGCAGATTATAAACCCCAACGATGCTTATTTATTTTTTCACATTGAGTAAGCTAGGTAGCTTAGATATAGTTGAATAAGTTTTGATTAGTCAAATTACAGGCATTAATCACTTGTTGAAACTTTGTTTTGACGGCACACGTACGTGCAACTAGGATTAACAGAGCATGATTATCTACTGTTCTTTTTTTCATTCATTTTCCCCATATTAACTAAAAGTGAAACAAATGGGCAAAACAAAAGAATGGATTCACTCCCAAAGAAGATAAGATTAAACTCACGCATTCCCCTGCCATTATTATACAACACATTTAAACTCTCGTCACTTGTATCCTAAATCATAACAGTTCCCTTCACCTTCAGCCCTGTGCAAGGGCACAGAGTAGGGGACGCGCTCTTTACTAATTTGGCACAACATGGATTAAAAAAAAGAATCAAGTCTATTCTCACCTACGTAACATCTAATTCACACATTTTTTTATTTATTCTCATAATTTTGAGTTAATTCATGTCATATTATCGTCGTTCACGTAAGATGTTGATTATTTACGCAACAAGTATTGTTTATTCATGCAACCTTGTGTTTATTCATGCATATTGTTATTTATTCACGTCATTGTAAAATAATTTTATAAACTTTGAAATATATTAAAATGGATGTCATTGTGTAGATTATGATCATTGCAACACATTTTTACATATTAATTGAGAATCCAATATTTAACTCCATAAAATATAGCCAATACAAATTGTTATGAAAAAAATTATGGATTTTGATTTACATGAATAAATTACACTCTTACGTGAATAAACACTAAATGAAATGAATGAGTACAAAAATACGTGAATAAATTGGCATTAGGTGTTTTGTAACGTGAAAACAAAACTTTTCCAGAAGAAACTGATCCGTTAGACTTTCCATTAAGCCAAGGGTCTTATAACCATTATGGTCTTGTTATTAGTTTACTTTTTATGTCAGCAGTATTGTCATGGGATGGTCAACTAAACTGTATTAAGATATTGACCAACAGTAAATCTCGCTTTAATGGTTTCCCCAAGCATAATCACAACCCAATATGTATATTAAGAAACTCCAAGTATGTAGGTGCACTAGCTTTTTTACCAAGCTATATTCAAAGCTTTTACTAGCTAGATGTAAGTTCACTAAATTTTGTTCTTGCACGTATTACTTCATACTTAATTGCTATTAATTTAAGTTCACTAAAATGAATGACAGTTGTAGTATGTTTTATTCTATAGGATGGACAAATTGTTCTAAGTTCTAACTAATTTTTTTTTTACAATTCTAGCTTTACTCAATCAACCTGGTCAAAGAAACGAGCTTGATCGTACTCCCGACACTATTCCTACTCTATATGTACGTTAGTCTCTCTCTACTAATTTGTGTATTTGACTCATTTTTTTTAGTTTTGTTCCAATCCTTTTCTTCTAATTTAGATCCCTAAAAAGAAAATTAAATTCGTTACAAGAAACCTTAAATAGGTAAGGTATTCATTATATAAAACTCTAATACGAGTGCATACGATGTACTTTAGTTTAAAAAATTAGAATTTCAATATGATTGCATACTAGTTAAGATTAGCCTTCTGATACACAAATTTTCTAATATAGGGACTTAGGTCATGGTACAAGGTGGACACTAGGGGTTTTGGCACTGTTGTGAACTTGGAAATGCATTTAGTGAAGAGTGATTCAGGTTTAGCAGTAGGTGACATGCGTCTCCTATGCCCACGACACTGGCTCGAACACCGGATCTCGGATTCCTGGAAAATCCTATTTCGTGAGAAAGCAATCATCCTCAGCTTTGATAGGGCACGCGCCTTGATCACTTCCGATCATATTCTTTTGGCGGTTGACCCTACTAATAAGCGGTGTTTTGATACATTGAAGGAGAAGCTCTCGGGACATGTAAGTTGTGGACCTTTTAGACTCAAATTCTTTGTTTTTTTTAAGAAGAAACAGAAACTAAATATTTTTATCCATTCGTGACTCTATGTGTTTGAGCAGGCAGCTACATACGAGCATATGCCATTTAAGTTCGCCGGCTTAGCAGTATGCTTGGAGGTTGCATACTGGTTCCTCAAGATAGAGGTAAGAACTTTTAGTCTTAGTTAGTGTTAGGTTTTATTAGTTTTTCATTCATAAATTAATTAACTTGTTTTCCATTTTTCATTTCCAGGAAAGGAGTTTGACATTGACTGATCCGGAGATAAGCACACTGGATTCAAATCAAGTGAACGAGAAAAGAAGGCGATTAGAAGCACTCGATACCCAAGTTCAGCAGGTCAGTTCACAACCTTTAACTCTTTTCTTCCTTATTTAAGTGATATGCGTTAGTAATTTGTTAGTAACTCGTTTCCCCCACTTCTTTTCAATTTTAACCCATCCTTTTCTTATAAATCCAATATTAAATCTTCTCTATGTTCTATTCATAAACCATATACTTTTCAAATTTTTTCAAATAATACTTTTCAATAATTATTTATAATTATTTTCTAGTAAAATAGTTATTACTATTTTGGAGACCGATCTAAAATATAATTTATTTCTAATTCTTATGAATTTTTCAACCAATTACACAGGTCATCTATCAACTTGATCAGGTGCTCAATGATGATGAGTTGATGATTACTAGCCTCCTTCCACAAACTATACAATTAGGAGTTCTAGTCGAGCATCTCTTTAAAGGAATGAAGGAGAGTTCAGGTCGTATTTCTAAGGTACGAAGCGATTATCATGTGATGAATTGCATGTAAGTTATTTTAAATTCTTATTTACTAACATGTTTTGTGATTTGATTTGTGGATGAAGTCGGTGCATCTTTTGGATGGGAGGCAGGAGGACCTCGACAAAATTGAGGCAAGGAGGCAGGAGGACCTCGAACAAATTGAGGCAAGGAGGCAGAAGGACCTCGACAAGAAGATGAGATGGTTATCCAACGCACAACTTATAATGACAATCGCAAGCCTCATAATAAGCCTGTTCACGATGATCACGGGAGTGTTTGGGATGAACTTCCGTTTGCCATGGTTCCAGAAAAGACAAACCCTGAAGTTTGCCTTGGTGACATCGGGCAACGCCATTGGTTGTTTGGTGCTTTTTCTTGCTGCTTTAGTGTACTTTTATAGAAAAGGTATGCTACATTACTAGGTGAAGATCAGATTCCACCGTCGGGAATTCGTTGTTACATTCCTCATTCGCTGTTGATCGAGGGATAATTCACCTTAATTTTTCGTTGCTTCACAAGTTAATGCTGATCGGCAAAGTCGAGTGATCGCCTTTCCTTTAGGGTTGCTTGCCGATTTGAGTTTCCCGTTGTTCTGTTTTTCTTTCTATTTCCTTTTCCCTGCTGGCCTTTCGGCTCTCACACCTGGTGAAGCCTTTGGTGCTTTCTCTTCTTGTTTTCCCAGACTTTGTAAGCCTTTTTCGTCTAATTCAATCACCATTATAAAAAAAAATATGATGCAGCACCACAGAAAATCTACTGACCCAAACTTTGGCAAGAGAAGAGGAAAAAGGTTTGATCAACTTACTCTCACCAACGTAATCATCATCTCTGGATTCTGCAGGAACCATCAAGCAAGCAGACCAAAGAAAGAGAAGAATTGGGAGCTCCCTTCAGTCCAAAACCAGAGCAAGAGGGTTTTGTCTGCGAAACCCTGTGTTTTAGGCTGAAAGGAGCCCTCATTTCTGCACTTTTCTTCTTCACAGAACAGCAGTGTAAGCAAGACAAGCAGTTGATCACAACAGAATGAAATAGGAATGGCAGAAATGTGTGCAGGCGTGGGGAGGGCTAAGTTGCTGGGTTTCATTAAAGGGTTTGAGGTAAGAGTCACGCCTAGAAATATTCCCTTTGTGAGTACCAAAATTCAACTGTGATGAAAAAAAGAAGCCTTCCCCATTCCAGGAAAGTGAACTTGACATCCATCCAACTCCCGCACAAATCAATCAGCTTCAAAATGGAATTACGTGACTGCATGCTTCAGAGCTTTCGTACCTACTATTCTGAGTCAATTTTAGTGACTTTTTTTGTTGGTTGTGTATTCCTTGCTTCAACCGCAATGGGAATTGCTTAAAAAAGAATTTGATCAGTTCATCCCTAGGTGAGATCAGTCAGTTTTCGGGTTCAGGCAATTAGGTGAAACATCGGTTGATCATAACACGGTTATGGATATTATGAATATGATGAACTTACAATATGAAAATTACACGAATGAGATTGGTTCTCAAGGGATATTTAGGACAAAAGAGGACTTATCTCACAATTACAGAAGATAGTCTATCCATTAGAGATATTTAATCAGGTAGCCAACGATAGATGTATACAATATGATTCAACTGGAAGATACAGTTTCATGAATGGACCTTCTATATGGCTGACGCTGTTCAGGGACACCTTCTTCTGTGCGTTTATCTTCAAACCATTTCACCACTCTTTTGCGAGGCAAGTTGGTCACATGCACAATGCTGCTGACCATGGTATTCTGCAAAATTTACGCAGCAAGAAGGAAATAAGACTACCATAACAAACTCTCGTTTGCATTCAGTTACATGATTCGTCGTGCAATGCAACAAGTTAAACACATCAATTATGGTTGAATGGTAGGGGTAGAACATTATTATGTACTTGGCAGCAAACTTTACTCACAGTAGGTCTCTTGGTTCTTCTGTACACTCTCTCGAGGGTTTGAACATGAACTTTCTTCAGCCTCTTCTGTGCATTCCATTTGTGATACATGACGTGAACTGGCAAATTCACCTTGCTCTCGTCTTTCACGGCATCTTCCTCGACATTCATTTCCTCAGTTACAGATTCTACTGGCGTAGTGGCTTGTACCGGCAGACTTGGTTCAGGTTCGTCGGGTAAAGCAGCACTCAACATCACAAGACTAGGAGGGGGATCACGAAGCAAGTCAAGAACAACAGCCCTCTCAAGGCAAAGATCACCTGCCAAATTCTTAATCTATACAGCCCAAGACAAAATCCATCAGAACCTCAGAACACTGAGACTACTCTACTAACGATATTTTGATCATGAGAAACAGGATGCCTCACACTAATTTTGCGACGGCCTTTCTTTAAAGCAGAGGCCAATCTTCGGATTTGCCAATTCCTAAGCTTCAATGGCCTTCCCTTTTCACCCTCTTCTTCTTCACGAGGAAAAGTCCCAGTTTCCATGTCATAAGCTTCATCCTCACAATCATCAGCATCAAGTGCCTCTTCTAGCTCATTCTGAAGCTTCATAATATCTTCTTCGCTCATATCATCGTAGTCATCCTCATCACCTACAGATGAATCGCTGTTCTTCAGGTCTCCTTCCAGCATGTCAAAAAGGGCATCGAATGCATCTTCATCTATGTCATCTCCCTCCTCCTCGTCATCATTTTCAGCAGGCAGACTTTTTTTCTGTTCCAAACAAAGACAACCCAGGATAGCATACAGTATGAGCATAAAGCCAATTTGAAAAAGTTTCTGAATGCAAGAACAAAAGAACTCCAACAGTTCTGTTCAATCATTAAGGCCTCATCCAACCATTGTGGACTTTAAACAAACAGTTGGTGTTCATGCAAAGTCTACGAGTCTAGCAGCTTTCCATTCACCTTATTTTTCCTAGGAGTGGATGAGACGGTAGAGTTCTGATTCCGCCGGCGAGAGAAGGCGACTGAAGAGCCAGCGAGAGCCGAGTACGGGAGAAGTAGATTGGACGGCGGTGGCATATACCGTCCGCGGATGAAAATTCGGTTGTTAAGCGAAGAGAAGCTCCGAAGAAATGAGCAAGTGTTGAAAGCAGAGAGAGCAGAAGCCATTTCCTCACTCTCTGAATCCTCCAAAAACAAGAATTTTGGAAACCAAGTTTATCTCCGACGAGAAAATGCTTTAGATTCGTAAAGCCGGCAGCTAACCCTCGCGGCGGAGGGAAGAGACACTCTGAAGAATCATCACTCCGTCGCAACGCATCGTTTTAGCTAAAACGTTTCGTTTTAACTGGAAAGGACAGCTGGCTGTTGAAGCAGGCATGCCACTGCCACTCTGCCAGGCTGCCCATTGGTCTCTGGGTATATTTTATGGTGCTCACGTGAACACCAGATCAGAACCCTACCTTTCACCTCTCCTTTATTCCGCGAGCAATTCCTCTGGCCTTTGATTTATCAGTTGACAATGGCGGTTTCGACAGGTAATTCAGCGTCAAAGAGAGCAGCGTCGTCGTCGTCGTCTCCGACGGTCGTGCCGGCGTCGTCGAAGGGATGGGTGAAGAATCTTCCAGCAATAGCCTCCCGAATCTATTTCTTCCTCATCATTCTTCAGGTCCCTCTCTTCAGGTAAAATTCCCATTCTCTTTTCCTCAATTTCTTCTCGTTTCTCTAGGGTTTGAAATCTATTCAAATTCTTGATATGGAATTGTATACTTGAACTTGGGAGTGGAAGATCTTGAGTTCTGGTCTTTCTCTGGCTACTGCTGTCAATTATCATTGAATCGGGGCTTCAATTGCAGGGTGCCATGCCGATCCGGGATGTGTAAATCACCAATTCACGTCACGTCTTCCCAATTGATTGCTAGCGACATCTTCCCTGTTCCAGTAGTGAAAGCCCTCCTCTATCCTGGCGCCGTGGTGAATGATCTTGTCACGAAGAGGACAATTCCATCTTGGGACGGCTTACTTGATATGTATAACTTGACCACGGTGAAGGATGCCTCTGCTGTTACGGATCTCCAGCGCTTGGAGGTTTGTCTCTGTGAACATTATTTCACTCTTCATAAGTCGATTAGATGATGAACATCTGAGATAGTAAAGAATCTATATAGTCGATTAGACAAGATGGTTGCTTTGTGCTTTCAATGATGTGGGTTTAGCCTGCTGTTTGCATCTGATAGCTGGACTGCTTAGGGTGTGAATTTTGAGAAAATTGTTCTTCAGCAGTCCTTGAATCTTTTGCTCAAGTGAGATTATAGTGCTGCCACAGCCCACAGATATGCACATGGTCGAAGACTCTTCGTCAATTAAATAACTTACCGTGTGTTTTGCTTATTAATGGAGCTGAAATGTAACAGTTCTGACTAGTTGCTGAAACTGATTTTATTACCATCTCTGCCTCTTCCCCTTTCTGGGAAGGGTATGAGACTGGTTTTGTCTCTTTTTAAGGTGAGGTCGTAGGAGCTAAATTCCACACCCTATTCTTTGTGGTGATTGGTGAAAACAACTAAATGAGCACCTAACTCTGCTGAAGTTTTATCCTAGAGCCCCTTCACCTAGCCATTAATGGCTCATTATGATAGTACTTGTACATTTTCAACATAATTAGCTATAGCTTGAACAGCTTGGTAGTGTGCTTTACTGAGATTTCAGTTCCCGCTTGTTGGTTTTCTGATTCCAGGTTCTTGCTGGAAGCTACTTTACAGTGGCAGGATCACTGGTCGGGATCCTAAAACCTGGGAGGATGAGCATGTTTGGGACACTTTTGATACTCTGGGGGCTTATCAAGGAAGGAATCTTGGGGAAGCCGGTGAACACCGATCCTACTAAATCAGTCTATGTCTACCCGACAATCGTGCTTGCAGTCATCTGTGCATTCTCTTCTGTGAAGTATGATATGAAGAAGGTCGCGAAGAGTGCTCCTGCCCGAACCATTGCAAAGCCTTTACAGAGCTCTTCAAAATCAAAGCTGAAATGAAGGGTTTGGAAACACTTTGGAGTCACTCTAGAAGCACATCGGTTTTTCTGATCTGTGACTAAGAATCTGTAACTGTTTGGCTTAACCGATTTCACAGTTTCTGCTTCGTTTCAAGAGCAGGGCAATGGATGTCGAATGTTTTTGAAATGGATTGGGGTTTCCATCTTTTTTCTTCTGTTCTCATTCAATGCAGAAAATATTTCGAGTCATTTTTTGTTGGTGTGGAAAGAATACATTTCCTATTTCCTAGATGTGAACAAGTTTTACAATGTATCGACTCCAAACTATCAAGCTCGATCCAACCCTGGATCGGACATGACCGTGCACATACCTTCATATCATTAAACGATCAAGCATGTGACATAGTGACAAAAATTGCAGAAAAAGTGATCTGTTGGATTGAACAATAGCATCATCGTCAAAAGTTAATCCCATGAACAAAGAACGAGTTCCCTCTATACGTGGTCACTCTGTCCTGCGCATCCACGCAAAAAAGATGACCTTCCAGCTCAAGAACACCTTTCATACCAGCAGTTTCCCACACAAACTTAAACAGCTCAAGAACTCTATCCAAATGCTTAGCTCCTCTTAGAACCATCGGCTCCTCATCTGAAGTTAAAATCCTTCCCATTCTCAGACGAAACCTATTCTTATCATCAGTCTTGTACAGCCCCCCACAAAGATCAACTTCAATGTCTCTCACTTGTCCATAGAGGTAATACAGCAGAAGCGTGAACAGGCAACGAGAGGAATGACCCAATGTACTGGAGAGCTTTTTCTGCACTAGGGTTTCCTGATGACGAGCCTCTCGATAACCGATCCCTTTATCGACCAGCACATCCTTGATCTGAGTCAACCCTTCTTTCATAACCTCGAGTTTGGAAATGTGATAAAGCGACTCCTTTTCGTGTCTCAAACACCCGATGAGATCATACACCATCTCAAGAACGTCTTCCCACGTCCGAGACTTGTTAGGATTGGTGGGCTTAGAAGGTGCAAGCCGCATCCATGAAGTGGGTTCATCTTCTGGAGAAGTGTCTGAATCACCTAATAGGGCGAAACAGCTGGAGATGATCTGATGCCCCATATTGCCTGATGAACAATCGTAACCCAAGCAGTCCATCTCCAACCTCAACGAGTTCAAGACCTCCTGAAGTGCGCCCGTCCATATTCGATGGTGGGTCACCTGTGGGCAGATCGTGACTCGCACCTCCTTCCTCTGTTGCGCTGATACGTTCAGAAAGTTGCCAACTTTGGTCAGTGAATCCACAATCATGGGCTCTCTTTCGCTTGCATTGCTGAAATAAGCAACCGCGTTGCTTCTTAAACCTCTTCCGTTTGCCACCACATTCTCCTTGGTCTTCTGCTGAACCAATGGAGATCCAATGAAAACCCTGACCAGAGACTTAAAAGTAGTGACCTTGTGCAGAACCCTGGGGTTCATTATGAACGAATCGTCTACTATGTTCACCGCCCTTCCGTCGATCAAATCCACATTATGCAACTGTTGGGTCAGTTTCCGAATTTTGGGGAACGCCTTCTCGTACCATTCGAAAGGCAGGACTTCTTCGGAAGAACAATGATACAGCCTCAACTTCAACCACACATCTCTGAATCTACCCAGTTCGGTACGGGCTGCACCGCGGAGAAACTTCCGCGAGTTTCTGTACACCATAACTGAGCAATGCATCTAGTACTATTAGAATGTTGATCGCGTTCAGTGTATCCCGAGATTGGAGGTCAAGAAACTTCATCGGGAACTTTTATCGAACAGGTAGCGTGCGTTATGAGTGCGACTTGCAGGCTGTCGAAACGAGATCGCCAGCTTCGGATTCATCTCCAATAAATGAGTAAATAGAAAGCCGGAATGGATGCAACAGTAGAGAAGGAAAACGATCGAGCACCGAAAGGCCAAACCACAAAGCTGCTATGTCTGCTGAGATATGAAGAAACTCGTTACTCAAGGTGTTGTTAACGATCGAACTCAGGCGTCTACTGTCTTGGCGTGGGTGACGAGGGGAAATCAAATATGAATGGACCAGAGTGGCTGGGCGGGCCGGAAACTTTGAGGCGGCCGGTTTCACTGCTGGGCTTAATGTTATTGGGCTTTAAAGTGCAAATCAGGCCTGGCTGGTCGAGGATTACCCTATTCGCATTCAACAAGTTTTGGGGCTTTGCTTCTTGTCCGGTGTTCAAATGATTACCGTGGTAATAACCAAACAAATTAAGTCTAAATTTTATTAACTATGAAATAATGTTTTAACCAAATCGTCCAAATTAACACGAAAACCAAATTAACCAAACCAAAGTTTAATTGGTTTGGTTAATCTGATTAACCAAATAATATAACATTACATGAAAATAATTATCTTGTTAATAAATAAAACATAACCATATGTGATTACTATCATAAAATATCATTATATATAAGCAATAATAATAAGACTAACCATGATTATCATCATCATTCGAGTTAATACATCATTCATCATAATTGCACCTAATATAGTTAGCTTACAACAAACCTTTAACATAAGTATTAAATACATACCAATACCACTCATCAGGAAGTTAAAGCTCTCGTACAAAACACTTAAACTATACATTGTTTGAGGTGGCTGTCATGGTATTGTACGTAATCCTAAAGTCTAGTAGCTGTCCAAAATGTTTTGGTTTAGTAAATAGGCAGGCCCATTTAATTTTTGACCATAATGCTTTGATTTGTTGTGCACAAGGAAATAAAATAGGGAATCACGAAAGTTTGGTTTGGTTGGTTGCATGAAAGTATAAATAATTTTGTATATTAGGTGTATCATTAATTGGTTAATTGGTTTCATTGGTTAGCAGTGTCTAAACCAAACCACCCTAAATCAAATAAGCTAAATTCTTTAACCAAACCAAATTAACCGAATACTCCCGATTAATATGATTACCACGGTAACCAATCCGTTTGAACACCCCCTATCCTTTTGGCCATGAATGAACAGAAGTACAGGTCTCGATGGTTACACAACTAAGGTTTATATGCAAGCTAAGCAAAATTAAGGAGGTTGTTAAGGATATTAAGACATTTTTTTTTCGAACTAGGCATATGTTTAAGGATGAAAAATCTACACTCTCTAATATTGAGGAGACGATTTATATTGCAAAATATTTATTTGCTGGTTGATTAAAATTCTTATTAACCGACTCACGTCTAGCTAAATCTTGTTCAAATAGGGAATGTATGTTCAATAAATTTTGGTAAGGGATCAATTTAATATGTGATAACATCCTTATAGTATTACTCAGATAAATTTTATGTAAATCTTATGTTTTGTGAATCTACTCAATTATGATGTTGTACAGGTGGACTAGAAATATGATAGGATAAATACACACTTAATATCATTAAGCTTTTGCTCTTGGGTGGCTGAAAAACAACTAAACCAAAGGAAACTAGTTTTGGTAAACTCAAAGTGAAATTACTGGAGCATATGCTTAGTTTGTAAAAAAGAGATGGAGAAAAAGCTAAAGGTTTTAAAGGGCTTAGAACATGCTTGGCTTGTTAAAAAAACTTTATATTTACAAAAAGCTTTAAGGGTAAGGGAGATAGAATTTTTAACTTTTTTAAAAGACTAAACCAATTTTTATCGTGGGCTAGTTTGAATTGGATAAAAAGTTCCATTTGTAAAATTTCTTTTTTTCCTCCTCCCTTTTCTTTCTCTTGTCTTTTAGGGGAGCTTTCTTTAATTTATGGGATTGACCATTACACTATTTGATAGAATTTCAACTCTATTGCCTGTGCTTAAAAATATGTAGTGAAACCTTTTTTTGCTTTGTTTTGAGAGCCTTTGAGCTTGAGCTTTTTTTTTTATATATATGGATCCTTTGAGCTTGAGCTTTAGAAAGGGCCCCGACTGACCATATGGCAAACAATGATTAAAGAGGCACATTAGTGTTACCTCTTTTATGAGCATGACCACATCAAAGTGTTTTCTCTTTGTATTTGACATAATGAACTCGACTGCCTTAGGGGCAGTTAGGTCCATGCACTCTAGCTGGTATGAAACTTTTGGATTGCATTACAAAATTATGCATGTTCCAGATTCATACATTCATATCGAAGTAGAGCTATGTGTAGTCTATGAAGAGAGATATATGCTTTTGAAATTTTGGTATGAGGTTATAGTTTGTGTATGCAATTAGCCCCCTGCTACCCCAAAACTCGTGAATGTTATATCCTTTGCGGAGATTTAATTCGTCTCAATAAATCGAGTATTCACTTGCACGCTGATCTCTATCAGGGTGAAAATACCAAGTATAAATCTTACAAAGTTACCTTACATACTTCGATTTTAGTATAACTATGAATTCAGGTTCCAATCAATATATCCATATATAACTAGATGCCTCGTGGATTGTTTGAATGAAAATTTCGTAAAATGAGACATTTGACTTAATTAAAATGAGATATTTTAGAAAATTCATCCCATGAGATCGACTATTATAAGCATCCTATCGGAGACATTTCACAATGTCTCGTGCACCAGTTGTCTTATGTTATCTTCACTTTCCAAAGCAAGACAAATCATGTTGAGACAGTTGCTCTAATTATCTAGTTAAAGTATCCCTCTAAACGACCCATCTCGAAGTATTCAACCGAGTTTTGGAAGAAACATGTTGAATGGTGAACTATAAAGGCACATTAAATAGTATGAATTGATATGCATATGACTTGAAATCTCCAATGGCCTTAAACTTGACAAAAGAAGAAGTTGTCATAGGCATAATTCCATTGAGGAATTGGAGGGACAGCCACCAAGTTACATGCATGAATCATGATTAAATAAGATGGGGGAAGAAGAAGTACTAGTACTACTTGACTTCACTAAAATCAACAAAGCTTATGAAGCAACATAAAGCTAGCTAGCCAACCCTAAAGTGAAACCCAAAGAATCTTGCTAAAAGCTATGTAATGGAGTGTAGTTTTACATGCATCACTAATGGAAGTGTGTGTGCTTTTTGACCATTAAAATAAAAACACAAAACAATTGTATTTGATACCCCAAGAGATAGGTCAATGAGAGGGAACCACATGAAAGGTGGTTACTTTGTTAGCTTCTACTTTGGAATCCTATGTGAATTGTTCTATTTAATAATGTGTTTGTCTCAATAAGATTTCCGGCATTGGACCTTCAATTCATTAAACTACATAAAGTTAACCTAACCCTTTAATCGAATTGTAGCCACCATATAACAGCAAGTAATGGTGGATGGGCACCTGCCCATCTTAACTATATCTATATATGCTTTATCTTCCCATAATTGCCAATCAAATTTTTGATCATTAATATTAATCTATGTTCTTCTAATCTAGGTAAATACTATATAGCCATTTCAAAAAACTTGTGGGAATCATGACCTAAACTTCTAGCCCCGCTAATTATCCTTTCATCACCAACTTACTTATGCGCTGTTTGGCTGCATTATTCTTATGTGGTATTTGAGGCAGAATATAATGTACGTTTGGATTGACCAAAAATGAACATTATTAGACTTAGATCCAGTATTTTGGAAAAGTCATAAATGTGGATTAATTAAGAACAATTTCCACCCTGACCCAAGGTTGTCAACCGTGGTTCACTCGGATTGACCCGAACCGGGTTAGGAAAAAGAGTGTGACATATCTACGGGTATAGTAATGGCAATGGGCATAGGGGTGTTCAAACGGTGTGGTTACCATGATCGATAACCGTTTTAACCAGTACTATTTGAATAATTTGGTTTGGTTAATTTGGATAATTGGTTTGGTTTGGTTAAAGTTTTTAACTTGTTTGATTTAGGCGATTTGGTTTGGTTTCAGACACTCCTAATCCATTCAAATCCCAAACGGCCCTTACCTTATCCCACATTTGTGTCTTACGTTTCTCTCCTATCTTTTATTCTCGAAAACAAGAAATTTATGAAGATGAGGAATGGTGACCTAAAACGTGTCATATGTTATAATAAAGTCCGATATTGTGATCATGTGGTGAATGGCTTTGCGTCAATTTTCTGAAAGTAAAATGAAAGGTGAGTTGTATGTATGAATAATACTCCACAATAAATTTGGAATTGAACAACTTTGATGTTGGTCCAAACATCTATCCGAACGACGACAAACATCTAGTGGCATTGAAAGGTGGCAAAAAAAAGACGAGGATATACTGGTCCATATATATATATACAGACGTAACTCGTAAGTGCATGGAGCATTGCTTTTTTCATAGATAGATAGATAGGAAGCTCGACAGGCAATGGTGGTGGTGTTCAATTTTACAGGACATTATTGTTTCATGTCAAATATTATATTCCTTGGACCACCTTCCCTTTACACTACTTCAGCTTTAAAGCTGCTAGCCAGTAGTATATCTAAAGTCTAAACTAAAAGAAAGCTGGCTTACTATTAGGAAGAATATAATTTTCTTTATGGAAAACTGAATGAGATATTTGATTATGAAGAATTGTAACCAAGTTTCTATATATCCAATGTGGTGTCAATATTATCTCGATTAATTTCTTTTAAATCATTCTTGATAGGAGCGTTCGAATCTGGAGATCGAGAGTTTTCAGTTTTGTCAATGTTTTGTGGCACTTTGTAGGAAAATAAGATCGAGGTGGAGAGATTTCTTTTCTATTGAGGTAATTAAAGTACGAATTAAAGAAGTGGAGGAGGGAGGAACACACATAATAACCGGGAGATTGGAACAAAGAAAACCCTAAACTGATCAAGAACCAAAAAAGGACGCTGAGACCATCATCGTAGAGTGCTTACTACATGTTCATACTAATAATAATAATAATAATCAACCCAACAGCTAGCAGAGAAAATCTCGAAGCTCACAAAATGCTGAAATCATCATCATCCTTCCTTCCTTCCTCCACAGTCCACATAGCTAGCCTTCCACCATGCAACCAGAATTTAATCCTTCTAATTAATAAAGCTTACTACTTTCGCTCCATTGAAACAAAGTTGGTAGAAATCCAGAAAGAAAAAGAAAACAAAGAGAAGGGACCAAAATTAGCAGAGACCCAAAATAGGAGTAGTGACCACGACCCATCGTTTTGCCCTTCTTATATGATCTAAACTAGCTTGCTAGCAGCAACCCTTCTTCTCTCTTCTGATGTTTCCGACGATGCGCCTAGAAAAAAATTAAAGTCTTAAATCGTGTTAATATTACACGTACCGTTGTAGCAAATTTTCATAAAATTATTGTAACACTATCATAAAGGCATCACAATTCACAAACATGAACTTCAGTCGATGTAAAGGATTGGTACAATTGAATATTAGATGCTTCACGAGATTATAGAACAATATTGTATGTGGAAAATAAACATATACGTACCCAAAAATGCATGGGGGAAGTTTTTCGTTTGGCAACGGCTTAATAGGGAGACTTGTTGCCGCCGGCGCCGGCAATGGAGGCTTCCCTTGGCGCATTGCATCTGTAGCACTCGGTCCTGCTTGCAAAGTTGTGCTCGTTGCACCCAACCCTATAATAAAAAAAAATTATTATTATGATTAAACATAACGTTTTCAATAGTATAGGTGGCTATTTGTAAATAACCAAACGTACCTAGCGCAAATCCAGTCACCAGATTTCCAGCCGGAGCGGCTGCTTCCACCACCGCCGCCTCCTCCTCCTCCTCCTGCTCCAAAGCCGTAGCCTCTGATGCGAGACATGTCACCGTCGAACCCGCCGCCGCCGGAGGATTCGTCCTTGGAAGCAGCGCACTTGAAGCAGCTGGAGCGGCTGGCGAAGTTGTGGGCTCCGCAGTTGCCGACGGTGCAGTACCAGTCCCCGGGCCTGACATCCGGCCCAGCGAAGCCGAACGAAGCGGGCCCAACTCCCATGGGCCTACCTCCTCCAAAGCCGCCAAACGGGTCAACTACCCCGCCGCCGCCGCCAGATCCGGGCCTGGGCTCGCCGCATCGCTGGCAGGAGTCCCGACGCTGGAAGTTGAGGTGCTGGCACGCCCTGCAGTTCCAGTCCCCCGGTCTACTCATCTGGCGCAGAACAAAACAAAAAAAGAGAATACGTCATTTTTCATTAGAGGAAACCATTAATCGTTTGTAATCAGAGTGTGGTGGATGTTCTCATAAGATCGACAAAGACGATCTATCGTCTTACCTTGAGTCGAGTGAGGTGAGATGAAACGAAGTTAACAAAGGTGGGAATGTATATATGTGATTTAGAAAGCTAATGAAGCTACGGCTAGAGGGATAAGTGGGTAGGGGAAGTTTGGGGTTGGGTTTGTTTATATATAGACATGGAATGAGAATGAATATAAGCCTCGAGATATGGAGCAGAGATTTTGGAGACAGTGGAGTTACGTTGTGTACTCTTTGAGAGTGAGCTTTGCTTTGTTTCTTTTTACATAATATATTCTTTTTCACTTTGGGGTGGGTTGGCCTTGGACAAAGGAATCACTAGGGACTATAATTAGATGAATAAAGATACAGTGAGAGAGAGAGAGAGAGAGAGAGGCAAAATAAAGTTGTAATTTTGAAAATCAAGATTCTCATACTTGAAATTTCAGAAAACAAAAACCGAGAAAAAGGAAAAGTGAAAGGGGAATTCATTCATTCAACCAAAATTTGGATAAAGTTGGTGATAGTTGGCTAAATTGTGTTGAACAGGCTCTCTCTGTCATCTTTTTAGGGTTTCTCAGGGAGCACCAGCTGGAAGTGGATGTGGTGTGGTGAGATAGGGCATCAACCAAATGTAGAGGAGATTAGAGAACAAGATAGTGGACTGGTGCTGGTGCATGCCCTCTCTGAAATAAGACTCCATTTTTCCTTTCGATTCAACAACCAATAATATTTCTTTGAATGCATTTAGATTGAGATTTCGGGTCTGAAGGTCTTTGGTTAGTACCACTAAAACAATGTATACCAGCACAAAACCAATTATTCCGCTTGTGAAGGTTGGCACTACTCCATCACCGTAAAGTCGGATAATTAGACGCTAAAACCTGATTTCACAAATGGTAAACTCGGAGATCAATTTAATTAAAAAGTGATTGTCAATTTATCATCGATGGAAACACGTCGAAAATATCATATTCGAATTATACAAAAAATACTCAAGACATACGCGATAACCCAAAGCATCGAGAAATCAATTTGTTTAGAGGCGGGATGGATATATCATATATATATATATATGCCATATACATGTAGCTAGAATGCGTAAGTCCGACCCCACGAAAAGCTTATACATTGCAACCTGTAATCGCAACATATAAACATATTGTAGACAGAGAAGCAACTAAAAGCACAACACTTTTTTGACTGGTTTATATTGGACTTGTGGCTAAACCCTCGCAATTAAGCATTCAGAACTGTTCATTTTCCGGCTTCTTTGGCAACAATGAAATCTTTGACTGGCAATTATATTGCCGGGACGAAAAAAGAAACGAAAAGAAAAGAAAGGGAATTAAAATCGAAGCATGGAGGTCTATTCCCATGCATGGTTCGAGATACCAAAGTAAAGATTTGAGGGAGGGGTTGGATAAGGAGGAACAAATTTTAATTCTATTGCTTTTTTCCTTCTTTTGTCGCTTCTTAACGAAACTGAAATTCGCTACTTGTTGCCAGACAAATTGAATATTCATTCCACACTTACATAGCCATCCATATATCACTGAAAATTTTGTCTAATAATATTCTTCAAGTCCAACAGTACCCCACGCCCTATAATATTCCTAATTATCTGCGGCCAACACAAAACGAAAGGAAAGTAGGGAAATTTCTCATTCGAATGCCCTCTAATATCCATATTTAGCGTTCCCATTGTAATATATTGACATTTTAGAAATATTGATAAAAATAACGTCAATGAATTTTTTCTTACTCGAAGTCATAGAAATTAAAGCCATGAGGTAAAATGAGTGGGAGAAAACAAAGTAATGTAATAAAAGAAAGAGTTGTAGAAATGAAGGTAGTTCAGTTTTTTAAATCACAACTCGACAATACATAGGGGTCGTTTGCTTGTTGGATTTAGGTCATGGATTTGGTACCCAAATCCCAAGCTTCATGGATTTAACATAAGTCCATTGTTTGTTGAAGGGTGTTAAATCTCTGGGGTCCACGGATTTGGTCTTTATTTTAGAACCAAATCCGTGGACCCCACGGACTTGTAAATCCCACATATTGATTTGGGATTTGCAAATCCTTGATGGTTAGTTATTTATTTAACAAATCCATCACAAATCCATCATCAAATCTATCATGCAAACATTAGACTCTTCAAATCCATAATCCAATAAATCCAACATAAATCCCAAGATTTTTATTGGCCAAAACTCTCATTTTTCAAATCCAACAAGCAAACGACCCCATAGTTCACATTTCCGTTTGTTAGAGAATTTCATCTAAACAAAAGACATGCATTTTCACCAATTCATTGTGTTGTGTCCACAGTTTATGTATATGCGGAAGCCGAAATCTAATTTATCCAGAAAAAAAGTAGTAATTAATACTCGGGAAGTTAAGTATATAATCTCTGGACAGGCAGCAGCCGAAATCACTTTTGCGTTACTTCGACCATTTTTCTTCATTAGTTAGCTTCTCAGCTTTAATAACTGGAGGATAGTATATATATGTAACTCTAAATTATTCATTAGAACTTAGAAGAAACTTAAGCATTTCCTCTCTAATCTTTTGGATATAAATATCATGGTAATCATCGTCATCTTGTATCATCATATGAAGTAAATTATTATTTATATGCAGATTTTCTAGAGGCACGCAGCACACAGATATGGAACAGATATCCATAAGTAAGTATATATATTGGAATTGGAGTATGGAATACGGGATAGCATTATTTTACTGCGGGGTTGCAGGGTTTCACTCGTGCGTGTCAGTGTTGGTAATTAGGAGAGGATACTGAATAAACTTGTGTTTGTCTTACTGCTTCGAGATTTTCTCTCTTCTATTGTTTGCAAATCCGATGGAACACATCTACAATCTACAACAACTCGAGTTGGTAGGCGATTTTAGCGGTATGAAATGGTTGAATCACAATTATTGGTTTTTAGTATAAAATATCTTATCACTAAAATTTTCCAGTATAACTTCCGATACGATTTTACAATTCTTGTTGTTTTCTAAGTAAATCCTCTTCTCATATAGCTGCAGTAGGTGGTTAGTTGGGAATGTTACATATAATTGAACAAACATGACATCTGTTTTTTTTTTCCGGAGTAATTACATCCAGTTAAAAATATACCGATCCAATCACACGAGTAATTGATTCCGCATTTGATAGTACAAGAAGCGACAATGAGAAATGGATAATCATAAAATTGAACTAGTGATAACGTGAGACCATATCGCAAGTGCATATCGCGAGGCGCGGACAACGGGCAGTAAAAATAAGTGAAGAGTGAGGGGTTGCATTGGAAGGGGTGGGAGGGAATATTATTGGATTCTGGGGAGGGGAGAAAACATGGAATGGTAGAGTTTCGATAAAGATGGTGTAAGGGGGGGAGTTTATGCTGCTGATGATGATAGAAGGCAGAGAAACCTTCCTTTCCTTCCAGAGGTTCAAAATCTTGACCCAATTTTCTGAGTTTTGTTTTAAGTATTACACATACACAGTACCCTTTTCCTTTTCCTTTGCTCCTTAATGACTTTTTCTCTGTCATTTTCCTTTTCCTCTGCTGGCCTCTTGGAATTTAGATTGGGTTTTTCTTTCTCTTCGAAATTAAGTAAAGGAGAGCTTTTGCCAGACGGAGAGAGGGCACTAATTTAAGTTAGAATTTAATTAAACAGACTTTGTGAAAAGTGGGGAGGAAGAGAAAACATGAAAGCCACCATTTTTGCCTTGGGGAGTGGTAAAGAAAGGGCTCTCTCTCTATCTCTCTGAGCTGTGGAAAAGCAGCAAATAAAAAGAAGCAAAAACATTAAGCAGGGTGGAGACTGAACAACAGACAGAAGAGAACTGATTCGATTCTCTCATCGGGAACTGCTTCAATTCCATGCAAAACTACTCACCCCCATACACCAACGTATACTTACTTCCCTTTTCCTTTTTACCCTCTCTCTCCAAGCAACAAGCCAACTCATCATCATCTTCTTGAGTTCATGATTTCCTTCTACGATACCCACTTTCCCAATTCCATGCATTTGTTGTCCTTTCTTTTTATGCAAGGGTGGTATTACGTTTGTTCTAAGTAAGGTGCTACTTGTTACAACAGTTGATCTACACCTAATATAATACGCTGAAGAAAAAAACGGGAGCCCCATTTTAAAATTCATGCCTCCATAGCATTTCACGGAGGAGTATTTTTGGAAAGAGAATCTTTTATCGTCTGCACTCTTGCGGAACTGAACGGGCCGAGTGATTATCAGGGCCCGCGAACAAAAAAACTGTTTCTAGCTACGCGGAAGCAACCCAGAACGGTTATCCCGCACCGATCTTCCAGTTCCCCCGTCGCACCGACCCTCCTCCTGTGCAAGGAAGCTACAGGTGATGAGGTTTTTGTAAGTCACCCGATGCAACCAAAGGACGATCTGCACTCTCCATAGGTAAGCTTTCACATTCTAACAATTCTCTAGAGGAAATCACAATGAAGGCCGAGGGAGGGAGGAAATTGTTGCTTTGATGGACAATCGTCTGGATTTGAAAATCAATTGGAATTCGAGGGGTTTGGCAGACTAGAAGGAGGCAAAGATGAGGAAAGGTGGGAGGAAGAAGGCTTTGGATGGTCGGGAAGGAGAAGAGAAGGCAAGCTTAGGAGGGAGAGTGGTGGTGATTGTTGATTAGATGGTAGATGCCTGATGAGTTTTACCTGCTTTCTCCCGATGCCTGCTGCCTTGAGGGGTCTTTATTCCGTTTGTTTCTCCCACTTCCGGGTACTAATCGGGACTCTTTCTTTAATTTAAGTGGTTTTGAGCCTCCTTGGTTGGTACAAATATTCTCGGTATATTGGGTTTGTCCCTGATTGGTTTAGATTTTTTGATCCGAATGAGTCCTTGATTGGTATAGATATCCTTGGTTGGTATGGACGTAATGAACGTTTAGAGGTTCATATGCTAGGTATTTTCCGTTTAGAGTGTTTCACATTTCTGTCATCAATACATAGTTTCATAGCATACATTGAAGCTTTCTCTGCTATAAGATTTGTTGCTTGCTGATAATTTTATCTGTATTGATGACAGAATTGGGAAGACTTCTACTACAATTGGGAAGCATTGTAGAAGCTACTGGAACAACTTCTCTCATATTGGGCATCACCTCCATGCAAGTGATTGAATGGATGGGTACACTTTGTTGTTTGCTGACAACTATATTAACTTTTTTCTTTACAAAAACGACATGTTGAGTGTTGTGTTTTTGTTGTCTTGGTTTGTAGGAGAACACTCTTTCTCCTCTTCGTCATCAATGAATGGTTTTCCAATATTGATATCTTTGAAGTCATTGCCATTATCTCCGGGTATGCTTGCACTATTTTATTTGGATGTTAGAAACTATATAGTGGAATTTAGCTGTTAAAGTTCATTAATTTCTTTTTCAATTCAGGAATATTGAAAGTAACACACCTATTTTGATGGAGAAGCACACACCTGGAAATTCCCATAGTTACTATGGCCGAGCTTCAAGGCTTGAGTTTATACCAACAAAATAAGGCCATTTCCACTACCATTTTCTACTTGCTTATCAAAGATATATTCCACACACATCCATATTTGAATTGCCATTGTTTTATAGCACAATGTTTATTTTGTTGAAGACAAAGTGGTGGATATGAAACCTATATGGTGTTACATGATTTGTAGGTTTGGAAGGAAAGTCGCGGATCATCATACCCATTGGCCACAACTTATAAGTTATGACATGAATTTCCTCTTTCAAAAGTGAAACAGAGTTTGCCCCTATGAAACTCCACCACTCTCCATCTTTTATTGCTACTATATATAAACACTAGCCACTACACAAATCTCTTCTCAAACTTTCTTTGAGGCATCATTTTTCTTTTAATTATCAAGTCCCGAACGAAACCTAAACCAAAACTTCCCCTTCTTCCTTCAGATTCGCAACAAGTAAGGCAACAGAGGCCAGTAATTACAAGGCTTCCCTGGTGACTCCTTCATTCGAGAATTGTACCTATATGTTTGTTGCTCATCTTTTTTTATGGTAAAGACTCGAGTAGTATTCACTTGATTTTTAACATATAGTAGTAGGGTTGAATTTTAGCAAGTAGCAGTTGGGTTGCATTTTGGAATACTTTTATTAATACTATATTTTACAATTTTTCATCCGAAAAAATAAGTTCCCAGTTTTAATCGGATTGGAGTGGGTTGGTTTACCCCATCCTCCTATGACTAGCAACATTCAATCTATTATTGTTATGCCAGCACTCTTGAAATTTCCAAATTTTGAATTCTATTTTATAATAATTCTAGCTAACGAGACAATTACCATGCCAAACTCCAATTATTCTTTACTTTCAAACTATCTATTTGAAAATAAAAAATTGTGAAAGAAAAGAGAAGACTGCAATTTGCCATTTACACATCACTGCTTCGGGAACAAAACCATATAAATTCGAAAGGAAACTGAAAATATTTAGGATCATTTTAATGTTATAAAATAACCAAATGAATCTTTCTGTTTAGCATTTTACTAACAAATACTAAACGATTTCCTATAAAATACACTATAATTTTATCATTATGATATCAAATAATTACATAATATATATTTGAAATGATAAAAATTGGACTAATCGGGTTGGTTGAGGTTGAACCATTTAATAACTTTAAAATACATTATATTTTAGTCACTAAGATATAAAATAATAGCATAATATATGTTTTAAATTAGAAAAACTAGACTAATCAAGTTGGATCCTAGGTTAACCATTTAACCCTTTCCGTGAATTGATGAATGGATTGTTCCATTCGAATTAATAACTTTAACGACAAGATGAAAGTTTTATAAAGAAAATTAATCAGCCAACGGGCCGAGTTAAAGCTAGCAAAGATTATGAGATGCTCATTCCCCAAAGACCGACGAAATATGCAATTTTTATTCGGTTTCTATAATCTTACTCTACCTCATCATATTACCAGAAATAATACTGTTTCACAAGGTAACAGGTACTCGAACTTGGTTCATAAGGCTGATTTTTTATTCGTGACATCATCCATGCCTCCTTCTTGCTAAATTCACTATCTTTATCACGTGTTTTCAAAAAAAAACTATACAATAATAAGCTATACACCCCAATACCCCCATTACATTCTCAAATTTTATACCTCATCGGCCAACTGGCTGGGGCTCCACGCTAGTACTTGATAATAGATTCAAACGTGAGATCATCATATTCAAAAGGGCTAATGCCACTACAACACTCGAACTATGACAAAAATGCCACTTGTGTCCTATTCTTTTCAATATTTCATTTATGTCATTTCGTATGTTCCTTTTTCTCATTTATGTTCTCCCGATTTCGTTAAGCGCTAAAGATAACGGTTGACTAGACGGAGGTCAAACTATTGTTGAATTTTGCTAACTTGGAAAAAAATGTGGCATCCACATAGGCGCCATGTCATTTCCACATAATATTTTAATTCAAAAATATATCAAAAATATATTTTAAATATTTAAAAAATTAATTCAAGAATATTGCTAAAAATATTATAAAAAATAAAATTCAATATAAAAAGTTCATCTTCACTCCTCCGCCTCCTCCTTCTGCTCGCGACCAGGGAATCGGAGAGGGCGGGGATCTATCATTTGGGAGAGGAGATCCACCACCGACACTATCCTCACCGCCGTCGCCTTCCTTCTTTGTCGCTTCGATTTCCTGCTCACCCGACCCTGCATATTCAACACCAAGTCCCAGACCTTGCTCCATCGCTGCTGCTTCCTGAATCTCCCATTAATTCAGTGGAATGGGTTTCACCGACGATGGCGACGAGGTGGAGGAGGGTTAGAGAAACCGGGATGGGGGTTGTTGTGATTTGGGGCTAGGGTAGGGGGTTGTTGCGATTTGGGGATGGGGGTTGTGCTTGGGTCTTTTGTTTTCTTCTTTTGGCCGTCGGTGGTGGCATCCCTCTGTTGTGCCCGTTTCTGCACAGAAAATCTCTAAACCCAGATCTCCCAACCAGAGCCATTGAGGAAGAAATCGAGAGAAGGGTAAGAGAGATAAAGCAACCGACGACCATTTACCCACCATCATCGTTGTCTCCCAAATCTGAGTCGCTCGTATCAGTCCGACGAGTCATCAAAGTCCTGAAAAGAAGACAAAGACTCCGCTCTTCTTTCTGGCGTAGTTATGGGGTTTGACGATTTGGGGACAAGGGTTTCGAAATTGAAAATGAAGATGAGGGAGAAGAAGAGGGAGATGGTGACGGTTATGGGGTCGGAGAGTGCTATGTGTGGTGGCCGCCGATTAGTCTCCGAGTGGAAGAGGAGAAGCAGGGAAAGGGGACGGGGGTAGAGATTTCTGAATTTCGTTTTCCATTTTTGTAATTTTTTTGGGTAATTCTTTTTCTTTTTTTAGTAAATTTTGATATTTCTTATTTTATTAATTTTTTATGAAAAGGGTAGTTTTATCTCAAGCAAGGTTGTAAAACTCCCATTCGGCCGGCCGGTTCAATCGGATCTAACCAAAATCGGTCGTTGGAATACACTTGGTTGGACAGTTTTGAAAAAAAGGCCTGGCAAATAAGGTTTGAAGATTGAGGGTTGATAATTTTGCAATATATACTTTGAAAAAAATATGTTGGTGATGTATGAATGTAAATTAGTGAGATTGTTTTAAAATTTGTCAAATATATGCATAACTTATTTGACATTAGAAATCAGTTTGATGATTTAATCAGATTTGACAACCTTAATTTCAAGAGACTCTTGTTAAATCAATTGAATATTGGCCAAAATCCTCGCATTTCCAATTCTCAGGAGAAGAGGTGTGATCAGTGATCATATTCGTGGGGGTATCATGGAGTTCACACATCATCCTCACCATGTGCATTTGAACGTATTCATTTTAATTTATGTGCATCACATGATTGGAAGTAAGGGGTAGTTTGGAGAATATGAGTTTAAATCTATAGATTGTCAACAATCTAAAGATTCTAACTTTTCGGATTGTTGAAAATAGATTTTAAAATGTTTATTGTTTGGTAACTGTGATTGTTAGTATTCAATGAAAATTAAAAAAAAAATTTATATTAAATAACATGTTTGTTCTGTATAAAAAATTAGAGTGGTTCGAGAAATATTAAAAACTTTGTTGATAAATATATTTAATATGATAAATAAATAAAAGAAAGAGGAAAAGTATGAGTAAAAATCTCACGAATCAAGATATAGAATCTCTCTGATTATGAGAGATTTTATATCCGTAGATTTTAGAGATTTGAAATCTCTAAAGCTCAAATCCACAATACAAAAAGCAACAAAAAAACATAACTTTCTACAAAATCTACGGATTCAATGAATCCACGCCCTAAATCCCGTTCTCCAAACGACCCCTAAAATGCATTCATCTTCTAAAATCACACCTTCAAACACCATAGTTTTCAAAGACACAAAAGCCAAATAACTCAAGAAGGGATGCAATGTTGAGTTGAGAGGAAAAGGGGCTCTCGATTTATGATTTTGATGAGGAAGGAAGGAGATGAAGTCGTTCGCAGAAGTGTTTTGTGGGTGGCGGTCTCGGTAGGTTTGGGATTTCAGGCCGATTAGTTGCGGTACACCATTTTTCTTATCAGTTATTAAGCGACAAGTGACCGATTATCGAGGAAGGCATAATCCTCAATTGACATCAACATCGATACATGAAGGCTTTTAGTGGTTTTTGGTTAGCTGTCTAACTGATTTTTCGAATCTATTTTCCAGTTAGATCGTGTAAACGACAACTGTTTATCAGCTCTATCCAGGAGAGTGGACATGAAGAGAAGAGCGGGAGATAATTAAAATTAATTGAGATTAATGAGCGATATGGTCACTCTATTCAACTATATACAACATATTAGGTATTGAAATTTTAGTTGGGAAAACTAAAATACCAAATTGGATGTATCAAAACATGCTAGCCACTACATCTACCAGATCCAGATGGTGAAGTTGAACCGAGTGAATATGAGCCATAAACATTTGCTTAAAACTAATTGAATATCATTACTACAAATCAAGAAAATTGATAGCTATTAAACGTAGTTTATCACATAACCTAACACCAATTATCTAATAGCCAACACAAAATATTGTGTTGATAGTTATCATATTTTAAAATGATCGATTTTATGTTGTAAATAAAGTAAAATATATAAAAGATAATCTTAATTTAATTGAATCAATCACGACTAAAATTTTGGTAAAAGAAAAAATAGTATTTTATTATAGAATGTGCATTAACAACTTAATATATCATGTGATTTTGCAGGTAATGTCCCACCAGCTACCCACCCTGCCACCCACCCAAAATTAGTGGATGACAAAAACAATGACCCACACCCACCCACCACATTCATCCAAACATGTAATGGGTGGGTTATAATCGGATGAATTTGGGTGGGTCTAGCGGTTGACCTATCTATTGCCCATCCCTACTCTAATCTTAAGTAATATCTTACTATCTTGGCTCACCTATATCCTAAAAATAAATGCTTTGGTAAAAGTTTCAAGTTATCCAAAATTCAGGAACTAATAATAAATCTAATAGGCTAATAATACAGGACTGAACCACTAATCATGGTAATAATTAAAAATTATTATTGTAAGGCAAACTGTAAAACAGAACTACCTAGGGCTGTTAGTCGGTGCGGTTTCGGTTTAACCGAACCGCACCATTGGTTAGCCGAGACCGAGAATCACCCATCAGCGCCAACCGAAGCCGAGACCGATGGGGTCTTCGGTTAACCGACAACCGCAACCGGCGGTTTCGTTTTTTGGATGCGGTTTGCCGAGACCGCATGGCCTATCTTCTTCTCCTTGTCCTCTTCCCTACCTTCGAGAAGGACTGGCCACTAGTATGTTCTTCTGTCGGAGAAGGAAACTGGAGGAAGATCCCACCACGACGGGAGGACTGGCAGGCGGGCGATGACGACGGCTGCGGCGCCGGCGGAGAGGGTTCGAACTCTGGAGGAAATCGGAGATGCCGAGATGGTGTGGTAGCGGGTGTATTTTTTGGGATTTAGGGTTCTTCCGGTCCTCCTCTCCCATTAGATTTCGATTTCTCCAGGCAAAAGAAGAGAAAACTCCTAAACCTATTTCGCCAGGCGCCGCCGCTAGATCTCCCCTCGATTCGTCGCGTCTGTCACCCGTCGGGCGCCGCCGACAGCTCTCCCACTCTCCAACATCGTCCTCGTCCCTACTCCCTCTATCCGTCGTCCGCTCGTCACCCCAACTCAAACCCCCAACTCTGCTCTGTCCATTGGGATTTGCTGGGCAAAGATTCGAAACTCAAAAGGGAAGGAGGAGTGGGAATCGACAACAGAGGAGGGAGTGTTCGGAGAGAAGGTTCGGCGAAGTCGGGTGGGGGAATTGGGGATGTGGAGGGCGGCGGTGGTGGCCTGGTGGAGGCTGGAGATGGAGAGGATAGTGCCGCCGATGCGGGATGAGGAGAGGGAGATGAGAAGGTTTGTCGGTTGCAGCGGTGCACCGAGTTTGATCTCGGTTAGAAACCGACAACCGACGGTTAGCTTAAAGCACAAAATCAGCCTACCGACGCCGACACCGAGGCAAATATATCAGTTTTTGGTTAGATTAATAACCGCGATTTTTGATTCGATTTTCAGTCCAACCGATTATCAGCCCTAGAACTACCTACTTGGATGTAGTCATGTTGGGAACTTGGGATCATATCTGCTTCCATTCTGCCCAACGAACAAATGTGAAGCGGGGGCCTGTGGGCTGTGGCCGTCCAGAAAGTAGAATCACCCCAACTAGTGGGTTTACGAACAATAAACGGGCCCATCTTGTTAAATGCGGTGAGGAGTAAACCCATTTGTTTGGACTCCGGATACCCGACACGGCCCATTAACGGAATCCAATTTAATTCAACCTTTCACACGAGTCACGCCACCAAGTCACAAGTCACAACCGTTCCACCCAATTCGGTTCCACCATTTGCAATTTCTGAACCAGGAACTGGTAATCAACTAATCACCCTCTGCACTTCCACCTTTAGCCTTCAGGGGACTCTCCAATGGAGTTAATCGTTTTCTCAAAACCCAGAATCATCGACCCCCATAGCTTCTGCATCTGCCAATTCCTCGCACACCGCGATCCCGGCTGGAAACGGCACATCTCAAACCCCTCCATACGCGCGCGCGCACCAGTCCACCACTTCCCAATCAACTTCTTCCTTGCCCAAGATGCTATCAATCAGAAGCTCAGTTGGCGTCAAGGCTTCAAATTAATCGTGCAGCTGGCAAATCGCACACTGAATAATTTCACCACACGTTCCAGATTTGTTGAAGTGGTGGTTATTGTTCTTTCTGTCCAAGGATAACACGATATGTTGCAGTATCATCCGAGAAGCTTTCATATCAGCACCATCCATTCAGAAAACACAGGTACGAGTCAATCCCAATTTCAAATGCGGAAACTGCGAATTACATTTTATGTGGTTGCCTTGCGGTTTGAAGCGGGATTATAACGAATTCGGGTTAAATATTGCATAGAGATAAGAAAAAGAAAACACCATAGTTTGGAACCTTTGAGTTTTGACACCTTTGGTTTCTCCAACCCAAGAACTAACAAAAGGTTTGAGTTCTACATTAGCAAGTATGGTGTGTCAACTTTGGTATTTTGGGCACCTTATGGTAGTGTATTGTCTTGATACGAATTTGGCTCTATCCCATTTCGAAATGAGGGCTACATAATTTAAAATCGTTTTTAAAGAGCTACCAATGTTGATATTATATTAAGAATCTGCTCCTCCTCCGGAGAACGACACGGTTTTTGGTAAAATACCCCTCCATTTTTGTGTAACAAAACCACCTAGCACATGGGAGGCAAAGTTCGCGCAACCCAGTAGAAAAACTGTCCCAAATAACGTGCTGTTCTAGCACTTGTAGGATGAATGTGGTTAACGATAACATAGATAGTACGATCAGGGTTAAATTTAATCATTTTCAGCATTCCAAAGAGTCACACACATAGACATTAGAAAGGCTTGTAGAGTATCTGGTGTTCCTCTGGAGAGTAGTTAAGATCTTCCCCCGCCCTGGAATTTCATAGCTAAGCATTCATCCATGGTCGTCATTTGATAACATTGTCTGTCTCTTTGCTTTCCTGTCTATTGGTTCCTTGAATTGGTTATGTTGCTAGCGCCTGGGGGTGTCTCTCCAAATGAACAGATCAGAAAGCTTCTTTTTCAAGTCTTCTTCTTCCTGTTCCAGATATGAGCCCCCTCTTCCGACTGGAGAGTACGAGGTTTTCCTTAGCTTCAGAGGTCCAGATGTCCGCACAACTTTTTTTGATTGTCTCTACAGTGTTCTGGCTCGTTCCAAGATTAGAACCTTTAGAGACGAGGAAGAGCTTCGTAAAGGGGAACAGATTGCCCCCTCCCTTGTCCAAGCTATTATCCAGTCAAAGATTCACATCCCAATTTTTTCCCAGAGCTACGGTTCCAGCAAGTGGTGCCTTCAAGAGATGGTGGAGTGCTGGAAGCAGGGGAAAGGACACCTCATAGTCCCATTTTCTATTTTGTGAACCCTAGAGATGTGAGGCATCAAGATGGTCCTTTTAAGGAAGCATTTGAGCTGCATGATCAGAAACATGATGCAGCTACTGTAATTGAATGGAGGGAAGCCCTCCAAGAGGTTGGAAAAATGAAAGGATGGACTGTCCACAAATCTGATGGGTGAGGATAGAAACCACATATGAGAGAGTTTTGTTGGTTCCACACTTTCTATGCATTTAATTTAATTGCTTGTTGCACGATGACTCTTTCTTACTGTTCATTCCGGTTTGCAAGCAAGGAGCTATAATAGACGCGGTTTTCTCGCGAGTCGACTCATATCTGATGAGGAGTTACAAGTTGGTAGCTAATCAAAACTTGGTTGGGATTGATTTTCATGTTGAGCAGGTGGTGAGATTACTGAACCTGGATAACTCTCAAGGCGTGAAAATTGTTAGCATTCATGGTATAGGTGGCATTGGTAAACCCACTCTTGCCAAGGCTGTTTATGACGAGATCTATCCTCATTTTGATCATTGCTGCTTTCTGGAGGATGTACGTGAAGCATTGACCAAGAATGGTAAGGGCCTATTAAGTTTGCAGAACAAGGTTATCTCCAGCATATTGAGACATAATGATGATCCAGTTGAAGATGCTGATGCGGGTATTCACGTGATAAAAGATAGGGTCTGCAGACACAAAGTGTTTCTCGTTCTTGACGATGTTGATGAGATAATTGAGTTTGTCAAAACATTAGGAAAACTAGAAGATTTTTCAGCAGGATGTAGAATTTTGATCACAACTAGAGACAAAGTTTTGAACTTGCATCAAGAATATAAGTTGTATGAACTTGGAGAGATGCGTCATGACTATTCGCTTCAACTATTTAGCAAGCATGCCTTTGGAATGGACTACCCTCCAGAAGATTATGCTGCTCTGTCAGACAAATTTGTTCAAGCTTCAGGAGGCCTGCCGTTGGCGCTTAAGGTCATAGGGGCGCTTTTGTTTCGCAAGGGTCAAAAGGTTTGGGAAGAAAAGTTGTTGGAATTAGAAGAAGTCCCTCCTAGTAAGATTCAAGAAAGGCTAAAAATAAGTTATAATGCATTGACTTATGAGGAACAACAAATCTTTCCTGACATTGCTTGTTTCTTTATTGGAGAGGACAAAGTCTTGCCAATCTTTTTTTTTTTTTTTTTGTAAGAAGATTGGATGCAGAGCATCCAGAATTAGATTAAAATATCGCGCTCTTGGGAAGTTTCCCTAGCGTCATAGTTCAGCCAATACAGGAGTTTGGGGTCACACGTATCAAGCTGATGCGTGCCAAAATGGAGATCATGCCCCATGCTAGCTAAGAAATCAGCAGCAGAGTTACACTCCCTATAAACATGATTAATATTAACAGTCCAGCTACGACTAAGGAGTTCTTTAGCTTGAAGCGCAAGAAGTCCATGGTTGCTGCTGGTGTCTCCCTTTTCTTTCAAAATACTCACAGCTGTATTCGAGTCCAGATTGACTTCCACTTTCCTGTATCCCTTTTCCCAGGCAATCTTTAATCCTTCAACAGCCCCTTTGAGCTCGGCCCTAGTGATGGTGCAGGACCCCAGGTTACAAGCATAGGCTGCAGTGCACTTTCCAAGATGATCTCTCAGCAATCCTCCAGCAGCAGCACTTCGGTTGGACCTCTTGTAACTTCCATCGCTTTGCAGTTGGATCCATCCTTCCTTGGGTGGTTTCCATGAGATGAACCTCCTTTCTCTGTTGGAGGTTTTGACCAGGCCAATACAAGCCGAGTTAGTCACAGCATTGGTGTTGATAGTAAAGCAGGCGGAAATTCTTTTAATGAGGCCCATTTCAGAGAAGGATTTCCCCTCCATAGCTTCCTCATTCCTCTGTTTCCATAAACACCAACAGATGATCCCAAATTCCGTCCCTTTGCTCTGATCTTTCATGTTGTTGAGTAGCCATGTTTTGAAGTCCTGGCTGGGGTCCTGAGCAGTGATGAAAAAATTGAAGTGATTCCAAACACCCTCGGTCTTTTTGCATCTACGGAGGATGTGCTCCACCGTTTCTTCCGTGTTGTTGCAGTGAGGGCAGTTGCTGTTGGTAGTCAGTCCACGCTTTGCTCTTTCTTTGTTTGTCATCAACCTGTTATGGGTCACCAACCACATGAAGTGCTTAATCTTGTTCGGTCCCTTCCACTTCCATATCCCCTTCCAGATCGCATCTTCCTCCTTCCCAAGAGCGTCTGATGCAAGGCAGTAAGCAGACTTGAGGCTGAAATTGCCGTCTTGTTCTATGCCCCATTTATGCTTGTCTTCTCCCGAGCCTGGTAGAGGGACATCAGTGCCTGCAATTAAGGCCAGGATCTCAACAGGTAGGAGACTGTTGAGCCTTCTCCAGTCCCAGGTTCCTTCCTCTGTGGTCCACTCCGCAACAGATGAGTTCAGGTCCTCCTCACTAAGGTCTTCCTGAAGAAAGTCCTCGAGGATGGTTTCGTGGTTGATCCAGGGGTGAGTCCAAAAGCCAGTTGTAGTTTCATCACAAATACTCCAGGCAGTAGCTTGTTTCATCAGTGGCATGGCTCTCAGGACAGCTTTCCACAAACTTGAATGGTTGCTTTTTTTCATAGAGACAATCCTTCCATCCTTGTGATTGAAGTACTTCCCCTGTAAGTGACTGCAGGTTTTATCCAGAAAGTGGGATCGAGACTCTTGTTCTACGGTCCTTGACCAAACTTAACAATGACCACAACTTTTGGATGCATGATCATATCAGAGATTTAGGCAGAGCTATTGTTCGACAGGAAAACATTGAATATCCAGACAAGCGCAGTAGAATATGGGCCAACGATAGTGCTCTGGACATGTTAAGCAACAAAGAGGTATGTAATATCCATCTGTCTACTTAACATGACAGTACTAAGTCCGTTACATTTGATAGAAAGTGTCTTAAAGTTATTTCCTTTACAGGGGTCGGATTCTGTTATAGCTCTTAAGTTTTGCACACTAAACTGTGATTTATGGGAGAGGAAGAATTCAGGAAGCTGTCGAGGTTAAGATTCCTTGAAGCAGGTGATGCAAAATTGACAGGGGACCTCGAAGGGATTCTTCCCAACATGCGTTGGCTTCGACTCTTTGGATGCGGTGCAATTCCTACTAGCTTTGGGATGAACAACTTGGTAACTCTTGAGCTGAACAACGTTGGTATCTCGGATGACTGGGCAGGGTGGGCAAAAATGAAGGTATGGAATTTCATTCTTAATTTTCCTTTTCCTTTCTTCATTATGCCATATTAACTTTCAACTACCTTGCAACACAGAGTTATCATGTTCTTACATGCTCTTCATGCAAATCACTGAACTGAAAGTTCGCTCATATCCTTTTTACAATCATCAGTGTTATGAAATTATGTAAAGAGTTGGTTCATCTAATAACTTGGAGTTGTTTTTAGAACTCCAAAAACGAATTTTATACAACTGTATTGTTCTCTTACCCTTGTATGTGTTTCGGGGCCCTTGCACAGAAGCTGAAGGTAGTGATACTATGCTGCTGCCATGGACTAAGAAGACCTCTGGACTTGTCTGCGTGTGGAAATTGAGAGGTGTTAGAACTCCGAGGATGTCAGGAAATGCATGGAGAAGTGAAGCTGGGCAGTTTCAGGTGTCTGAAGGAGCTTAAGATCATCTGGTGTGGAATAACAAAGTTAACAGGCCAATTGGAGATGCTTAAAAGTATGAAAGTAATTGAATTCTTCAGCTATAGACGAGCGCCTCAGCCACTGCCTGGGCTTCCCACAAGCTTAAATCGACTTATCATCTCATCTCCAGTTCCTAATCTTTCAGACCTCAAGAACTTGGAGGAACTGCAATTTGAACATTGTGAAGTTGAGCTTAGAATTCCCGGGTATATATGGAAGTTGTCCAAGTTGAAGACTTTGATCCTCACAGAGTGCCCTTGTGAAAGTCTACTCATGGAAGATGGTTCTCTCCCTTCATCTCTCAACTGCCTCCATGTCCAACAGTGCGATCCAGTGTCCAGACTCCCAAATCTAGCAAATTTGAACAGTTTGACAGAACTGCGATTGTCAAGCGTCAAGGTTCGTGAGATTCATGGTCTAGGCGGGCTGACATTGTTGACAACTCTCGAAATATCGTTCGCGCCAAACCTCACCACCCTCGATGGCCTCGAGAACCTTGTGCTTCTCACAGCACTCACAGTGCGTGACTGTTGTGCAATGACAAGACTGCCCAGTTTAGCCACTCTGAAAAAGTTGTGCAGTCTGGAGGTTTTAGAATGCGAGCTGCTCACGGAGATCCAGGGGTTGGTCAACTGGGGCAATGTCTATTGCATCTCGAAATACGTGGTTGCAACTTGGCCAATCTTGAGGGTCTTCAGTCTACGGTGGCACTACAACGTCTTGTACTGGTAGGTTGTGAGTCAATTCACACATTGCCTCCACTGTCAAAGTTGAAGAAGTTGAAGACCTTATTCTTCAACTACAACGACAAGCTTTCTCGCATCGAGGGTCTTGAGCAGTTGATCTCCTTACAGAAGTTGGAACTTTGGAACTGCAGGTCACTGAAACAAAACAACTACCACATCTATCTCCCTCCACAACTTGAACGTGTTATCCATTTCCGGATGCGAGCAGCTGATGGAGCTCAGAGGACTAGATGGGTGTGCATCATTGGCAGAGCTATCGATTGATGACTGCAGATCGATCACTAAGTTAGGCGATCTCTCGGGTCTCAGAAACTTGAAAGACTTGCAGATACTGAGATGCCCACAGTTGACCGAGATTACAGGACTTGAAAGACTGGTATCGTTGCAAGGGCTGTCTATTACCGGCTGCACATCGATTAACAAGTTGTCGCCACTATCTAGTCTGAAAAGGTTGAAGGGGTTGCATATTGAGAGATGCACCCAGCTGAGTGAGATCACGGGGCTTGAGGGGTTGGAGTCGCTGGAAGAGCTATGGCTTCATAATTGTCCGTCTATTAGGGAGTTGCCGGGACTCTCTTGTCTGATCAGCAATCTGGAGACCTTAGATATCAAGGGATGCACACAGTTGCCTCAAGTCATCGGGCCTCGAGGAGTGAATCGTTGAGGAGTTACATGCAGGTGCCTTGAGTATCAAGGCACTTTGCACAAAAGCTGAAGGTAGTGACCACGCAGAAAGTGGTCGTGCATAAATATGGCCAAGGATTCTCTATCTTACCCTTCCTTTTTCTCTTCTCAGTTCTCACCTAATCCTTTCTATTCCTTGGTGTCGGTATAGATCTTTTGGATCATTTACCCTTCAGGAGATGAACATTCATCGAATTCGAATCAATAGAACTACATCAAAAAAGGGGTCTGATATCTCGTTGAACATCGATAAGTCTCGTATCTTGATGTGTTCTTCTGGCGCAAGCAATTTAACTGCAGAATGGAGGAACTGCTTGATCAAGAAATGCTGGGGGTTTTTTTGTAACTTTTTTTTGGGTGTAAATCGAGAAATGCTGGTATCATCGCACCTGAAGGCTGAAGCGAGAATGGCAATCTACCGGCGGCGTGTATTTCGTCGTCGGCCCAAATGTATAAGAAACCATTTGTTGGGCCTTCATAAGGAGGGCCCACTCCTCACGGAGCCCAGCGGCCCATAGAAGAGTGAAATTACGTTCCCGCTTGGATTTTGAAATCCCGCCCTTCCTACGGCTTTGTCCCCTCCCGTCTCTCTCTTTTATTCACACACCTATAGTGAATAAATGAAAAGAGAAAAACAGGTCAGGCAGGAAGAGAGGGTAAAACTAAAAAAAACTTTTAATCTTTTTGCGCACTTAAAATTCCATTTTTAATCCTCTCTCGGTAATCAGTTTCAGCAACGGAGAAAAGAGGGAGAGAGAGAACGGAAGATGCAGAAAACCATTTCTAGGGTTACTGATACCACCACATTTTCACTTCATGGATTCTCCCGAAGTAACTAAGACCACCAGCACACCCTCCGCCGCAACAGAAACTGCCGCCGCCGCCAGTTCGATCGGTTCCCCGATTGTTCAAGTAATTATCCCCCAATTTTCACTTATGCCTTCTGCTTCTTATTGTTGGCCAATTGATTTGTTCGGGCTACCTTTTGTTTGTTGTGGATTCCACAATTCTCCTTTTGTTGACTTGCTTTTGTCTGTATTGTGTGCGTCGTCGACAAATCCTTCCACTTGGGCGTCTCCAGATGGTCCTTGCGGAAAAGTTCGGATTGTGAGAAATGGGTTGTGGAAGTGGATGCGGGATTGTAAAATTTAGGATTTGGGTATATAGTTGGAATCCCATTTGCTTTCATTGGCAGCCCCCTTGCTTGTGGCGCAGTTAGTGATCAGAATTGAAGTCATCGCTTAATCTGTTGTGGGTTTGACTTGTTCTTGGTTACTGAAAGGTTGGTGGAGTGCATAGTTCATGTTATTGGGTATGTGACACCATGCATTTGGGTTATAGAAGAAAGACTGATGTCGTTGCTTTAATGTATTGATGTATGGTTGGTTGTCTGAGCGTTGTAATTCAGTTACATCATTTCTCAACTGCAGTAACATGACTTGTAGAAACTATGGTCTGCGTCTTTGTCCAAAAAAAGAAGAAAAGAGAAAGAAAGGATTGTTTGACACGGTGGAACCTTTCTGTTTGAATCTAATTATGAGATCTCAATCAATGTGCTTATCATCCATGTACCATTCCATTTCAGGAGTCTCCTTTCTCTAACTACTTGAGCAACCTATCTCCTATAAAGCCTGTGAAGAATTCGCGTATATTACCAGGATATGCAGATCTCAGTTCTCCTCCCCTCGTGTTCACTTCGCCACATATAGTATCAAAATGTGAAGCAAGCTCGCTGCAAAGGTTTTGATAAGATCTTCCTTCCCTGGATTTAGTTCTTTCATATGTGTGGAATGGTTTATGCCTATGCATTCTTACAAGAAATGTATTGTTTTAAATCAGGCCTCAATGCCCCCCGAAATCTGGTCCAGAAACACCTAAAGACAATGTTGGGATAAGTTCTGTTGATGTTCCTCCTGGTTTGGAAAAATGTGATTCCTATTTGAGTAGCAAGTTCAATGTGGACAGCGAGAAAGACGGTGATCATAGTAGCTACACAAAGGAACAGCATTGCAGTCCCTCAGGGGTTGTTGATGAGTACTTATCAGAACCAGTAGATACAGAGTGCACAGACTGTGTACATTCAGCAAACCCAATAACAGAGCCATCTATTGGTCCTCGCGGATTAGCAAACTTACAAACTATTGTGCTGAATGCTGATACAGATAAGGAAGCTCCAACGTTTGCACTTCCAACCTCTGGACAGGGCAGCAGTAACTGTGTGCTGTCATCTGACGGACTACTATATGAAACTTTATCTGTTCAGGTAACATCCATTAAAATTTTGAAACATTGAAAACCTGAATTCTTCATGAAATGCATGGTATGCTAGTTTTTGTCTTAAGCTCAGGACTTGGTCCTCACTCTTTCACTGGACATTACAGAATCTGCATGCAAATGAAGACTATTATGATAATGTGGAAGCAGGCTTGGATGATCCTGGGGTAACTTATCAAAATCACCTTTTTGCCTTCTCATCCATGCGTTTGTCCACTGATTCTTTTGGTACAGCGTGAGCCTTTTCATTTGGGGGACATGTTGATGTCATTCATGATCTCTCACTCCCTGTTGCTCTCAGTCTTTTTTTTATCTGTAACTTTGTCATCATTAGTTTGTTATTACTTCCTGCCATGTCCTGTGGCCTTATGTTATTGTCTTTGTTCTTGTCTCCGGGGCCATAGTAAGTATGTGCCTCAAAAGTCCCAACTTAGTGACTCAGAACTGTTATCTGTCTTTGTTATTAACTTGCGCTTTTTGGGACAAGAATGGGCATTTTATTGATAAATAGTTTATGAGATATTGCCAAAACATATCATCTCAATATTCCGTCAGGCATTGCTGCTTGTTTTCTCTTAATTAATGTGTTTTTCCTTCTGGACGTTTAAGTGTTACGAGCATGATGGACTTGGGTCCCTATAAAATCAATAGTACCCGTATGCTCTTCTGTTGATTGTAAACATTCATTTCTGAGGAAAAATATTGCCTCCTTGTTTTCCTTTGGCTTATAACAGTAAAACAATCCTATTATTAATGCAGGTCAGTCAACTGTATCGTGGCATGAGTAGGCGCTGTCTGCAATTTGAAGAAGCTCAAGGGATTGGACAAGGTAGTGTGCCAGCCATGAATTCTCCGAATTCATCCAGCGATCCGATGGGCTTAAGATTACCCTTTTCCAGTGCGGGTATGGAAAATTCGAAAATTCTGAATCCAGGCATTGCTGCTCCTTCTGGAAAGAGGACAATGATCAACTTGACCCGGGGGTTAATCTCCAACCGTTCTCCTAACCACAATTCAAATGCTAGATTGTCTATTCCCAAGCGATCTGGTATTGGATTACATCTGAATAGCATTGTTAAGGCCTTACCAATGGAGTGTAATGTTAACGAAAGCATGAAAACTCATTTATCGGAGAACGAGAAGTGTTCTACACAACTATCAAATTCAGTTGAGAAAATTACTCCTGCGGAAGACAAAATGCTTGAAAACCAGGTTGTGCCTGCTGTTGTTAGTGCCACCTCAGATTCTTTGCTCGCCATGAAATCAGTGAATGCATTGCAGTCATTAGAGCCCAATGAAACCCCGCAAAAAAAGAGGACATTGAGCTTAGAGCAATGTGAAAATTTCAACGAGTTAAACCAATCAAGCCCTAAGAAGAGAAGGTACGTGTTATATTACAGACATGTTGCTTGTTTTACCTGTTATACACTGGCAAAGACTAAATGCTTGAAACTGTGTGAACATTTCAGGAAGAAGTTTACCCCTGATGGCGATGGTTGCAAACGTTGCAATTGTAAAAAGACTAAATGCTTGAAATTGTGAGTGTGATCAAATCTTCTCTTGGTGTTAGCCACTTGTGCATATTTTCACCACACTACTTGAAGCTGTCTTTTTTCTCTCCTTTTTTCTGGCCAGGTATTGTGATTGTTTTGCCGCTGGGATCTATTGTGCGGATTCTTGCAGTTGCCAAGGATGCTTCAATAGGCCTGAACACGAAGATAAAGTTCTCGAAACACGCCAACTGATAGAATCCCGTAACCCTCTCGCTTTTGCTCCAAAGATTGTGCATCAGGCATCAGGAGTTCCTGCAGTAATTGGGGTAATGAAATGCAGATTAAGTCTGTTCATATTTTATTTCACTTGAGAGATTTCATGATCATAATTCACATTTTTCAGGAAGAGGTAAACAGGACAACACCAGCGTCTGCAAGGCATAAAAGAGGGTGCAATTGCAAAAGGTCAATGTGTCTGAAAAAGTATTGTGAATGCTATCAGGTATACAACCTTCAACCGTGCCTCCTGACTCAACCCACCATTTCTAGGTGCAACATCTTCTTGCTACAGGTTTACTGATCTGGGACTTCTGTTTATGCTTTATGTTCAAAAGTCAAATGTTGGCTGCTCCAGTGGTTGCCGATGTGAAGGTTGCAAGAATGTCTTTGGTAGGAGAGAAGGTAAGATCACATTAAAGTTCTCATCTCTCTTTACTATTGTTTCTCATTCTGGTAAACCCCAATTCAGATGGTGTTTTCCGGCATCCTTACCTTATTCATCCTAAGTTTAGCGCTTTCGAGTAGTTAATATATTAGAACTCCAACTAATTCCCATAGAATGTCCTTGGTTTGATCGGAAATACATCTGAAAAGTGAACATTCCATTTATTGTTTTGGCTCTCTTCCCCAGATTACACTGTAGTTGAAGAGATTATGAGCAGCACAACCAGCAAGGATGGGCCAAACGACATAGCTGATGATAAATTAGCAGGGGTGGATCATAGTAATGATCTCTTTCATGCAGATTCGTCTGAGTTAGAAAGCCCTGCACCATTTACACCACAGTGCCAGTTCTCTGAGTAAGTACTCTTAATCTCACCTAATTTTCATAGATAATGAATTAGTTTCACCTGGAATTTACATGATTTGCTCGTTGTGTATACTTTTACCTCTCTAGGCATGGAAACGATGCCCTAAAGTCCGGGCCATTTAGTACCCGATACCTCCCATCGCCTCTCTCCCACATGTCTACAATTCAATCAGATTCAAAAACCAGTTCCCCAACCCAAACTGGTGACAGCTTACTTGCAGAGATTGACTGCCGGGATATGGAGTTTACCATTGCCGAAATGATAGGCGAATTATCTCCAAAGTTGGATCCAATCAGTGGTATATGTTACCTCTCTCCACAACGAACTGCATCATCCTCAACCGTGGCAGTTTCTCCATGTGCATCTAAGACCAAGGACCTGTCAACTAATGTTCCACGTCCACAGTTTGAAGTTGGTAGTGGTGGTAGCCATATGTCCTCTTCCATCCGTTGGCATGGCTTGCCGGTCACTCCAATGCCATCCTTAGGCGATGGAAAGATGATTGATGATGTGCTCATGGAAGAAGAAGAAGACACCACACCTGAGATATTGAAGGAAGCCTGTAACCCAATTCAATCAGTGAAAGCAACGTCTCCAAACAAGAAGCGTATTTCTCCACCTCATGCACATTCCAAACGTCTGGAGCTCGGGTCGATAGTGTCGGGAGGGTTGAAAAGTGGGAGGAAGTTCATACTGAGGGCAGTCCCTTCTTTCCCACCACTCACACCTTGCTTGGACTCCAAGGCAACCAAGTTACCACCAACAAGGAAGAGTAACAGCCAACAGCAAGGTAAATAGTACATTGAATGCGGCGTGACAAGAGTTCATATCACTTGAGCATTGCATCGTGGTTCGAAACCTTGCGGCACAGGCGAAACTGGTATGTTTATACTCCAGATCAAGGAATGTGTCTAATGTGAGTACCATCTTAGGTCTGATGGTTGGAAGTACGACATCTGAGGTCTGCTGCTAGATCTAACATCTACAATCGCCCAGCCACCTTTATGTGCTTATAGCTTATTAGTATTGTTCCGATGTTATTATATGTAAGCAGTGTTATTATGAAGTTCTTCGTTTAGTGTTTTTATGTATTAGTTGACGAATCCTTCAGCAAGAAATTGAAATTCGGTAACAACATTCGATAGCATTATGTGTGGTGGGCTGCATCGCTAGGCTAAGGCCCGTTAATATCTGTTTTGGGCCTAATTTACCAGAAGTCTTGACTTGGCTTGGACAAATTGAAGCCCATTATGCTGATTTTTTTTTATTATCGGAAACTGAGTGTGAGCAGTGAGCACCACTACCTCATGGTGGTAAATGGTAATACGATGGAGTATAGAAGTCGCAAAAATGTCATACATCATCTAATACCAAAATTCAGGATTATACTCAGAAACAAAGAGAACACCAAAAAAAAAAAAAATAGAAAGACTTCTATGAGACCAAACAGTCGACCATAAAATTACTCTTCCTGAATGCGTGGAAGTGTTGAACAGTCCACTACCGTCAGAGAAGACCTCGAAGCTGGAGCACAAGGCTCGCATGTTGATGCGACGGTTTGGGGCAATGGACTGACGATGATGGAGCAAGCAAGCACCTAGGTTCATTTCAAGGTATTTCAAATTTACAGTCCTGGCCCTGGGTTTATGGTTCTTGCAGAAGTGGAAGCCAGGATAATGCATACTTACTAAGATTCATCAACACACATTGAGGTACCACACTGAGAGATTGCATTTATTTAATATGGTCTGGAAGTTACATAGTTTATGGAGATACAACAACAAAAAATGAAAGATACATCATCAACTAGATCATTTAACACTTCCTTCTCTCTAACCAGTAAACCCCCCCTCCCAAAACTTCAAAGTATCCCCCACCTCAAGTAACCTATCCTTAGGATCCCCATTTAGAACACCAGCAGTAGAACTCATTACCCTCAAAACTCAAAACCCACAAAATAGTTATGGAAAATCCAAAAGGTTAAACCCCGAAATATAAAGTAGTGAAGAAAAGCAAAACAAGAACACATTTTTATTTTGGAGAACTCACATGAATCAACCAATTGAACCCCCCATTTATCATAAGCTATACCTTGATACTCCTATCCCTCCACACCAAACCATCTAGTCCTAGAAAAACCCCTTCTTTCTCCTAACCCCCTCTCTCTCTCTCTCTAGGTTCCCCCATGTACTTCTCTCCCAGCAAAGATTATCACCATCCTCAGTAGCATTACTGTTCTTAAGAACCCTCCAGCCCCAATTTTGTGGTGAGCCAAGTGCAGACTTCCCTCGTCTCTTCCGGGATGGTATAGTGACCCATTCTGTTCAAATGTTTTTTTTCCCGGGTTTATAAGATTGCTTGTGAATGATATATGGCATGAGTAATATTTAGGGAGATGGGAGGATATTGGTTACCCATTGTATGTTCTGAACACGAGATTCCTGAACCCGACTGAGTTTAAGGCCTGTGCTGATTTCTCTCCGTGGTTGTGTGCAACCACATCATCGGCTGAGGCGAGCAAAGCAATGAGTAATTAGTATGTGGAAGTGAAGGAATGTAAATGTTCTCATTCATACAATGCCTTTTGGTCTAGGTACACCAAGAAACAGATACTAAATTGAATTTGGTAGATTCGTTGTCCGCAGAAAAGGGATAAACATCCAAGCAAGATTAAAGCTGATAGATAAAATGGCGTACCTGAGCCATGGCAAAGCAAAATGGGCAAAGATGCAGCCCGCCTCACTGCATCATATGATCTTTCCATCCTACTTCTCAAGGTCCTGAAAAAGAATGACTATTTGTATGAATAAATTTTCTCTATGTTTGCATGCCTAAAATGGATACACTGAAGGGCAATCTTAAGGTTGTTTGCATTAGAAATTCCAGAAGCCAAACCTCGAACAAGGAAGCCAGCCACTTAGACCAACTACTGCACTTAGATTGACCTGGTATGGGTTCCCGTTCCCGTACTGTCCTAATGTGCGGCAAGTAGCAGAGTAAAGGGCTATTGCAGCACCCATGCTGAAGCCACCAACACCAACTTTGACTACAAAATCCAGCAACCAAGTGAAGAAGTTCAGTTTCCATAAGAAACTGCTATATCTTTAACAAGAGAAATCAGTATTAGCTATTGATCCAGTCATTGTCAGGAGGTATTGCTCAGTTAAAAAGGAAAATGTGACATCAATTGAAAGTAGGTCTTAACAGAACTTCCAGAAAATCCAACAGCAAATAGTTCTGAAACAAAGTATCAGAAATTTGATTAAGCTAGAATAGGGATTGGTGAGACAAACAAAATTCATAGGAAGTCACCAAGGGAATGTATCAGACTAAAAGTAAATTAGGAAATTTCTGCACTCTCCTACAGAAGAAAACGAATAGGAAGAGCAGCAAACGCATCTACCAGTATCATATTGATGAATTCTCGCTTAATATGATATAATGTAAAGACATGTCATGTTCACCGGGGAATAAAATGCCATGTACACATATTAATAACGTCAATATTTGAATAAGATGATACACAAAATGTTGATAGCAATATTAGGCAATTGATAAGCAACTTACTATCAGCAGGCTCAGTAGATAAAAGGTTGGCTACATGTGCTGCTGAAGCATCCAGTCCCTCCACGTCATCAGGACCTTCTTCGGAGATTTCTCCAACATCAAACCCTGTAATATGTTCAGCAAGTCATTGATATTTTGTCTACTATTGAGCCAATAGTTAAAAGTCCTACAAAGAAAAGAAAAACATGGAGTTGAGTTTCTTTCTTTGTTTTAGCTACGACATTAGAGCTCTCTTCTTGACAATCCAGACACTGATACTAGTTCTTATGCATAACAGAAAATGAAACTGTGAATCCAATTTTCTTACAAGCAGTGCATGGAAATCCACCGAACAAAGCAACTGGCCTGGACGGAGCAGTCGGGCAAATCCATTTAATCTGCCATGTCAATGACAAAGGTAAATGTTGAGTAACAGCGTCTTTCCCACTATAAGGGCACCCATTGACCCAAATTAAAGACATCAAAGTAGCAATATAACAAAATATAAGAACAGTACTCATACATTTGTAAGAGGAAGGGTCTCCAGGAGTTGTGCCCAACTGCAAAACAAAGCAGAAGAAAACGTGAGATCAGGTTAGTCAGGGCCTAGAGAGTCAGGCATCATTAGGACAGTTTGAAGACGATTTGATTATAACTTAAGAAGCAAATTCCCACTCATGGGGGACCACTCTGAAACCTGAGGTCCAAGCCCTACCAGTAGTGGTGTAGAACATCTTTTTTGTCTTCACTCTCCTAGATATTTATCCTAGATACACACTTAAAATACTTGATCACTATGATTACAACCGAGAAAACAATATGTTTGTTACTTCTGTAAGTAGCATCAAGTTAGTGAAGGAGTGGTCCCGTGTTGGCATATCTAAACATGGATTCGTGAAGAGAAGGTTACGTACCATTTAGAAGAAGTTAGAATTAGAAAACAAGCCAGCCAAGCTTAATACAATAACATGACAATTGTGTTTACTTTAGCCTATATGCCAATCATGGGGAAGAATCTTTCAGAAAAGGACAAGTTAATAAGACATCAACTTCCACCACTAGCTCAGGACAAAACATGGCCATCCTTGGTACGACTGGTAGAGAATTCTGCCATTCTCATAAGGAAATGGAAGGATCAGCCAAAACTAACCTTTCAAGATTATTGTTCCATACTTTACAACAAACATCATAAGGCAAGATCAGACAGATTATATGCCAGGAAACTGAACAACTTTTCTATCGAAAGCTTACTAGACCAAGCTCCATGAGAGCAAGGGTTTTCAAATAGAAACAAGAAAAGACAACCAACATCAGCATTATGTAGGTAACATAAAGTAGCTACCTTGATCCCTTGTCACCCAAGCCATGCAGCCAAACTATTGTGGCCTGGTGCTTTCCCTTGGGCCTAACAACATAGGTCCTTCCAAACTCAAATGTTCTTGAAGAAGTTCTACTGCCTGAAACACAAAACATCAATTGAGTAGGGTTTCCAACATAGCAATGATCAAAAAGCCCAAACCAAGTAAAGGGGCAGCAACAGAAACTGACCAGAACCAATGCCAGAGTTATTGTAGTTCATTGTACTCTAACTAGAATGAGCAACAGTTTTGGTGAATGTTTGCTTATGCTGCTGAACTCCTGCAATGAGAAAAATCAACATTGCAAACCCACTATTTATAACCGTGGGAAAGAGAGGCGATAAAGAAAGTTAATAGATCCTATCAATCTACATCTACACACACGTCTTTCCAATTACACACTGTCTGAAACCTCTTTGAGAAAACCAATAAAAAAATTCTAAGAAAGTGAAAGGGCACCCAAGAAAGGAACTCGAGAGACTTCAGAAAGTGACTAGGGAAAATGGAAGCCCCAAAGTAAAAAGCAGCTACCCTTTCGAGCAAAGAATCATCAATGGAGATCAAAGAATATCAATGCAGGGGAAAAAGAACAATCATAGAAAAAACAAACAAAGCTAACTCTTAGCTAGCAATGCAAAGACAAGGAAGAGCATCTATTCCCTTATAGGGACAGTGGGTAGCTCTAAAGCACATCAAAGGGAAAACCAGAACAACCAGAGAGAATAAAGATTGCTCCATCAATACTCCATGGAAAACAACCTAAAAAGAAAGGCATAGAACCCATCTAATTTCTTCTATATGTTAATTAACGGCTGATAGGCAACACCCATTTCACGTACTAAAATATGGAAGCTGGGAAATGCTTCAGCAGCGAGCAGCGGCAGCGAGCGAGCAAGGGAAGAGCTTTCTCTCTGGGAGCTGATAAAAATGGAAACTTTATTATATATTTCGATTTCGAGGAGGGACAGAAGGAGCGGGTGCGGTTGGGAGAGTGGGGTTGGGGAAACAGCTAGGTGTGCAGATTTTGGAGGTGGAACAGTACAGTCATTCGAAAAGCTTACAGGCTTTTGAATTTTGATAGTTTTTATTTCTTGCCTTATTTTAATCTTTTGTTCATACTTGTATCTTTACATGGAACATGGCATTTAGTTATAATCAACACAGAAATTAAGAACAAAATTCGATAATAAATAAACACTAAGATTAAAAATTAAAGCCTTTTATCCTTTCTTTTGTTGGACTTTTAATCTTTTATCCTCCTTTTAAAATTATTTTCTCCTTTCTTTTCACTTCGGATACTTAATTCAGGCTTTGTGCACCTTTTGGATTCTCATTTGACAAATATTGACAAGGTGAAATGATTTGGTATTAAGTGAATTGAAAATTTATTTTTCAATTTAAAATAAATTTATGTGTAGAATTTATTGCCACATGAATCTTTTGTTTGAAATGTTATATTCAAATCTTTAGGAGTAAACTGAACTGAATTTCCAAATTGTGTTTGGGATACGTTCGGAATTAAATTAATTTTTTTTAAAAATATAATCTTAATGAAATCTAGTAGAAACAACATTGTTACACTCATTGAAAATTAATCTTCTAAAAAGATAAGTGTCAAAGAGAATGTTCTCATTATTATTATATATTACGTTACGTAGTGGCTGACCGAGGAAGGTTAGGTGCGCAAATATGGAGTATTGACGTCAAATCATATATATGGGGTAATGTACTTAAGAATCAAAGATAATTGTGTCATTTTATCATAATTAATAAGATAATTGCGAAATTCATTTGGAAATTCCACCTCGATTCCTCGGAATCGCTAAAGCTAGTCTCAATTCAAACACAAAAAAGTTTCATTTCAAAATTAATTCCTCAAAACTTACGTAATTTATTTATACCAAACAATATGTAAAAAAAGTGAATTTGGACCTGTGAGTATGTGACATCTCTCTGAAGAATCCACGACTTTAACTGCTAAAACTATAATATTTTGACCATGTTAATACTCAAAATAAATTATAACAAAAAAATTGTACTAAACTTATAAACTGGTTGCCAACTAAGAACGGTTGGAATGATAAAGTAAGTTATTTTCAATTCAGATATTAGAAATTTATGGGTTAGACTAGTGTTATTCTGAAGTATACTATATTCCATGCATTTTTGGCGAGATATCTCTATCTAGACCATGAATTAAATAGAATTTGGGATATGATACTATACTCTAATGTCTAATGGATAAACCCTAGCCCCCGATTTAAACTCAAACCAGAAGTTCAATTTAATAAAAAAATATTAATTGGACGGAATTCAAAAAAGAAGATCCAACGATCATATTACATGGGATATAGTAGACCAGTTATTACCATAAATTTAAATCTTATCTTCATTGAGTTTTGACACTAGATCCAATGTGTCACCATATGGTTTGTCTAATTAAAACCTTTGAATCCAAGAGTCCATAATAAGTCTGGGATGGGGGGATTTTCCTTCACATAAAGTGATGAACAGCTAAACGAGGAATTGGGCAAGATGTCTAGTCCTAAATCCAGGAGGGGAAACAGTTTCAATGATTATCCCTTTCTTTGTTCATTCTTTTGTAAACACTTTCCTATCAACTCTTGACAAACGTTGTCACATGATCATTATCTTCTCTCTTTCTTTCATTTTAATCCCTAAAAGAATTGTCTTTCTTCTGTCTCTATTCACATATGTGTGCATCATGCATGCCAGTGATCAATTAATTACAGCCAATTTTGTGCTAATCCTACTGAGGAAAAGGAATAATTAGCATGCAAGCATACATATCATTGAACACTCAAATCCTTAACTACATGAAAGACATACGCTGCAATGGTAGTGTTGCATGGTGCATACCGAAAAGGTCAGCGGTAGAGAATTTTAATGACAAAACTGTGATTTTATCGTAGTACAATCGTTAGTATCATTAAATACTATCTACCGGTTTAGCCTTCAATGCTGATATTTTGTGGCTGAACCGCCGGTACAGTACAGTTTCATGGACCATTGCACACTCATTGAATTAGATAGATATTCGACCAGATAAACAGACGAACATAAAATTGGACAAATACTTTCAAAGTCATTTGGAAAAGGAATGTAACGAGGTGACAATGAGACCAAATCAATCCGTTTGTCAGTATAAATTTTAATTGGATTAATTCATTCTAGGTTATTTTGAATTCTACCATTTTAAATTAATTTTAATTGTTTGAGAGAGAGACAGGTAATTCACTAATTCGAATTCACTTACTTTTTATAAAATAAGAATCGGCCAAATTGTTTTGATACCAAACAAACCCTAATCATCTCCAAAACTCACTCCTGTATATATCTTGTGAAATGATGGATTCCAGCGATGATACCGTAAAATGTTTCAGTGGACAACGGGAGTTACGGCACCCATTGCTACGTCCGCAGGCTGACGACAGCTAGAATGCTAGATCTCCCAGTCTCCCACTTAAATTTGTTTTCGAAGCATAATATTTATATATAAAAAATATTATTGAAAATAAATAATTTGACTTCTGAGATTAATTAAATAATCAGAGTATACAAAAAAAAAAACATTATCAGCAATATTCTCCTTTATTAGTGTTATTTCGTTAGAGCTGCATGCAAATGAGTTGAGTTGCTAGCGAGCGGCTCGGTTTTCGACTCGAGAAAAACTCGTTCAAAACTCGACTCGTTAACTAATGAGCCGAGCTTGAGCTAATCATTCTACAGCTCGCGGAACTCGCGAGCTAGCTTGACTCGGTGGCTTGTTGAGCTCAGCTCGTGAGCTGGCTCGTTTAGAGCTTATGAGATGTCTCAACTTTCAACATTGTGGCTAGAGAGCCAACTCGATTAACGACTTACGAGCGAGTCAAGATTTTATTCAACAAGCTAGCTCGAACTCAACTCGACTCGTTACTAAACGAATCGAGCTCGAGCTCAACTCGTTTGTTAACGAGTCGAGCTCAAGTTGGGGTAAAACTCGACTCGATTTGACTCATTTGCAGCTCTATCTTCAGCTAAACCCCATACTTACAGTTATATGTAAAATATTTTGTTATAACATGCACGAATATTTTCTGGTAACTAATTGGGACGGGTTTTACAATTAATAAAACTATACAGTACATGAACAGACATATTCATGTGGTTTATTGATATTTTTTGGATAGCAATATTAAAAATACTTGTTTACACAACTCTTTGGCACTGTTTCTTCTAATTTCCTTGTCCAGAAATTGCTAAGACAAACTTTTCAAGGGAGGAGAAAGATAAAAGGGTATTGATTCTGCACTTTTAAGGTTGAGGAAAGTGTGAACTTGAAATATGAACACAATTAGATCATTTATAGCATATTACATTTTTAGTTAATGGAAAAGTGGTGAGGACTCACTGATTTCCAATTTCGTTCGTTACAAGTTAATAAGAAAATCGGCAGTTCCCAACTCTTTTATGGCTTCGAGGACAAGCTGCTTATGAATTGATTTGGATGATTTTAGGAAGCTGCATTTGATTCGGAGCCTGATTGCATGCAGTGTTACAAATGAGCGAAACTGTTCACGATTGGTTCTAGATTTGATTTAGGAGAAATTCGTTTGATACCCGACTCGTTAATTAATGAGACGAATTTGAGTTGTACCTTGTTCAGTTTATAAGACTTCCAAGCCAGTTTGATTTGGTATCTTGTTAAGTTCAAGTCATGAGCTATCTCGTTTTGAAAATGAGTTGACTCGCACTGCTGTAACTAGCAAACCTACTTGACCATCAACTTATGAGCGAATCCATCTATAGCTTATGCGTTGGCTTGTTGATAATTTATAAGTTTTTTAGATTATCCCACCACATATGTTGTTTAAGACTTTGAGTACATAAGTAAATATGTCTCATTTATAATTTAAAAGGAAAATTATGTATGGTAAATTATTTAGATACTATTACTATTAAATAACTAGATAATAACCGTCAAAATTTATGAACTAAATAAACTTATATATAAGCTCAAGACATGCTCGCAAGTTGATAGATGAGTTGAGTTCGAGTAAATTTTGTGAGCTCGTTGATGAGTCAAACACGAGTCGAGATTTCAACAAACAAGTCAAGTCTAACTGGACCAAACTCAACTCGATGTGGCTCATTTGCGCTCTAATTGCAAGACATGCACCAACAAGCTGGACATGGGTAAGGGCGTTAGGCTCCTTTATATGTGACCAATTACCAATAGGGTGTGTTATTGTTGCACACATACCACAGTGGGATAATATGTTCAAGTTTGCATCTAAAAGCTAACTTGTTCATCTTTGCATGTTATTATTGGGACAAAAGATTGTAACGGTATGATGATGATCTTTACCACGCATAGTTTACAAGCCAAAATGTTCCACCCTAGAAATTTCTGGGTTACCAAAATTACCACGGTTACATTCATGCATTACGTGAAAAGGGTAATCGAGTAATCAAACTAGCTAAAAAGAAAACTAAAGAAGAACATTGATATCGCGATCGAAGATGTATGGCCAATTTAAATAGAGAGTACGCTTAGCCCGAGATGTTTAATGATTGATTGCGACTATAAGTTTGAGTGAGACTACGATGATTATAGCAACTGAGAATTGATATGATATGTGATTCAATCACAAATAAATGGAACATTAACAACCCTTATGTGCTCTTCGTTGACAAACTCGATTGCTAAAGGAAGGAATAACATATAGTAACAAAATAAGAGGTTGGTCAACTCTTGTGGAGAGCCCACTTCACTCCTCCTCCTCCTTTGATATTAATAATGGGTGGGGGAATCGTAGTTACTAGTGCAAAAAATATTTGTGTCATGGATTTGGCGATCATAATAGAAAGTGAGTCATGAAAGTGGGTTTCACCATTGGAATAATCATAAAGCTCTTAGACTTGCTTCTACAAAGTCATCTTTCGTTGCCAACTTGCCATTCAAAATTACTGAGAAAAGATATGCTGATGCCATCCACTCATTTCTTTAGTGTCTCGATATTGGTCTTAATTATCATCATGATGTTGATCTTGTTTTATGAAAAGAAATCGCCATTATTAACATCATTTGGCCTAATCTTTACCGAAAATCGGAATCTTGCATAGAATAAATTATCTATGCCTACGTTGGTTGGCATGGTTAAAGGGTTAATTAAACTAGGAAACTAAGGTGCAGTCTAGATAGCATGTCGATGGGGCAAAAAATTGTTCGGATTAGCACTCTTGAATCGCAGTCATTGAACGCAATGTATTAGCAGGTACTACGTACAAGTAGTTGATGACGGAATATAATTAATCGCCTATTCTCCTTCAACATTTAGTTTGAGATGATAATGTGTATGTATGAATGTTGAAAAATTCGATAGTTGAATCGAATTGCATAATTCAACAACATCAGCCTACACCAATACGATGATAAAATTTTCTCTTTTTAATTTTGTTTTCTGGTTCACCTATTTTCTATGCAGGCCATGATGAATAGTGGTGAAACTTAGGACCTAGAAAAAGGGGTGTTGGAGTGAAATCATGGTGACTGTCGGGAATTTCGCAGGATTTTAAAAATCCTGACTACTGCATTCCACATGTCCTCCACAAACACAAGATTCCCCCATTTCCCTGTCCCTAGCTACTGGCTCTGCACATATCATGATGATGATGTTGATATTAAATTTATCACAAAATGTGCTGAAATTCTTAGTGGAGGACTCTCACCTTGCTGAGGATTTTCTGAACAATGACTTGAATGAATGAATGAATGAGTGAATGAAGTGGCCTCTAATTATGTAACAACCCTAGCTCTTGCCAATATGTTTGGGCCACTGGGTTACTGATCTTCTATATTGGCTCTCACATCTACAGAAAAAAAATGAATTGATTTTTTTTATAATGGTGATAGCCTTTTATTAATTAAAACAAAGGTAAAACACGAACATAGTACACGCACAAAGGAAAGGAAAAAAAAAGTGAATTTTTTCCCATTCCATGTTATGGCAATTCATATCTGCAAGCTCACACTTCATATTGTTAGCAAAATCTTATGGATTTGATAAGGTCAAAGAAAGAAACAAAGTTTTATTATGTTATTCCAATTTCAATAATTAATCATGATATGTGACTTCTAGCTAAACACAGGCAAACGATCTAGTTAAATAGTCATAACTATCTCAAAATACATTTTTTTTCTTCCTTTCCCAAACGAGATCAAAGAATGGTTTTTACATCATTTCTTTAGTCATAAAAATAAAAATCAACCCATTAATTCAAAAAATTTCATAGACCGTAGTTGTATAACCAATCATTAAATACAAAACCTATGAAACTAACATTTTTATTTCTAATCTAGAACCCATCCATGATACTTGCAAATGGCTAGATGAATCCTAACTTTTTTTCGATATATCATTTTCCTTGGACTACATAGTAGTAATCATTTTCGAACAAGGCTATAGCTGTCTATAGTAAATGTCCAAAGGTGGTATAGCACTGCCCAATGCTTTGTCCCAAAGGATTCTTTCTTGAGTTTGTCAAAACTCAGAAACACAAAACATGATTGAAACTTGAAGTGCAGACATATATGATTGTTAGCTGTGATTGGAGAAATTGAATCAGTCCATCAGATTATTACTGAAATGCGGTACCATGTACCACTCTGTCTGAGTTTGTACTCATCCACTAAACAAATTGATAAGACAGAAGAATAAATCACACAGAACACAACGATATATGCATGTCTTTTGTTCTTGTGTTGTGCAAGAGTACTTGCTCATAAAAGAAAACTCCAATTTTATGCCCAATAGAGCCTGACATGTATTTCAATTGTTGTTCATCCTCTGAATTTGCCTGATGGCTTATTTTGATCCAGCCACAGCTCAGGTATCGCATGGGGCTATGGGAGCAGTGATATACGATGCTTTGAGTGCGGTTGTGGCAGCTGGTGTCCGTTGTTTTCTTGGTATGGATATATGCCCTTAAAATTGAACTTGTGATTTTTCATGATGTGATTTCATCGTGTCAAATTAAAATATGAGCTTATCAGAAATCCAATTTCGGGAATGTTCAGTTTTTACTGTCAAGTTCTGTGCGGGCGAAGTTTGGGAAGTGAATGAAGGAGTTGTACTTATTGAGATAAAAACACTACCGAAGATAACATCGGGGGAAGGGGTACAAGGTGAGTTTTTGTGAGAACGAATGTTGCTCATGAAAAGAAAGACATTGCATTTATACTTTCCAAGGAGGTTTGTTAGTTTCTGTTTAAGTACTTGGTTACGTTTATTGTAATTTGGCTATTTGATTATGTATTGTCTTAGAGGACAACAAAACATTTATTCACCAAACATACACGTTATTCAACAGATCGATGCCATCCCCCAATGAAATAGTAACTAATTTGCACTCATTTCTTACACTTCGGCAAGCGCCATATTCCCAGAAATAACACACGACATTAGAAAGGGCAGAAGAAAAATCGAACCTTATGATCAAATCGTGGCAAAACAGGGAAGCCTCTGCACTAGCTAACAACGTCGGATCACACATCCAACGATCCACATAGCATGCGTAGGGCAATCCAACGCTGTCAGTCAGCCTCCCATGGCTCTGCATAGTAACAGAATCCATCACAAGAGGGGGGCAAAGTTAGCCTCCATCATCTTCTTCATCAACAGACCAGCTTTCTCCCTGGCCTTGGACGATCCCCTCACCGACAAATCAGCCAGCAGGCTCACCATCACCGGCAGCTCAGAAGCATCCCTAAGATGCTCCTCATCCTCGTCGAAAACCCGCACGAGGATCTCCACCGCACCTTCCTTGCTCAACATGCAGCTTCCTTGCAACACATCCACGAGAAATCTCACCACTTCATCACTCCCAATCAACGCATTCAGCCCTTCTTCGAACCTAGCAAGCAGGCTCAGGATGCCCAGTGACGTCCCTGCAAGATCTTCACCGTAGTCAGCACCGCTCTCAACGATTCCCACCAGGAGATTCACAGCACCAGAGCGCAGGGCCAACGTGCAGTTGCCGTGAAACTGGACGAGCTCGGCCAAGCAACTGAGGAGATGGTGGGTTGTTGGAGTTTGCGGACCTGAAATGGACTTGACCAGTACTTGGATTGTGCCTGCTACTCCGAACTTGGCTTTGTTCTTGTCCAGGATCGCCAAGCTGCAAATGAGGGAGCAAGCTAGCCTGGTGGATTCAGGAGAGGTGGTTGTGTGGAGGATTAAGGAGTTGAGGTGGTGAATCGTTTCCATCTCTGTCATAAGCGGCTTTAGATCGGGATTCAGGGAGAGGTTGAAAAGGATGGATAATGAGAGAGGTTGAATCATGGGAACTGGGGATTTTGTGAGGGTGAGAAGGGTGGAAATGGCACCGTCTGTTTGTGCGATTAAGTTCCTGTTATGGGGACTAACCTTGGTGATTGAAGCTAAGGTTTGGAGGGATTTCAGCTGGGAGTCAACGGAGTCTGATTGAAGATCGGAGAGACATTCTGCAATTGTCTCGCGGCGCCGTGCTGAAGAAGACATCTTTTACATTTTTCCAGCTTAACCTGCAATGGGTTCGAGCAGTTTTCACAAATGCTAGTCAGCTTACAAGGTTAAACTATTAGCATCGATAGAAAAGAGGTAATGAAATATGAAGCTGAGCTCACCTTTCTTCTGGTTGCTGAATACTCAGCCGTCCAAAGAAGTGACGATAATCCCATAGTACATAGCACATTAGACTAATATAAGAGTGACAATCATGTTTTGTCCTCTCTTTCTGGACAAATATCGAGACCATGAATCCAATTGGAAGGCCACATTTTCAGTAGCCAGCCAGAATAACGTTACATACAAAAAACCAAAGAGCTAGTGAGCTACTTAGTTTCTTCCTGTAATATTCTGATGCCATTGTTGTTTCGATAATCCCATGGTACATTGATACAACTACAAGTCTACCCCCTTTTTCAAATATTGAAGCACTGACATAGAGACACAAATATGACAAAAGATGCATATTTTGCAGTCAAACAACAGGTTGAGGAATGCTTGAAATTGAGAAGCCGGAACATCAGTTCATAGGAGAGACAACACATGAAAACACACTGCTGATAAAAGACACATTTGACAACAAAATTGTTTCCAGTAACTATTTTTCCATTTGAGCAGTCTCGTTGTAGGAAAACTGCATACAAGAAAGCAAGGGATATCGAGTAGTATCGCCAACTAAACCTTGTTTTATTAACTACATAACAAAACTGGAGGAGAATTTGCCTCCCCTACTGTCTCTTCATTGAATTTATTCCACTATGGAAACTGCACGACGGTGCATTAGTGATCATCTCCATGGCCATCGGGTGAGCCTCCCTCGCCAATCACTTCCAACTGCAGTACAGTTTTGTATCAAAAGCTTCGCGAATAAAATTGACGGGCGAGATTGAGATTCGATATTGCACAGTTTCGGGGAAGGAGCTTACCTTGAAATGCTGGGAGCAGACAGCGCAGTTGTAAGGCTTCCCTTTCTCCAGCCAGAACCATACCACATCGTGCTCATCTTCTGCAAATATTCACAACCCGATGAAATGCAAAGCAACAATTGGAACGCAGAAGAACAGATTCAGACACTTCCCAGCAGCAAAAGCTAAGACAATGAGAGAGGATTAAGGATCAACCTGCTTCGCCACCGGAGCATCCAACTATTCGTTTGTCATAAACAGACCTCACAATAGCAGGAGCTTCCTATACAGCAGCCATTACATCAATCAAAGCCGTATCAACAAGAAAAACTAATTACCGTATCCTCGTTCACGGATCATTATAAAGATTTCCTAAGGCTATGGGATCTTATCGATACCAACCTTTGTACCAAAAGGACCGACGGGATAGTTGATCTCTAAAATGTTCCTTCCCTGCGATGGAATGAACATATCAGAATGCGAGCAATGAACGGAATCCCGAAACGTAGAAATCAGCAAGAAAATAGATGTAACGAGCAGAAAGATTACCTCAAGATCCGCCTGGAGTTCCTCTCGCTCGTGTCCGGTAGCGATCGGCATCACATTTTCAACCTTGGTCTTCGGAATTTTACCTGACGCAAGCTCAATCTCGTTGATGAAGGGGGGGAAAACAAAGCTAACGAACCAGCTAGCAATCGATAAAAGCTGGAGGACTCGAATTGGAATACCTGAGGAGAAGAGAGTGGTGGTCCTCGGAGAAGAGGAAACGGGAAAGGGCGTCGTCGAGGGCGGCGGCTGCGAAGAGGCGAAGGAGAAGAATCTCGCGGCGATGCCTGGAGTGGCGGATCGGCCGGAGAATGAAGACGGTGACGGCAGCGCTCGTCTCCACATCTTTCGGGGCTTTTTGTTCTCGCCTTTACCTCCGATGTCTTGAAACTTTGGGGGAGTAACGCAAGTAGAATGTCGAAGAAGAAAAGCTTCACTATCACGCAGATTAGGATGGCAGAAATATGTGTGATATCCATCCAAATCCGACCTAATCGGGTAGGATAAAATTCGAATTCAAAGAATTTTTTATGGGTACGAGTAAAACTCGAACCCGAATATTGCAGGTAATGAGTGGGCATGGTTTTTTCACTATCCAACCCGAACCCGCCCGATTATACACATGCATATGTATTTTATATATAAATAATTATTATTTTTCTTTAACATATTTTATATTTAGCATATAAATATAATATTTTCATAAAATCGTATTGTTTTAATTAATTTTTTTCATTTTAGTGAATTATTATCTTACTTTTTCTTTTAAGTAATGTGAGAATATGTGTGAATATTAACATATTGTTTGGAGTTATAAAGAGAAATTATTACCTATGGATAACCGTAGATACCCGAAACCCGAACGGGTATGGGCATGGTTTTGATTTTTTACCCATTTCTTATGCAGGTATGGGTACGGGTAAAACCCGAACTACTTTGGGTAGGGTAACATATATGCACTATCCGCGCCCAACCTGACCCATTGCCATCCCTACGCAAGATCGTTTGATTTTTTTAATTTTATTTGCTTAAATTTAAGTTTACACTTCACATGACAATAAACATGAGCACTTCTACTATGCTATATAGCATTGGTGTTTTAATGTACAACTCAAAGTTGTACCATACCATTAAATGTATAAGTTTAGGTTGTACCATAAAGCAATTTGTACAATTATGTTATGGTACAACTTTACAACTTGAAGTTGTACCATCACATAAAGGTACAAGTTCAAGTTGTACCGTAAAAGAATTTGCACAAAAAGTATAGGTACAATATGAAGTTGTACCATAACGTAAATTTACAATTTTAAGTTGTACCATAAAGGCAAAAACCTATAGCACCAATACTATATAGCATTGTAAAATTTCTCATATACATTTTATTTAAATTTAACTCAAAACAAAGGTTGTCAACCCGTAGGTCGACTCGTTCTTACGCTGACCCGGTGAGAGAAACGAATTACACACTTGTCGGGTCGACCCACTGTAAGGTTATCGGATTGGAGGTCGTACGGTGTCCTTTTTCATTTGATTTGCGAAATGCGTCTATTTTCCAGTTTTACTCTATGTCTAACCCTATATTTGGAATTATGAGTTGAACATTTGAATATTGATCGTTTTAATCTATTAATTACAATTCTTTCTCTCACTTCCGTAATCTCCAGCCAGATCTCCTTTCCATATTTTTCTCAATCTTTCTGCAAAAGAAAAAACATATCAATCTATTAGACAACCACTACCATTTTGAAAAACATCAATACCATTGCAGAAATAAATATATACTATTACAGGAAAACTACCAATATAAACAATCAATAGCATTACAAAAGTCAAACAAATACCAAAACAACCAATACCACTACTACTGTGAATCAAAACAATACCATTGCATAAAGAAATCAATACAAACACTACCAAAACAAATACAGAGAAACTTCCAAAGCATAATGCAAACACTACCAAACCAAATGCAAATAACTACCAAAACATAATGCTCCATCTAACTAACACAAATGCAGGTAACTTCCAAAGCGTAATGCACACACTACCAAAGAAGATTCTGGAATGCAACATATTGAATTGCCTCGTCCAGCGCCGCCATCAGCAACGTCAGAGGAAGATTCCGAAGTGGCGGGGGAATCGTCGTCGTCGGGGCGGTCCCGATCAGGAACGCGAGCATCCATTGAATTGGCAGCGGAATCGTCGAGCGAATTGGCGGGGGAATCGTCCATTGAATGGCGGGGGAATCGTCCATTGAATTGGCGAGCGTCCCATATTGAATTGCCTTGTCCAGCTCCACCGTCAGCAACATCGGAGGAAGATTCGAAAGCACAGGGGGAATCGTCGTCGTCGGGGAGGTCCCGATCTAGGACGCGAGCGTCCATTGATGGTGCTGCAGCTTTTGGGAGAGAGAGAGGGGGGGATGCTAGGGATGGAAGATTATGCGAGAGAGGAGGGGAAGGGAGGAGGGCGGTGGAGGGGAGGCTGGCCGGCGGTGGAGGGGGTTCTCGAGAGGGAGGAGGGACGTCGGGAGGTAACGGGGGAGGGAGCTTGGTGGTTGGCGGCGGGTTGTAGTAGAGTAGGGTTTGAATATAATTTATAGAGTAATCAGGTGTGGTATATTTTTCAATTCCAAAATTACCCTAATATAATCTTCATCGTTAATTTAAAATTAGGGTGAAAAAGAAACAATAAATGGTGTAAATTAAGATAGCCACCGTGATTACTAAAAATTAAGTAACCACGCTGACTCATCCCGAAATACGTGTTAATGCTACTGGCTAAACCACCGGTCCAGCAGAACGGGAAAACCCACCCCCACCACCCACATGTAACGGCTGCATCGGGAAATCAGCTTCCCCTTAGTACAGGGAACTTCACCAACGAAATCGCCGCTCTAAACGCAGTGTAAAGCAGGCAGAGATTGCCGTCTTGCCGAGACGGCAGTTAGCGGCCGCCGGCAGCCTGCCCATAACACAGGGAAACTCCTCTTCTTCTCCAACAGAGGAGAGAGAATGGCATTTTTCAATTATCGGCTCAACAAACAACAAAATGGCCATAGGTGGTGCGCCATTCAAGAATACAATTTCCTCCTCGAACGGTATCTAACCAAAAGAATGCCAATCAACGAATCCAAGCAATCGTACCCAGAAATAGAATGAAGATGGAACAAGACGAAGAAAAGGAGAAAGAAATAAGGAAGAAAAAACAGAGTCCATCGGCGGCTAACAACTGCAAGTCGTCATCAGGAGCTCCTCAATCTCGGCTCCTTCCCGCCGCCGCGGTCCCTATTGACCCACCCGCAGGCGGTTTTCGCGATTCTGTCTCTCTCCTCCGTGCTCAAGATCTCGTCCTTGAGAATCCCCACCTTGACCACCATCGCAAACCCTCCCCCGCTCCCGGTCTTCCCCTTCGATATCGTCTCCGCGGAGTCGGCGATCTTGCGCTGCAGCACGGCGCGTAGCCCGGACTCGATCAGGTTCGATTTCTTGAGCGCGTCGGCGAGGTAGAGCTCTTGCCAGAGCGAGATAGGGGATGCGATCGGGACCCGGAGGGTGGTCGCAAGCTCCGGCGTGACCACATCTTCGAGCACCACCAGTTTCCCTTCGTTGGACGCGAACCTGAGTTGGTACCTGTAGCGAACCACCAGCCGGATGATGCAGGTCGGGAAGGCTGAGGAGGATTGGCTGGCGACTGTTTCGTCGGTGTCCTCCTTGACGTCGACGGCGTACCCGACTTTGACCGTCATCGGCCGGAATTCAATTCGGTGCAGACTCTCTCGGCGGCGGGCGGAATTGGGGATTTTCTTGCGCCGCAAAATCAAGTTCGGCCAGAGGGTTTCCCGGATCGGATCTACTTGCTTTGTACACTTTTTTAACTGGGTGCAGGCATGGGCTTCCTTTCCTGTAAAGTCGGTAATTTTTGCGTCGCCGTCGGTTATAGGAGATTAGGAGTTCCGTTTAAGGAAGAAATAAACAATAGACTTCCCTAACAATTGCCACTCAATTTTCGAAACCTAAAGAGTTGATTTAGAACTTTGAAAATGGAAGTGTCAGTTCGGTACACTCCCAATTCATCAAGCCTTGTGGACTCGTGGTTTATGAAGACGTCTAAGGTAGTCGAAACTCGAAAGGCTTCTTCGGCCAAGGAAGACGCTACACTAGACATTCGAGAAGCCATAGGACACTATCAAGATAACAGCAGAGAACTAACTCAACTCAACAAAAGAGATCGTTCGTCGAAAACATAGTAAAGGAGCATAACAATTAACAAACACATCAAGTACGAACTAGAAGTGGAGATCCAAATATCAACAACTGAAGTTAAAAAGCAAACCAGCATGAACCTAAAATCCCAGAGTGCCTAATTGGGGTCAAGGCAACAGTAATACTCCTCCCAATAACACAGCAAATGACACAGCCGGCGGCGTAAAACATGGATATAATTGAACACTCCCAAGGCAGATGGACAACACTAAAAGGCTCTGAAACTGAAAAGTCTGAAATCCTCAAAAACCCCTCTGCCGAACGGGTTACCAAAGCTATCTAAGGGTGGTTGAATCTCTACACCACCTACTCTTGCAGTACTCTTCTCATAATCAAGTTCTTGCTTCGCCTGAAAGCATACACATTCACCTTGTCGATCCAATTGAGATAGTAGTAGCATGTGAAACTCGGCCTCCACAGCCTCAAACTGGAACAGCATGCAACAGCAACTATTTGTCCACCAGGGACGAAGTCCATGGCAACTTCAGTAAAATCAAATGATCGGTTGACGTTTGCTGAGAAGAGAATGTCTAAAGCCCTGCACTCGACTGAACTGCCGCTGACATAACTACTTCACCTGGGGCTAGAATCGGGGGAACCATCGTCATACGAGACCAGCCCCTTCTTGCCACTGGGTGGGCTTCCAGATGACGACCTTGATCTGTCTTTGCTTACTTGCCGCCTTGGGGAAGGTGAAGCCAACGAAGACCTAGAATCTGCAGGGCTCGGGCTGCGACTGCGACTGCTGCTAGGGCTCCGGCTACTTGAAGGCGACCTTGACGGCTTGGTAGTAACATGGGGAGAAGTTCGAGACCTTGAAACCACCGGAGAACGACTTCGGCTGCGAATCGGGCTACGGCTTCTGCTGTACCTACGACGGTTCCTGTATCGAGGGCTGCGTGACACTGAAGGGCTCCTAGTTCTCCCTCTCCTCGCTCTATATCTGTGTTCATAAACTCAAAGGTCAACAGTACACTAAACCATGCTTTGCTGTAAACTATACAGTCATGTTCAGTGCGGATAAACATAACAAATAAGACCTTGGAGGAGTTCTGCCTCTTGGAGGGCTTCTGAAACGCCTTGGTGAGTACCTTCTATAACTGGAATACCTGGATACCAAAAAAGCAAACACACTATCAGGCAGAGGGAATTATTTGAAGTACCTTCGACTTTGAATGATTAGCAACCCAACTCTATTTTCCACAAGCCAACTAAACACAATCTTTCCCTACTTATGATTAACCTACAAAAAATAAGTAACTTATTTTCTTGCACATCAGCAAAATCTGGGACAGAACAAACATACCTCTCACGATCAATTCTCCCACTGTAACGATATGATCTCACAGGAGAACGATCTGGCGAAGGGGTTCTATATCTCCGGGCATACGAGTACCTATTACTGAATCCCCGCCCTCTTCTAATGCGCTTGGGGGACCCACCTGGAGATACACTTCTGGAAGAACCTCCGCGATCAGGAGATCTAACCCTCCTTACAGGGCTACGGCTCCTTGAATAACTTCGACGACTCCTAATTGGTGCCCTCCTTGGACTTCTGCTGCTGCTTCTTCTCCTTGAAGGAGGTCCTCCAGAGCTCCTACTGATGCTTCTCCTAGAAGAAATAATAGGACTTCTACTAATGCTCCTCCTAGAAATTCTAGCAGGACTTCTACTAATAGACTTTCGAATCGTTCCTCGAGGGGGACTCCTGCCGCTCACACTTCTTCGACCTGGGCCTCTCACAGGGCTTAGGCTGTTGCTCCTTCTGGACCGAGATCTCCCAGGACTTCTGCTGATACCTCTTCGTGACCTGGGCCTAACTGGGCTCCGGCTGATGCTTCTTCGGGACCGAGGTCTCACGGGACTCTTGCTTATGCTTCTACCTCTTCTGCTCCTGACTGGGCTCCTGCTGATGCTTCTAGCTGGGCTCTTGCTAATGCTTCTAGCAGCTTTTCCTAACGGACTCCTACTCGTGCTTCTAGCTGGGCTCTTGCTAGTGCTTCCAGCAGCTCTTCCTGACGGACTCCTACTCACACTTCTAGCCGGGCTCTTGCTTATGCTCCTGCAAACACTTTTCACTGGACTTCTGCTACCACTTCCACTTCTAGCAGGACTTCTGCTGGCACTCCTTGGAGGGGGGCTTCTGCTAGCACTGCGGCTCCTGCTCATAATCCTCTTGTTAGGACTAATGCTTGGGCTCCTGCTGCTAATAGTTCGCCTTGGACTAATACTCATACTCTTACTCATGGCCCTCTTGGGACTCATGCTTCGGCTCCTGCTCATCAACTTTGGTATAAAATACCAGATCTAGAAGAATCTCAAGGTATAAACAACAATAACTGAGGTCTGAGAAGAATGGAAAGTAGACCTAGATTTTCCAGGGTGATCATCTACCACATCAGGTTGACCGTCCTCGCTTCTGCCAGATCTTGCGTCCACAACAACAGCTCTGCCCTGCCTGTCTCCATTTTGCTTGGGAGATTCACCATTTTCCTTGCTAAGCATACCATGATCTCTTTTACGTGAAAGGGAAGCAGCATCAGCATCTCCCTCTAATACATCAGAAGACTGACCTGCAGTTGCAGTACAACAAAACAGAAGAACAAAAGGGCATGTGACAACCTCTTAAGAGATAATCAAAGAAAACCAAAGTCCATAGCGTGATTTGAACCCAAAAAAAATCTACTCCTGGAGTATTCTAAGTTACTCAAAAGAAGAAACTACATCATTGTTCCCCACCTTCTGCAACTCAAGACTCACAGGCTCTATACACACAGATATGCTGTTAGTGTTACTACTGCAACTTTACTAAGTTCCTAGAGATGAAAAGAAAAACAAATCACCACTGCTAAGCCGGTCAAGATTTCTACGATTATTAAGTACACCTGAGTATGGAAAAGCATCATGGACATGAGGCTAACCATAATGCAAACTAACAACAAGCGAAGAATAAAACATCACGGAAATGTGAATGAAGAAACATCATAAAGCCAGGTACAGCTGAAGCAAGGATAAGCAAATTAAGAAGTGAGTTAATCCAGTACCAGTTTTGTGCCCCCCTGCTTTACGCTTTCGTTCTTTTCCTTGCATATCAAAGCTTTCATCACCAGTGCTACTATCGCTCCCGCTTCCACCTTTATCTTCTGACAAGCTATTTGAATCCCTGGAAAGAAAAGGAGCGCCAAAATATATCATAACAATGGTTCATACTTACCGTACTATTTTCAGTTTCAAAATGAATTTTTTTCCCCATCTTGGATAAGTGAGACATCAGTGCGCTTAGAGTAAAAATCACGGCACATTCCCTTCTAACATAAGACAAGAAACCCATGGCACATTACTACGGGGGCTAATAAGGCAAGCAAGTGCAAATCTCCATGTACAAGTTAAAGTAGAGTCTAATGGTCATATATCACAGGCACCTATCAGGTCAGCTTTGACAGAATCATAAAAGCCCACAGAATAAAGTACCTTCTTGATCTACGTTTAGACTTCTTTTCATGTCTCTTCCGTCTTCTTTCACGTTGTTTATCTCTTTTCTTCCCACGCCTATGTCTATCTTTTTTGGAAGATCTCTTCCTCTTCTTGCGTCTATCATCACTGGATGAACTAAGCTCAGATGAGGACATAGATGAGTCAGAATCACTGTCAGACTCGGACGACTCCATCTCGGAATCTGATGAACTCTCAGAATCCGATGAATACTGTCTTCTTCTCTTCTTCTTTCTGTTCTTTGAAGACCTTTTGTGCTTCCCCTTCTTCTTTGTTTCCATACTATTAGCATCAGGAGAAGCATGCCTGCCTGATTTCTGTTTATTAGATTTCTTCTTATCTGCATAAAAGGTGGGAAATCCATTGAATATAAAATCAGTAAAACTAGACCATCTTAACCTTGGCAAAAAGACAGGAGAATCTTATAGAATGGGCAACCAAATGTTTGTCCATATATGCAGTTACGCCCTAAGAATGTCAAGTATCAGAGCATCAGTAATCACCATCTAGTTCACCACAATTGATAACTTTGACCGTCACTGTGGGTTTCCCTTCTTGGTCGCCTACACTTTCAATTTTCTTGAGAACGTCAAATCCTTGCACGAGTTTCCCAAACACCAAGTATTTCCTGCCGTTCAGGAGACAACCATACAGAATGAACAAACTTTTTTGCTGCGACAATCTAAGAACTCCCCTGGTTCAATATAGAAAAAATATGACCAGTTGAAAAATTTAACCTGTCCAGGCTATGATTAGCCCTGAATGTGATAATGAACTGAGAACCTAAGGTATCACGATCAGCTATTGGCATGGATAGAAGGCCTGGCTCGTCATGATTCAGCTTTGGAGACTCATCTGAAATGATGGCAAACATGCAAATTTTCATTATTAGAGGCACAGAAACAAATAGTGCAAATTGTTTAAAATATGTAGAAATGTAATAAATCTAACTATTTGGTTGCGAAACAATGTTCAAGGCGGAAATCCACAAACAAAAAATTTTAACTAGAAGAAAGATGAAATGCACTCAAAGAGGAAACTAGACCAAAATGGAGTGGAGTCACCTTCTGAACATAAAAGCAACAAAGTCTCTGAACAGATCCCTGGTGAAGTCACCAAACAACTAACCAAAATGATAGCATGTCCCGGAAACAAATGGAAGGCCCATCATTTCATAAATTATAAATATGATGTATATAACACATTGGTTCAGTTTTCCCTATTAACAAGTCTCAAATGTTGGGCTGATTATCCTTACCAGGGAATTTTCCACCATAAATGCTTTCTCCATCAGAGCCTGCAATCAGAAAGGAAAGTAAGAGGCTTAATAATTAGCTAAGAGTTCTCCCATGACCAGACATAACGAACATCTTAGGCTAACTCGACCTGTAAAAACAGCCAAATACTCTCATGAAACTGCTTGATAGATAACTCAGTCTAGATAGCTAATCTCCATAACTAGTCTAAACAGAAAATAATGTGTAATTCCGGAGATGGCCACTGTCTTCAAACCAAGCCACTAAAATATACAAAGCTACCAGGAGCAAAAGAACAGGTAAATTAACTAGAAGCTACCTTTTAAAAATCAAAGACAATTACTTGGCTTTCTTTTTAATGACAATCCCAGCCCAACATTTCAGGCAAATCAGATATTATCAACCATGTCTACAACTTGGTCCCGTTAGACATAAATCTTGAAGTTAGTGAACGGAACAAATTCCAAATGTCCCAAAGGCCTTCATGTTTGCAAGAATGCATCACAATATCATGTAAGACATACTTCTGCTACATAGAATTATGACATAGAATGAAGAAACTTATCAAAATTTATGGCACAATGAAAAAGCATCGGTATAAGGACACATACCATCTCTTTTTGAGAAGTCGCCTCCCTGCAAGAAATGCACAGCCTATTAGTCCACTAACATATTTATTTGCATCATCATATAGGGTTTTTTCACGATGAAGCGTAGTGAATTTTAAGGATGGACAACTCAGTAAGTACAACCTTAAAACAATATCAAAAGCAGGCGTGACCATCAGCCCTGTACAATACAGCATAAACAAGGGTAACCAGCTAACCATGGAAACTGACTAAAAGACACCACCTCCAAGCCACATCAACAAGAAACTGAGCGCAAACCCAAGCTTGAAAGTAATGTGTGTGCATAGTTTAGTGACCAAAATGCATCAGAACAAAAACAAACCTGAGCCATGGATCCTTTTATAACACTATGGAAGAAAGAACCCTTGTAGTGTAAAGCTTTCCCAGTTTTAGGCCCAACTCCTTTTTCTCCTGCCAATATATGAGATAATCAGGTCAGAAGAACACAGTTGAGTTTGTTCTAGCTGCTTAGAAGATGTACCTACTACCTAGCATCTTAGAAACCCAGGAAACCACGCACCCCTCCCCCTAAAAAGGGTGGATTCCAATACCTGTGCAAAGAGCGCGGAAATTTTCCGCCGTCTTTGGAGCAATATCGAAGAAAAGCTGCAGCATAAAGACAGCAATGATTAGGAAAAATGTGTACTTGTGACACTAAAATGAGTGAACTCAACCTGACAAAAATGTACTCAAGCAAAAGTAATACATTGAAACCTAAAACCTAATTCATTCCAATCTACAAAAACCCAAGTACCTCAAATACCATTCTTTCAAATGGGTCTCCATCAATAGATACATCCATAAAGACCAATGGATTCTTCATCTTTGCCTCTTTTTCTTTCCGCAGAAGCAAAAGCTAACCCAGCAAGAACTGCAACGTAAAAAAAGAAGTGAGCTACTATGCGCAATATAGCTACTATGCATACAGATTCCAACTACATAACTAAGCTCAGCACCTTACAGACAGATCCCAGCTACTTTAATGGACTAACACATGGCAAAAACACCTCTACACTAGACTTTAAAGCTCCCCTCGCAAACCCACACTTGAATTTGACTACTGGTACTCTTGCAGGGGTCATAAGAAAACTAGGGAGTATGTACACTATCCAAGACTCTTGAGTTTTGAATTACGAAAAGACCAGCTTCTTTCAAAGCCCTAACGTCCATAGATGACGGTAGACCTGGTAAGTTAAGCTCGGCAAGAGCCCAAGGATGAATGAAGTTACCAACCAGGCCACGCCAAAAACCGATAATTCATACTAGACTTGATTGACATTTGACAGTTGATCATTCGCAAGTCCAGTAGTCACACCATGAAAGATCTCGGTAGAAAGATCCTTAATAACCAATAGGAATTGCATTAAAATAACGCCAGGCATCTTGCAGATAATCAAGGCACCAAGAACTACACACTATCTCCTGTAGCAAGGGAGCACTGGGAAGACTGCCCTAGGAAGCTCAATGGGAAAAATTCTCTGCTACTTGATTCAATCAACGCAAACTCATAACGCAGAAGCCAACACACTTCACCGAACACCATAAACCCCTACAAAAGAGACCCGCGAAACCCTACACTAGATCCAACATTCCGGAATCCGATGCCCTTGGAACCGCTAAGGAGAGGAACTAGCATAAGGTTGCACGCAACGAAGACGGAAACCCCGTTATTCGTCCCCCAATTTGAGCTATCATGCACAAATTTTAACATCCCGCAACTGAGAAGTAGACAAACCGAGGAGCGCCTTACGGTGTGTAGAGTGCGCGGAAGCGGAGGAAGGAGGAAGAATAGTACCTCTAGGGTTGAGCTGAGCCACACAGAGAAGTGTTGAGCTACTGTGTGACGGGGACGAGGTAGGGATTGATCGGTGGAAATGCAAAACCTAAGAGGCGTTTATTTATTGCGCAGTCAGTCTTTGGCTTTGCCGAGCCAAATTCTCCGCTTCTCGCAAAAATCCCACTTCGGCCGCGCTGCTCTCGAGTCTCAAATCTGGATTGTTCGGGAGGCCGAAATAGACAACCCATTTAAGGGCAACATAGCCGTATAGCCCACAATAGGGGGAAGGTCATTGTTGAGTAGGCCCATTTATCACTCGGTCGAACCAACATGGGTGGGTAGCAGCAAGGTTTGGTTTGGTCGATGACCCTACTTGGAAGCATAGTAAATGCCCCGTTGAATACACGTATATATACACATACGTATCTTATTCATTTAAGACTTTCATATCCGTATTATTGTCAAGCCGTTTTATTTTTTCTGTTCATTTGATGGCCTCCGTTCTTATAAAGCACGTTTAATATCTGTATTTAATGAATTAAATTGTTAACTTTACTATTATTTATATATTTATTTATCTTTAAAATAATTAATTTTATATATTTATGATAATTAACGTACTATTAAATGTAACATTAGCTTAGAGATGAAATAAAATACCCGTACATATTTATACGTAACTTTCCCGTACCATATTTTACTAACTATGATTGGAAGTATGGAACATAAGCGAATAGTAACAAAATTCGATAGGAGTATAAGACTATAAGTTGAGAGGTTAAACTTTCCATATCAAACTCCGAGAAGTAGGGATAGATGTATCATTTGGTATCAGTTACCAGTCTCATCGCATATACATGCAAAAGAACGTCAACAATCGCGTTGATCGATAAGTTGACCTTACCGACCTCAAGGGCTCACCACCATGGAGGGAATTATGTCGCTCTCGTGAGTGGTGGCCCGAATGTCTTAAGATGAGTGATTTTTTTTTCAAGATACATCACTAAACTTAGGTATTATGAGGAGAGAATATTACATAAGGGGATTCGGTCGTGTCCCTTTATCACTATCCTCGAGATGGTCGACCTTGTTACCTTGTTTAGATTTAGGGTAGAGGATTGACCAAGCGTTTGGCATGTGATAATCTTGTTTATGAATTACATTTACTTAAACAAGTACAAGAGCAGCTATATAGCTTGAATTTAGTATTTTATACAGGTTATTTTCGCTCCTTTAACGCTGGTTTTAATTATTTTACATAGACTAATCCATTAGACATCACCCTAATTGGCATAAGTGATATTTAACTTAGTTATGTAACACATAAGTCGTTGTATACTCGATCGAATGTGTTGGATGTCTTGGGGATGGATTCTATTGATGATGCCATAAGTATAGGTTATCCCTTCCTTTCCACCTTTAAAAAAACTAAAAAAATGTCTGTATTTCAACTAAAAAAATGTGATATCAGATTAATTTTTCAACGCTTGTTACCCAAACATAAAGCACAATGGTTAGTTGGCAGACATGTAAATTGAGGCTAACTAACCCTCACCCATCCTTCTTCAAATATTCCTCAAATTATATTTACATGCATTTAGGTTGGAACACGAGATAAATTATGTGAAACTCCATTTTACCTCATTGGGTCGTCAAAATTTGTTCCTCGCTAAAATCACAGCCAACACATGCATCAAATGGGCTCATCATCAATTCCTTTGGCAAGTTAGACCCTAATTCAGAGAATTTATGTACAATTAAAGTAGCACAAAATATCTACACTCAAGAGTTGTTTGTAGAATTGAAAGATTTCTCAGTCTAATGAGCCAATCAATTATTATCTATAAGTATGGCAAATCGATTTATCAATATCGAAAACCACTTTATGTGTACAAGAAACTTGTCAGAAAATAGTGTTACGGCCTACGTGGCCGATTCTCAATTTTCAAATACGGTTATTGGAGTGTGGCGTAAGAACTTTTTTCTTCCTAAAATAGCCTTGTTTATTTTCCATCAATATAAATTTTGGCAAGCAATAACTTGGAATTTTAAAAAAGAACCATGAACCTAACTTATCATAGAAGTTGGTGGATTGTTTTGGAAGTGGAGTTAGTGTTGGCTTCACCTTTCTGAAATTTTCTATATCAGAAACAAACTTGGATTTCACGTAAATCACCTGATAACATCTAACATCTGATAACAGCTTTGACAAATGACAAGAAAAAAATATTTAATAACAACTCCAATTTTTTGTGATTTATCTAGTTGAATTGGGCTTTAATTTTTTGTCGCAATTTTACGAATTCGTTGTCTATTATAAAAGTTTTGTGAAAAAATATGAATTACCATCTTCCTTTTGGCTGTTGTTTGGTAAGGGTAATAGAAAACAGAAAAATCAGAAGAACATTGAAGATATAAAATCATCTTTGCGCTCAAATTGAGTGGCAAGAAAAAAAGGTCATATATATCATATATGACATCCATATTTTGTAATTAATTTAGGTGTTTTTAAGAATAATGGAGCATCAAACAATCCCTCCCAATAGTACTTAATGGTAGAGTTTTACAGTCTTTTTAGTTTTCATCATTAAAAACTTGTTGACATAAACAATCTTCTGATTTCTAAGACATTTTGTATTTGATGGTTTAATCCATTTTAGCTATTTGAGCAATGCAATGGTTTCAAACTATTTTTTACTCTTTCTAATATCAGCTACACAATATATCACACATTTATAATATTTAACATCGTGACCTAAACTAACTCTAAAATTTACTTAATTGGCAAAACCCTAGTGTTGATAGTTATACTGGACGGTCCAGACAGTTGGCGAACGATCAACCCTCCATGTCATCATATTTTGATTTAAAATATTCGTATTTTCCAAAAAAATATCAATTTTCCTATTTAGTTTGATTAAAATGATAAAATAAAATCAAATGGTAGGGTTAGGGAAAGGGCTGCAAACGAGCCGAATCGAGTTTTTGCTTAGCATGAGCTCGGCTCGTTTATAAAATTTTCAACTCGAGCTCGGCTCGAACTCGAATTTTGATAATTCAACTCGAGCTCGACTCGATAGAGCGTGATAAATGCTCATTAACACAACTTGTCAAACTGAGTACAAGTTCGGCTCAAAATAAGCTCGATTTAAAATCATTCTTGCAGAAAATTGTGTACACATAAGATTTAAATGATAAAAATAACACTAGAAACTATAAGGGTAAATACAATTTAATATCCAAACCTTTCATTGTAAACAATATAATAGCCAAACCTTTTCGAAAACAATCTAATATCCAAATCGTCCACGTTCCGTTCGTTCGACCGTTACTTGATTCTTCAAAAAAGCTTTCTTTAGGTGAAATTGTCACAATACAACTTTGTTTCTTGTTTTGGCATTGCAAACGACTGAATATTTAGATATTCTATACCATCATGGTGGAGTCATGGACTTATCGGGTTTGGAACTACGATATGTTGGTGGTTTTTCAGAAAAGATATCGATGAATATTGATGAAGTGTCGTACTTCGAACTTTTTTGAAGTGTCAACTAACAGTCAAAACGGCAGAAAGTTGACGATTTTGATATTAGATTGTTTTCGAAAAGGTTTGGTTATTATATTGTTTAAAATAAAAGGTTTGGATATTAAATTGTATTTACCCAAACTATAAATAACAACTAACTTTCATACACATCCGTATTAACAAGATAATGTACATGTTCATAAGAGTAATTAACCATTCCACTAGCTCTAAACAAGCTAGCTCGCGAGCTTAGCTCAACAAGCCACCAAGTTAAACTAGCTCACGAGCTTATCAAGCTGAGCATGGTTTAACTCAAGCTTGGCTCGTTTACTAACGAGTTGGCTTGCGATCCAGCTTGTTAAATAACAAACCGAGTGTCGAACGAGTTTTTTTCCAATTCGAACACCGAGTTGCTCGCGAGCCGCTTGGCTCATTTGCATCCCTACCGATAAGCAACACTAAAATGTGTTTGGAGTTTGGACTTGGAGGTAACCATTTGATAATCAAATTTCTCCACTAATAGGGTTAAAATGAAAAATAAAGTGTGTTTCAATATCACCAAGGACCTTACAAATATATCATCTTCTAAATATATATCCTTGGAAAATGAATATTATCTTTTTATACGAAAAAGAAATTACTAATTAGTTGAAAAACTGCAACGACTGAACACAACCCTATCATTTCCATGCTAAGAAAAATTATAATTTCCAGTATTGTTATTATTGTTTAACAGTTGAAGTTTGAACTACTAAATTTATAAAAGTTACAAGTAGTTATCCTACTTTTAAAACGTTGTTATTATTAATTTTCATATTTATATGATACGAATTTAACAAATTTCACTAAGGCAAATTATTACAACACTACCATTTATCGTGTTTCTTCTCGATTCTAAATTTCTCTTAATCTCGTTTGTTATGTTTCTTCTCTGTCACTCTTTAAGTCTTAACCCTAACCAATCCAAATCTCCATCGATACAAAAACAAAACAAAAACAAAAAAACAAAAAAAAAATCATTTCCCCCTTTGTACGAAAAACCAAAGGAAAGCAAAATAAGCGAAACAAACAGAGCAAAGAGGGAGAGAATCGCTTCTGCAGATCAACAAAAGCTGGAGAGCGAAACCCCCGAATTCATTATCTGCTTTTCTTCTCCGATAACCCTAACGAGCTCTCTCTCGACGTTTCAACGAAAGGTTAGTGAGGCTCTCTCTCTCTCTCTCTCTCTCTCTCTCTCTCAATCGGTACCTTATTTTCCTTCGATTATCAGTTAATCGCTCTCCGTTTAATCGTGTTTATCGTAGAAATCTGGTGCTCTTACTGTAATCTGCTTGACGTTGAAGTCGCTATTTTTCGAATGATTTTTTGCTGAATTCGTTGCGTCCTTTGAGCGGATGTGCTGTTAATCCTTTTGTTCTCTTCTTCCCGTGGGTGAAGTTTGGTTGGTGGGTTTGTGTTCAATCAGTTCATGGATTAATACGATGTCAGTTCAAAATTAACGCTAGTTTCTGCTGGTTTTCCCCTTGGTTTGGAATTACCGTTTGATACTTTGATTGCGTTTCTTGTATTGGGCTGATTTCGATGATTATGTTGTTTGATGATGAACAGTTCCTTTTCCCCCACGCTGCCCCAAACTTCGTTCTTAGGATTCCCCGACCCCATTTTTGGAAGAGAGAAGGTTAAATATTTTCAGTGATCTTAAGACCGAAAAAAGGTTTTTGTTGTTTGTATTTTATTCTTTCCGATGTTTAGATATATGTGTTCGTTCTGGTTGCCATGTTTTTTCTGTCCCCTCGGATAGTTGGAGTGGCGAGACACGTCATGAATTGATTGTTTAAATTTGGTTTCTTTGTTTGTTGCAGGTTGAACCCCCTCCTATTTTTAGATCATCCCTAATATAGGCATCATGAGATTTAAGAAAGGGAGCAAGGTGGAGGTGCTGGGAAAAGAAGAGGGAGTGTGGCGGCTGGGTGAAATTACATCTGGCAATGGACACACATACAGCGTCAAGTATGATGTTTCGATGTTTGCAAGTGGTGAAGATGTTGAGGAAATGGTCCCGAGAAAGGCCATTAGGCCCTACCCTCCATATGTTGATTACCTCGATTCATGGTCTGTTGGTGATGTTGTCGAGGTCTATGTCAACCTTTCCTGGAGGACTGCAGTGGTTATGGAAGTCATGGATGGAAATTACTATTTGGTTCAGCTAACTGGGAGTGCAAGAGAACTTCAAGCCAATAAAATCAACATTCGAGTGCCCCAATTATGGCAAGATGGCCAGTGGTTTGTCATTGGAAAAGTAAGATCCGTTCATTTTTCTTCCCTTAAATTGCTCTCATATACATTTTTTCCCTTCTTATTATGCATTCAACTTTTGGGAATTACAATTCCAATGGCTCCGTTCATTGCATGAACATCTTTGACAAAATCGTAATCTTTCTATATACAGACTGTTGGATTCCTAACTTTGTTGTATTGGATAATACTCAGGGAAATAGTAGCTGCGAGGATGTGAACTCCACGAATGCATCAACCTTGAGTTGCTATCAGAAACCAAGCCAGAGGATGAAGCAAGTTGGTGCCAGTAGAAAATTGCAAGAAGGGAGTAACTATCTATACACTGAAAACAACACTGGTTTTCAGGAGTCTTGTGTTGTGTCAGCTAGAACATTGAAGAGAGCTTCTCCTTTCTGGTCATCTGACTTTGAAGCATACGATGCAAGCCTTCACAAAAGGAGAGCCTTTAGGAAAGAGGAGCAACTCCAAGGAGCGGTGAAGGGGTACCAAACATCTTCACTGAAAAAGGTAGACACTGTTGCTTACCCAGAACAGTGTATGGGTGAAATAGACATGCATGTTTCCCCTAATAATCAATCTGGATGTGCCAGAAGAGTGGAATATAGTGATTCTGCTGATGATGCATGCTCTGTTGGTAGCTGTAGTGTCATTAGCATGAATCCTAGTAAATTGTTAAGCCGTGCAATGGCTGGTAACAGTGCTGGTAATGATTCCTTGAGTAGTGATGCTGAGTCACATTATTATCATGGAGATGAGGAAGAAGATAATTTTCCCCATCCCTTAGAAGATGTAACTGCAAGAATCCATAGGTTAGAATTGCATGCTTATCGTTCCACTCTAGAGGCACTCTATGCTTCTGGTCCCTTAAGTTGGGAACAAGAAGAACTTTTGACTGAACTTCGTATGTCTCTTAACATCTCTCATGATGAACATTCAGTGGAGATAAGGAATTTGATCTCCACTAGTTCAGGTGGTCATAGTAGGTGGTAGTTAAGTAGGTTTTCCTTTTATATATTTTCATGTTTCAGTAGGGTCTTCGTGGTTGTCATGTGATCATATTATTGTAAGAAGCAGGATGTAATTGTTAAAATTTGTAGATTTCTTGACCATTCTTCATTGTGGCAATTTAGCCGTGACATTTGTAATGCAGAAACTATGTAAGAAGTTCTTCCTACGGTATTTCATTAGAGGATCACCATTGTGTTTTTGTTTTTTTCCCATACCTCTTCCTTTCCGCTTTCCTTTAGTTTGTTTGAGTATGAAGCTGCTCCATAGGCGACAGAACGAAGCCATGTTTCATCTCCCTACTATTGACTTTATTGGAAACTTGGTTTGCTAGTTGGAAGATGTCGTTGAAAGTGTGTAGTCTTTTTTCGGATTCGATTATCTCTGAAAACAAGATTCTCTTGTATGGCATGTTGTTTCTGTCATTAGAATGATATCCGGAAATGGGAAGACTGCTCTGGGTTATTTGTTCTTGTTAGTAAAATGAATATGGATTTATATTTTCGATCTATTAGGCGGTGAATCCCATGACAATTTCAATTTTGGTTGTACCCACCTTTCAAATGTTGATACTTTAAGGTGTACAGTACCAAATCTGGTTGACAATCTTGCTCTACCAAATCTTAAGTAGTTGAGTTTCTCCCAGGAATTCCAGTTTGTGGATGTTATTGATAAGTCCCCTGCATTTTCAGGACAGCAGTTCGACACATGCATGCTTTACTTTGAAAGATCAAAAGATGATGCTGGGACACAAAAGTTGGGCCAGCATGTGCTTCCCTTTCTTTTGCTTCACATGCATATATTTCTTCTTCTTCTTGGGCTAAGCATGTCTATTGCTATTAGCTGATTACAGTTTGTTTCAGGTTTGCTGGAACACATACAGAACTTGTGGCTGCCACGATGTGGGAAGTTCATGCTATTTTAAATATTCAATTATCCACAGGTTTATTGTGCTTGTTTCTTCTGCATAGTGGTATCTTGTCTGAACTGAGTAAACAAGTCGGTCCATGCCCCATGGTTAGATTTTGGAAGAAGTCACCTTGATGCTTAGCTTGGTGCGTGAGTGATTTTGAAGAATTTGGGCAACGTGTATGATTTAGTTCTTGTGTCCTTTACACTCTCTTACATTACCTGGGTAGTTGATCAGTTCTGTTCTTCTTTTGCCCCCTCTAAATCGAAGGTAACATCACGGATGTCTCTCCCTTGGAACTTGTTCCTCAAAGAGTAGCTGTAATTCACTGCTAAACTTTCTGGTTTGTTTTCTTTCCTAACCTGCTACATGTTGAATTCATTTATCTTTTCGAATTTCATGTAATGTTTCGACTGTTCGTAAACATCTAGTTGCTGGTAAAGATATTAAATCTGTTTCTTGGTTTTATGATTAGAAACCTCCTCTGAGGGTGGTTGAATGGAGTTTGCATGCATGGCTGTTTAATCTGAATACCATCTGATTGCTTTGAGGTCCCTTGTCACTGACTCTTGAAATTAACTTCCTGCTATGGCGTTGCCGTATCAGTTCATCCTTAAACTAATTACTTTTACTCATCGCAATCCTGCACATAGGCATGGTGCTAGTTTTCAGTAAACAAGAAGATTGGACTCATCATAACAAGGTGAGTTTTCTCCTTCTCCATGCTTTGCTTGTATTTTGGTTTAATGATTGTAGTTATGTTCTCTCCATATGAGGGAGGGGGTGGATCACTGGTTGCTAACTCTGGCATAGATGTGAATGACCGGGTCTTACAAAGTTGTCAGTCGCTCTGCTCTCTCTTGACAGTGATGGCTATATACTCGATCCAATCCAATCCGTTGGTACCAGTGTCATTTTGATGCAATTGCTCGATTCCAGATCGTGATAGTTACCATGTTCAAAATGGCATATATCGCAGGCATCTTTTGATCTTTTAAATGTTTTGATTGTCCTGTTGGATTGTTATGTATTCTGTCCTGGGTACCGGCACTTCTTCCTGGAAGCTTCCCCAATATCCATTTGTTCAGTGACATAGATTATCCAATTGAAGAAAAACAACTCGTCTGATAGTTCTGTGCATTGACATTATGTATCAATGTACACCATGTTCAGGAAGCAAACCGTTTCGACACCAGCACTAGGCTTGTTTGCGGCATGGTTTCTCGTTGTTGAGCAATCATAACTGCTGTTCATCATCACATCGATTGCTTGCGTCGTCCCTTAAAGTTGGATGACTTCGGTTGGGTCAATGATGCCCTGCGTGGTGTGTGATGGGATGAAATTAAAGTGTAACTTATTGCAATTCATGATTCTTATGGTGTTCTTTCTCGAGAAAACAAATGAATGGATGAAATCACTTTGGTTGATATGATATTGATTCTTTGGTTCAATATAGGGCTGTTAATCGGTCTCTGGTTTTTCGGTTAACCGCGAGACCAAACCGAAATCGTTGGTTTAATAGCCAACCGAAAACCGAGAATGACTTGCGGTTGTGGTTTCCTGTCACTGGGCATGAAGCAATTGTAGTGGTTAGCAGTTAAGAACCGCAACCGTGCGAGATTAACCGCAAAATCGACCATACTCACTAAATCGGCGTCGTTTGGGCGTGTACTCTTCTACTTGGCCAAATTGACAACCTCTCGGCCTCTCCCCAGTCCCCTCCCCTGACCTATATCGCGAATCGAAATCGACAGAACCTCACTCGTCGCTTCCCATTTTCGAACCCTACCCTCGTCCCCGTTGTCGTAGTTGCCATCCAGTCCACAAACTCCCGTCGTCGAGTTCGTCGCATCGTCATCCTCTTGCTCCTAGCTTTCGTCGCATTGCCGCCCTCCCGCTCCCAGCCTTCATCGTCGCTGTCCTCCAACACAGAACTTGTCGTCGCCGAACTCCCTCCCAGAACTCGTCGTAGCGAGCTCATTGCACCGCCGTCCTCCTACTCACGAGCTCGACGTCGTCCTCTCCAGTCAGCCTGACCTGCACTCTTGTTGTCCTAGTTAGTACTGTCGTCCTCCTGCTCACAAACGTCGGTGCCGCTTCATCCTCCCTGGTTCCAGCCGCTGCTGCCGCCTTCTGTCCCGGAATCCCGACGTCGCCCTGTTCCTGACCGAAAATCATGCCATCTTGCCGTTTATGGCTAACCGCTCTTGCAAACCGAAACCGGCGATTGCGGTTGGCGGTTAACCGAGCCTTTCTTCGGTTTCGGCTTCGGTTTGGGATTATGGCCGAATTTTGGTTTCGGCTAACCGACGGTGCGGTTCGGTTAAATCGAAACCGCACCGACTAACAGCCCTAGTTCAATATGTGGATCATTGGATGATAGCTAATTTTATTTTATTATCATGTAAAAGCTCTAATTATAATGCAAAACTTAGAAAGTAATTACTTCACATGTTATTGATTATTCAGGATTAAGTGGCGGTTTAACTCATTGTTAGTATGTTACAATAAGAGAGGGCTTGTATTTTCTAGAATCAACTCACTGTAGAATCCATCAATTGTAATAATCATCAATACGAAATAACCTCACGAGCTTCAAGTTTAGGTTGAAAAAAGCTATTTCTTTGTACCCGACTATAAGTTGTTTTGATTATCAGGTCTGGCTGAATTCCAGGATGTAATAGCCTTTTGTTCTAAATCAATATATGATTATCTTTTGTAAAAAAAAAAAAAAAATTGCCGATGAGGTAGAATAGGTAATTAAGAACATGATGACTATGGAATCGAAATGAAATAAAATTATGCTGAATGCTATTCAAATTTTTTTATTTGTTTTTACAAAACTAGCTTAACAGTAAAGAGATCCACTTAAATCAAACATATCCAATATTAATATCTAGACTAAGGCCGGCACAATAGTAGTAGTTAATATTAAACGTTTCATTTTTTTTTATAGAAAGATCGACGCACAAAACGTCTAATTCATGGAATAAGAATATTCATGGAAAATATCTATTATATCATGACGAAACCATTGTACGAATTCTCTATCCCTAACATTGAGATTATGTGTACCAAAACTGGAATCATGGCCCAAACATTCCATTCTGATTTCTGAATGTAGATGAACCTTTTACGAAAACAACAGACACAATAATGCTTTAAAAAAAAACTAATGTGTAGTTTGATAGAGAGAGTAAGAGGAGTAAATGTAAAAACAAATTAGGTTAAATTAAATCGTACATATAACTTATATTGAGGGACCCTAAGATGAAACTATATAGAACTTAAGAACTCAAATTGATGTTCGACTGAAATTTAGGTATGATAATGATATTATGATTTTCACTCTAAGGACGGAAAAGACTAAAGAGGCGCTTATTGATAACGCAAGCGTGTTTAGTTTGAACGTTGTTAGAACGCAACCGTAATCCTAAACTTCCTTCTATATAAACCCCACTCGCTCCCGCCCTCTCCCTCCGTACCACGGCACCTTCTTCATCCAAACACGAATTCGAGAAAGAGCGCAGAGAGTCTCAATGGTAATGCGCCTTCCCTTCTGCCTGCCGATTTGTGCTTTCTTCTTGAATTTGTTTTCTCCCTCGATCTTCACCGGATCAATGGTGAAGCGTCTGGATTCTGTTTTACTCTGCCCTCTCAGCGTCTCGCTTCTTTTGATTGCCTTTAGTTTGTCTGTTTTGCTTCGTAGTTCAGCTGATTAACGCTCGATTTCTCGTTGAATAAACAGGCATTGCCGAACCAGCAGACCGTTGATTACCCGAGCTTCAAGCTAGTGCTCGTCGGCGATGGCGGCACAGGTTCGTCTGTCGTGATCATGTGGTATTTCCCCCGATTTTCTCGCTTTCGTCTTCTGCTTCATCTATCCTTAGGGTTTCGACTCGATTAGCTATGCTTTGACTGTTGTGGATTTGGTTGCGCGATTGCCTGCAGGCAAAACGACGTTTGTGAAGAGGCATCGTACCGGCGAGTTTGAGAAGAGATATGAGCGTAAGTAGTTGTAAGAGGGATTGATTGATTTCCATTCTTGGTGTGCTATCTTTTGCTTGTTAGAGATGTTTCGATTGAATTGGTTGTGTGGGATTTGTTGGGATGAATAGTTTTGAAAAACTATAAATGAAATTCTTAATTAATTATCCAGTATTTTCCCATAATACATAAATAAGATGGATAATTAATAAAAGGAATATTATGGAGATAATTAGGAATAATTATCTTAATAGATTATATTTTAATTATGGGAGTAATTATCTCCCTAGTTAAAATATGACTTATTTCCAAAGAAAGAGGGAATATTCTGGGTTTTCTGCTCCTATAAATAGGAGACGCCCCAGACCCTCTAAACACACCTCAGAAGAGCAGAAACACGATAGAGAGTGAATTCATAGAGCTCCGGTTTTCCGCACAAAACCGATGAGCAATAAATAAGAGTGGCTGTTTTATCCTGGAGGCGACCGGCTGATAGTCTGCTGTGCGAATAACGAGGCAGTGCCGCGAACGTCTTAAAGAGAGCGACCTAGTCCGCGACTCAGCCAGATCGGTAACCCTATTTTTCTGTTCGGTTTCTAACAATTTTAAGACGTTTGTTACTGTCAAATCGACCGAACAGATTATCGCATCTGGCTTGGCAAATCTCGCCCTAGCATGCTCGCCGTTGAGCTCGTGATCCCTTTTGCAAATCTCGGTCTGGGAGCTTGTAATCGACAATTCCGTCTCGGACAAATTAATTGCACCTTTACCATTGATTGTTCCTGTTAATTTGTTTTTTAGTTTGAGATTCCTTGAAACAGGAATTAACGGAAGCACTGAAAGGAAGCCATTGGAATTTTGAATACGTGGAGGGACAAGGTTTAATTACCTGGACAAGGTTAATTAGGAAGGTGGCTCCCTTTTATTTAGTTCCATTCCGGGCCAACTCTTGGAGCAGGCAACTGGCAATGGTAATCATGGTTTTACTACGTGGACCGTGAAGGAGGCATGATTAATCAATGCGATTTTGGAAGGGAATTTTCAATTTTGTTCTCTGGAAAGACTTCGCCAGGCCAAACAGAATGAGGCCGAGGGCAAGGATGAAAGAGATCCGCCCTGTGATAGATAGTTAGCAGAACAGGAACTTGACTAGGGGTATGCGGTGATATTTAATTATCCCAGAAGAACCCAACGATGGCACATTGCGAGCTCGTGGCTTAATCACTCAGGAACAAAAGCATGACGCAGAACAAGGAAGCTATGCTTGTTGATAGCTATCGGTCGCAAAATCAGCTTGCAATGACTCCTTGAAAATAGGTATGAACCGAAATGATCCTCGTGATTCATTAATGAATGATAAATTAGATTCTATTTCATTAAGCTCTATGCATGGTATTGAGAACCATATGAATGTGAGAAAGTAAAAATAGAATTGATGCATGTATATGTTGACATTGAGGTGTATTACCTCGATGATTAGAGTATAAATTGAATACATGTGATGGAGTAGAATGATTTTGTTTAAATGCATGCATATATGTGAAGAATATATGATAATAGAATGGGTTTATTGCCCTTAATAACGATATTATAAGAAGTATTATTATCAGTACTACACGAACCATTTAGATTGCTGTGAAACATTAAAGTTTCAAGAATGAGAGCAGCAAGCTGAACCAGATCCACATCAATTAGAATGGTACCTATCGTGGTAACCATAAGATTGTCACCCAATCCTCTAAAGAATGACGTTATGTTTCTCTGTTAAATTCGTGAGAAACTAGGTCATAAGACACGAAAGTGTAAGAACAAGTGTGTTAACTTGACTAAAGAAGAGGATTAGGTAATAATATTCACTGAGGTGATGACAGAGGTTAGCCTTAATGGTAACTCTGAAGAATGGTTGTTGGATAGGACCGCTTCAAGATATGTGTGTGATAAACGAGCTAAGCTCAATCATACATTGACGCATATTGAAGGAGAAAGTGTTGTTGGGCAAGACCCTCACCACTATTGTTGATGGTTCTGGAAAAGTGGAAGAGGACTCTGCCTCTAAAGTCATTGACTATCCTAGATGTAAGGAATGGTTAAGTAGATAAGATAAATTCTTCCAAGTGTGTCTGTGTGAAGAATTTGAATATCTTATATCGCATTCCCATATTATTATTGGATGCTTGAGAAAAATATGAATTTTCTATATCCAAGCTAAATGACCCATAAATATTTTAATTAGAGAATCAGAATAAATAGATCTGATTTATGTGGGTAAACTTGATGGAAAAGACAGTAAACAATTTATTGCTCTTTAGAGTGCTCTGATTGTCAGACTAGTTATTTGAAATGGTTTGAAATGCCTAATTGCATTATGATTGCACTGATTATTCGATATGTGGCATGCATGTGGTAGCGTTAGAAAATCAGTGTAACATGATAACTAGAAGAGCATATGAGTGTGTTTTATGTTGTTAACAATAAAAACACATAGTTCCTATGAAACGAAATCCTCATGTTGTTGTGAAATCCATTAATGCCAAGAAACTTCCATTTTAAATCAAGAAATAGTGGGGGTAGTGTCCTGCCTACTATTAGAAATAATAGAACTAGTGGGGGTAATAAATCTGAGTTTAAACTCAGAAGAAGCAAATGAACCTGAAATCTCTTAAGGTTTTTGGTTATGAATTTGTTATTTACACCCTAAGAAAGAAAGATCCTACAAGTCTGCTAGAAGTTCGAACTTCCATAAAGATGCAGAATTGTGGGAGAATCCATTATTAACGAAATGGAATTATTAGTCTAATAAGACTTAAAATCTTGTAGAGTTACCTCTTGGTTGAAAAGCCTTGGGTAATATATCGATAGAATCGAACAATATTTGGCATTTTTGAGAATTACCTCTTGGCAATGAAGTCATGGGTAATAAATGGATTCTTAAAAGAAAAGTGAAACCTATTGGTTTAGTTTATGAGTATAAGGATCGCCTAATAGCTAAGGCTTTAAGCGAAAAGGAAAAATTGTTAATTTTCTTGTTATCTATTCACCATATGTAGAATAACATCCATGTATGTTCTGATTGCTAGTGTTGTGCGTCAGATGGATTGTTAAACATGTTTCTGTGAATGGTGATTTAGATAGGAAAATCTGCATGGGACAACCTATAGGGTTGTTATTCTTTAACATGCTTAGGGAGTCTATAGTTAGACAAATCATTGTAAGATTTGAAATGGACTCTAAGACAATGGCATGAATAAACTGGTTCTCTCTCATGGTTTTAAAAGTGAAAGCGACAAGTGCATTTAGTACAACTTTGAGAATGACACTTGCATTATGAATGACACTTCGGTCTTTGGTACAAAGACTCGTGATGTCAATATTATGAAAAACCATGTTGTTTGAGAATTATGAAGGTAAAAAGATCTGGATGAAGCAAGTGTTATGCTCGGAGATCCAGATTACTAGGACAATGAAAGAGATTTCATCTAGGTCAGTTTAACTACACAGTTAGATCTAGAGGAAATACGAGTTCTACACCTTCATAAATGTTTGATGGTGCTAGTGTAATTTTTAAGAGCACCAAAGACGGTGTAAGAAAGTAAGAACATACTAGCATCGACAGTATGCGAGAGGCAGCTGATAAACATGAGACCCGACATAGTGGGGGTACTTGGCAGGCTTACTGATTGTCCTAGTATGAAGCATTGAAATGCTATTGAAAGGGGTCATGAGACACCTTAAAAGAACAGAAAAAACCTTGGTATTTGTTATCAATGGTTTTGCTGTATTGGTAGGGTATAGTGATGCGGATTAGAATACCCTATAGAGGACTTCAAGACAACAAGAGGCTGTGTTTTAAACATCGATAGAGAAGCTATGTCTTGGAAGTCTAAGAAGTAAACGATCCTGGCTCAATCAACTAAGAAATCAGAAATGATAGAACTAGCAATGGCTAGTAAAGAGGTAAGTTGATTGAGAGGGTCACTACTAGAGATTCCCTTATGGGAAAGACCGATCCCTCCGGTAGTTGATTCATTGTGATAGCACCGCAGCTATTACTAAAGAAGGGAACCGGTTCTAGAATGAAAAGAGACGACAAATTCGACGTATGCACAGTACTGTAAGAGAATTCCTAACGATAGGAGCAATGAGGGTGGATCATGTGAGATCCTAACAGAATCTAGCTAATCCTTTGACGAAAGGATTATCTAGAGAGAAAGTCCAAAGTACTGCCAAGGGTATGAGACTTATGCCTACCGAACCACGGACTACAAGTGATGGTAACCCGACCCAATAGACTGGAGATCCCAAGAAATGGGTTCAATGGGTAATAACAAGTCATGAGTAGTATGCGAAAAGTTCATGCATAGCGAAGCATGAATCCCAAAGCCTTAGAGGTTGAGTTAAACTTTTAATGAGATCTATACTCTATGTGGAGTGAAGTACTTTACTTTGGGGATACTTTTGATAGACTCACCTGTGTGAATGTGGGAGTGGGGCCGCTCCCTATGGAACTTTGGAGGCACAAAGTTGCTAGAGCGTTCACTAAACCGGGATAACGTGCATGGCCATTAACGCACGGCCTATGAGAGAATATCACTCAATGAAAAGATCTGGTGTGCTACATTGTCTGAGATAGGGTTCTAGACTACGAGTCACCCTTATGAAATCGGAAGTGTAACCACTACGCTAAGGTTCAAATCTTCGCGATACCTTATCTTATGCCCGATCTTATGGAACTGTTGATGCTCAGAGATAGTTTCAAACTATTCAAGTGGGGGATTGTTGGGATGAATAGTTTTGAAAAACTATAAATGAAATTCCTAATTAATTATCCAGTATTTTCCCATAATACATAAATAAGATGGATAATTAATAAAAGGAATATTATGGAGATAATTAGGAATAATTATCTTAATAGATTATATTTTAATTATGGGAGTAATTATCTCCCTAATTAAAATATGACTTATTCCCAAAGAAAGAGGGAATATTCTGGGTTTTCTGCTCCTATAAATAGGGGACGCCCCAGACCCTCTAAACACACCTCAGAAGAGCAGAAACACGATAGAGAGTGAATTCATAGAGCTCCGGTTTTCCGCACAAAACCGATGAGCAATAAATAAGAGTGGCTGTTTTATCCTGGAGGCGACCGGCTGATAGTCTGCTGTGCGAATAACGAGGCAGTGCCGCGAACGTCTTAAAGAGAGCGACCTAGTCCGCGACTCAGCCAGATCGGTAACCCTATTTTTCTGTTCGGTTTCTAACAGAATTTCGTTAACTCGGTTCGATTTTGATCCTTTTTCAGCAACGATTGGGGTGGAGGTCCATCCACTTGATTTCTTCACCAACTGTGGCAAAATCCGGTTCTATTGCTGGGACACTGCTGGACAGGAGAACTTCGGTGGCCTCAGAGATGGATACTAGTAAGTCTTAATAAGTTCCTTCTTGCTTCAATTGTCTGTAAAGTAATCGTCCTTATCGAATTGTGATTGAGTTTTGGTCAGGGGAATAGTATGTAACTATGGTTGTGTGTATGGTGATGAATAGCTTGGTATCCTTGAAAGTTAGATGTATCTTGAATCAATGATCTTAGATGTTCTAACAATGCTATGATGGCTTGATAACAATTACTGAGAATGTGTTGGTTTGATGGCAGTATCAATGGCCAATGTGCAATCATAATGTTCGATGTCACTGCTCGGTTGACTTATAGGAACGTTCCCACGTGGCATCACGATCTTTGCCGGTAAGTTCTGCATCTTTCTACGGTTTGTGAAGCGTAGAGGTGAGCATCTGATGTTACCTTACTCACTACCTGGCTTAATGTGGTTGATTTCCAGGGTCTGTGAGGATATTCCTATTGTTCTTTGTGGGAACAAGGTGGATGTGAAGAACAGGCAGGTGAAGTCCAAGCAGGTCACATTCCACAGGAAGAAGAACTTGCAGTACTATGAGATCTCAGCAAAGAGCAACTACAACTTTGAGAAGCCTTTCCTCTATCTCGCCAAAAAACTTGCTGGGTAGCCACCATTGCCTCTGAATTTCCCTCTGCCATTCTAGTAGGATTACAGCAGCACTAAAGAGTGACGGTGTTAAATGTTGTTGTCTACTGATTCCAGGGATCCTAATCTGCATTTCGTCGAGAGCCCTGCCTTGCAGCCTCCAGAGGTCCACATCGATTTGGCTGCACAGCAACGGTAAGTTATTTTCGTCTCTTGTCCAATTGTAGTATTGTCTGCGACCTTCATTGTTGTCCATGAACTCCTTTTGGCTTAATGTTGGTTATTTTTTCCATTATGAACCTGCAGGATTGAAGCTGAGCTTCTTGCTGCTGCCAATCAACCAATTGCGTATGACGACGAGGATGATATCTTTGACTGAAAAGAAGGCGCCGATAGTGTAAAGCCGGAGTAGAAGATTTTGAACTTGAGGATGATTTTGTAGGATTATGTCTAACGCGGCGTTAAGTAGATAGAAATATTCGTGTCGTGTGCCATGAAGGCTTATTGTAGCAAGGTAGTTGACGTTGGTATCGTTTGAAAGGAAAATTCTATCTGATTTTGGTGGATTTCTACATTTTCTTAGTATTATGTATTCTTATTACGAATAAAATATCAAACTCGCTATAATAAGCATTGGTATTATGTATCGATGTACTAGCACTTGACTTTTTATGTTTTCTCATCAATAATAGCTGTTATTCTTCATCATCGTATCAATCGCATGCATCGTCGCTTAGATTTGATGGCGTGTGTTGGGTCAACGATGTCTTGCAGATATGTGATCTCTTTTGGTAAACAGTTCTAATATGTTTTGCTCAAATGGAACAGCAGCGGCGTGATGAGATGAAATCAATGTTGTTTGGGCTGTCCTTTTGATTGAGATGTCGGTGTGGCTTTATGTTAATTTGGTTGTTTTGTTAATACTTAGCGACTTCTGCTTGTTGAGAAAAAAAGGGACGAGGTTGATCGGATCCTTTGCCACCCCCAAGAGCTATGAATGGTTGTTTTACTTCTACCTCATGATTGAGTTTGCTCGATAGTGTGATTAGCGAGTCAATTATGTTATCGACTTTGGTTTAGTTATAAGCGACATGTTTGTTAGATTGTATATATATCACTATAGCGAATGTTTAAGATTTTAAGTATGTGAGAAAATATGTCACATTCATATTTTAAAAGAGAAATTATGTAGGGGTGGTAATCGGTCGGTAACCGGTTTAACCGATTACCGTTTGACCGGTTACCGGTATACCGGAACTCCCATATCTGCAGCCGTTTGCCGATACCGAGTGTAGATCGGTACACCGGTTGCCGAATTAGTGTTTCACGGTTTTTTGGTCGGTACACCGTTTACCGATAGCCTGCTGGTTGTTGTGTTCTTCGTGTTCCTCTGCTTCTCGACCTCTCCCCTGCCTTCATCATCACCACTCCTTGCTCCTCTTCCCTCATTCATCCTTCCAACAAAGGACGTTATCTCTCAATTGGCGGCGGCGGCGGCGGCACTGAACCATTTAACTGTCGAGGAAAAGGGATGGCGTTCGAGCGACGGAGATCTAGCCGGAGATCAAGCGGCGGATCGAGCAACGGAGATCGAGCGACGAATCAAGCAACGGAGATAGGAAATCAGACGGTCTCACAACTTCCTCTTTTTCTCAAAACTCAAATCGAGCCAAATAGATCGAGCGGCAGTAACTCCTACCCAGATGGTTGATTTTTAGATCTCCCTTTAGTGAACGGCGGTAATGATATTCTGAACTGAAAACCTAGGTTCTGGAAGTTGCGGCAACAGAGACGGAGACGGACAGGCTGGACATGGAGTTCCCACCCATGTTCTCCAATTTCGGGCTCCGATCGTTCCAATTGCATCACATCCAGATACATGCAATGAAGACTATGAGAAGCCTCATCCGATCTGCCTCTCATGGCGGAGAGAAGTGGGGAAGGAAACGCAAGGAGGGGATTGGGAGGGGTTGGTGTGTTATCGATCAGGGAAGCTCTGCCGCCGAGTTGGAACAAATCCGGTCGACTGCCGACACGGCGGGTGAGGATGAAGTAGGGATGGGATGGGGATCGAGCGACCAGGCTTCCCCTTCTCTGCGTGGTGAGGCGGAGACGGAGAGAACGAAGATGAAGAGAAACGATGAGGTGGAGTCGGCCACCGTCATAGCGGGAGTGGATGATGTGGTGATGGGTCGGGGAAGCAGGCTTCTCGTCTGCTCTGCGTGGTGAGAATCGTGAAGGCTACTAACCGGTTACCTTTCTTCTCTAGATCGATGAAGGCGATAAGGTCGGAGAGAAGAGAATGGCTCGCATGCAGGGGAAGGGAATCGGTATATTCGGTATACCGATTTGCCGCCGGTTATTTACCGGATGGGAGTCGGTACACCGATAAGTGGATTTTGACTGCCGCATACCGATACCGCCGGTTAACGGTATAACCGGTAACCGCCGGTTACCGGTTCGGTTACCGATTATACCGTTAACCGGCAAATCGATTACCACCCCTAAAATTATGTATCATAAATTGCAAAAATAATATAATTAATAACATGATATCAACTAGATTGAATTAAATAATATGATACTAATAGAGTATGCAGAGTATATAAACATGTGATCAATTAATGATGAAACATATACTTATATTCTTTTTTTTTCTCATCATGACACTAATCACACGTATTATACATGACATACAAATTTTAATATGTTTAAATTATAATTATTTAGAGTTTTGTAAGAAGTTAAACTGTTTTGAGTGATAAATAAGTTGAGAGCTCGAGCTAATTGATGAGCAGGCATCAAGTTGAACTAGTGAGCTCACTAATGAACCGAGTTCAAGTAAAAAAAAAAACAAATAAAAACTTTAGTAAATAAGCTGAGCTCGAACTAGATAAGAGTTGATTCGATTTGACTTCCCGATAAATAGTAAACACTCTAGTCTCTCCTAATTCTTGGGATACGAATCTGCATTTCGTGGAGAACCCTGCCTTGCAGCCTCCAGTCCAGTTCCTCTGCTAATCTCGAGCGTGTGGCATCGTTGACCACTTGACCTTCATTCTATCTTTTATCATTTTTACATAATGAGGTAGACAATTTAGTTATTTCAAAGCATTGAGTTTTAAAGTCGTGGAACACAAATACTTTTTTAAGAGCCATATATGTGTATAGATTACCATGATCGGCTTACTATTCTGTCCCTTAAATTGTGGGATAAGGAATGCCGATATCGCATATCGGAGCTCTGTCATTGTTGAACAGAATGCACATGTTGGCAACCCTAAAACCTGCAAGCAAGCAATCAACTAAAGGACAAAACTCTCATATATTAATATTGATGGTAGCCTAGCCACATATTTCAATATATATATTTATAATCGCAACCCCCACGATCACTATCAGCAATAAAACCATGTCTTGATCTTCATTGGGAAGATGAGCAGAACCTTCATTCAATTGGCCTGCTTCGAGACCTTCAAGACTAGGAACCAATTATGACTTTGCTTCGTCACAAGCATAAAAAAAAACCCAGTACTACTCCTACTTCTCATTTGAACTCCGGCCATGCATGTCATTTTCAAAATTCAGAAGCTCAATAATTTAGTAGTGGCAGAGCTACGTTTAGTTTAGATTCTCCATTGTAATATTAGTGAACAAATGAGCTATCATCATCATGGTACTCTGTCGTGTGTAGGTTGTAATAAATTCATACTCTATCATGCGTAGGTTTTCAATTAACAAATCGGGTTTCTAGTCATAAACGAGCTCGCTTTGTTATTCGATTATAACTTTTTGATCCATTTATTTTGGTAAAAATCACACAACTCTCAAGACTCGACAAAAACACAAACTATAACAAAGACTATCCATCTAAACATTATACAATTCCCCAGTTCCCCAATATATATATATATACCACCAACAAATTTTTATTCTCAAGATTACTCTCAGAAAGAGAGCAACATTCCCCGATTTCTCATTCTTTCGAAAACCATACAAAGTAATATCGCAAATTACTCGTAAATCGTTCGGCTACTATATAACAAACACTCCTTTCTCTCGTTCTCACTTCTATTAATTTATAGCACTCCCCCCGAAACCCAGGCCGCCTTCAGCCTAACACGCCAGCTCGTCTCAATAACCTATTTTTAGTAACCACCACGTGACTCACACGCGCCCGTTGCCGCGTACGCTCAGCAGCTTGACGTCATCGATGACGGGCCCACACAGTGACGAGAAGTCGTCGCTCCGCATGTGGTAGAACGAGCTGTAGAACATGACCCGGGTCCGGGTCGAGACCGCCACGAACCGGAGCACCGCCCGCTTGAACCCGCCCTTCCCGTTCGATGTGTAGGGCACCTTCAGGGTGTCCCTCCCCGCGAAGGCCTCGACGAGCATCGAGCCCGCGCACGCGTTGCTCGCGTCCCCGACCGCGAAGGTCAGGGTGTAGGCCTTGCCCGGGATGGTCCGGGCCACCTGGGCGATGGCGCTCTCTTTCCCGGCCACGAGCTCGACCGCCCGTTTCCCCTGGGGGACGGAGAAGTGATCGGAGTCGATGTACTTGACGGCCTTCAGGGACTCCACCATCCATCCGGGGAGCGGGGAGTGGTCGTCCTCGATGTTGGGAGGGATCAGGACTCCCCACGATGTGTTGGGGAGGATGTAGGGACCTTCTTCCCATCCCCCGTTCTTCAATATGTTCTCTGCATCGTCATAAAGTTGGGGGAAAAAAACTTGTTATCGATGTTACCGCAACATATTGTACGTACCCAAAAAATTCAAAACGTACTATAAACAAATGAGGGGTAAAAGTGGAATTGAAGAAGCTAGTTGGGGAGTAAATTATTTAGGGAGGGAACAAAGCAGGCTAAGGCATTAAATGGAATGAGCTTGCATTTAGATCAAATTGCACGCGACATGTAATGAACCCTACCCCATATAGTGCCCACACGATTGCTAATCCCATGCAAATGAATTTAATATTTTGTCTGATCAATAATACAAAGGAAAATGCATATAATTGAACGTGACAGTACAAATTTTTTACTTATTTCAAAGCACCTTATGTTGCCACCATAGCATAAAAACTATGCACACAAACACTAATTAAAAAAAAAAAAAAAACAGTTACGCATCCTATCATGACAATAAATCAGGTGTGGTCACTACTTAACATGATTTTGAATACTACCGATGAATCAGGGGTGGACGTGTGGTCACAACTTAACACGATTCTGAATTCTAGCGAGACCAAATTTATATTATTAACAATCGATAATTCACATATAAATTATGATCGAACTAGTTACGTACTTACTAACAATATAAGATTCATTTTTATCTCCTGACAACTTTCATGCCCACAGAACAACTTTAGCATCAAATCGTACTCCTGTGACAGCTTTGCCATTTGAATTTCAAATTTTTTTGAAATGACACATCGAGCCCAGCCAAACACCAGACATTTTAGAGACCGAGGAAGGTTAAACAAAAAAAAAATGTCAGAAAAGTGATGAACTTACTGTTGGTGGGCCTAGGAGGGAACAGAGCCCTGATGGCAATCGAATCGATCAACGGCCCACAAGCAGGATCCTCCTCAACACCAGGGTTGTGGATCAAGATATCCGCGTACCCGTATTCGGCCTGGAAAGCCCAAGCGTACGAGTCCCACCCGTTGCTGCTGTACATGGTCTGCATCGGCAGCACCCCTGAGTCCGGAGCCACCGAGATGTTGAGCTTCTCCTCCTGCGCGCAGGTTCGAGCCGCGCTGAACGTGAGCGAGTAGTACATGCCCTTGATCACCTTAAACCGCTGCTTGATCGAGGCCTCGTTGCCCAGCCTCACCGCGAAGGCGCCCTCAGGGACGACCAGAAGCATGTCGCCCTGCTTCTGGCCGGACTTGATGTACTCGACGAAACCCGAGATCTCCCATTCGGGGATCGCGAATCGACCGAGGACCTCGGTGCCCTTGAGGGATGTGGCGTTCGGTCCCAGCTCGAAGTTGCCGTTCCTCAGCAACCCTGTATGTAAAATCAAAATAGAATTAGTGACGGTTTATATGGTCGCTAATTGTCTTTTGCCCGTGAACTAAAGTGAATTAATGACGGTAACATGGTGGCTAATTGACACCGGTTTACTATGCATCATTCGGAAAACCGTATGGTCCTGTGAACAAGACAGGGACAGAACGTGGACCAGATAGCTAGGCGGCCTGATTTGAAGGAGAAAAGGGGTCGAAATAGAAAGCCAAAAACAGGGACACTAAAAATAGAACGAGTCACATGACCGGTGTTACTACGTAGCCAAATTGATGTCGGTATGACATACGTAAAAGAAAAGGGAAAAAAATGAAACTTTCCCTTTCACCTTTTATGGTCATTGTATTTCACCTCCTACTTTTCGAAATTTGGACACTTTTGTCGTGGGGTGAAACAAGAAAATGACAACAGTGATAGGTTTGGTTAGGTTAGATTCCCTGTTAAAACCCCTTAAAATGGGGGGTTTAATTGATACAGCTTCATGTGCTAAATAATAGTAAATACAGATAAGATAAGGGTAAAGGGACCCAATTCCCTTTCGTTTTCTTTCCAAATTAACCGGCAGTTGGTCTAATCAATAATCAATCATTACACTGCGATTACAACAAGTCAAGATTTCAATAATAACGCACCTAAAAAACGTAATTAGAGAAGCTTTTAATCACAACTAGGAGAAAAGGTTTTAATGACCAGAAGTGGTCGCTGATAAGAGACAATAGTGGTTGCGATAGATTATTAGCGACGAGGTTGTTGCTTTCTACAAGGTTTTGGTTGCAAAAAAAAAAAAAAAGAGTGATGACAATGGGACGAGTATCAACACGTACCGTCGCGAATGGCGAAGGCGGAGTGACAGGTGGCGAGAACGAGCAGTACCAGAAGCAGAGAAATGACCTCTCCTCCTCCTCCTCCTCCTCGGCTTCCTCCCATGCTGCTGTTTGAATATTTCTCTACAATGGTCTGTCTTTATTCTGCCTGCTGCCTTTGTTCTCTTCTAATGGATTTTTTTTTTTGGGGACAATGAGATTGAGAAATTGTGGGGAAGAAGACGATACTGTGGGATGGAAGAGAAAGGGAGGAGGAGTATATAAGGGAACCCAGTTGGGAGATAGCCCTTGGGTTGTGGTGATAATTACAGAAATGACACTCCAATGGCGGTACAAATGAATTAATTGTTTTTTTTAATAGGGTTTATGTATATCCAATTCCCTTTGTGAAGTTTGTGTTCGTCATGTTGCATGTGCCCCCACTGGTTTCTCTGTGCAGATGACCAAGTTCAACCATACATAGGCGTTGTGAAAAATTAAGAGGAGGGGGCCGAAATATTGCAGACGTGTCGTGTTGCGAATTGGGGAAAGATTGGCTGCCAAAAAATATATATGACGAGGTCATATGCAGGAGAAATGAAAATTTAAACGACTCAAATAATGTGACGAATTAGTTATTCATACTACTATAAGAATCGACGTGTATGGTATCTGAGTTTTGAAAAAAAATATTAACATGATTGTTAAAATTATGTTTTACCCCAGCTCGAGCTGAGCCGAGTTTTACCCCAGCTTGAGCTTGACTCGTTAACAAATGAACTGAGCTCGAGCCCGAGCCGAGTCGAGTTCGAGCTAGGCTTGTTTACTAAATTCTTAGATCGTATTTAATACATTCATTTTGTATGTCGTGTATGATACATGTGATTGATGTAGCGATAAAAAAATAATCAGATGTTCAACATTAATCAATCTTATATTATAATTTTTAGGTGTCATATTGTTTAGTTAATAAATTTTAACTAGTTCAAATCATGTTATTTCATAGTGTCGAAACAATTTTGTACATAATTTCTTTATAGAATTAAAAATCAGGCATATTTCCTTACTTGTTCAACATGTTATACTTCACATGATGTGAGATATATAATTTTACAATCCTATGAATTATGAAAGTCCAAATTAGATCGATTAGTCCATAAGTTAGTGATAAAGTTGGCTCTCAAACCACAATGTTGAGACATATCACGATCTCTAAATGAGCCAACTCACGAGTTGAGCTCAACAAGCCACCGAGTCGAGCTAGCTCGCGAGCTGAACAAAGCTAGGCTCAAGCTTGGCTCGTCAGTAAACGAATCGAATTTCGAACGAGTTTTTCCCGATTCGAGCCTCGACTTGCTCGCGAGTAGCTTGACTCATTTGCAGTCCTAATGCAAACATCAAATTTGAGGTTGGTATTTTTGTTTAGGAATTTACAAAGTATGACATAGAAGTTGCAAACAAATTTGTCAAATAGTTCAACTTTTGGTAAAGGTTATTAACTCCATATTGCTCAGCTACCAGATTCAAACTTTGCTCCACTTTTTGTTTTTCTTGCTCAGATTTCAAGATCCATTTACCGATTGGCCTACACAAACTTGAAAATCATGAACTACTTTTCATTGTAAATAGACATGTAAAAGTGTATAAGATTCATGTTTAATTGACATTGAGCTGGAGAGAGAGAGAGAGAGAGAGAGAGAGAGAGAGAGAGAGAGAGAGAGAGAGGTGGTGGTGGTGGTGAACTGGTGATCTCCGATTGTCAGTTTGTCACATGGCGGGTTTTGCTTCTGTGTAGCAGGAGGGCACGAGAAGCTGAATGGCCCTCCCGGCCCCGCCACCGGGCAGAAGCATATATGATGATTGAGAGCCTGCCTGCCTTTGGCTAACTTAACTTCTTCATGATTTCCCGGCTAGGCTAGGCTATGTATTACCTTTATTTTGTTTTTTTTGGCAGTCGGTCGAGGATTTTGGGGATCGGTTGTGAATTGTTAGAAAATGATTAAAATAACTGGTCCCTTTGTTTATTTAACATTATTATTGTGATTTGTCATTATGCTACGAACGAAGTGTGACAAAAATATATAATATCCAAGATTCTTTTGGATTGTACAAATCCTTATGGGTTGTGGAAGGTAGAGAGGGTACTCAATTGTGTTGTGTTGTGTAGAAGGGATACGAACAGAACAAGATTCAAAGGCTCCTATCGGCAGTGACGGAGCCAGAAAATTGGTCAAGGGGTGTCTTTTTAATATCATGAAAAAAATCGACTGCTTAATGAAAAAAAATTCAAATCTAAACAAAAATAATAAGTTAATAACATAATACTCGTGATTCGTACAATTACAACATAATAGTTCAACGCACATAACTTACAAGGAACCACAGCGAAATTTTCATATTGTGGAAGCATTGTAGAACATATTTCTTGACCAACCTAGCACATAAATCTTGTTCAATGTCATCAGTACATCATTCAACCGTTCATCGTCCATCCAATTTTGAAAAATCAGTTTTGATATATTTCGTAAATGAAAATTTATCTCTTCATCTAATCAACACAAATAAAAAGGTTTAATACATACGAATCAACACTTTGATTCATCAAATAATTCAAAACAGAAGTTAGAAGTACATTGTAATTGATTATGTGAAACAAAGCAAGAAAGAATCTAAGAAGTTAGGGATTGGGGGATGAAAACTGTTTTAGTTGGAAGTTTCAGAATAACTGGATAATTAAATAATTACAAAACGGAGATGCCTAGTGAGTCTGCTTGCTATTAGATGGTCACTATTCGAGTTCATACTAACCATTACTATGGGGGTGGGGCCGTGTGGGGAAATTTTTCCAAGCCAAGGGGGCTGCATGCACCCCCCAGCTTTCAACATAGCTCCGCCACTGCCTACCGGCCAGCGATGTTATATATATATATATACTTACTTGGTGCAATTGTGTTCGTGAATTAATATTGTCAGACGATAGAACTGAAAACCCGATTCCGTGAATCGAATTGGTTTGCTAATTGAATGGATCAAATTAAGCGTATGATTGGACGAAGTTGACAAAAAGAGATAAGAGCGGCCCAGTTTGGATATATAGAGCGGATCGAGGTGAAGGTATATGCATGCGGTGGGAGCTTGGGAAGGCAGAAAGAAGGTGGCCGACGATTGCAATCAGAAGGCGAGCAAGCAAGCACGTGGTTTTGTTTTGTTTGTCACCTCATAATTCCTCCCACCTCTCGAGATTCGATAGATCGGCTATATATATTAACGTAACTTTGCCTCATCATCATCATCGTCCAAAGATTCCTCCTCTCGCCCCCAGGAATCAAGCGACGGTTTCAAAACTTGTTCTCGCGTACGTTTGGGATACTTTAACACGCGAACAAATGATAGTTAGTTAGCCTGGTAATTAACTCTCTCGTGAGTCTCGTGACTTACCATCATCCAGTCAGTGTATTCGCATTGTAATTATAAAATTTGTCATCTACTATCTTCAACCGTTGTACATATGTATAGGGATGGTAGCAATGGGGCGAATTTGGGGCGGGTTTGTCGAAACCATCCTCATTCCACTTTTTTTAAATGCCCAAAACCCATATTCATGCGGGGAATGTCTTGCAAATCCATCCTCGCATACCTGTGGGTTTCGGGTACCTATTGGTAATACCCGCCCCGTACATCCAACATTTATTATACCTAAAATTTTACAAGAAAATTTTAGTTATGACACTAAATGAACCTGCTATATCATGAAGTCAACAAAATACGGTCATATTCTTAATGCAATTCAAAGAATATAATGATAAAAAAAACATATACATATAATAAAGTACAGTATTTTTCAAATTATTATGCTCTAACACTTATACATCTACTAAGTAATAATTAACTGACATAATCTTGTTGACAAGGGGAAAATGAAAGAGTGAAGGGAGAATTGAGGGAAATGAATTAGGCTTCGATTAGGGTGGCCACTCAATTGTAATTCATTATCATTGGTAAGTTACAATTTGATCCACATATTTTTTTATATGTGAAGAAATTCTCTTGGTCGGGGTATGAGTATGGGGCGGAGGAGGCTAAAACCATACCCGCCCCCATACGCATCAAACTTTTTGCGGGTTTTACCCATACATGTCCCATACCCAGTCAAAGCAGGGATTTCCCGCGTAAACTGGGTCGGGGGCGGTCGGATACCCATAACTATGGGTTTGATTGTCATCCCTAATTTTATACTATTAAACTCGCCAATTAATTTGAATTCGAATAGATTTTTCTGGTTAGACTATCGGTACAATTTTGTAAATATTGATAGTATCTTCTCCTAACAGCTTAATTCCTTGAGCATATATAATTATGGAAAGTTGGAACTGCATGTGGGTATATTTCCCTCGAACAGCACGACAGGATCAGTGATGAGAGCCTGAGACGATGCTTCCTTGCGTTTGGCGCTTTAGTCTATATATCAGCATCGATAATTCGATATTGTTAACTACCAAATTAACATATAATCAGGTGCCTTGATTTATAATATGTATCGTGGTGCATGTCATCTGTTTTATTATTCGTAATCCATCGATTGCGCAATCAATCTCATTATTTTACAATAATTAAGTCAAATTGTCTCCAAATCTAGGAACAAAGTTGATAATTTGATACGTACTAATGGTATTTCTTCAATTGTTTGAGCTGTCACACTGAGGAATACAATTAATTAATACGTACTACCGGTGATTCAGGGTAAAGAATGATAAATAAAGGAAGAGACATATAAATCACAAATAAATCTCTCTGGGGCCCTTGCATTCTGAAGTTTATAATAATTATTATTATGGTTGTTTTTTAACAAATTATTTATTTATTAAACAAATTAAAATTGTTTGATAATGAAGGAATGATGCGGAAGAGAGAATAGAATCATTTCAATATTATATCATTCTTAAACGTACTTTGAGTGACATAAGTTAGTTCATGATATATAAAATATTGTTCAATAGTCAGGGGAATTTGGTTGGTTACTGAGAATGCATAATTTTTCTCTAATTAGCCTTAACGAGTTATGAATTTTTCATTTTAATACGAACCTACAAATTTCCTTATAACACAAATTAAACTTGTATCCTTAATATTATAATACAAATTCAATTTGTATATCAAAACACCCAAACTTTCCAGTGTAGTAAAGTGCTCTTACAAGAAAAATTCAATCATCAAAATCCTATGCGATCTCAACTGAAGCCATATATATGATCCGTTGCAGCAATTCTAGGCTGTCGCTGACTGTGGTCAATTCATTTTGTTCTGAATTATGATCACCTCCCACAATTGTTCTCGTTTCAGGCCTCATCAAGCTCATTTCATTTAGTATTGTCGGGCTCCACTCTTTCTGAGCATCTGGACTCTCGTCCACACCATATACTGCTCTCTCATTGGTTTGGTCCTGTTCGTCTATTACTCATATCGACATGCATACTACTTGCTTTTCTTTATCTGTTTCTCACATGCTCTTGTCAAGAGCTAGTTGGTCGAAATAATTCGAGTTGTTGAGACAATGTAAATTAATTATGGATCTTATATATCACTCTCTTACACGTCACCTCAAACAAAAGCAAAATCACGGGTTCGAAATTTGCACCGGTCCACCATATTTTTCTTGTGTTTTTATCAACTGTTAATATTGGGAGTTATAGAGATTTGACCACTTACAATTACTTGATTAAATCAACTTTTATATCATGTTAATGATAAGAAAACGGAAACAGAGAACAATGATAAGGAAACAGAAATAGGGAACACGAACACCGAGTTTATGTGATTTCTCTGAGAATAAGAACTAGTTCGCGTGAGAGGTAAAACTCTCAAAATCAATCGTATTCAGCTTACATTTATAGTGTACATAGAGAGTATATATACATCTAGGTTACGACAGCAATGTAACCCTAATCCTCCATAGTTTAGGAACGTACGTAATAGGAATAATTACTATAAGCTATCTAAACTAAGTACACATAATAATTTCAACAGTTAAGAACTAATTGGTGTCGAATGCTAACCGTCTTTTGATGTTAATGAACGGAGCTGATTCGTCGATAAAGTTCTACACACTGACAATGAAAAGACGAGAGTTCAGGCAGAAACAAACCCCAACAGTTGTCATCACCGATCGTCGTCGTATCATGTGTTTCTTTGAACAGCAGCGGACAGGAGTTTGGGAAACTGTCCATCTCAAAGTCCATAAATGGTGTCACATGGGAATTATTTTACTGTCTCCAAGATAATTATCGTCACCAATCACTAAGTACATCACAGCTGTGGGTGATTAAGACTGGTTACTCGTGCATACGTATATACACAAATTACCCTAATCATAGAACAATTCAAGCAATTATGTATATGGAACCAATCAGACCTTCAAAATAGAAGATATATATAATAATATACTAACGAAAGACAGAATTTTTATCCAAGGTTAGGGTTAATTGCTAGGATTTTGGATTTTTTCCCTATAAATATGTATTTGGGTCATTACGTTAAAATTAATCAGAACAGTATTATGCAAAATATCCCAAACCCTAATCCCTCTTTTCTCAAAATTCGTCACCTATCCCTAGGTCGTCGGCCGTTCTTCTCCTCGATCCTTAATTTCCTCTACAATACCAAATCCCCAATTCGCAATTCTTTCTTCCAATCCCTAAATTGCATTCTATCAATCAAGTTCGTGAATCCCAAGTTACGTGAAGAACCATAGTTCTTACCGTTTGTTCAACTGGCGTATGTATTTACTTAGAGTTATGTCGGTAGCAAATCACGTAAGGACAACAAAAACACTGCTAAAACATGACGTTCCAAAACAAACGATCGCCGACGACCCATAATTCTAACATTTGCACTAGTCGGGTCGACCGGTCCAACCCGGGTCTTATAACAAGGTTTACAATCAGATTTAATGGCCGAGATCTAGGAAATATTACACAAGGGCTATCTAGATGGGATGGATGAATCGACATAAAAGCATCACATGGTAATGTTCCATTTGGGGATAGAATGGCACAATGCAATGGCAATACAGAGCACACGAATTTATTTGGAGACTCGCCCACCTGAATACAGAGACATATGCCATTGTTTCCCGGAGATGTTAACTGATTGATTGGGACCAAACCAATTAAACCCCTTCTTCTCCTCCACTTGGCAAACCTTCAACGCCAACCGCTCCCAACATATCCATATAATCCATTGATATGGTATAGAACTGAGTTAAATCGCGATAAGACGCCGCGGCTAAAATGAAAGGAAAATGGAGTATCAGAATTAGATCAAGAAGCATGTTTGATTCATTATTTCTTTCAACACGGTGTGGTTCATTTTCCCCTCATACTTGAGATATTTTATATGATCAAAACAAACTGAAATAAATTCGATATGATTAGATCAGTCCAAAACTGAGTAGGTGTAGACCGGATCGTTGCCGACCCCCTAATCGTGGTTCCGTCTAATTTTGATGCAACTGCGGGGATATATATGCAAGGAATGGTTTAAGATATCACTCTAACTTGCAAAACATAGAGGTATGTGGGTATGTGCAAACTTAAAACTTGTAGTTTGGGTTTGGTCCGAGAGAGCAATCTAGAAGATATTATATATTACATTTATTTGCACTAGCAGTGATTCGAGTCACTGGAACCGAGTTAGTTGTTACCATGACATTAAAATCTGCAAATGGAAGCTCTCATTTTTCACATACTTGCACTGTCACAATCATGAATACTACTAACTTCTAATTTACAATACACAAGATATGCAACTATTTAGACCGTGTTAACTTCAACCCCATAAATTAACTTAGATTGATTCTCTTTTGGCTGCAGTACCTCCAACCTCTTCGAAGACTTTAGCTTTAAATTTGATAAGATACATATATCCAGTCTGTTTCTTTACTATCAAGATCTTGCGAATTAGGAGTGATTGATTCGTCGGTTCCTTTCGCTGCTGCGGTGGAGAGGAGAGAAAGGGAGGAGACCGAGTCGACCCCGTGTAACGCAAATTGTCAAACCGAGGAAAGGTTGGTGAAATGCCTTTCTCCCCTTCGTCCTTATTTTTTGGGTAGACAAAGGTGAAACTTGAAAGCTAGTTTTAAGATCCAGAAAAAGGACAGTTTTTTTTCTAACTTTTGTGGAGGGATTCATTGGTTCAGAGTTTCAGTCGGTGATGAAGACGACACATTCGTGCCCCTAAACCCAAATAATGGATGGAAGCCATAACTCCACAGATCGGGCCGATTCTTGGCTGCTTCTCATACCTACCCACGTGATGCGGTCTCCAATCTAACTCCCTCCATGGCTCCATCTCCATCTCAATCGGATCACTTCCACCCAAATGGTTACTCAGCATTTGTGACAAGTTCGTAAAACGGTCACTTACGTTTAATTTGTAACAAATTCGACGTATCAGAAGGCGAAAATATGTTAAAAGAGTAAACATCACAAGTGCAGGAGAATGCTCCCAGACATCTCCATGCACTACACCTCCATTGTTACAATCGGTTGTGAAGGGCACCCCTCATACAAGGGAGAATGCTCCCAGACATCTCATTGTCCTATTTTTCAGTATATCACAGGCAAAAACAGTCTGCCACTAAACTAACTGAGCGTAATCCTCACTACCTATATCAAAGAATTGGTTGCAAGAAAATTCCAGCCATCTCATTTTGGCTGGATGAACGAAGATCAACCAATCCGGATAGGACGACTAAGAATTAAAGATGACAAGTCTTAGTTTGCACAAACATCATTGCTAAATGAGAGGCAATGAAGGTTTTTATTGAATGCGGGAGAACCAGAAATTCAAAACAGTCTTATCTGCGATTATTAGAAAACTGACGGTACAGAAAATTCCATACGTCGGAACTATCCAGTTTGGAGTACGTAAAACGTTGCAAAAATATATCAACCATCATCCCAGAGATATGGATTGGACATCTATTGGATGCGGATTGGAATGAAGAAGAAATCCACTTAGATAAGCACCTGAAGAACTGAGCAGCTTATGGAATTGTGCGCTGGTAGAGAGGCAGGGCTCCCAGAGCCTCACGTTCTGCATTCTCCTTCTTCACCTGTAAGCAAATTCCACATTGTACTATTTAGTTCCTGAAGACCAAATACTGAGGTTGAACGAGGCAAGCAACCAACGAACGGATACTGTTCTTAGCTAAGTGTCCTACTTCTGCTCTAAAACTGCAAGGTGCAAAATGCCGAGATGCTTGCTAGAGGCATACTTATAAATGCATGTAAGTAAATTGTTACTGTTTGATAATAAACCGTCTGTTATCAGGCAGTTACAACATGTACAAACTGAAAATTGAGATCATGTTACACATTCAAGGAACAGGCTTTCATCACAACAAGCCTGACAGCCACGGTAGAAAAAAAATATATAGGGCAATATAAGATGCATAAATCATAAAAGAAGACCTTATATAATAACTAAGGCAACACTAAATCTCAAACACTGAGGCTCTCATAAGGTAGCTAAGCCCAAATACAAAACCCCAATATGATGTCTCGTAATACAGAGAGGGAAAGGAACAGCTAAGCAAAATGGAATCTAAGTCACCTGCAGATGTTGTCTACACTACACACTACAGTCTATACATGCTTCCATGACCCATCGCCTACAGCTATCCAATCAGTGACATAAACCTACTGCAACTCTTAAATTCAAGGATATGGTAGGTCTAGAGGATCGAACTTTCTCAGCCGATACCTAAATTCCTATTTAACAGAGGACTATAATATTAAAAGGCAAGGTCTGACATCACCAAGCAGCATTGCACAAACAAACAAAAAAAAAAACTAGAAGACACAGGAAAGCTAAAAACTAAGAGCTAGTTTCTTGATGGCAGTACGGAGAAATTCAAAATCTGTTAATTACAGTGGGGGAATTCAAAATCCGTTCCACCAAAGGCTAGATTAACCCACTAAACCACTTACAAACATGAATAAATTTGGCCAAACTACCAACGACTTGAGAGAAACAATCCAGACCAGCAGTGACAACCACTCAAATCATGCTGGAAAGACCACAGCTTGAATAAAAAAACACAACTTACCAGAGCCAGCATGTCCTTGAGGTAGCTCCTGAATGGTGTTTGCATTGCCTGCCAGTTATGGAGAACATATGATTAGCATGTTACAAATACACTGATATCTCCTCCACGAGAAGTAGAGTCCAGGGAAACAGAAGCCAATGTGACTCTATTATGTATCAGATAACTGAAGAAGGCCAAGTGAGGCACTATACGTGACCCCCACCTACAGCTTTCCTAAGCCAGAAAACTACTGCAGACTACTGTTTCAGGAATTTATGCTGGTCTTATTTCACAATTCACTGTCCTTGCAAACAAGGATTGACAATCTAATGGCAGGCATTAAGACCACCAATAGAATAAGTCGGGTTGCAAATCACTATTAGCAACAAGAACAGATCAAATAACATGATTTCGACACTGCAACATCCACAATGATATCATCGCCTTTGAGCATTTGAAAAAATCCACATGTAGGAGTGATACAACAATTCACTAGCCTTCTCCCTTGGGAGCTCATCTCATTGATTGCAAGTCAGGCAATTTAATTTCAGCACAGCCCTTTCAAGAGCAAACTTTGGCAAAACATTTACAGATCATAATCTCCATCGAGACATCACCGAGCTAGATAACCAAGAGACTGAAATCAACAAGTCATACCTGAAGGTCGGCGGGGAGGTACTCGTGCTTCATGGAGAGGTCCATGGCGCGCTTGAGACGCTGGTTACGAGCGTCAATGATCTCCCTAGGAAGCCGATTAAGCGCCTCCTTCACATCCAAATCGAAGTAGGGATCGTACAGATCGTCGTACCTCAGACCTAATCAATCAATTGACATAAACGGTAAGGCACTGGAATCAGGAAGAGACTGGAAATCAATAAAATTAGGGTTTCAGATGGAGAGAAAAAAAGCTTAACCGTATTTCTTTAGGCGGGTCGAGATCGCGTTCATGTGCTGCCTGGCGAACCAGTTCTTCCGTGGATCCAGAAAAGATTGCAAGAAGGTCGACATTTCTGACGTTGTCTCCTTTGCAGCTCTCGGCTGTTGCTCGCCCTTCCCACTTCTTCGACGGCTTCCCGATCTCGCTTTCTGATTTCTACCAAATCCCTTTCTGTGCGTTTTTCTGAAGAATCGTACTACGAGTTTTTGGGAGAGAAATTTTGGGTTTTGCCGAGCAGTACGGACGTGCTCAATTTTGATGAGCTACTTTTGGGCTTTCTTCAGAAACCCAATAGTCCAGGTTACACGGCTGTCGATGCAACAACTTCGATCCTGGTGGACCGAAGACGAGTTGGGCTTATATATATTCACAAATTTGGTTCTTTCACTTTTTGAATTATTATGTTATGTGATTTAAATCTACAAAACACTGCAATGTCAAAAAACACCTTCTGCCACGTCACCCTTTTCATCAAACGACGGCACACTTCTGAGGATCATTTTGTCTATTAAGATTCCATTTTTTCGGATAATTCAGACTCCATTTCTTCTTCGAATCGGAAAGTGAATACTGAATACCCTCCCTCGCCATTCCTTCTCATCCGCAGACCGCAATCTCAAATGAAAATTCCCAACCTCCAACCGAAATTCGAAGAACTCATTCTCGCATACTCAACCCAACTGCAATTTGAGATCAAAATCCTCTGCCGTCCTTTCTGGCACGCTCCCGGCGGCCTCTCTGCTCATCGAACCTCATCACAGGCTCCACCTTTTTGCCGCACTCAATCTCAAATCAAAATCCTCCACCGCTGCGTTTGTTGCATGTGCTCTGTTTTGGAAGGTCCCGAACAAAAAATACTGACTCGCTCTTGCTGTGCCTCCCAGACCAACCCTGTAATTCCTCTTCGACCCCCCCCCCCCCCCCCCCGCCCCGCCCCCGCCAAGCAGGAGCGGGTCCTTCAATTTGATTCTTGTGAGTAACGTCGGCGGTAGCGTTGACGTGGCGGCGATGGCGGTGATGGAGGAGGAGAAAGGATAGGTTTAGGTGTTTATAGAATAATAGGAATTAGTTTTATTTTTTAATAGTTGTAAAATAATGTGGAAATTGTAAATGTTTAAATTTTATTATTTTTAATGGCCACGTCACTCATTTAACGGTCAACTATAATAGTTGACTGCCACATCAGCAAAAACTAACGGAGAGTGACCAAATTTGAACTATTGAACTAATCTTAGTGACCATGAATGAAATTAAATATTTGAAGTGACCAAACATGAACGTTTTTAGTAAACCCAGTGACCAACCTTGCAATTAACCCAAAAAAGATATAACATTTTAAAATTAATTGAGAGAATTTTTTTTTTCATGGACCGTTGATAAGATTACTGATGGTTATGCAAAAATATGTTGTTGACATTTTGACACGATCCGCTCCCTGTTGTCACACTGAAACACCACATCATTTATGCATTAAAATTACATTTTCAACAACACTTTAAATTATTCACGCCAACTCAGTTTTTTTTTTCCTTCTATTTTTGTCCAATTCATGCAGACTAACTTAATTAAATTCACGCATACGACCTATTTTTCATGCAATATACAAGAGTCTGTGACAGAAAAATAATTGATTGATCGATAATATTCATCGGAGTTGGTGGAAAGATGTCATGTGGGGTGAATGTACACGAATCTAGGTAAAATAATAGAGTACTGCTTTTCATCAAACACTTCCAACCATGCATCTCCAAAATAAAAATAAAAAATCCAACAACGTGTTAATCAGGGTTAATTCTTTGGACTTGTGTTAGACGGCGGCACTAGCAAGGACCCGTTTGTCGCGGCAGATATGGAGGATTATATCTCTTCCGGCCATATGGGATCAAATCGGCAATAAATAAATAATGGGTTCCAACGTGGAAAAACAAAAACAAAAACATAGAGAGACAGAAAGAAAAGTAGAAAACAATCATGGCGCCGACGTTGTCTCAAAACACCATTATTCGTCATTTGGGTCTCCCGGCGTCAAGAAGAGTCACGCTTCTTCTTATTCTTTCGCTCTATCTTCTTGGTCATGCCACTTCGTCACCGGCGGCGACGTTTAGTGACAAACACAATAGCGACGTTCTCGAACATGTTCCAGTTGCTAACCGTACGAGCTTCCCGGCGGGCTTCCTCTTCGGGACGGCGTCGTCGGCTTACCAGGTCGGTGATCGTATAAGCATCCTATGAGTCTCTCTTTAGTTTGATTTTTTTTTTTCAGAATGGCATAAAAAAAACAAAGGAGTTTTATTTGGCAACGGCGGAGAAGTCGTCGCTAAAACGTTGAAAGAGGCAACGGAAGATATTGACTTTTTTGGTCGGGGTATGTGAACTTGGGGTTTTGATCAGTTTGAAGGCGCTGCAGCTGAAGGTGGTAAAGGGCCTAGCATGTGGGATGCTTACACTTCCAGATACCCAGGTTCTAACTTCTTCTTTGTAAAATTATATGTTGGTTAAGGTACGGTTTATCCAATAGATATCATATTAAATCGCGTATTGTAGCGCAGTTTGATCGAAACGGAAATATAACAAAAATGCGAAAAACAAATTGTATTTACGTGATTTACTTATGAACGAGACTACTGCACGGACGAAGCTCTCTATCTCTTATTAACTTGAGTTCGCCGAACTGTACAAAGTACATGTTTGATATTTATAGGTTTCTGCCATAAACCCTAATTGACTACCATTAGGAGCCGAACCCTGGGCTCAAACCTACTATTATGGACTCTTAACAAATTAACTAACCCGACTAAATGTTGATATTCGACTTTTTCACAATGTCGCTTGCCTCGTATATAACTCAGAAAATATGTGCATTCGTGGAAGGAGCGTATAAGAGATAAGTTCCCTAATTAACATTCGGACAAAAAGTTATTGAGATCAATCGATTTAAAATAAATGTCATCATAATCTACATTTAGATTTTGGATTCTGGTTGCTGTGCTTTTAGGTGCAGTTGATTCTTGATTATATACCTTGTTAGTTGTTTAATATAAAACAAAGCACAGAACTATCTTTTTGAGGGGGAAGTGAAATGACAGGTAAGATAGCCGATCGGAGCAACGGGGATGTGGCCATTGATGAGTACCATCGATACAAGGTAATAACTAATAATGCCAAATATGATTTTAATAATTGAAATATTTTGCTCACGATTGAATTTTTTTTATCGTGTCGACAATTCTATAAGAAAATTTTCATAATAGAGGCTAAATTATAGACGATATTTAGCGATATAAAATTGTTGAACCATGATTAAATTACAGTTTCAACAGAAAATACTTTACTAGCTTGTTTTTTACATATATAATATTTTTTTCAAATTTTTTTTTGTTAATCGTGTTATGGTATTTGCAGGAAGACGTTGCAATCATGAAGAACATGGGGTTAAATTCTTATCGATTTTCTATCTCATGGCCTCGTATTTTACCGAGTACGATATTTCCCATAGCTTGCATTTTTCATCCTTTTTTACCATGTTGTTACCCAAATCAAGCTAGACTTGCTCATATGTGTCATCGTTTTTGTTAGATGGAACGCTCAGTGGAGGCGTGAATAAAGAAGGGATCGCATATTACAACAACCTCATTAATGAACTTTTGGCTAACGGTATATACATCTTCACTTTTATTACTAGACTAATTCCTTCAGATTATATTCCTTGGTTTTTGTTAATTAAGTGCACTTTTACTATGATTTAAAGTATTGATGTTTTAAAGTACAACTCGAAGTTGTACTATGACGTTAAATGTACAAATTGAAGTTGCACCATAAGGGAATTCGACCTTTATGCTGTGGTACAATCTTAAGCCGCAAAGTTGTATCATAACTTAAAGGTACAACTTTAGTTTGTACCATAAAGAGATTTTACAAAATAGTATAGGTACAACCTAAAGTTGTACTACCGTAAAGGCAAAAACTAAACCACCAATGCTTTAAACGATTGTAAATTCCTCGTTAATTAATCGATCGTGACAACTATGATTATTTAAGGTTCTTAATTGATTGGTTATATTAAAATTCCTCATTAATTAATCGATCGTGACAACTATCAATTAATTTCTTAAATTATGATCTTTTCCAGGCATAAAACCTTTTATTACCCTCTTTCACTGGGACATTCCCCAAGCCCTTGAAGACAGATATGAGGGCTTCCTTAGCTATAAAGTTGTGTAAGTATTTTTATCACTCTCGAAATATTGAGATTAAAGACTCAAATCGACCTTGTTGCCTTTCTAACAGAAACTGTTATGAACATATGTATGTCTACCAGGAAAGATTTTGTTGGGTACGCCGATGTTTGTTTCGAGCACTTCGGCGATCGAGTTCAACATTGGGTTACATTCAACGAGCCCCTAGCTTACAGTTTGTATGCCTATGGCACGGGGATGATGGCACCTGGCCGGTGTTCAAAATGGATGAACTTGAACTGCACCGGGGGAGACTCAGCCACTGAGCCATACATAGTTGCACACAACCTCCTCCTTGCTCATGCAGCGACCGTAAAGTTGTATATAGAGAAATATCAAGTAAACAATCTATATATTTCAAATTTTATCGAATGTTCCCAAAGGGACGGCGATATGATCAAATTTCATAAATTAAGGTTGGTTATTATATTTCGTCTGTAGGCAAAACAAAAGGGTAAGACTGGCATTGCCCACGTGTCGCAATGGGGTATTCCTCTCTCCGATTCAAAGCAAGATCACAAGGCTACACGACGGGGAATGGATTTCATGCTCGGATGGTACGTTCGTAGTATGATGATAATATCCAATTTTGGATATTCTTTTGTAGAATAGAGTCCGAGGATCAAAAATAGTTCGTCCAGTATCTCAAACCTTAATCATATGATCATAAGAACACTACTTCTTCGTTGCAGGTTCATGGATCCATTGGCCACAGGAAACTATCCACGATCGATGAGAGCTATCGTGAAGAAACGATTGCCCAAATTCTCAAAGGAGGAATCCAAGATGTTGAAAGGCTCCTTTGATTTTGTGGGGTTGAACTACTATACGACTTTCTATGTTTCCAATGCACCACCTTCCAACCCTCTATTCTCAAGCTCAACGACTGATTCTCGAACCAATGCTTCACGTAAGCAATTTACTGAAACTAAATCGACCATCTACACAATAGTTAAACGTAACTCCTCTTTATGCATTTTGTCTTGCAACTTATAATGTGTTTCATGTATTGCTATTAATGAAGCTGCGAAGAATGGTGTCCCCATCGGCCCAAAGGTAATGTGTACTCCAATCAATCGTTAAATTGTTCATGAAACTGAAGGGAATTAGTTACGGTGGTTACAATAACTCGAGGACTTAAGTCGAAACAACTTGTTAATAGATATGCAAAATTGTATCTTGTATAATTTTTCTACACATAAATTTGGACATAATTAAGTGCCAAGTAGTACCTAGTGCTTTATTGCAAAGAAAGTTTTACTCTAATCAGAGAATAGTAATAGTTGAATGTATCTTACTAATTCATTGTGCAGAGAGGGCTATCTTGGGAGTACATTTACCCCAAAGGAATTAGAGATGTTGTGCTCTACACAAAGAAGAAATACAATAACCCACTAATTTACATCACAGAAAATGGTGAGCCAATGTGTTGGATTTAAAGTTGGTTTTTTCATAGTTTGATCTCAATCAATTAGAAGGCTATATATATATATGCTTGCAGGATTAACAAAATTATCATTTTCTCTATGGAAAACAATCATACTTAATTCATAGGCATGAGCGAGGTCAACAACAAAACATTAAGCCTCACGGAAGCTCTTAATGATACCTTGAGAGTGGACTTCTATCGTCAGCATCTCGCTTATCTCAATAGTGCAATCAAGTAAGATATATCATTATATATAAAAATTTACAAATATAAAGATGTTTTGTATGCACTTAAAAATTTAAGGAGTGTTGTATATTGTGCCCTATTAATTTTATTAACAATCTACAATTTTTTCAATTGGTGTATTCATAAAGAAAAGCTTATAATGTATTTGTTTTTCCATTACAAGGGATGGTGCAAGGGTGAAAGGGTATTTTGCTTGGTCATTGTTCGACAACTTTGAATGGACGATGGGCTACTCGGTTCGATTTGGCATTAATTACGTGGACTACAAAAATGGGCTCAAACGATATCCTAAGCAATCTGCCCTTTGGTTTCAAAGATTCCTGAAGAATAATGATCAATAACCTACTGGACTTTCTTTTGGTAGCGGTTGTTGCTTTGATTAAACTACTTCATCCTTCCTAAAAAGACATAAGATATGAGATCATTAAGGACTCAATTTGGAAGGGCTCTTGGCCTATTCAGATCCTATCAAATTGTATCAACTTGCTATTGGTCAATGTAATTCAGAGTCATTACTTTAATATCAGTTAAACACGTATACGGAGATCTTAATATCAGTTAAACATGTATACGGAGATCTACATGGTACGTGTGTAATAGATCAACTGATGTCAATAACTCAAATTGTCGTTCCTTGTCTCCTCTGTTTTTCTTCGGTGGTTACTTTCTTCTTTATAAACTGAATTATATGATTAATACTATATCATCCTTATAAAAAAAACTCAAGTTGTTGGGAAAAGTTCATGAATGATACTTAACCGCTTTCTTACACGCCCTTTCAAACCAAAATCCATTAATGGCTTGAAGTTTGCACAACCAACCATACCATGTGCTTTTAAAGAGAACGGTGAATAATGGAGTTGTGAGGAATTGAACCTGTTGAACAAACCATCCATGATACCATGTCATAAACCAAATGGTCTCAATAACTCGAGTTGTTGGGAAATCCGCATGCATTGTACTTACACTACAAAAAAGACAAACAGTTGTGACGAAAACTTATTGACGACTCGGAAATTGCGTAAAAAAGGTGCATAATTCCGACGAACACCATTTTTCGTCAGTACTATATGCATCTTTACTGACAAAGTTGAATTTTCGTCAGTAATTGTGAATTTTTTCGACATTAATATGTATTTTGAGACGATTTCAATTTTCCACATTTATTTTTTTGATGAATGATGATATGAACTTTTATTTCAAGAAAGAACAAATAACCAAAGTCACAAGAAAAAAGGCAAAAAAGGGACAAAAAATAGACCACAACCAACAAAACGAGCAAACCCAAACAAGTCTTGAGAAATGAAAAAAAAAACTCGAGGAAAGAAAAAGAAAAAAGATACATATATCAGCCAACTCCAATCCTCATCCATTTTTGGAAAAAGTTATCTAAGATAAGATTGAATGCTCGAAGCCATCTCCCAACCGCATGACGAATCTTGTAGCAAACCTCAAGTGGGGAGGATTCAACATTCCTAAAAATCATGTTGTTTCTCTCAATCCAAATATACAAAAACACCACATGAGGTAGAACTTTCATAACAACACTGAACTTTGGATCACCCCTTAAACCTCTCCAAGCTGGAAGAAATGATGTTATCGTGGACGGAAGAGGGCCATTCAGCTGAAAAAATGTCATGAAGCTCATCCAAACTTTCTCCGGAAAAGAACATGTGAACATGAGATGACAAATCGTCTCTTCCTGACACTTACAAATAGAGCACCAATTTGTGATGATCATGCCTCTTCTTCTCAAGTTATCAATAGTAGAGATCTTTGCTAAAAAGGCCATCCAAAGGAAGCAACATATCTTTGAAGGAACATGTGAGATCCAGACCAGCTTGAAGGGGAATGAAACCTCTCCTGCAAAGGTAGTATCGATGAGGCTAGATGTGAATGAGTGAACTAAGAAATCGATGACGACTCCAAAGGCCAAACAAGATGAGCAGGACCGATCGAGATCCAATCTGGTGGTAGAGAAGACAAAAGTTGCATCAATCGAATACACTCTGCTTCTGTGCCCCGACGAAGGGAGATAGAAAGGGGTATCTCCCAAGAAGACCTGTCATCCAAAGAAATCAAATTAGAAACAAAAACATCCAAGGATTGGGCAGCAGACCCAACCCTTGGGAACTCTCTCACAAGGTGTTTCCCTGGGATCCAAACATCCTGCCAAAAAGAAACCCCATTTCCCCCTCCAGGATCGACATAGGCCACCTCCCAAAAGTAAGAGCTTTATTTGACAATTCCCTTACATAAGGAACATCCATGATTACCCAAATTCCAATTAGGTTTCCACTCAGACACACCATGCCCACATTTAGCCACCATCAACCTCCTCCACCAAGCATTTCTTTCCACTCCATACCTCCAAGCCCATTTCCCTAGCAACGCTCGATTCACACTCTTAAGATCTAAGACATTCAATCCCCCCTTGCTCATGGGAGTTTTGACAATTTCCCATCTCACCAAATGCATGCGTTTCACCTCAAAGACTCCTGACCATAGAAAGTCATTTTGAATGTTTTCCAACCTAGCAATGACAGAAGCAGGGGCCCTAAAAAGAGATAGGAAGTGGATAGGAAGGTTTGCTAACACACTCTTTAATAACACCCACCTGCCTCCAAAGGAAAGCATCCTCGCTTTTCAAGTAGCTAAACGCTTATGCACTTTATCAATAACTGTTTCCCACACTGCCACTGAAGCAGCTTTAGAACCCAATCCCACATTTAACTACTCAATATTATCGACGAATAAAAAATTACCGTCATAAACAATGTCTATTATTGATGACCAAGCAACGGTTCTCAAAACAAAAACAAAAATAATTTTGACGCCATAGACAGTTTGTCAGTACTAATTGGTTGGAAAAATTATTTTTAACACCATTAAAAGGTCGTCAGTACTATTTTGTCACAAAAAAACAATTTTGACACCATAAACTGTTTGGTCACAAAAAAAAAATTTACACAAGTTAACGTTCGTCCATACTAGTTTGTTAAAAAACAATTTGTGACATCGTAAAGAGTTCGTCAGTACTGTTTGGTCAGGAAAAAACTTTTTATTGACAGATCGAAAAGACATAAAAAAAATACTGGTCATAACTTACGATATAATATAGTCATCGGTATAATGTTGTTAGAAAAAATAACACTTTTCTTACAAAATTAATTACAGTCGACACGTTTTTTCTTCACAAGAAATGATTGGGAGGCAGTTATGAAAATCGCACATTTATAAATATATCCCGATCTTCAAGCATGACATTTTCTAGAAATAATTGAATCGATAAAAAAACACATTTTCTTGAAGTAATTATATTAAGCACTGCTTTATAAAAGAATAGAAATTAAGTAATATATCCCGGTCTACAAACAAGAGTCAATTAGTGCTTATCTTCAAACCCTGCTCTAGTCCAGTTTATGAGATCATCTCACACATTTTGGAGAACCTCAGGATCATTGATAGGCTTCTTCTAAAATTTCTCCTTCTCCTTCTGCATTAGAAGACATCTGAAATAAATTTCTTTGTCATGTTTCAACCACAATTTCCCAATTTGGATCTCTCAAAGACTGCACATAATAAACTTGAATTTCTTGACTAGCTAGAACAAATGGCTCATATGTTTTCAGCTTTCGTGTTGTGTTGATGTTTATAGTGTCATGTACATCCTTCTTGTAACCAACGCCTTCGCGAACGGTGTCATACCACTCACAATGTAATAGTACAACTAGAAGCCCTTCAATATAATAAAGTGATATCATTGAGAACGCCATAGTTATAAGGAATTCCACCATCATTCTCCCTTCTCACCAGCACACCATTTGTTCTGACTCTTTTGGTTTACTCGCGTTGTGTAGTGTGAAATCTGAATCCATTGATATAATAGCATGGGTAGTGCAGGACTCAATTTTTCTGGTGCTCAAGCTAAAGATAACACAGAAGGATTGAAACCTGCCACTTTATCATTGTGCATTCGTGTAATCTGCATTAATTGTAAGAAAAAATAAATCAGTTAGAAATTTAGTTTACAAATTTTTTATATAAATTTATCAAACGAATAATAGCTCTCACCAATCTCAACGGTTAAATTGTTATTTTCTATTAAATTGAACTTTGGGTTTGAGTTTAGAGAATCTGGGCCTGAGTTTATCCAATAGAGGTATGGTAGCATTACCCAAACCCAATTTAATTTATGGTCTAGATAGATATATCACGCTAAGAGTACATGGAGTATAATAAGAGTATAGTAGTGATTCATTACTTTTATCAATTATTTTTTTTACAAAAGATAATCAAGTATTGAACTTTTATCAATTATTAGTATAGCCCACAATATTCATATATGTTTTAAAACTATTAATTACGAAAGCTTAAGAAAAAGGATTAAGAATAAGATTAAACCGAAAATATAAAATTTGAAACATATAATATATAAAAACCCAATTTTTTATGGTCGATGCAAATCTCGTGCTATTCTTTTATATATGTGAAACCATATTGATAGTTCATTTATTTATTTTTGAAAACAATTTATCTTGAGAACTTTCCACCATCTACTTTTATCAACCTAGGAAATATTATCACTCATTGAAGTGAGATAGTTGTGTTGATTGCAAGATAGAGGTTAACCATTCGACTGGGGATTGGTTAACATGAATGGTGGTTAGGGAGGAGGGTAAAGCTGTTGACCTTTGCAGTTTTTTTTTATTTGTTTCATCAATATTAGAATGATGAGGAATTGAGAATTTAGTTTTTAGTGTTTTGGTGAAAAAATTGGAGAAATTGACAATTAATTGGACTTTTGTTTTAGCTTTTAAGCATACAATCAGATGATTTATAGTGTAATAAAAAAATATGTATTTATGTAACGACAATGTCTCTAAATGTGAATCGGAACGAATATCAGCTATTATTTTTTCGTTGTCCAAACGCAAACAACTACTAAGATTGATAATTTCTCTACCATTGTCTGTCTTGACACGCTTTTTTGAAGAAAAAAATATTATTTATTAAAAATAAACCCATAATAACATTGCTCAATGTCTTATATTCTATTCATTTTTTAATCAATTTGCAGGAAAAAAAAACATTTTTGGAAACATGAAAAGATTGAGAAGAAACTACATGTTTACGGTTTAACAAATAAAAATCAATGTTTCTTTTTAAAAAATAAGATGATTATATTTTATTGGACAAAGAAATTTTGAAGGAGATAGAGGAAAATCCGGCAAAAACAATTGACTAACTAGGGCTTCCTAGAAGAAATATAAACATAAAAAAGACAACGGAAAAAGAGGGTCGCCAAATGACCACGCAAAGCATGCAACGATTGACAACAGAAAACGAAACTGACACTCACCTTATCATGGTGCTCGTTACATGACCAGGATGCTGCCACAAATGGAGTCATCTTCATTTTCTCTCCTCTAAAAGAACTGCAAATGCGGGAAGACGAAGAAGAAGAAGAAGAAGAAGAAAGATACACCTAAGCTTTGACCGACCATGGGGAAGAAGAAAAGCACAACTATGTTCAGTGGAAAGTACGACGAGAAAGAAATTGAGCGTTTCTCCATAGACGATGGCAGCCATTTCAGTATCACAGGAGAAATTCTCCCTTCTCTCGGCGCCACTCGCAGCTTTCACCGCAATAGTGTTGGTCGATTCGTTATCTCCCCTTTTGATCCTCACTACAGGTAATTAAGAATTTCAATTCTCTCAACTCTTCTTCCCCACGTACATGCATGACTATATATATAATATAATGTGCACTAAACAACACAAAATTGGCATGCAGGACATGGGAGGCTTTCCTTGTGTTGTTGGTTTACTACACAGCGTGGGTGTCACCGTTCGAGTTTGGCTTCCTAGTCCGCCCGAGTGGGTTGCTCACCATCACCGACAACATCGTCAACGCCATTTTCTTCGTCGACATTGTGCTGACCTTCTTCGTCGCGTATCTTGACAAGACCTCATACCTCATCATCGATTCGAAGAAGGAGATTGCTACGAGGTACGTCACGACTTGGTTCCTCCTCGATCTCATCTCCACGATTCCATCTGAGTTTGTTCGCGTGATCTTGCCAAACAACCTTCAGTCCTATGGCTACGTCAGTATGCTCCGCCTATGGCGTCTCCGACGAGTCAGTCGATTGTTTGCTAGGTAAAATTTAGATTTGGGTTAAGGATTAGAAATCGAGATTACAATGCCATTATACCTAGTTGGGATTCCTAAATTAAAGTTATGGCATCTTGGTTGTGTCAAACAGATTGGAAAAAGATAAGAATTACAGCTATTTCTGGACTCGTTGTGCAAAGCTCGTTTCTGTAAGTTTTATAGTTCTTCTCATATTATGAACTGCAAAAGTGTGTTAATGTTTATACTAAAATGGTTGGTTTTGTTGTTTAGGTTACACTTTTCGTAATTCATATGGCTGCATGCATCTTTTACCGTCTGGCTGCACATTATTTTAACCCCACAGAGACCTGGATTGGATCGGTTTGGGAAGATTTTAAAACGGAGTCACTATACTCTCAGTATATAAAGTCTTTGTATTGGTCTATAACAACAATGGCTACAGTTGGATATGGTGACCTGCATGCTGTGAACCCCAATGAAATGACGTTTGACGTGATGTATATGTTGTTCAATCTCGCGCTGACATCCTACATTATTGGAAATATGACCAACTTGGTGGTTCATGCAGCCACTCGCACCAGACATTTTGTGAGTGATTTTTTTTCAATGACTTTGACTAAATGCATGCAACTTTTATGTTGATTTTCGTGTGTATTATATGTTGCTAACGTATTTCTAATGTGATCTTAGAGAGATACAATTCACGCTGCATCAAGTTTTGCACAAAGGAATCGTTTACCTGTTCGACTGCAAGATCAGATGATTGCACACTTGACTTTAAAGTACAGAACAGATTCAGAGGGACTGCATCAACAAGAGGCCATCGATTCACTTCCCAAAGCCATTCGTTCCAGTATTGCAAACTATCTATTTTACTCACTCGTTGATAGGGTGTACTTGTTTCGTGGCGTATCAAATGACTTGCTTTTCCAATTGGTAAATCTGCTACCAAAATTTCAATCAATTGTTTTTTGTTTGTTTGAGACCCCCTTTCTCAGGAATTATAATACCCCATTACAAGATTCCTTATTTGTTTGTCTCGTCAACCTATAATTTAGTTATGCTATCATTTTGATACAATCAACGGTTAAAACAAAATTTGTGCTTCCATTTGCGGATTTCACGGTTGTGCATTTTAATAGGCTAACTAATCATTTGAATTTACTTAAGGTATCAGAAATGAAGGCAGAGTACTTTCCTCCCAAAGAAGATGTAATTTTACAGAACGAAGCACCCACAGATATGTACTTTTTGGTCTCTGGTGTTGTGGTAAGTACTTGTTCTCATTTTGCAATATCTATTTATCTCCAAACTATGGTATAACATAGTTGCACTTGGAACAAAGAGAAAAACAACTGATCTTGCAAAGAATCGTCGTCATTCAGTTGCTGGAAGGTCGGAAGGAGAAGTGTTATAAGCTTTGATTAAAACTTAAATGTCTACAATTGGCTATGTTTACCCTCCCTTTCAAAAGTTTGAGAGAGTCCAATAGAAAGAAAAGGATGGACATTTTTTTTTGTGCTAATACTAGTATGTTCAAATTATAACCCTTTATTATTTTCTGAACATAAGAATTATACCCCTGATGGAATCGATGTTTGCTTACAAGAAAACATGTGTATTTGCAGGAGCATATTGTGCATAAGAATGCCATAGAGCAGGTTGTTGGCGAGGCTAGGACTGGCGATGTGGTTGGTGAGATTGGAGTGCTATGCTACAGGCCACAGTTATTCACAGTTCGAACCAAAAGGTTAAGTCAGCTTCTACGTTTGAATCGAACTGCCTTTTTAAATCTTATTCAAGCTAATGTCGGAGATGGGACAATAATAATGAACAATGTTCTTCAGGTAGCTAGACTGGACATTTTTTTGGTTTCTTTCTGATGTGAAATCATTTTTGTGCTGTATTAATGATCTCACCACTTTCTCTTATCATGTGCTTGATGCAGCATTTAAAGGAAAATAATGATCCAATCATGCAAGAAATTTTATCAGAGACAGAGCACATGTTGGCACAAGGAAGAATGGATTTGCCTCTTACTTTATGTTTTGCAGCGACGAGAGGTGACGATCTATTGTTGCACCATATATTAAAGCGTGGTTCAGACCCAAATGAGGCTGACAATGGTGCACGAACTGCAATGGTAAGCCATATGCCTTGCAGTTTTTGCATAAAACTTAATTACATTGTTTTTTTATTACATGTTAAGTGTCCAACCTTTTTTCTTTTGAAAAATGATACTCCCCAGCTCATCCTTCTGTAATACTTATATCCAACAGCATATTGCTGCTTCAAGTGGTAATGAACATTGTGTAGCCTTACTTCTGGAATATGGAGGAGATCCTAACAAAAAAGGTATGTGTAGATCGATTGGAGGCATTAGTTGAATCAGACAAATCCTAATCTATTTGTTATTAGATTATACTAAGTAATCGATTTATCATATTTGAGCAGATTCTGAAGGAAACGTTCCATTGTGGGATGCAATGCTTGGCAAGCACGAATCTGTAATCAAGTTGCTTGTGGAAAATGGTGCTACACTTTCTTCGGGTGACACAGGTCAGTTCGCATTCACCGCGGTTGAGCAAAACGACTTGGAGTTGCTGAATAAAATCGTTAGTTACGGAGGAGATGTGACAAGACAAACAAGCAGCAGCGGAACCACAGCTCTTCACGCAGCAGTATCTGAAGGAAACATCGACATCGTTAAGTTCCTTCTAGACCAAGGAGCCGACATCGATATGCCAGATTCCAATGGGTGGACGGCGAGGGCTTTGGCAGATCATCAAGGCCATGACGAGATCAAGACATTATTCCAAAACAGGAAAGAAGTAATCAAGAGACCAGTTCCCACCATTAGTCAAGCATCAAAGCTAGGAGGTAGTAGCAGCAGCACTACTGCTGCAGTTATTGGAAAGAAGCGAATTGCCAAGTACGGCAGTGAACCCATGATAGCTCCCTACGATCCATCAACAACAGATTACTCGCCACGAGCTGGCATCATGCCATCTGTACCTGAAAGGACATGGACCGATGATTCCAGCAGAAGAAGAAGAGTTAATACTTTCAGGAATTCACTTTTTGGGATAATGTCTGCAGCTAACACTGGTAAGTCAACTACTGAAACTAACATTTTCTTTTTTGAAACTAGTAGTAATAAGAACATGTTATGGTAATTAAGAATGGGCACCTCAATATTCACATGTCTCACATTAGCCTCAAATAGGGTGGGCAAGTGGGAACAGACAAGTCTAAAAAATTATGATCCTTATATGAAACAAAGGTTGTGAAGTGTAAGCTATTATGGTGTGTATAAGTACAGTTGTGTGAGCGCGTGTGTGTGTGTTTTTTTTTTCCTGTAGGTGACGGCGATGTAATGCCAGCTGGAGGCAGCTTTTCTGGGTTGTCAAGCTTATCAAGTGACCCTCCAGCGCGAGTGACGATTAGTTGTCCGGAGAAAGGTGATGTTAATGGGAAGTTGGTTTTGCTACCAAAGTCGCTCGAGGAAATTTTGGAGATTGGAGGCAAGAAGTATGGTTTCAGCCCATCTAAGATCTTGAACAAAGAAGGAGCTCAAGTTGAGGATATAGAATTGATAAGAGATGGTGACCACATCATTGTCGCCAGTTAATTGATTCCGTGATTAGAAATCATTTTCTAGCTAGCTAGGATACAGAATTAAAGACTAATATTCACCTAAGCATGGAGCTTGATTGATGGCAAAGATGATTTATACTTTCTTAGTAACAATAAAAATTTGGAAGGAATGGTAAAGCTAGCCGCCTAAGTTGTAAACAATAAGAAGGAACAGTGAGAGGATGAAACTAGTGAACTTCGGTTAGCTTGTTGGTGGGCCTCCAAGAAAGCATAATTAGATTACACATGTTGCAAATTCTTAATTGTCATATGTGCGTGGAGATAGATTTTCTAAATTTGTCTTGTGCACATTCAACAGTTTATGAATGAGACATGCAGAATCTATCGACGTCATCAACCTGGTCCATTAGCAAAATTCTAAGGAAAAAATTGGAAACGTCGAAAGTATATAAGGTTTTGCTGGCGTACCATAATTTTATTTGAAATTTTTTCAATGTTTTTCAGTTTCGATTCTGATACTCTTTGTCATTGATGTTTGGTTGCTAAGAAATCAAATAAATTTGCCAGGATATTTATCAATAAAAATTGGTGACGAGCCTTATATCTTTCTCTCTGTGATTTCCTTTGTCTTTTGGTGTAATTTTATCTCCCAAAAAATCTATCTTATACATTTTCAAAATAGCATATTCCAGAAAGATCGTGTATGCTAATGAATCTATCACCTTCAAATCGAGAGTATTCCAATTCGTGGCTATGGGCTGGGACATAAGGGATTTTTTTATTTGATGAATAAGCAAATTTTATTCCATCAAAGTATGGTCGTTACAATAATCCAGCATGCAATATACACCTATAAGCATCACTATCTGCCTCTACTTCAGCCTACAATTTACACGCAATGAATACAAAAAAACACTACTGGACTTAGTTACATGAACCAAAGCTTCTTCCGCTCCACTTCTAAACTTAGCTGCAGATTGCACACCATCAGGTCCTCCATTGCATTCCTCATTTTGGTTATTAAGTCTGTTGCATTTAGAGACTTCTTCCCATATACGCTGCAACACCTCTCCCTACAAATCTCACTTACCATCAAATTCCAAAGCAATCTACCCACACATCCCTACAAAGTTCCTACAGCTACATGCAATCCATCATCCCATCCTGCTCGAGAGTGATAACCCCAGTTCATTGGAAAGACGACACTAACCACCTCCTGTACATATGGAAACTCAAAATAGATGTGATCCCTAGACTCTTCATGCCCCAAACATAAAGGATATTGGTTGACTACCTCTGGCTGTCATTTCTTTATTTCGTCAAAGGTAGAAATTCTGTTAAGAGTGACAAGCCAGATGATCAGGGAATTCTTAGGGATTAGGATTGACTTCCAAACCAGCTTAGACCATGCCTTCTCTTCTTGTTTAGGCCTGAACTGCTCCCATACAAGCTTAATACTGTATTTTACCATCAGTTTCCCTTCCCAGCACACCCCAACTCTTGTTTTGACTAGGCTTCCCTGAACTTGACTCCTCAATTTCAGAATTTGTTGAAAACGATTAGAGAATTGGAGAGTGATGAAAAAGAGATGATACTCGGGGTGATTTGTGGGGTTGAGTTAACGAGTTAAGAGTGATACTAACAGGTGAGATGGAGAGGATATCTCTAAATAGTTGGTTTTAATAAGTCGAATTATTCTACGAGATTCGATTATAAGTCCTGATGAATGAGAGTCGTCCTGTTTTCCTAGCGACACCTGCTCCTCAGAAAACTGCTCCTAATTCTAGTTATTCGACTCGGGGAACGGAATGCAAATGTTCTGTTTCCGTCACCAATGTTTATTTCTCCAGAGACCTATTATTAGTGACGGGAGGAAGCAGTCTGTACGGTACTGAGTACTGATAGAAGGGGAAAATACCTGAAAATGGTATATGTAATGCTTTTGACACTTTTGGCATCCATCAAAACAACAGCATATATAACTTCAAACTTCTAATCAGTTCTACTAACTAGAATTCTCTATTTCTTCTTCACCAACTGCTCTTCTTCGAAGATATTAATACCAAACCATCTGAAAGTGAAACTCCCTCTCTTCCCTCAACGTTCAGAACATATACCAACAGCTAGCTTGTGGTAATCTCAATTCTCTATGCAACACTTGAAATCCAAGGCAGAAAGAAACTTAACTCTCTGCTTCTCCGAGCTTTGTTGTTTTGCATCTACTGAGTAATAATGGTTGCCATCATCATCGTCGTCATCATATGATAGAATGAACAGAGCTCCCTTTATTTAAGCTATATATGCTTTCTATATATCAGGTCTCGACACCATGTTATACTCTGCTTCACACCTGTCTTGGCCCGCCGCTCCCTTCCCCTGTTCCTGCTGCTGGATGGACCTGTGAAACAAACCATCGCCATTGTTGTCATCACATGAAAACTTCATTTGCCAAATTTTTACATCAAGTGAAAAACTTCATTCAACTTGCCTGGAATACCCTCTCTTCCCTCACGCTACGAGATCGATGCTTCAACTCTCCCCTATGCGTAGTCATCTCGTCAAGTATCTCTGCGTCGAAGAAGTCCTCGTCGTGCTCGTTCCGCCTGATCTCCCCTGAATCCATTTCCTGTAGTGTACAGAGGAAAGCAGAGTATGAAAACAGAGTAACTTCGGTCTACAAAAATGGGTTAAGGATAAATTTTGGCAGGAACTTTTCGTTACCATGAGGTTTCTCTTGGGGGCGCCGGAGATCTCTTCGTACTCCGCGGCATCGAGTTCTTGGAGATGGTCTTGCTGGAATATCTTGGGGAGCATGTGTTGCCTGATGAGGATTAGGATGAAGAAAGGCAGAGGGAAGAGAATCCCAGCAATGGGAATCCAAGTGATCCCAAAGCACATGAGAAAGTAAACGAATTGCAGCAAAGTGAACTTAGCAATGGCCTTAAACGGCACTGACTCCACAAACGATGCATGGAAACCTTCCAAGATCCTGCATACAGAGATTGGTAAAACTGATAAGTACTCATTTGGCCATCAACATTCTAATGCGAATGAAAGGTTTTAGCCAGATCGATCTTCTTACTTGTGGCGACGGCTAGGGGCGACAAAGAGCATCAACATCCTTTCCCAGAACTGATTTCCTGGAAGACTGTCGATGGCCATGTAGGCGAAATATCCCCACAGGACTGAAGTGGGCATCATCTTGATTAGTGGTATAGCACACATTGAGATTCCCACCAGGATTGATTGTAGCAAGTTGCTGAGCCTTTGCTCGTTGACTCTGACGGGCAAGTGTGCGTCGATGCACTTCTCTGGATCGAACTTTCCCTTCGTATCGCCTCCTTCATCGTCACTTCTCATCACAGCTTCTTTCAAGTCCTCCAGCTCTCTACTTACTGATGCGGTATGCTGACGAAAGGTTGACACTACCATAAGCTTATATATCTTACCAATTGTCAAGTAAAAAGAATTTCGTAGGCATAAGTAACTTACTGCTGGAGATCTATCCATTTGTATGAAAACATCCTGCATTTTCCCGTAAATTTCAGAAGTGCTTCCCTTGCGATCCATGACTTCCTTGGCTCCTTTCACCATCTTCTTTCGGATCAACTGAAAAAAAGATTACGAAAAGGTATAATTACTGCCTGAACTTCTAGGCATGAAAGTGTAAACATGGATGGGGAATTTCTCTTGCACTTCACCTGCTTCTTTAGAACTGCAAGGCTTTTGGTGTGCATAGGAGATTGAGGAAGGACACCGTTCGAAGGAGGAAGCCCCAGCAATCCACTAATCAAAGTCTTTCACAATCATCATCAACAACAACAAGACTGAAAGTTACTCATCATGAGAATGTTAATGATGTAGTTCTTTCAATTTGGGGAAACGAAATTACGCACCACGATTCCCAACAACAAGATGTCGTAATGGTAAGCAGATGGTTTCTTGAGATTGAATTCTGGCTGCTGTGCCAGCTGCGAAGCTACGCTGTGATCGAAGAAGTACAAGCCAGCTATCATAATGGCCGGTACTATGGCAGCAAAGATGTATCCGACTGGTACCTTCCCCATATCCTGCAATTCCATTCAAGCTGCCGTTAAGGTACCACTTCATCATTTGGTTTCAAGCCCATGTCATTTCTTATAGTCAAGGCATATGGAAGAACACAGCATTATCCAGCAAGTAGTAAAAACTTTTTACCGTGATCACTGTCCAGTGTTGCAACGACTGTGACTCCCAGAGAAGTGGAATAAACAGCCTCCTTGGAACGCCATGAGGAACTTTTTTGGGTATAGCATAAGATAATACGGACCATAGCACCACCATTAGAGGAACGCCATAGTCTGCAATAAAACTTCGAAGCCCCCCTACAAGCACAATCAGAATCAAAATGTAAGAATAAACTTACAGCTCAATGTAAATACAAACAGTAGTTTTGTATGACATAACAAGTAGTGAAATCTATCTTTACCTGAGCCATATCTCCAAGCTCTTGCTTTTCTTGTCTTGAGGGAAGTCCAGAGAACGCCAGCGGCGAAAATGACAGCAAGCAAGCCATTTGCATATAGCCACTGGAACTGGAACTCTTCTGCTTTCGGGTTTTCGTTATTCGGGACATTGAATTCAGTAACCAACCCCTGAAGACATTTCCATCCCACAGAATTAGATGGGTATGTTCATCACAACAACACCATTGAAAGCAAAACACCACAGTAGTAGTAGCAAGCAACCTTAATGGCCTCTTGAATGAAGAGAACTGCAATCAACATCCCAAACATCTCCCCTGCAACCCTGGTGAATCTGTTGATGATGTTGCCCGCATTGAAAATCGCGAGTAGACACAGCATGATTGCCGTCCAAACACAAACCCTGTATATATGAAATCACTAAATCAGCGATCCATTGAAGCACCTGAAGAAGCTAGAACGAGGAATTAAACAAACGCAAGTTCCAATTGCTTTACCATCCAGCCCATGCTAAATATAACTTGCGGCCGATCTCTGGCCTGCCTTGGCTGAAGCTGTACAAGTAAGTGTACATTATGACCGTCGGTTCAGCTACACCTAATATCAAAAGCGGCTGCCCTCCGAAAATCGAGTGGATTAGCCCGGCGAGCGCAGTCGAGGCCAGAGTCTCCACCGTGCTCAGGCTGCCGTCTACACAACAGAGATCAATACAAACCACAATACAATCTCAACAAAAAGAATCGCACTACCACCGGAGACTACCAAAAAAAGAACTTAAACCGAATCGAATACTAGTTTTCGACATTACCGGTATCTCGATTCAATTGCTCGCCGAAGGCAATCACGGGAAGAGCCGAGGCGAAGAAGATGTAACAAGTCGGAGCCAGAATCCTGACAGACAAAACAATCGGAGAATCATTTTTCGTTTTCCTGTAAGCGGCATTCGATCGAACAGTAGGACGGCGTAATAGACGAGAGGGAAGAAAAAGGAAAACCTGACGCCGGCGCGGATGGCACTGGTCCAATCATCCTTGTAGCACTCCGCTCTGCCTCGCAGATCGTCGAGTATCCCTCTGAACGGAGTCCTGAGACTGTCCATCTCCGACTTCCGTACGTCAGATTATTCGACAGAGCGCTGAATCACCGAATCAGAATGACTTTTCCTTTTTTTTCTTTCTCAGCAACCAAATAGTGATTTTCTCAGCAACCAAACAACCCTACTGTGCGCAATGCGATTCTGCAGACTAGGATAATAATTATAAGAATAGTAAACTAATCGGAAAGGATAGCGGAAAAGCACTCGACTGACTGTACCACGCGTTGAATCGATCAGTGAGAACGGCGGAAAGGTTAAAAAAGAGTGTAGGGTAAGTGACGGCGGCGAAAGTGGCCGGAATTGGAAAGGAGGGGGATCAACGGTGGCGCTTTGACTTATCAATTTCCTCACTATTTTTTTTTTTCCTTCCTTTTTTTTGCAATTTGTTTTTTCCTCTTATTGCTGTTATTGGTCGAGATTTTCTGTATACCGCGAAAAAAGGAGCGCAGAGGAATTGGCTCCGGACAACGAGACTGAAGAGAGAGAGTAATGGAGTATTGGCGGGTGGCCTTGAATTCTGTGCTGCTGTTAGAAAGAGGGAAGACGGGGTCAGGGAGAAGAAGAAGAAAGAAGAGTGCTCTCTCTCTCTCTCTCTGGTTGGGTCGCGTTCAAAAGATTGAGCGGGTTTTGTGGGGGCCCTTTTGTAAACCTAATTTTTCGTTTTTTTTTTTTTCGTTTTGTTATTTATTTTTGTTTGCTGTTTGGGTTGAAGTTTTGTTAGGTGACGTGGTCGACATTCCTTTGCTGTGCTGCACGGTTTAGGAAGGTTGGCTGTCCACTGGACAGGAATTCTGCTAAAACGCGGATGAGGTTCGCGTTAGTATTTGTTGATATCGTTGGATTGACAAAAATATCGGCTGGAGGTGTGCTGCCAATTGCTACTTGGCAATCTCTGAATCGTGCTGTTAGGCATAAAATGGACCAATAGATTGTTGTAGTTTAGGATTGGCTAATGGCTACAGAATTAGTGGGTCCATTAAGTCTCAACCAAGCACGAGATTCCTGGGGAATCTTGGCTACAAGGAGTAGACCTGAGATTTTCTTACAAAAATAAGTGAAAGCGAGGTATCCAAAACCGAGGTTGATTGGTTATACGTCTACGGGGAGCTACATGAACCTTTTGATTATTATTAAATTGGTCATTTTGTTTTTGTTGTTTCTCGATATTAAATAGCCTTCACTAAATATGAAATAATAAGTGGTACAAGGTTATCTCCTGAGTACCATAACAATATGTGTGTTTGGGGTTGGTTGGATTAATCGCGGATATTTTGCAGCAGTTGGATGGACACGATGACAATTTATTGATAAAATTACAATTACATCAATTCAACCACTCTCGAAGCTCCGCACATGCGATCCAACAATCTGGATCACTTTGTGAGATAGGTCTCCTAGATGTGTTGTGAACATAATAAAGAGGCTGAATCATATATGTGACAATGAATTTTTGTCTATACTTACTGTTGACAATCAAATAAGTATAACCATCAACATTTTGATTTGTGACGTGTGATTCTAAGTATGAAACCCAAAAACACTCTTCTTCTCCCATAAAAAAAAATGAAGGTTAATACCTTAGTTTGGCCCGAACTATACACAAATTTTCTACGTTGGTCCGTGGTTTCAGAAATTGCTCTTCTAGCCTGAACTATGTATCATACTTCCTTATTTGGCCTGGAGGCGGGTTTGACCGTTAGTCAATGGCCAGCTCACTTGGCCACATCAGCGAGCAGAAAATAAAATATTGATTTTTTTAATTTCTATATTTTTATAGGAAAGGAAAAAAATACAAAAATTAAAAAAATATATTATCTGCTCGCTGAAGTGTCCAAGTGAGCTAGCCATTGACTAACGGTCAACTCTGTTGACCATCCAATTTAACGGTCAAACTTGCATTCGGGCCAAATAAGGAAGTATGATACATAGTTCAGACCAGAAGAGCAATTTTCGAAACCACAGGCCAAAGTAGAAAGTTTGTGTATAATTCGAGCCAAATTAAGGTATCATATACATTTAACTTTCTGGTATGTATCATATCTTGGAGCTGGCTGGTAATGCGACCAAAAAATGAAATGTATAATATACTATACTTTCTGGTCTGTACTAGCTTCCACACACTTGTTTTGTATTGTGATTAGGGCTGGAAGTTTGGTACCGGTATTTAGGATATGCCGAATACCGTACCGAGTTTGTCTATATTTAGTATTACCAAATACACATATTATTTTTGGGATTGGGATTGGCATTCAATTTCAATTGTTATTCGGTATTAGGGATTACGGGATTGGGATTGGTATATACCGAAATACCAAAATATAAGTTAGTGTGTACTAGCTTTCACACACTTGTAGTTTATCCTCTCAACTAGACTCTCTCATTCACTACTACTACACTACCCTCAACCACCAATCTATTGTTATTTTCATAACACCAAAAAGCAAACACTAGTATTAGTCTTCTCTCAGCCTCTAATTCGTCAAATTAAAGATTACAAATGACAAAAACTTGAGATGTTACCTCTAATCGATTCTCATTATCTATATCTTAGCTCTAGGCAAACTCAAAACTCTTTGTTTAGTCTATTTGTCCTATATTAAACAATAAAATCTAATTTATATATTAATTATTAATTATAAATGTAATTAATTTTGTATTCGATAATACCGATTGGGATACCGAAGTACCGATTGGGATACCGAAATATTTAGGGATTGGGATACCGAAATATTTAGGGATTGAGATTGGGATTGATTCTGGTGTGTAATTCGGTATTCGGGATATCGGTATTTGGTATTGGGATACCGATATCGTACCGATTTCCACCCCTAATTGTGATGATTCCTATCCTCCTACATTATACCACGAACGTATAATAAAAACCCTTGAGCTATTTAGCATTTTCATTTTTCATTTTTGCTTAGATGATTATCAACGGTAAAATTCGAACTCATGTTGTCATAAATTTCATAACTATCGTATTATCAATAGGCTAACAACTTAAAAGTATTTAGCTTTTAACACTTATAGTAATTATTCATCACGGAATGAAAAAAGTACACTTTTAGTAACACGCTTTGCGTGGATCAACGATTGGCGCAAGCTAAGCGCCAACTCCATGGATGGACCAAATTCATCATTAATTTCCGATTTAAGTGAATCAGGAACTTAGTTTGGATGTTAATCGAATAAAGAAACTGATGCCCAAAGATGCCAGTTAACTGATTATAGATAATACACCCTTATACTTTGACAAAGAAAGATAACAAAAACACAACCCTGTAGCCTTAAATTGCATTTTCCAACCTAATTTCTAGGTAAAAATGGTATAGTTAATTATATAAAAATTTGCTGGCCACAAACAGGCGAAGAAACAAAATCATCAATTTTGGGGTGGCCTTGTTTTGTTTTGTCCAAAAGAGAGAATTAAGAACTACTACCAACTGAACAAGGCGGGTTTCCATCTTGGTGATTGAGCAAGGATCATAAATGTAGGAAACGCTAGCTGATATAATGCGACATGTACCTAACTTTGCATAATTATCATGAATTACGAGTATATATATAGTTATAAATGTTTTTTCCTTATCATAATTACAAATTAATTGAGTTTTGAAAAGCTAGGCGTTGTACTTATATATGAGCTCAAGAGATAATAAAAGTACCCCCAAAGACTCATCTTCCATGTTATGTCACATTTCATACAAGCTAATAAGCCTCGCTTTAGGAATGACAATGCATCGAATCATTGGATAACTATATTTGATCCAATTATAATACTGGCTCGAGTTTAAATGCACTCAAATTGGTTTGAGTTTCAGTACACAAACTCCTTTCCTTCAATCAATGGCTAACCCTATAATCTATATTGTCACCATCATGGCAACGAGTTTAGGCGATCGAGTAAAGAAAGTGGTACGTAGTTTTTCTGAGATTCGGTTTTAGGCAAAGGAATACCAACGGCAAAGGAGAAAGCCCCAAAGAACCTGCTCACCTTCCTCACTCTCTACTTTCCTATAGCTAGCTTCTTTGCTTTGTTTCCCTTTTAGGTCTTATTTAGGCTATCTATATGATCCCTCCCTACACAACAAGCTAACCAGCCTTCTGTTTGTTAGCCCAATACCGAAAGCCACCATGTGATGAGCTTTGCTACAAAGTATTGCTCCTCGAAGCTCTCCTTCTCCCTCCTTTTGGAAAAAGAGAGCCTCTTCCTCTCTTTTTTTCGACCTTCTTTGGGGATTCATGCTTAGAACCACTCATGATAGTGGGAATATTGTTATGTTCGTCACCAACTTTCCTGGAATCAGACCTCTGAGAGTAGGTACGTATTGGAGGAGAATATGGTTGATAGCCTACCATCGAGTCGCTTATATTTTCGAATATTGTTTGGTAAATATAGGTAAACTATCTACTCTCTTTTCGATAAGTTTGAAGATATATAGTATTCAATACATTAAAGGTTGATAACGAAGAAAGGAGAAACTTATGAATCCACGAGATTTGGGTTTGATCGATCACTTCAAAGTTCTCACTAGAGTTCAGTCCGACGAATCATTAGACAATGAAAGTGTATTTAACTCCTAATCTGAATTCATGTAAAAAAACAAGCTCGTGACGATTTATGATAGCTCAATTACTTTTATTAGGCAGAGCTAGCTCTAGCTCGCTCGCTAGAGAAGGGAATATGCACAAAGTTTAGCCTATATTTATACAATTAACTGACATTACCTACCCTATCTAATTATCAAACTAGCTAGCTTACCAAACTAGTTTAGCCTACATTTGTACGTACATGTTTAGAATGTCCACGTGCATGCATAATGCATCATCATGATAAAAAGAGATCGTTGGGCTGCCGTTGCCCGGGCCTCTGGTAATTTGGGCTCACGTTAAGCTGGTGGGCCGAGTCTGATCCGAAATCCACTTGGATGTTACGCTGACGCCTCTGGATCCGGAATCCTACATAGATAAGAAAACGGAACCCTTAATTGCAAGTTTGGTCACTCGAATTGCTATAAAATTTCACGTTTGCCACTCAAATTAATTTATTCCATTTATAGTCACTCGAATTAGTTGAACAGTTCAAGTTCGGTCACTCTCCGTTAACCTCTGTTAACTTTGACTGACGTGGCGGTCAACTCTGACAGTTGACCGTTAAATGTGTGACGTGGCAAATAAAAAATAATTAAAAAATAAAAATTAAATTTTTAGAAATTACACATCTTTATCACAAAAAATTATAATTATAAAAAAATGAAAAAAAAATCCTTCCCAACCATAATTGCTCCATCTCCAACATTATAGAAGCCATTAATCGTTATATTTCCCCACTCTCTTTAGATTAGCTGTTAATCTGTTACGTACCATGAATCTTTGTTTACAGGAGCATTAGGAACAGCACGGCAAGAAGGAAGTTGGGATACTTGTCTTGTTCCACGGGCAATCATATCGGCGACTGCTGGCGATGCGACCCCAACTGGCAATCCCACCGCAAGCGCCTGGCCAACTGCGCTATCGGCTTCGGCCGCAACGCCATCGGTGGCCGAGACGGCTGCTACTAAGTGGTCACGATGCCACGTACGTTGCTGCTCTTCAAAGGCCGACGCGCCTCCCTCCGCCAAGTTTGCCCCGAACCGGAAATTGCTGCTCTTCAGCTCTCCCGGAAACGGCGTCAGCAGAGGATGCCCCAATTTCTCAGCTGATTCAAACCCAAATCCGAAAACAAAAACATTACACACTGAGTTCAATATATATATGCAGCAAGGTATAATTAAGAAAACCCGCTAGAAGAGCTAGCATTAAGTGAAATATATATATTACCAATGAAGTCGACGATGAGACGCCCGTTGCAGCAGCGACCAGTCGGGCGACCGAAGTAAGTTTCGCCGTTTGGTAGGGAGCAACAGTGAGGGCACTTACCCAGCAGCATCTGGTTGCCGGTGTCGCTTACGGAGTCGCCGAAGCTGAACAGTGACGTGAAGCATGGTCCGATACCACCGCCGGCTGCTTCTGATGCCGCCGCCGCCGAGTTTGAATAGTCGGCGGAGGCAGACAGGAGGCTCAGGAAGAGAAGAACAGGGCTGAACAGAGAACTGATAGTGGTCCGAATTGCCATTTTCAGTAATGAATAAATTGGGAAGCTGAAGCTGCGATAAGTGATTTTGGGAATTTTTGCTTCCATTCGGCTTTTTATTTTTTATAATTATAATTTTTTGTGATAATGATGTGTAATTTCTAAAAATTTAATTTTTATTTTTTAATTTCCACGTCACACATTTAACGGTCAACTATCAGAGTTGACCGCCACGTCAGTCAAAGTTAACAGAGGTTAACGGAGAGTGACCGAAGTTGAACTGTTCAACTAATTCGAGTGACTATAAATGGAATAAATTAATTTGAGTGGCAAGCATGAAATTTTATAGCAATTCGAGTGACCAAACTTGCAATTAAGCCCCCAAATATATAATCGTTGTCGCACATAAACTGGAAAAAATCCCAAGTTACACATGTTTTTAAAAAAAATTCTCAAAATACACATGTTATGAAAAAAATTCCCAATCTACACATGTTTGGGCCTTCACCGCGTCAGAGAAGGGCGGTGATTGCTTCACCGCGTGAGAGAAAAACGGTGATTGCTTCACCGTGGGAGAGCAAAACGGTGAATGCTTCACCGCGTGAGAGCAAAACGGTGATTGCTTCACCGTGGGAGAGAAAAACGGTGAAGCACTGACCTGCGTCCAAACTTTAAAACAACGTAACTTTGTGCTCGGTTATCCGATCGTAGCGAATTTTTTTTTGATTCCGCATAATTTTTCGAGATCTTGCAAGCCGCAAACTTCCGGAGGCGGTTTGGTCCCGCCTTCGTCTCAAAAATATGTCGTTTGCTACCCCGAACGACCCTTTTTTCGATTTCGTCAAACTTTGAACGACCATAACTTTGTGCTCCACAATCCAAAAATCATGAATTTTTTTTTGATTTCGCATAACTTTTTAAGGACTACAATTTTTATCATAGACATAATTTCGGAATGTACTTGGATTCCTGAAAAGGGAAGGTAAAGTTATTCCCAAAACCCCTTATATCCATAAATAATTCATTTTTTGAAAATTCTCTCCTACTAAAAATTGTAGTCCTTAAAAAGTTATGCGGAATCAAAAAAAAATTCATGATTTTTGGATTGTGGAGCACAAAGTTATGGTCGTTCAAAGTTTGACGAAATCGAAAAAAGGGTCGTTCGGGGTAGCAAACGACATATTTTCGAGACGAAGGCTGGACCAAACCGCCTCCGGCGTTTGCGGCTTGCAAGATCTCGAAAAATTATGCGGAATCAAAAAAAAATTCGCTACGATCGGATAACCGAGCACAAAGTTACGTTGTTTTAAAGTTTGGACGCAGGTCAGTGCTTCACCGTTTTTCTCTCCCACGGTGAAGCAATCACCGTTTTAGTTTGAAACGGTGAATACATCACCGTTTTAGTCAAAAGCGGTGATGACCTTCACCGCTTTTGTCTAAAACGGTGATGCTCAAACATGTGTACTTTTGGAATTTTTTTTATAACTTATGTATTTTGGGAATTTTTTTTAAGAACTAGTGTACTTTGGGATTTTTTCCCACATAAACTAGATCTCGCCTCAATTAAACAGTGGCCAGATTTGATTTGTTGGCCCAGCCATATAACGCAAAGGAAAGAGTAACGGGCCGCGTTGATCCAGTGCGGGAGGGAGCAAGGCCTTCCAAGCTGGGCCCACGATCACATTAGCATCATTAGATCGATTCTTTTTCTCATCCGAGTGGGTTGATAAATGGCCTCGTGGCCTATGGCTGAAAATTGTCTGACTCGTCTCTGATCCGTCCTTAAAGGGTCAAGATGTATAATTGTCTCGTCTCTTTCTTTTTCTTAACCCTTTCTGATCCTCAACCTCAAGTGATGTGACGGGTCGGGACAGATCGGGTTAGTGGATCGATCCTAATTTGCACACTACTTTTTTTTATAAATTACGTTTTTTACACCCAAAATTATTTTTTCTTACTAGTACCTAAATTTTATTTTATTTACAAATAAGTCCTTAAATTTTAGTGGTATAATTACATTTTGGTACTCAAATTTTTTTATTTTTTCAATTTAGTACCTAAACTTTGAAAACTTTTACAAAGAGGTCCAATGTGGTATGATATATTTATTGTTGCTAAGGGTCACAGGTCAAAAAGTGACCCGTTTCTAAATTGTCCCGACCCGTCCCGACCCCTACAGGGTCAAAAGCTGATCCGTCCCTAAATTAACCCTATAGACAAACTGACCCGTCTCAACCCTCAGGGACGGGACGGGTCAATGGGTTTTTACGGTCAAACTTACATCCTACGTGGTCAAGTCAAACACTTAACGGATCGAGGTTCGTATCATCGACGAGCAGTACTGCGTACTGCCGACAAGCTTTCTTCAGCTACAAGGACTGAGGCACTTAGCAATGATCGATGGTCCCCGACATAAATAAACATTTCTATTGTTGAGCTCATTCCGTGTTTTCCAAGTTTACATTGCTAGGGCAGCGTTTTGATTCTGTACCAGTCATTTCTATGTTTGCATTGCCAAGTCTTTCCCACCCAGAAGAGTCGTCCCCTGCTAGCAGTTTGTTTAGAGGTCTTTATACCCCAAAAACAAACCACATATGTAAACTAGTTGCGACCAAACTACATTCAACCATCAACAATTTACAGAGATGTTTATTTTATTTCTGTTAGCACATCAAAAGGAGAGCTTCCCGCACTCTTCCCAGCAGCCTAAGGACCGTTGCAGCTATATGGTGCCCGCTCAATCCAGCTCGAGCTAGTTGTTCCTCAGGCAGCCCGTTTTCGATGTAGCTGTCGGGTAATACAATTGGCCGCCACTGTAGATTTTGCATAGACATTTAAAATCACGTTTTTTTTATACCTTTTACCAAAAATGGAAGTTTCTGATGTTCATTATGAGTGAATGTTGCGAGTGACTCACCTTAACGGTTCCATCGAGATGGCCATTGAGAGCTATGAACTGTGCAACATGAGATGCGAATCCTCCGATAGAACCTTCCTCAACTGTGATTAGAAACTTATGGTTCTCACACAACAGGGTGAGAAGCTCTGTGTCGAGTGGTTTGCAGAATCTTGCATCAGCGACTGTTACTTCGATGCCGAGCCTCGAAAGAAGGGCTTGAGCTTTGAGGCAGTTCTGAACCATTGCTCCATATCCTAGCAATGCCACCTCTTTGCCTTCTACAAGCACTCTTCCTTTACCAATCTGGTTCAAAGTGTAATGAAAGCCCAGATCAGAAACAAAGTAGTACACAGGGTTAATGGTGCTTCTAGTCTCTGTACCCATGTCAACAATACATCTGTCGCAGTATCATGACTAGAAAAACACAGCCCAAGAGCCTGAAACAGTTTTGAGTATATGGATACAAAAATTTTACTCACCTCAAGGGGAATTCCGGGATGCATAAAATGGTCTGTCCTGACTATGGCGCCTCTTGGATACCGGAAGCAGACCGGTCGGTCGTCTATCTGGGCAGCGGTAGCCACCATATCCACCAGCTCATCCTCGTCAGATGGAGCCATAACGATCATGTTCGGTAAGCACGACATGAATGTCACATCGAATGCCCCACAGTACACGGGACCGGAGTTCCCCACCAATCCTGCACTTGTGATGACAAATCGCACTGGAATCTTCTGCCGATCTACATCATGGACCACCTGGGGCGAAACCCGATAATAAACAGCTCAGAAGTTGAAAACTTTTATCGCCCTGATATGCTTATATACATAGCAGAGAGGCAGATATACCTGATCATATGCTCTCTGTAGAAAAGTAGAAGGAATAATGCAAAAAGGTCTCAATCCCCCACGAGATAAACCGGCGGAAAATGTGACAGCATGTTGCTCGGCCATTCCCACGTCGAAAAACCTGTCAGCGAATGTTTCCTGAAGCACTTGAAAGGAGGGTTCCATTTCCATTCCTGCATGAACCAGAACAATGTCTTTGTGCTTCTCTGCCTCCATTAACAAAGAATCTACTAAGCAATCGCTATATGTCCGAGTCTGCACACTAGAAGAGACCGAGTCATCATAACCTGCAGAAAGAAATTGAAGAGTAGATCATTGCACCATAATCATAGATATGAAAGAAAGTAGAATTATTGGATTTCAGCTTTAGAGAAAACTACTAGTGATCATACCTTCCTGTGGGTTGTCAGCCTCGATCTTTTCATTACATTCTGCATCTTGATGATTGTCTTCAGTGATCACATGTATCAAGACTGGGCCCATGGAGTCCAAAGATGACACTTGTTGCAAAACACAAATGAGGTCTTCTAGATTGTGTCCATCAACAGGGCCAATGTAATAAAGACCAAGCTCCTCAAAAAGAGTCGATCCTTGTGGACCAATCATACCACGTGCATACTCATCAAATTTGGCAGCCAATTCATGCATACCCCTGCCAATCCTTTTGGTAATGCCCTTGAAAAAGGAACATGGAAGGAGCCAAAGAATCAGGATTTGGATCTCAAGAAACTTATCAAAGAGATGCATTCAACCCAGAGTTCAAATCTACATACTGATTGTGTTCCTTTTGAAAGCAACATGCATTACTAAAACTTTAGGCTTATATGTTAAAGAGTGAAAATACCTTTGCAGCTTCTCTGAACTTCCGGAATGATTTACTAGACTGAATCTTGATTAAGGTACTAGATAAGGCAGTAATTGAAGTTTTTGGCTCATGTTCGATCTTTGGGTGCAAAGAGCGACGGCTATCATTTAAAATCACAATCATATTTGAGTCCAAGTAACCGGCATTACTCATTGCCTCGTATACTTGTCCAGCCAAAGTTGTCGCATTGCTAATGACAGTAACAACTCGATCGCGCTTCCCTTTGATGTCGCGAGCAATGGCCATTCCTGACGGAAGAAACATTTTTTACTTAGTTAGGAGAGTTTAATGCAAAACTAAGAAAAGGACATCTGAACTGAATGCTCGTTCATTTGCATTCAGAAAACTGCAATATCCGATTAGTAGAAGAAAGCAGCAAGACATAAAGAAGGATACTACCAAGACCAGCAGAAACACTATTGCAGCCATGCCCTGTTCCAAAGGAATCATATTCACTCTCAAACCGAGATGTAAAGCCAGAAAGACCATTCTTTTGCCTCATCATGCGCATTAGTGCCCTCCTGCCTGTGAGAATTTTATGCGCATAAGTCTGCCAAAAAGGTACGGAGGATGCATTCATTAGTAATTTTTATGTTTAACCAGGAGCAAGTATTCATAATTAACTACTATTTTCGGCAGTTCTCAGTCAGAATCTCACATGTCTCAGCTCAGTCAAAATGATTAACAAGAACTTAACAGGGTCGCTGTTAACTGCTCCACATCTTTCTCTTTCGATTATAAAAGACAGCAATCAAATGGAGGACGTCGGAAAACTTTCGGTAGCTTACTTGTTCACCTACATCCCATAGTATCTTGTCCACTGGAGCATGAAAAACATGATGTATGGCAATGGTGAGTTCTACCACAGCCAAACTGGCCTTCAAAGAATTTGGCTTCTCTGACATTATACATGATAGTTCTGACCGTATTTCACTAGCTAGTTCCTTCAACTCCTGAACAAATAAGTTCATGAATAAGCACGTCCTTCATCAAGTCAGCCCCAAACAGAAAGCACAAGAAGGAAAATGCACCAAATCTAACTAACCTGGACGGACAAATTCTTGAGGTGAATAGGGTTCTCAACCATATCAAGTAAAGGAGTGGGTACTTTGTCCCAGAACATGTCATCCATATCTGGTACAGCATTTATTCGCCGACCGAATTCCTACATCAAACAAAAACATCATCAGCTTACCTACTAACCAGCAAACGATTCTGGAAATCGTTACCTAACATGGCGATATTTTAATTGATCAAGAAAAAGCATCATATTGACATACACAAAAGGATCCAATAGACACACAAAGCACTGAAAATGCTTGGACTCAAAATCTCCAATTGGACACAAGTTCAGCCTCATCATCGACTACCAATCACCAATCTCTTTCCATTTGCCAGCTCGGACACCGGTTTGCTTCATCTACAAACTTATAAAATCGACACCCATCCACCCATTTCTGCCTTTCCAGACGATCACACAAAAACTAAGCGAGACAGAAAAGAACAGACAAAACGATCGGATTCAAATAAGGAAAGGAATCGTCTAGAGAAACACACCGTGGAATGATCAGAGGAAGAAGCGGCAGAGGAACCTTGATGAAGCCAGCCAAACCGAGCGAAATCCAATTGACAAGGAAACTTGGAGCATCGAGACGAACCCAGCTTCTTTTGACCGAGATTTCCTGTGGAATGCGAAGTGATCCCATGTGGGCACTGAGCTACAGCACTGCCCATCTGGAAAAAGTTTCGATCTTTGAGCTCTTCGTAACTGAGGATTCAGGAAAAAAAGAACCCCGACGGCGACGGAGCAAGACGAGGCAAACTCTTGTAATAAGTAAGATTAACAGATAAGAGAAGTGGTTCGGCGGAAGAAAACGCGACGAATCCAAAGTGGATAAAGACGGCCGGAAGAACGAATTTTTGGATTGGGAACCTGACTGAGTAGCGATTGAAACGAGACAAATGGACAAAGAAAGCATCAGCTGATAATGAGGCTGGTCGTTGGCGGTATCAAACCGGCACTCTCAATTTCTCGACATGGATAGAATAGAAGAATAGTAGAAGAGAGGAGAAATTAAATAAAAGATAAAAAGATAAAAAGAAAAGAAAAAGAAACGCACACAGATTCACTCACTCGCAGTCGCAGGGATTACAAAGGATTGGATTGATGAAAATGAGTATGGTGAGTTTAATTTAATTTTGCAGTCGATTTTCTTACAATTAAGGGTAATTTTTTAATTTTGGCAATTGGCACACATGTCTTTGATGTGAGCAATCCCATCCCAACCTATATTATTAATATTTTAAAATAACATGGATACTAATATTACTATGAGTCCAGAGATTAATGTAATAAATTAAAATGCTCTAAGCTTCTGTTTTTCTATCAAAAAATATAATAGAGAGGAAATATTATTAGTACAGATTTGAAGATATGGGCCTGCCACCCCACCTAGAGATTGGGCCAAAGTCCATCTCTTTTCCCAATGTGCCGGCCTTTTATCTTGAATTGGAGACTGGGCTCATTAGCTCTTTGTCCTTTTCTCATTCGGGAGACCTGAGAGCCAGGCCCAGCTCTGTAAGCGAGAATTTCAAATTGTCCTAGTCAAAAGAGCTCATCTCTTCAGTCTAATGTGGTGATTGATAATTATGCCCGTTACAAAAAAAAAAAAAAAGTGGTAGTTAATTTTTGGAAAAATTCCCTAAATACGGTTAATAATAAAACAAATTTCTAAACTACAACACTTATAAAACATTTCTCAAAATATCTATGTTTGAAGCGGATAGAAACCCATGCATACACTCGAACCACACACTAGATCAAGGCCCGTACACTATTGTATCTGCGATGAGTGCCCAACTCTTGCATAAGAAGGTTTGAATCATTGTCCCCAATTTGGTGGCTGTACGTTTTTTTTTCTTTGGTTTGAGAAATGTATTTTTTTTCTTCACCTAATTCTATTTTTTGAATTTTAAATTGAACATTTGAATATTGATGTTATATGAGTTTGTTTGAATTTTCACTCTATGTTAGATTCAAGTACGAACTGTTCTTTCGGTTTAATGTTTTATGTTATTGCCCATATCTTAGATGAAATTTAATATAATTTATAAATACATGAACAATATAATAAATTTTGTTTCATACATCCGTGTTAAAGCTATCATATCATTAACCCTCAACCCACTTGCTCAATCGGGGCAACGGGCTAAACCGTGTTAACAACCTTGACTAAGATATTTAATTAATCCAATCCATGTAATCTAAAATCAATTGGATTGGTGGTTTCATTGATTGAATTCATGGATAACTTGATAAATCACAGTTTAGTATCTATATTTTTTATATTCCACATTTTGATACCTAAAATTTTAATTTCCTAACGTAAAATACATACAAAAATTACGGTTTGGTAACTAAATTTTTTATGATGAAATTTTAGTACCTGAACTTTTTAAATTTTCATATTGATCTAATGTTTACTTTACACATAGATTTATGATCCAAGACCCATAAGTGCACCAATTCAAATCCACCACTCTATAAATGCAATTCATTTGTCACGCTACCATCAGATTCGATTAATGTCTCCCAACCCGCAATATTTGTCACTCAGTTTCCTACAATATTTCAATGGTTTTTATTTTTATTTTTTATCAACAGTATATATAGGTTAGGGCGCAGTTTCGCCACTGCCGCATGCAGATGCTTGACTCGCGGATGCCTCCTTATAATTAACGGCCGGGAGCCGACAAGAAACAGCCCAAAAGGTTTGCCGTTGATCAAAGTAATTAGTTAGTTGGAGGTTTGACCTGATTTCTTGTCAATCGGCACCGCCAGGACGATCGGAAGTCAAAAAAACACGTCCATAATTAATCATAGGAGGAATTTTACAATGTTATAGAGTATTGGTGCTATAGGTTTTTGTTTTTATGGTACAGGTTGAAATTGTACCTTTAATGTTATGGTACAACTTTAGATTGTACCTATACTTTTTGTACAAATTCTTTTATGGTACAACTTAAACTTGTACATTTATGTGATGGTACAACTTCAAGTTGTAAAGTTGTACCATAACATAATGATACAAATTCCTTTATGGTACAACCTAAACTTATACATTTAATGTTATGGTACTAACTTCAAGTGGTACATTAAAGCATCAATACTATATAGCATAGTAGTACGTACTTTTCTTCAACGACATGGATATCATATATCACACGGCGGCTTGTCTGTCATCAGCTGTAATATATCTGGCTATCAGCCTGTCTTTATATAATTTGGATGGAAAGAAAAAACAACGGATTTTGTTGACTTTTTCCTTCCTTTCTTCCATAATGTGAAAGTTCTGCATAACTAACTAATAACTAGCAGCTACTAGAAGATGAACCCTTTTTTTTTTCTTTCTGGCTTGACAATAGCAAAAAACAACAATGTGAATGTACGAAAAACCCGCCGCCAAATGATTACTAATCCCTCCCGCCAAATAAATGGCCCCTCCCCCTTTGGTTTACTTTTCCTTTCTGGAGAATTCAAACCCCTAGCTATTAATTGCGATGAAGATAATTAAGCAAAGTCAGACACTAAACCCAAACGGGCTGTTTGGATTGACAAAAAAAAGTTAAGGGATTGGAATTTCATTTCCATATATTATGCTTGGAATAATAAAAAGACTGAGAATTGAATTCCATTGGGTCTAAAATTTAGGAATTGAGAGAATGAAGATGTAATTAGTGGGAATCAATACTTTTTATTATTTTATTGACCCACTATCATTTTACTCTCTTTCTGTCTCATTCATATTTCATTTCTCAAAATAAAACAAACGTATCACATTATTTATTATGGTTAAAAGTGCAATTCATTTCCATAGTTGTAAGAATTATACCAAACATAAGAATTGGAAATGAAATTCTATAAAAACAAAAAATGGAATTCCATTTCTATTTTCATTTCTTTCCGTCCGTTTGACCGTTGGTTCACACTTCAAAAAAGCTTTGTTTAGGGGAAATTGTCACAATACAACTTTGTTTTCTTGTTTTGGCATTGCAGATGACTGAATATTTAGATATTCTATACCATCATGGTGGAGTCATGGACTTCTCGGGTTTGGAACCACGATATGTTGGTGGTTTTTCAGAGAAGATATCAATGGATATTGATGAAGCGTCGTACTTCGAACTTTTTTGAAGTGTCAACTAACGGTCAAACGAACGGAAAGTTGACGATTTGGATATTAAATTGTATTTACCCTTGATTTAACCTTTCAACTTTGATACGATGCCGTAGAAAGAGGAGATCGATCGAGTGATATGGGTCTATTATATTAGTCAACCAACTATTGTTGCAAATTAAGCTTCTTCATGAACGAACTACGCTTTCGCAATCACGAGTAGCTAGAAGAATTTTGTCGGCATCATAGAAAAAAACAAACAAAAATAAATTTGTATTCGGCCACGGTTCCTTTTTCCAGTTCTCTACGTACGTATGGGAACCTTTTTGTCACCAGTCAAAAAAAGCGATAATCCAAAGTAGTTGTGATCAAATTGGGGGTGCAAGATTCTAGAATCTTTTAGATTCTTACGTGTATTAGCCGTATCTCTGACGTCCGTGCGCTGTATAAAAAGGACGCCCAGTACGCGCAAGTCTTAACCTGCATATCTGTCGCCAAACAAATCAAATCAACTTAGTTCAAAGCCAAATAAAGAGTAGAAGAGAAGATGCCATCTCAACATTTCTCCTCCTTCCTCCTCGCCGTCTCTCTATTATCCGCCGCCGCACTCTTCCGCCTCTCCTCCGCCGACATCGGCACCGCTTCCCACTACCGCGCCCCTTACCTACGTAAGTCCATACCCACATAACTCTTGTAAATGTAGCCGTATCAAATCAGTCTGTTTAAGCTATCTAGTTGGGATTCAAACACGAAACTTTCAAGTTGAAATTAAGTCGATCTTACGCTCTAATTTATTATTATTGGGTCATTTCCTCTAGTTCGTTGGCTCGCTTAGCTAGCAAATGAGATGCATCGATCCGCGCATCATTAAAATTTAAGTTAGTTAATTATGAATGTCGACTCCTAACCAGCTAAAATACACACAACAACTATTTAAACCCGCAATAGGTTGAAAGTAACTTTTTTACCCTTTTAATCATTTCTTCATCGACGCTGACTAGCTAAGTAATAAGTTCGATCGATGTAATTTTCAGTTGAAAATCAGCTATCTCTAAAATAAAAAAATTCCCCCTTTCTTTAGTATTCTTCAGACACTTTTAAGGTGGAACATTAAATCAGCTATCTCTAAGCTTATTATGTAATCAGTAATTATAATGATGATGATGATGAATGTGCAGCGACGGCGTGCTACGGCAACGAGGCGGCGCAGTTCCCGTCGAGCAACCTGTTCGCGGCGGCGGGGGAAGGGGTGTGGGACAACGGGGCGTCGTGCGGCCGCCAGTACGTGGTCCGCTGCATCAGCGCCGTCGCCCCGCGGACCTGCATTCCCGGTCAGACCATTCGGGTTCGGGTCGTGGACCGGGCCCTCTCCTCCGTCACGCGGCCGTCGAGGGGCGGGACCACCCTCGTGCTCTCCACCTCCGCCTTCGCCGCCATCGCCAACGGCTCTCCCGGCGCCATCAACATCGAGTATCAGCAGTGAGTAGTTAATAATTAATTACTCTAATTAAGCACTTCTACAACGTGCTCAGATGATTGATTTGTGTTCTGGTTTTGTGTTTAGGGTGTGAGAGATGGGGGGACGCGCGACGACTGATGGTTGTGTTTGTTGCTGGAAACGCGGGAGGGATTAATGGGAACAGCTAGGGAGATTAGTCGTCAAGATTGGGGTTTAGTTAGTTAATTATTAGTCAATGAATGCAGGTTGACTTGTGTTCATTGGTGATTTTTGTAGTCATATATATACAAGAGTAGATTATATATTAGTTTCTTAATTTTGCCTTTCACTAATCATAGAGAGTTTATTAATTATTTATGTACGCTTCATTGTCTTTGTACGATTTGAGTTTTCGGTGCATAGTACGATATAATCATTTTTTTGTCATGATGGTAAAATGACGGAATTTTGTAGGTTATATAAATTAGGGTTTGCACATGATTTGCTCCCTTTTGTATTAGCATTGATAAAAAAAAAATTAAAAAATATTATTGTAGCTTTTCTTTCTATGTGGAACCCTTCTCTTAGTGTTTTGGTGGTGGTGGGCTTCTTGTGATTGTAAGAGTGTGGTATAAGATCCACACTGTATCAGTTTGGCCAAGTGGTCATGTGTTCGAATCTCCACGACCCTAATATTAACCTTTGATTAAAGCATAAGGTATGGTGGGCCTGTGCAAAGTTCAAGCCCATGGGTTGGTTTTCATTTGAGGGGGCGTGTAAGAGTGTGGTATAAGATCCAACAGAACCTTCTCCCAATAACTCGAGTTATTGGGATCAACTGGTTTTGACAGTTATTACTTTACAAAAAAGAAAAAAAACCCATCATTCACCATAAAATTGTGTTCCAATAAATTAAGGGGTCGTTTGGAAGTTGCGATTGTTTTGTTGAGATTGTCATTATGCATGTATTGTTTACAATGCTGCATCGTTTTTTGTTGTTGTTTTTTTAGCAAAAACAATACATGGATTGTTTCTATGATGTGACAGAAACTATCGCTCATTTTGGGTGATTGTTATATCTCAACTTTTAGTTGTGATTGTTGAGATAGTTGAGTTGAGATTGTTTTGTCTCAGCTTTTAGCTGATGCGACATACACAATCACACATACCAAACGTTGTATTCTACAATGCATCAAATTCGACAATACATGTATAATACTATACATGCATTCTCAACAATACATCTATTTAACGATCGCAACTTCCAAACGACCCCTAAGTTGTTGTAAGGATGTTCAAAATAAAAATCTTATATTTGCTCATGTGTTCATGAGTTTTAGTTTTCACAAATAAACGAGTTGAATATGAACATCGAATAGACGGATAAAATAATATAGACTGAATGTGTTAAAGTAATTAAAGCTTTTGATTTTAGACTTTTGAAGCCAATTACGTACATAATCTATAGAAAGAATAGTTTTTATAGCGGAGTATTAATCACACAGGAAACCGGGTTAGACCAAAATTAAACACAAGTGAAAAAAAAGCGAAGCATCCATCGAGATGTGGCATATATACAATCAAAGTTCTCGAGCATACAATCACACATTAGTTCTAGAAACATTTTGGGTTGAACTGATGGAAATTTCGCAACATCATTTCAGAAAACAAGAACCAATATGGCGACTCGGAACAAAATCCATTGCCAACAATCAAACAATTGATCTTCATACTAGATGTTGCACAGATGAATCGAACCATCATTTTTTAGTTGAAAGATCTAAGTGAACAGGAATATCTTAGGTGTTTAGTATGACAAAAGAAGACATGATTACTTGTATTACGGATTGTATAAGTATTAATGTATTATCTACATAGACTTTCTTAACAATGCTTATTTTGCATAGAAGCCCGTGAACGATAATCATACTTAACTTTATACTCAAATAAATGAAATGATACATAAACCGATACATTACTTATCTGAAGATCTCGAAGACGACCACTTACCACCTACAAGCTATGAAGTAAACGAGTTACCAATCTTAATAATAATATCAATCAATGATGCAATGTTCCATATAAAAATTTATCCCAAAAGCTAGAGAAAAAAGAGTGATTGTAGTTGCTGATATCTTAATGACAAAAAAAACAGTGTCATTACATAGGGATCTAATTGTCCAAAATAATACTTTAGGGCATACTGTTAACAACGATATATTACAAGGACGAAAAATGCGAAAGAAAAAGGGTTGCTATTCGTCGCCTTAAAATTCCTTATTCGTCGCCCTAATTAAGATAATTTCACTCTAATATCCTTAATTCATTTATTCGTAGTTTAAACACTTAAACCCAAAACAAATTACCGGGAAATAAAATAAAATTGACATCGACTCATCGCCGGCCGCCGCTGTGCGATTTACAGTCCATAACAATGGCGGTGGGGCTCAAGTTAAATCCAAGTTTTGCACTGAAAACAAAAACACCAAGACGTCCCCCTGTCCCTGGTCAAATGAATTCCAAGAATCCCCTTACTTTGTCGAATTAATTCCCAGCGAGATAATCTTTGGAAAAAAAAAACCCCTAAACCCTTACTCTGTTCTTGGAGCTCTGTTTATGTTTCTCTTCTCGTCCTTTTTTATTTGGTAATTGGGTTAGTTGTTTGGTGGGGGACTAGGAAGTGGAATCGTTTCCCCTTTCATGAAGCGAGGAAGATAAGAAGGGCTGATGGAAATAATAGATGAGATTGCAGAGGACGGACCGGAGCGGGCGACACCTTCTTCTTCGATTTGAGCGGCGACGGATTTCGATTGGGGATGAAGAAGGGATTAGAGATTGTTTGGTTAGGGTTTACAACTGAAATTGAGTTGAGGATAAATATGTTAATTTGTTGCGTTTTAGGGTGATAAAATTTGGATTTTAGGGCAATGAATAGCAATAAAAAAAAAAGGAGAGGTAGGAGTTTGACGGTGGCATAATTTCTCAAGCTATAAATGGTTAGTTTGGCGGCCAGTTTCGTACTTTCCAATCCTTCTCCGCGTCGTCGACTCTTTTTCTCTCTCCCCAGGATCTAACGAAAGAAGGAGCCAAAGAAACAACCTTTCCCCGATCGATCTCCTCCTCTCTCTGTCTCTATCGAATTTGATCGCTGCGCGTGTCGGAAGAAAGAAACATTGTTGTTGGAGAACAACATCGAGAAAACGGGATGTCGGGGAAAGGCGCCAAAGGATTGATGGCTGGGAAAGCCGCGGCTCAATCCAAAGACAAAGACAAAGACAAGAAGAAGCCTACCTCTCGTTCTTCTCGCGCCGGCCTTCAGGTTCTTTTCCCTTCCCCTCTCTAGTTTCTCGCCGATATTTGGGATTCTTGATGCCCGTCTAGGATTTCGAATTGGATGGAGACCTGATTGAATAATGTTAATCGATGTTTCTCTTTTGTCGTCTATATCATTAGCTTTCTCGAGACCCCTGCTCATGGTTTAGCTGAGTAAGATGGTGTTCTTGTTTCTGTGTTATGATCGATCAGTGTGTGTGATAATGCCAGCTAGTGGACAGGACATTCCATCCCAACAATGGGGAGACCTTATAGAAGTTGTTTCAAAGAATTGAACTTTAGATGTTTTCCTTCGTATTAACGTTGTATCAAGTACATTTGTGTGGGCATAGAGCAGAAAGGTTGGCATGACTGGTTCTGTGCTGCTTGGTACTTGTGGTATTTGTCATCATTCGTCTCGTGTCTCGAGCTCATGGAATTCATCTGCTCTTTGATCCTTGGTTTAGTTGGAAGCTGGTTCGCCAATCCTGTAACTTGATGTTCTGAATCCAAATTCTCAAGCTTTCGTGTTGCTTGCTATTCCATGGTGTGTCCTGCTGTAGTCTTGAATCCTTGTGCAAGCTAGGGACTAGTACTGAGTTTTCGATTTGTAAATAACTCACTCACTCAAATCATTCAATGTACGTTAGTTCATTAGTACGAGTTTTGGATTTGTAGTGTTCTTCTGACCTCTGTGGATTTCATCGGTTGTAGTTCCCTGTGGGACGAATCCACCGCCTCCTGAAATCAAGGGTCACAGCTCATGGGAGAGTTGGTGCAACAGCGGCAGTCTACTCTGCAGCAATCTTGGAGTATCTGACTGCAGAAGTGCTGGAGCTGGCTGGTAATGCGAGCAAGGATCTGAAAGTTAAACGTATAACGCCTAGGCATTTGCAACTAGCAATCCGTGGAGACGAAGAACTTGATACCCTCATTAAAGGAACCATAGCTGGAGGTGGTGTCATCCCTCACATTCACAAGTCTCTAATCAACAAGTCTGCCAAGGAATGAATTGAAACCTGAAAAGAAAAGGCCATTCATTTATAGGATTAGTTTATTCGAGTCCATCTGTATTGTTAAGATTCTTCCATTGGGGGGTTCCGGGTTTGGTTTGAGTGTACATTCTGCTTAAAAACTCAGATTGATGATAGTTAATTGATAGAAACCTTCCTTTGATCTGATTATTTAGAATGTCGACTTGCTGCTTGTCCCAGTACTGTATGACTGGATGTCATTCTTAAAACCACAGAAATACTTCCACTGCTGTTAAACTTATCATCCAAACCGTAAAAGGGCTCCACATTGCATCATTCGACGGAAGACGCCTAAATTTCATCACTGAAACCATCCCTTATTCATTAGCTAACCATATGACAGTCTAGCTGGCTTACAACCTACATTAGATTGGAGAAAGAAACAAGTTACAACAGGAGGAAGAGCACAACAAAGCTTTTCAGCCACGTTAACGGAAAAACTGATTTCTCTATCATCACTGGAATACCCTACAAAAGGGATGAGATAAACTATAGCTTATGTTAAACTTCGATCGATCTCTCAGTTGAGTGTCGCAACTTTGGGTACATCGACCGGGAACTGATCGATCTCATCCATCCACGGATTCTTCTCCTTTGTCGGTGTTATCGAGCGCAGAGCCTTCCACACCGCGCTATTACACTTGAACCCAGACCCGAAAGCAATTTGCCACATCCTATCTCCTCTCTTCACTCTCCCTTTCCCTTCAGTATAAGCCAACTCATACCACAGCGAACTGCTCGACGTGTTCCCAAACCGGTATAGAGTCATCCTCGACGGCTCCATATGCCAATCCGAGAGGTGCAAGTTCTTCTCTAGCTCATCCAACACAGCTCTCCCACCTGCATGAATGCAGAAATGCTCGAACGCCAGCTTGAAATCCGGTATGTAAGGCTTCACCTTGACCTAAGCAGCTTCTTTGCCATCAATGTGGCAAAGAAGAGCAGTTGCTCAGACATTGGCAGCACGAGCGGGCCTAAAGTAGTGATGTTGGTCTTCAATGCATCCCCTGCAACTCCCATCAACTCCTTCGACAACGAAACCCCGATTTTGCCTTCCGAATCTTCCCTTTGAGTAACACAAGAGAAGCACTTGTCATCTGAGCCCTTGTTGGTCCTCACAGTATGAACCAAACGATACTTGGCACGCCACCTCTCCGACCTCTTATTCGACAGCAGAATTGCAGCACCTCCCATCCGAAACAAGCAATTCGACAGAAGCATCGACTTATCATTCCCAAAGTACCAGTTCAACGTAATGTTCTCCATACTAATCACCAAAGCATACGAATTCGGATGCACCTGAAGCAGATCCTTCGCTAGATCAATCGATATCAAGCCAGCACTACACCCCATCCCACCAAGATTGTAACTTCTCACATTGCCACGAAGCTTGTAGTGGTTAATCACCATGGCAGACAATGACGGTGTAGGGTTAAACAAGCTGCAATTCACTATCAAGATGCCAACATCCTTAGGCTTCACCTTAGTCTTGGCGAACAAGTCATCGATTGCACCGAACATCACAGCTTCCGCTTCCTTCCTAGCCTCGGCCATACAAGGATTAGGAGGGACATTGAGAACAGCTGGTGGGAGGTAAGTTGACTCGCCAAGACCGGACCTTTCGAGGATCTTGCGCTGGAAATTGAGGCTTTGCTCGGTGAAAGTGCCTGTTAACCCCGATCTGTCCATGAAGATTTGGCGAGTGCATTGTCTGGCGTCGTCAGGCTTGTAACAGGAGAAGTCCACGAGGTAGATTGCACGAGGGCGAGTTAGGAAGTAGAGGGTGAGAAAGAAGACTATAAGGGTTGTGCACAGGATTACTGAGATTAGGTTGGATTGCAGATGGTGATTCCAGAGGTCGTGGAGATCTTGAGCTGAGAATGTGGATAGCTGGGCAAAGATTAGAAGGGCTAGTGGGGATAAAAAGAGGTACATCCCATGAGTGATTAGGTGATGGTAACCTAGCTTGACGTATTTGAGCTTCACCGTTTGTTTGAAATCTGGGAGCTTGGAGCGGGATTGGGATGGAGGGATCAACAGGGGATTAGGGTTTGGCTTCGACATTGTTTCTTTTTCTTTTCTGGGTATGTGACTGTGTGTGATATGCTTTGCTTACTACCACGTATGACGTAGCAAACTAGAATTCCAGCATGCTTGGGATTGGGGGGAAAAGGTGGAGGGGGTTTCTTGGGAACCAAACAGAGCAACAACCCAGAAAAAGCTCGAAACTTTAGGCAATAGCACACGAATCAGAAGAATGCGGGAGAACGGGAAGGCATTAACCTTGCTTCCCCTTTATTCCTGCACAAAATGAGGAACAGAATGTTGAGAAATGAAAGCTTAAACAATGGATTTATCTTAATCACAAAGCCAGATCTGTGAACATGCTGAACTTTTATCCATTGGAACAGAGGACAATGCAGAGGAACCCAGTAAATAATGAACGAGAGAGAGAGAGGACTGACCTCGTGGAAGAAGATTGAAACAGAGGAAGAGACGAAGGAGGAGCTGGAAATTTGTGCTATTTCATTGCCAGAAGAGGGAGAGAGGAGGGAGTAATGGTAGTGGTGTGCTCCAAGATGGGGATTTTAAACAAAGGGGGAAGGAGAAGACAGAGTCGTTTGTTGTATTGCGTTTCCTTGATAGTAGGGGAGTGAGGCGAAAAAACACCGAGCAGAACAACTGGGGAATCTGGTGAGGGAAGTGGGGTAGAAATTATTCAAATCAAAAGTACAATAAATTTGTTAAAAGTCCACAATTTATTGTGCAAAGTACTGATTGTCGGATGAGCACTTGAAGTCTTATTGTTGTTGTTTGTGTTTCTTGTTCTGGACGAACCGGAGGAGTTCGTTTGCACGGCTCGTCGTTTATGTATATGATTACAGGTTTGATTCATGTTTATGAAAATGAAAATTATTTTGTGATAAGTTGTTCATTGCTTTGTAGTACGACTATCCGCAATGATATTGTCGAAGTTTATCAATGTCACATAAGCTTCTTCTTTTCACTGGTACCATCATACCATTTTTCTTCTAGAAAATAAAAGGCAGATAACCGTGTTTATGTAATATTGCGAATATTACAACTTGATGAACTGCTACGTAAACAAATGGAGGAATTCAGGTACAAACAAGAATTGCATGAATCGTGTTAAAAAGTGTGTTTTTCTTTTGTTGTTTCTCTTCCTTGACTTGACCTGACCAGCATGCATGTGAATGAATAGATCACATCACATGCAGCAGACCAGCAGAAAATGCAGGCTGCATGACTCTTTTTGTCATATAATTTCCCTACTGTCGGCTAGAAAACGGATTCAGGCCTTAAGAAATTCTAATCGCAACAGTTGATTCAATCCATTCGGTTAGCGTCCTTATGAGATGGTGTAAGAAATAAGAATGTCGAGACAACTTTCTAGATATGAATCGCAAGACTGACAATCCAACAGTGTAAGGTTATCCTCACACTAACCAGTAAACTCATAGAAGCTTAGCCAGAATCCTCAAGCATGGCGGTTCCTACTACTATTCCTTCATGGGTTGATAGTCTCTTCTAATAGAAAATACTAGCAACTAAGCCCGCGCTCCGCTGCGGAGAATGCGTGAGTGACTCCAAGTTATCATATGAAAATTATAATTAGTTACAGATTTGACAAACATCAAAGTAAACATTTTAATTAATATCATAATATTAGTAAACAAACACAATAAATAATTAGAATAATTGAGAAGCAAATACATAAAAATGCATATATGCAAAGTACAAATTATTTTACATTAACATTAAATAAAAACACAATAAATTATTAACAAAACAGCAAAAATATTTAAAAACTGCACTCCAATAAATTTCGAGAAATAGCACATTAAATTATCATTATTAATGGACCGGATTGTTTATAAAAAAAAACAATGTTCATTGACAACTTTATTGCATATCAGGCAAAGCATATGCCAATGGATGCAATAAGCAGGTAACGTTGATAAAACCAGAGAGAGGTGATCCAGGTGCAACTATTTTCACCTCTGCAGTGAATACTTGATCGCTTGCTAACTTCATTAGACGATGCCTGTCACCAACTGTAAGATTTTTGAACTCCGTTAATGGAGTGTTTAGCAAGGTAATCACGGGCCATTGACGGAACATCAAATCGCAGGAAGTCATTCCATCCCCACAGGCGATCACACTCAAATAGCTAATAAGAAATTGAGGAAACAACGAGAAGCATTAATATTCCTTTTACACTAAGCAATGAAATGAATAAGTGAACATATACCTACCATTCAGGATATCTTAAGAAAACTTCATGATCTGTATTGAAATTCTCAACTTCTATCAAACACCAGTAAGGTTTCTGTTAAAAAAATGAAACATTCAACCTTAATTATTGTTTACACTATATATTGACATAATATGCAATAATACTTAACCAGTGCAACATGTCATGCACATGTATACCATATAAAAAAATGGCAAAGATACGATGAACCATGGTTAAGTTTAAGGGTAACGTGATTAAGTAACCTCCAACATGTACAATTACACTCATTTACACTTATTTAAACTTCAATACAAAAAAAAAACATATCTAACCCCATATTGCGGTTTTTCATACTGAAATTCCGCAAGCAAATCTCTCAGTATGATTCGTTCCGGTAATGGACCACGAAGATATTTAATAGCCGACGGTTGTGATTTTGGATTCAGTTGTATTGGCATGTGAACGGTAGATAACCTACATGATATATAATTTTTAAACATATATTAGCAATAACCGTGGGAACGTACGAAAAATTGACAATATAGCTCACCTATCAAAGACATTCCTGTATCTGTGAGTATATGTGGCAAATATTATGCGACTGCCCAGTGTGCTCTTCAACATATAGACCCCTACATTTTTTGGAACAACAAATGCACATAACAAAATATCGATTATATGTTACACAATAAAGTCAAACGTAATTAAATTAAGTAAATATCATACAATAAAAGATGTTAAGAGTGTAAATATCAATAAGAACATGAATACCTGGAGTACGTGTCTTGCCAACAAAAATACCGGTAATTGTACATATAACTGGTCCATTATGCTCTTCCATTAATGCATCTTGACAAATGTTATAATATTGTGTATCAGTATAAAAGATGGGGAATCTCCTGTTCCTACAATTGAAACCAAATGACAAAAATCTAATAGACATTAACAATCAAAGTAAATGTAGAACATTAATGTGATAGTAAAAAAACCTGGTATTTTCTATCACAAGTTTGAAAGTTTTAATGTGATATGGATGGTGTCGTGTCGTGGTAATGGAAAGTAAACGACCCGTAAGATCTGTTTATAAAGAGATTGTCACAGATATAATTCGATTAGGTTGAATAATTAAATATATCTATCTAAAAAATAGGATTACGATAATACATAAATTGTAAATATATTTACCTGCTAGATGGGTATGATTAGAACGCATAGGTGGTACGTCTTCAAATGCAGTATCTCTGAAGCTTTCGAAAGGGAAGCGATAGACTGGATTGTCGCGTACTAAATAATTGTCATAAATTTCGACAAATTCCATAGCATATTTAATATGTAGTCGTAGATCGCATGGAGAGTAACGATTTCTAGACCATGCAGGAATCAGTAACACGTCTGACATAATGTAAATGCGTTTTATTCCGATGGAATATTTGACCATCTCATAATATTTGGGTAAGGTAAGACCTTCTATAATGTTTTCCTGTTGTTGAAACAAATTCACATTAGACTATTACAACAACAAACACATGCTTTGAAGATATACTTGAAGGGAACTACCACTTTGTCGACCCATATTGTATAAAGTGCAGGTGAACCAGGAACATCTCTGGTGATCCATTGGTGAATGAGTCGGACAACCAATGGTCGCTCAATGATACCTCCTGAAAGTTCTCTGATGGTCATTGAGGAATTTATTGAGTCTACAAAAAACATGGCTCTTAGAATATATGTCATGTAAGACATTGATCGGTTAAAGATATATGCTAATACTGAACATTTTTCAAATGAATACGTATAAAATAAATTTGACCGTAATGAAAATTCCAACACATGAAATAAATAACCTTCGAGTGAGCTCGGCAAAATATAATTCATCGTCATAATGGAACACCACCTAACAAAAACAATAGACTTTATGATCAACCATCGTATTGATAATATAAACAGATATGTATCACCGATCAGAACAATACAAAACAAAGTTACTCAATACCTTGTAAAAGCCGATTGACAGGTGATTGTAACGTGGATTAAAAATACAAAACAAATACTCAATTTCCACAATGTGTTTGAAGTTGCGGGAACACGGAAGGAGGATCGAAGAGGGAAACTATACAATAGTTGAACAATCTCCGCGATGGTTAATGTTTGTAGGATAACTCTACCTCACGTGAGAAGCAGACCTAGTCATTGCCTATGAGAGTAGATTGAAATGGCAGAAGAGGAGATTATGAAGGGTCTCTCCTATTTGGTTTATATATCTGACCCGTGAAAGGACGATTTACGACAGGAAACTACTCATCTTCTAATTATATACGGTCTCAACATGGTTGCTCACGTACACTTCTTCATTATCCATTGCCTTCTCTTGATCCGATTTTTTCTCTTGATCACCTTCCTCTGTGAATTTTTTTTAACACCAACGATCAATTCACTTCACCAACCCAAAATCTCAAATTTTGAGTTTGTATGTAAATTAAACAGTCGTTAAAATAATCACTAAGAAAGAATCACAAAGAAGAAACTCACACGGCTTAGAAACGTTCAAACCAACAACCGCTAACTGCTAGGCAATAAAACGGAGACGAGAGAGATCAGGTGAAGTGAGATTTGAATATCGTGATTGAGCAGAGCCAAGGACATGAACAAAGTAAAAGAAAGCAAGAAAGAAGGAATACAGGAGAAATTGCACACTTCCTCTTTGTCTCTTCTACTAAATCAGCTGCTCTTTTGAACTTGAAGTGGAAAGAAGACGCTATAGATGGAGTTTGCTCACCAATATATATTCTTCGTTCTTCTTTGATGT